AAGAAAGGTGGACCTGTTGATCATGGCTTGTTTATTTGCTCCTCGGAGGTGAGCGGCAGATTGAATCGGTCGTAAAATCACAGTTGATGGCAACACAGGAGCACTCTTGATGTCACAAAAAATCAGAAAGCGCCACTCGGCGGGGGGATGCAACGCAGGAAGCAACAGCTTTTCAATTGCACCACCGACGGCAAGTAGAGAATATAAAAAAAAAATCGAGCTCAGCCTTTTGTGAGCGCCACACCTGCTTTTTAATGGGAGGCCTGTCGAAATTCAACAACTTACCCTCTGCGCAGTAGTCGCGACATAAAGCAGGCAGGTTCGCTGCGAATTGGCACGAAATTCCAGACAAAATGAAACGCGTAATAAATCTCGCGCTTTTCTTTCGCTCAAAAATTGTAAGTGTAATTTACGAGCTCGCACGATTCGCCAAACTTGAGATTTATCACCCGCGGTGCCAATGAAAGAGGAATGCATCTTTCCAACCCCCGCGCCCGCCACGAACCGCGAGCGGCAGTTGCTGCGTTTCTTGGAAGAAAAAAAGAGATTCAGGGGTGGCACACAGAGAGGCCCATTGAAAATTAACAACAACAAGAAAAGCATTCTTCTGGCCTATTTTTCGCTCTCGCCCCCTCTTCTTTCCCTTCCTTCCAGGTAGAAAAAAGTTTCCTTTTGCTGTGAAATTGTTGCACGCTTTTAAAAACTAGGCGATCACCCTACTTGTTAAAAATTTCAAATTTGGAGCTAACAAACATTTACTTATTAAATTGGAAAATGGTAAAACTTAAAATAAATTTAACAGATTTACTAAAAACACATTATTTTGGTTGGATTAAATAATAATATTAATAATAATAAAATAGAATAAATAAAATCCACATTTTAAAGTGAGAAGTAGAGATGAAGAAAAAACTCCTTTTGTGACTTTCGTTCTGGTGACAATTTGATCAAAATTTACCACCTTTCTTTCTTCCTCTCTTTTATCCCAAGCCCATGATGATGCTGCACCCACTCTGATGGTGCAGCTTCGCTCTGCAGCCGCCCGAAATCCCCCCACGTTGCATTGTATCCCTAAAAATGTGGCAGACGCGTCGTGCTCGAAGGGGAGGTGGCGCGGCGGCGATTTTGGCGCACATTTCCTTCTTCTTTCTCCCGGCGGCCATAAATCCTTCCTGCTCTTTCTTTCTCTCTCTGGCCCGCCAAATAATCTCGTTTATTTATTTTCCTCTTTCTTTCTTTCTCTTCCCTCGGCTTGTTGCTCTTGTTGTGGCCATTTCTCGCGCTCCGCCGAGCGCATCCCCGCGCGAGATGGCTTTTCTGGCGCGACCGCCAACCCCCAAAAGAATCCATCGATCTGATTAATTAATTGGGCGGCCCGGCTCGAATCTTCGCGAACAAAGGAGCCGCGCGATCAGTCCATTAAAATATATTTGCAAATTAGCGGCTTGTGGAGGCGAGCCAAAATTTTTGAAGGGCAAAAGTCATTTAAAGCAGGCGACTTACTTAAGTTTGCGAGATTTGTCTTGGCGCAACTTTTTGTCAGACTTTTTAATTAAGTATGTACTTGTGGCCAGAAACTATAATTAAATAACACACTTTCTTTACTAGAGGTTTCCGTCTAAATTTAAATAATATTTTACTTGCCCTGTTTAAATATAAATTCCACTTCTCCTTCATAGATTTTTTTAGAGTCATTTATTGTTTAGTTGAAAAAAAAATAAAAACAACTATAAAAATAAGCCCCAACGAGAAATAGCAAATTTAAATTCAAACATCTTCAGGTTTTCCAAATAACTGGTTGATCCGAAGGAACACTATTTCATCGAATTCAAAACTAAATAACTTCAATGGAGTTTCATACTAAAAAAATGAGACATTTTAAAAAAAAATCTCACTACTGAATCACCCCCCTCAAAAAATAATATTAAGAAAACTTAAATTTTCTCTAAAACGGAGTTTTCTGTTTACTTGAGTAAATCATATTTTTACGGTGATGCGTTTGAAAGCCAGATATAGAAATGCACAAAACACACCCCAGCGAATTTCACCCACGTGTGTGCGCGGAACTTTCAAACATTGCCTGATTATTCAAGTCGGTGAGCATGAGATTGTGTCTGTGCACACGTTGATATTATATGCGAGTGAGCCCGCGGCGATCTCCTATCGATTTTCCAGCGGCCTCTGGAGAATTTATTGCACCACGAAATGGAGAAGAAGAGTCGCGGCGCACACGGGAGAAAAAAAAAATAATTCTCTGCTGCAACACAAAGGAGCAGGGCTCGTGTGTGCACCCGAAGTGCACGCGGGAAGCTTCCAGATACAGAGTCGTAAAATGGAACTCGAGGCGCGCACGCACTCGACCCAGAAAGGCAAGTGAGGCCAATTAAGATTTTTCGGCGGCCACTTCCTGAAAATATTCCTCAGGATCGTAATTACTCCAGGGGTAAGAATCTAAATTTTTTTATTGTTCGTCTACGTGCAGCGCAACGTGATGCAATATTCGAACGCCCAGCCTTAAACAATCGAGCACAAGGTTGCAGGAAGCAGAGATACGTGTTTAATTTTTGCACATATAACTTCACAAATACCATTTTAAAAATTTTTATAGTTAACTTTTGGAGCCATGTAATTTATACATTATTTTTTTAGTATGGAAGTTATTTAAATAAATTTCAATATAAAATTGATCATATAATTTTGTGGAAGTTAAGAAATCGTTGTAAAAATAGTTTTCATTCAAAAACAAAACGGCTCTACCAGTTTTGGCCACGATCTGTGACGCTATGTCATGAGCAAGAAAATTACAAAAAAATAAGCAAATTCAATAAATTAAATAAATAATTTACAAAATTTGCATTTTTTTTTTCATTACGTTGAATGAAGAAAATTAATTTAAAATATAATAAGAATAAATAAATAAGAATATTATTTATTATGCTTATCTATGAACCTTATTTAGAGTTCTTTATAGATTTAATTAATTCTCATTTATTTCCCCTTAAATGCAAGAGAACACAAATTTGAAAGCCCGAGTCTCGCAACGTGAAAATAAAATCTCTAATCGAAGGATACTTTGATTTTTGTTTTCCTTCTGATAAATTAAATTATGCAGCCAGCTTTAAAACTTCTTGGGTTAGGTAATGGTCGCTCGGAATTTGAGATCCGTCTGCGAAAAAAACACCCAGTCTGAAAGCCGAGAATGCGGATGGCGGAAAAATGCAGCGTGTCGCGCAGTGCTCGAAAAAAAAGCAGCAAAAATTATTCCGAGCGGTGCACCGAGACGTCAGCAAGTTTGCTACGGCTTCGCACACGGGGAACGTGCCAGTGAAAACAACAAAGGCGTGCATAACCAACTCTGAATTGCGTACTTGCAAATATAAACTACTTTTGCCATTCAATCGCACTGCGCTGTCTGGTATTGTGATGCCGATTTCTATAGCAAGTGGCGGCGGCGTCGTTTTGATTAGATCAGCCAACTTTGTTGTGCAAGGCCGGAATTTTTACGATCTGCTGACTGATAATAAAATTGTAATCGTAAAAACTGCCGATAAAAACTTTCGATTTGATAATTTCTGGAGCAAAAAACAATCAAAACAACTTTTGGCACGTTTTTTCATGCGTTTTTCAATTCACTAAGTTTGTCAAATCATCGTGTTTTTTATTAATATTTTATTGATTTTTGCCCCTTGCAATTTTTTTTAAACAAAAATTTCAAATTTGTCCAGTGTGGAGAACATTGCAGTTTTTTTACCCAAAAAATAAAACACCGAGAGAATTAAATTTGATTTTGGTAGAATTTCACTATCGAGGGATGATTCATCGGGATTTGAATATTTTTATAATCGGCTTTGTGACATGTTCATTTTTTTTTAAATTTATCAATAAACAACTCACAAAACCCATCGAGGAAAAGCCGATTTTAAATTTTAGTCACCAATTAAATTTGAATTTAAACTCGCCAAAATCACACCAACTTTAATGAATGAAAAATCACTCATTAGGCGGCTAATTTTTTTCCGCTTTGTTGTTCGGCGTGATTTTTTTTCAAGCTAATTTGCGAGTGAGTGAACTTGATTGTTGGTGGCTGTGAATTGAGCAGCTTGGCGGTTTACTCGGGACAGGAGTTGGTGTTTGAAATGCGCAAAAAACCAGTCGGGCCAGCACGACGAACGAACGAAGCACGTGACCCGCGGCTCGGATGGCTCTCGCGTACAATCGGACGCACGGAATAACAACAAGCAACGCAAATAAAACACTCGGAATTCCTCACTGAAAAGCACAAGAGAAAGAAGTAAACATACTCTCTCGCATTCTTTCCAAATTTCTCACACAAAATATTTTCGGACAGGCTTAATTCGGGAAAATGATTCACAAAATTAAGTCCTCTAGAATAATTATTTTTAATTCAATAAATATTGTTCAAACTAATTAGTTTCATTAGCAACGTAAATCATCTTGAAATTGCAAAAAAAAAAACAATTTCTCAATAGAAAATAAATATAAAAAAATTGTTCAATTTTATTTTTCATTCGGTAAAAATGATTACCTATTACCCTTTATTTATTGATGAGAGTTTTCGGGCTAATTTTTTTACTAATTGTAAGCGAATCCTGCCAATCGAGGGAGATTTTGCACCCACATTGAAACCTGATCTCCTCGTCCTGTGCAAGTTCCAAGTTCGCTTTAATACACCACTATAAACCGTAAAGTACTTAAAATTACATAATTTTGATTTAGCAAAAAATTGAAAATTTTCAAATTTCCAATAGAATTTGACCATGCATTGGTCATAAAACCAAATTTTCTCTAATCTCTAACTTTCAACTTTCGGTGTTTTTTTAAGTGGTTTCAGGCGCCAAAACACTCTGACGTTTGACTTTTTCAAAATCATTTCACTCAGAGCAATAAAAATACAGGTTTGAGGGCTGAAAAATGGGCAAAAGTCGAAAAGTGGAGTGTCAAGGGTGGCAACCCTCGTGGGTTTGTTGTTGTTTTCTTACCTGACGTTGCTCTCAGCACCAGCTTTAGGCTCCACCCGCACTCGAATTCGAATCCGGGCCCGAGAAAAGTGGTCGCAGAGCGCAAATCATGGTCAATCAAGGGTCACGCACTGAATGTCAGAGGTCGCAGGGTGGTTTTTCGGAACTGTGGAATCCGCCCCGTTTTCCAAAAGCACGCTGCGCACTGAGCAGAACGAACTCGCAACACTGCACTGACTCGCAAGCTGCTCGAACCAAAACCAAACTGGCGCACAAAAACATTCCCACCCGTGTGCGTCGTAGTAGCTGATCATGAACGAATGGCAGCGGCGGGCGAGGGGAGGGCCCCCTCCCTTCTTACCGCCCCCCTGCCGCCGACGTTTGTTGTGGCGCTCAAACAGCCGCCCTGCGTCGCCGCCGCCGCCGCGCCTTTTCTCTTGTAGCTGTAATTTTATTATAGGTAAAGATCCGCAGCTGCATCACAAGGCGGAGAATCCTTACAATGCACTTTCGCACTTAAGCCGACATTTTCTAGCGAAATTTTATCAATTATAATGAACCTCCCAGAAGGCGGTTAGTTTTCACTGAAAACTTTATTTTTTATTTATAAAGTTATAAAAGTCTATATCAGGTTTATATACAATGTTCTTATAGGAAATAGTTCTTTTTACCTTCCTATATTTTACCCATTTTTATTTACATAAGCAAAGAGCACTCAAACTTAATTGATGTTTAAATGTTTTATTTTAATGATTATTAATGACTTCACAAAATTTATATTTAACACAACATGCACTTTCACTGGCTGAAAACACGGCCCATTTCAGGACATTTTATATCTTTTAGGAGATCATTTGCATTTCTCTCACAATCAGGCGTGAAATAGAATACAGCGGAATACAGAATAAAGAGATACTATTTCTAGCTTTCGAAAAGTGATTTTTTTTAATTACTGGATGTTCCAACTCACTTTGAATTTTAAAAAACTTTTCCAGTCAAGTATGATTAATTAATTTGTTTCATACACTACTTCTAAAGATTATATTTTATATTTAAATCAATTCACAATTCATATATTGTAAAATATTTCTCCGAAAAGTTCAAAATTTTTTTAAACTCCAAGTTGTGGAAAAATTTTATTTTTTTTAGGGAATTTTTAGGGAAATTCCTAATTGCATGCTTACTTTGAAACCAACCTTTAAAGAACTCCCATTATAGGGATTATTTTTAAGTAAAAGAATTTGAGATTGGAGCGCGTAAAACTTGAAAATCGAAAAATAAATATAGAATAATGAGCACCTGTAATATTTAAATAGTCTGGGAAATAGAAAAATACAAGCTGGCTGTAAATGACTCACGACACGCGCAACCGGTTGCATACATTGTAATCCTCCACGCTGAAAGCACATCATTATTTTTTCTGCCCATTTTGTTATGATGATATTCGTCAGCGGAGAAAAATGCGCTGTCGGCGCGCGTCCACTTCATTTAGCACGAGCCCCTGCTCTCGAACGCATTACGTACATTTTAGGGGAATAAACGCAGGAAAGCGTGTAAGTGACTCGGTGTTCGCTGGGAATGACTGGCTGAGCGCCATTTATCCCATCACCTGTCCGTCAAATTGTTATTGCATTACGCGCGGGGCGATGTTACATGAGCGCACGTCCATTATTCCAAGAGCGCACTCCAAGCTAGACACCGTGAAATTGTAACTTGCGACCGGTAATGACACACCAGCCACCTAATTACACCACTTTTACCCACCGAAAGAAAGTACCGAGCGACAAAAATACACAACAGAATAATAGTATGTATTTTGTTCGTGCGCGAAACGAAAAACGGCCCTTTGCCACGCGTGTTTTGTGACAAAAGGAAAACGTGCATATGGTTGAGCCTCACATGTGAATTTGATATCAAGAGTCCACAATCACGAAGTACCTCATGCTGGGAGACTTTTATCTTGGGTTTCTGTCATTGACCCTCCACGTTTTTCCACGTGCAAACACAAATTTCAACTTGTAAAAAAAATGTGTGTAATTTAAGTATTATGTTCTCGCTTATTAATAAAGAATTTAGTTAATTACAATTGTATGAATATAGCATACATATTACTGGAATTAAATAATGGACATAAAAGATATAACTGAAAAACATATTCTCTGAAAATGGCCTACAATAAAATGAGATCGTTTCAAATCGTAAAACTCTGGCCCAGCAGGGCAAGTCCTTGACTTCAGTTCTGGCTCGCCAAACATTGGTGCATTTAACTCAATATACCTGTTTCACATTAAAGGCCAAATTAATTTAATTTTTAATTTATTAATTAAAATTATATCTTTAAATTAATTAATATATCCTCACATTCACCTAATTAAACAAAAAATATTTACAGAAAAGATTTTTATTGTTAAAAATCTTGGCAAAGTTATCTAGTTTTCAATTTTACAAATTTTACGAGAGTGACTTCAAACAGTTTCGCTGTATTTTTAAACAGTAGTAAACTAAAGTACTCTCTTAAAACTAATATTTATTTACAGTATTGGCTCAATTCCCTGACTCAATAAAAAGAAAACGCTATGGTTAAAGTTTTATTTTCTTTACTTCCTTGAGCAGTAAAACTAAAGTGTGTGAATAAAATGTTCAATAAACAAATACCAGATGAAATTATGTTGTGTCCCCGGGGAGGCTTACTTAAGGGCCCGCAAATCTCTCCAAAGCGCATTAAATTTGGCTCCCACGATGAGGATTTCGAATTCTGAGAAAGGAGCTAGGTCTGCTTTTTCTCTGGAGTGAAGAAAACAAGCAAAATATAGAGAAAAGATCTAATCCTTAGGAAAATATAGAAAATTCAGTGTGTGGTCTTCCTGGAGCCAGAAAGCATTCTCTGAATTCTGTCCACTTGACCAGTTTCTTTCAAAATGTGATCCAGCAGCGATTTCTCCCGAAAACAAACATTTTCAACATGCACGTGTATTTTTTCAGGTTTCCAAGAAAAGAAGGACATTTCACGGACAGAATTTCACTCAACCACCTACACGACTGACAAAAGCCGAGGAATTCCCAAGCTCCTTTTTACCTGATCGCATCTCTCTCTCTCCCGCGCTTTTTGCACAAACACAAGTGCATTATTCGACCCCCTCTTGCCTGACAAAGGGGCTGAAAACATTATTTTGGCGTCTTCCCAGAAAAAATCACGCAGGTAAATGCATTTTCTCAGTGAGGCAGACATGAGCTGCTGTCTTTTCACGCACAGACCAGGAGATTTGCGGGTAGGGCGCTTTGATCTGCCCCCATGGCTAGGGAGACACTTATATGTACATTTCCCTGCGCACAAAAACAACATGCACCTTAGCAACAATTTTTGGCCATAAAGCTATAAATCTGAGAGGGCGAGAAATTGGGTCCTTTTGTTCCCTGGAAAAAGCACAAAAAGTCTCAGCGCGGAGGGTGATGTTTTTATTGCAGCTCTGGGAAAGGGTTGAGCTCCGCGCGTATGTCTGTCAATTGCTTCATTGAGCATCCGTGTGCATCAGACCGTATGTCGCTCTGGAGCAATAAAAATTTCTCTTTCCCAAAGTTGGGATGTTCTCATGGCCTCGAGGGACGAAAATTTGGACCCTATTGACGGAAATTTAAAAGAACTATAGAAAGAACAAAATTACAGTTAATATTTTTTTAGAACTAAGTATATGTTTTTGTAACCTCAAAATTTTTAGCTTACAAAAAATTAAAGATATTCAATAAAATTTTTCGTAATGAATTGTATAAAAAAAGCATAGTATAATGCACAGTAATTAAAATTTTGTGGATTTCCAAATATTTTCATAATGTTTTTGTGAAATTTAGAATTATTTTCAAATTATAAATTTATATTTTCACCTCCTGATGCATTTTCAATTCTAGCCAATAGAGCACACTGGCTCATTCACCATGCAGTCCATTACGCAAATTGTGCTGTTACATTGTGTCTACATTCATCTGTTTGGTCAGTCATCAAGAAAAGTGCCGGCGCAAGGCAAACACCTGGAATCGGCCTGCAGTTGATGATGACGGAATAAATAAACATAGTTCGCCGCGAGCAAAAAGCTGTTGCGCGATAAACGCGTGCGACCGACGTCATTGTAAAGTAGCCCGAGTATGTCGAGTGATTATTACTATTATTTTATTGTTGGCTGCTTCGTAGATCCGCGAGGAATGCAGCGGAAAATCAATTGCAATTGTTAAAATAAAATTCTGCTAATAGAGAATGACGCAGATACAACTTTTCCCAGGATATAATTTGATGCCAATTAAATGTCTTTCTCTGTGTTCTAAGTTTAATGTGGCGAAGAGATGATTAAAAAAAATATTATAAAAGGGCACAACGTGCGTCACTCCTGACAAGATGCATCAGTGCGGGAAGGATTTTTTACGTTTTTTTCCAAGAGTACAGAGCTTGGGGTCGGCGCGTGAGGTCAGATGAACCCTTTGCTTTATCACAAGACCCCAATCAACTGGACAACATTTACCGACACAACTGGCTGCTGGTATGTAAATTCACTCTTTTATCAACCGCAGCATCTCCGATTTCAAAATATAACCGAGTTGACATATGGCGGGGGCCATTCTTTGTACTCCAATCAGAACAATAATTATTGAAGTGTGCGCTTCATTTTACCATCTTGATAAACACACAGACCATACTTCAGTTCATTTAATAATTTTTTGCTTCAATTTGGACAGCTGCGGCTTTATGTTGTAAGATTGAAGAGAAATACGTAATTGACAAAAAAAAAATTATTTACAGCTAATAAATTAATATTATTACTTTTAGTGGTGAAAAAATTCTTTTTGAAGTTGTGGCTCATTAAATCTCTATACATATAAGCGCATGTAAGGACAAATTTAAGTTATAAATTTGAAAAAAAAATAATAATAATTAAATGTGGAATAGCATGTAAAATTATTGAAATTTGGAAAAGCAATTATCATAATTCATTTCAATTTTTTTATGCAAATATTTCAATTGCAAAAAAATTCGTTCAAGATTTGACACAAAGAGGCCCGAAAAAAATTTATAGCCGTCTGGTCGTCTGTAACATTATAAAGAGGGACTCGCTATTCCATAGATTTCAAAAAGTAATGGTGCTAGACACGAAAACGCCTTTTGATGTTGCATTGTGCACGCGAAACCGATCAAAAGCAACAGCTTGTGTTCTCCCCGCCTTTGTCCGCCGAAACAAAATTCATCTGCCACTGCACTTCGGCCTGCACTCTCTAGCCCGATTTTATAAAAGTACAATTTTATTTATTGTGCGCAGCCGAGAGATGCATCTGGACCGCGCCGATATCAAAAGCTGTTGCGCTCCACTCTCTTTGATACGCGATTTATTTGGCCGTGTGTAACGGAATAAATCTGCCGGTTTAATTCATCCCCGGCCACCATAAATCACACCCTGCCTTTGTGCAGCAAACGCGACCCGAGAAATTTCGACTTCGGGACGCTCGGCGCGTGAGGGCGATTACGTACCATCTCCGAGAAAGTGTAATAAGTTACAAACTTAAACCAATCTCTCGCCCGTTGCTTAAAAAGAGAAAATATATACGTTTTGGATTCAAACGCCAATAAGCAGTCGAGCGGCGCGTCTCATCAATTTCAATCAACAACTAATTGACAGATATTATGCCCCAATATCCTTCCGAACGGGTCTATTGGCGCAGCACGTGCGTCGCTCATGCAGAAGGAATTGCATTAAAAATTCATTCCACTTACCAATATAATTATATTACCTGCAAATCGAGCTAAGACTGAAAACAATTTCATGGAGGAGAATTTCTGTTTTTTATAAATATACATATCTAAAACAAAATAAATGCAAATTAACCATTTTCAATCTCAACATTTGCTGGAACTAACATTCTAATTTTGAAATATTTAAAATTTAAATAATATCAAACCAAATTGAAAAATTACAGCCTTAGAGAACTTATATAAATAAAATAAACACTTTTCTCAGTGTATCCTGTCCCGTTTGATATGACATGGTGGTACACGATTTTACTTCTAGATCAATTATAGAAAAATTCCTCCTCCGGCAAGTGAAACAGGTACGCAGTTAATCTAAATAAAGTAAAATCTCATAAAACATTTTCGTCGAAAGGCAATTTTGCAATTTTCATTTGCGTGCGCGCCCCGTTCCTCTCCGCCAACAGGTATTCAAATTCAAACTTTCAAACGCATGAGAGACGGTTCAACGTCCGTGCAAACCATTTATTGCGGGAGAGCTTGGCCGGCCCGAATTTTATTTTTATACATATATATTTTATTATTTTCATCGCCCTGCGCGGCTCAAATGAAGCAGAGGGCAGTGTTCGACTTATCTGTCCTGCACGTGCCGGAATAATATTATATGTAGGCCTCGCGCAATTCGCAAGACGTAAATCTGCGCGCAATTTCTCGCAGTCATGCGATGATCTCACTCTTAGCGAGCCGGCCGGCGCTCGTAAAAACAATTGTCTATTGCACTGAAAGACGATATTATGCCCATGGTGTCTGATTTTGCGCTCGGCTTACTTTCCAAACGGCAAGTACACCGTACTTGAAGTATTCATGGTAGAATAATAAAATTGTTCCTAAATAAACGTTTGTACTTACTTTGCAACTAAAATTTTAGATTTTTTTTTCAATTGTTCAAAAAATTTACTTTAAGGGTAGTTGACTTTTCATTCATTTAGGAAATTGGAAAGATGTCAAAGATACCGAAAAATACACTGTTAAGGTGAAACCTAATCATTTGTAAATTAATTTTCAAGCTTTGTTTTCATTTCATGACAAAGTTTCAAATGGGACTAAAAAAACTAAATATTATTTCTAACATAAAATTTAAAAACTGCTTCAATTAATGCCTAAAGTTTTTTTAATAAATAGGATTTTAAATTTGAAAATTATGTTTCTTTTTTTTAATTTCAAAATAATAATTAACTTTTACAGCAAATTTTAACTCATCTTGATCAGGTAAATTTGTGCTGGAAATTTTTCATAATTCATTTTACGCTCGTTGCGCAGCCAGGTTTTATTTTGCGAAAAAGACAGGATGCATTAATCACTTTGAACTCGCTGTCACACTTGCCAACGCCGCCATACGTGCGTGATTATTTATTTGAGCATCAAACAACGCACTTGATCTTTCGCCTGCGTAGTTCGCGTATCAAATTTATTTTATACGCCCACGAAAAACATTGCTGTTTCTCTTGCTTATTTTTGCCATCAAGTCAACGTTGCGTAAAAAATTTTACTGTATAAAAAGCATTATGGGAGAGGTAAATCCAATTTAATGTATTTAGCGCCCACACTCACAGAATTAAAAATTGTGTGTAACGCAGTGGATGTTATGCACTTGGGGTGCTTCTCTAACGCGAATCCGTATATTTATTTACAAGGCGAGAGAACAGTGAGCGTGCCAAAAATTTGAATTTTAAATTTATTGCGTTACAACTGGGGTAATTTTTTATATTGGTATTTTCATTACTACAACTTCATTTAAAATTTATAAATTTTATTTACTGTAATATTCTAATTCATAAAATTGTTTTTGACAAAAAATCTTATTTATTGAATGAATTTATTTTGCTTTGTTTATTTCTTAATGTGAGTGCTTGGTTTTTTTCTTGTATATATAGAGTTTTGTCGTGTTTGTGCGTTGTTGAGTGTATTCCGGTTTTGGTTTTAATTTTTTTTTTTTTTTAGAGAAATTTGATTGAAATTTGAACATTATTATAATGCATTTTCAGGGTATTGGTTTTCACGCTCAGTTTCTGAATTCACGTTAAAACTTCAAAAATTATTTTCTTTAATTTGAAAATTGTCTTGACTTTAACTTCTTTAATAAATTTTATTTCTTTTTAAAATATGATTTCAATAGTTAATGTATAAATTAACCAAACAATCTTGTCTTATGTCAAATAAATGAATATGAAATTTAACTTATTTCTCGTTTGCTTCATTTGTGTCAACTTCTTAGGCATTGGGAACATTTGGAAATTGTTAATTCTCAATTCAATACTTTTCAGTTTGGCGCATAAGAAGATTTACTAAATTATTTCTTATAATTTAAAATTTTCCTCGTTTTAATCCAAAAACTTATAATATATGTACAGATTTATTGGCTATTTAGGGGAGCGTTGGGACATGCACTCGTCGTCGTCAGCAAAGCAGAATGTGCTCGTGGTCAGGGTTCTTTTCGTGGCCGCGGTATTCAAACATTCAGAGTGAGTGTCCGAGTAGGGTGCGCGCTCAAGGAGCAGCGCCCTATGCAGAATGCAAATCGCGCTCTCTGCTGCAGAGCGCGGTCGTTCGTTAATAATAGAAACGCCGCCCGCGATCGAGTCTCTCTGCTTCTTTATTTTGGGCCAGAGGTGACAAAGCAAAGAGCTGCTTTTCCCTCGGCCAGAAATAAAAGGCCGCTGACGAGAAGAATTATCAAGAGTGGCGAGAAAGAGGATCGAAAGGGCACAACACAAATCCAAGAGAAGAGATGCGGAGATAAAGCGACCGAAGCGATTTCGGATCAAATAAAAAATGCATCCTCAATCGAATCTGGATGGTCGCCGCGCTTGATTGCTTCCATTGAGAGGATTTATGTCCACTAAAGCTGATGGACGTCAAGGAAACGAAGAATCTCCATCTTGAAAGAAAGACGGGTTTTCTCTCCGCCTTTGTTTCCTAAACGTATAAATGATATAAACAATACATACATTGTCGTACATAAAAGATTTTCACGGAATTATAAATCTTTACAAAAGCTATATACAAAAGAAATATTTTTATATCAAGTATGATCACCTAGCTTTTATTAAAGAATCTTGGCTCAGTGATCATTTTTAGTGGTTTATAATAATTGATTGGTAATTACTAAAAAATTGGAAATTTTCAAATTTAGTTTTATTTTTGTTTACAATTTCTATATCAGAAAATAAGAATAAGTTTAAGATAAACTTAAATAAGAATAAGAATAAGAAAGAGTACTAATATTTTACAGGCCCATATAAAAAAACGTGCGCTTTTTAATTCAATTTGTGTTTTTTGCAATGATTGAGGCTAATTTTTTTTCGGTTGCCAAATTATCTGCTAATTTGACGTGAGGCAATCAAGTAAGTGTTGGCAAGTCGCATAATTAAGTCATTTGCACTTAGTCGATGTGCGCTCGTCGCACCTGCGTGGTTTTTTTTAATGTTCGTTATTTTATCAACTGCTCGCCAGGAAATTGCGCGCACACACAGCACGCACTAGCAGTTTTTTCTCCAGCATTTAATACTGTTTTATCAATTTGGCGTGTTTTGGACGAATTTATCACACATGCGATTTACTTTTTACCATGTTGTTTTGCTCGCCTGCTGGAAAAAAATTGAAGCCTGCATTTACCCTTTTTAGCAGCAGAAAATAAAGTTTAATTTTTAGAGTAGTGCGGAAAATTAAAATGTAAAAAAATGTAATGAAATTTGGTAATTATTTCTTATTATCTTGAGAAGCGCATGGTGACACATATTTTACTCAATTAAAATACACTTTTCTTTTCCTTCATATCGCTTCATATTAAAAAAGCATTTCTTGAAAAAAAAAATAACAATAATAATTAATAATGATATGATATTTCATTTTGTAAGACACTATTTGCATATGTATATAAAATACAATTCCACTCATATTACGCATCCAAAATTCTCAAGGCTTTTTTTCGCAGGTGCCAATGGCCGAAAACAAGCTGGTCGCCGCCGTTTGTCGCGTCTCTGAAGGAGTGCCGGGCGGAAAGGCAGCACCGCGACGTGTTACGCTGTTTTGCAAAATGCTGCAAATTAACCTTGAAAATGAAGCGCTGAGGCGCCCCAACTTGGCCAGTCATACACATACATATTATACTCGCTGGGTTTGGTGACTTTGGTGTACGCGGCTTGTTTTGCACAGCACTCTCGTATTATATGCGAAATGAACACGTCTTGCTTGTGTGACATGGCCATTTCGTTTCAGTGTTATTTCCATCTCTCCTGCCTACTTTTGTTGCCAAGCGAGAAATGACTTTTAGCGAAATTGGCTTTTACCGCTAAAAGGTTTGCTACAATTTTGCAGTCCAATACAAATAAAGTGATATTGCAGAAGTAAAAATTCCATAATTTAAATTAAAAATATAAAATTCAAATTTACAAAACTCCCACATGTATTCTTATTCATTTTTATACTTAAATTATTATATTATAATTGCTAGCTGCACCATGCAAATAGATTTTTTTATCACAATATTCCAATAATATTACAAATAATATTAAATATCCAAAATTTACACTTATATAATAATTGTGTAACACCTCCAGACCATAAAAACTTTTATATATAAAATAAAAACTATCACTGCAACTGAAAATATAAATCTAATCAATATAATTTATTTTTTTTGCACATATAATTACACTTTCAATTGAATATTCATCAAAATATTTTGTGTGAATATTTTTTGCATTTTTAATTAAAATTTAATTAATGCGCATTCTTAATAATTAAAATTTAAGCTGCGAGTTTTTGGTCGTTTGAATTTGTTTCATCTCAATATAATAAGCCAGTTAAATCCATCTCTCCCATCAACCGCCTCATTTGTCGCTCGAAATGCAAAAGACCGATTGAAATATTGCGTCGTGGATTTTGCCTGGTCATGTCCGGGGTCACGGTCGCTTCAATATATATGAAATAAACCAGACGCTTTTTTGAAAAATCGCGACCTTGCCCACTAGTTGGATGCCAGCCCGTCCGAGGTCTCCTCCTCGCAGACCCATGTGCAGAGAATTCTCAGATGGCACCACTCTCGGGAGTCTCGGGCAGACGGCGAATTATATATTTGTTTTTTTTATTCGCGGCTCCGATGAATAAAAAGCAAGCGAGTGAATAGGGGCAAAGGAAATCGCAGCTGGGCGAAGAATGTCAAATTTCTGAGCGAAATCGTCGCGTGTTGCCCTCGAGTGAGTCAACTGGGTCCAGTTGGAGAGAAATATTCATGAAAATGGCAGCTGAGCACCAAAACGGCGACAGCCACAGCGAGCTGGACATCGCCAATGACCTGACCTACGAGCTGGCTAGAGGTATAAAACTTATCTAAAATTTTGCGTGGGATCGCATTAAAAATTTATGGCTAAGTTCAATAATAACGCTTATATTAAATACTTATTTTAAAAATAAAAATTCCTTGATATTTGTTGATCGCATGAAAAACGTGAAACACTTTATATTTGTTGTGAATTTATTTTTTCATCGTCACAATAAAAATTGTAATTGAATAATAAATATTTAGTGGAACCCTTCTTTAAAAATTTTTGTATTTTTTTTAGAAATAATGCAAGCGTTGATTGACGCCCTGAGTGAACCGGAAAACGTAAAGATGCTGAAAGAAATCAGAGATGATTGCAAAAACGACGCCCTTCGAGTGATGGTCTACGTCTATCCTCAAGTAGTTTCCATCAAAATTAAAGCGATTGAGAAGTACGGAGTCCACGGGGCACAAGGTAGAAAGATCACTAAAATATCCTGTCTTCAATAAAATATTTTTCAAATTATTTTAGGTTTAATTAGATTCATAACGCACATAAAAGAGATGATGAAGCTGGACCCAGAGCTTTTGCAGCTCTACAGACAGCTCCAGGCGAAGTCGTTTTTGTTCGACAGCAGTCAACTTTCCTCCTCTGGTTCCTCAAACAATAACCCCCAGGGGCCATCAATAAGCCAAGTCTAACAGCAGATTTTAATATATATTTTTTGTAAATTATTTATTCCCTGTCTTGGTTTCACTCCTGCATTTTCACATGACGGTGTATTGATGTAACTTTATACTAAAAAATTCAAAATGCATAAAAATAACAATGGAACCAGTAAGATTACTTAAAAATGTCGTTCTTGAAATGTAGAATTATTATGATCTGGAAAAATGTGATGTTGAAAATAATTTCTGTTTAGAAAAAATGACTTAATTTTTCGTTACCGCTTGAAATGAAAAATAAAAAAGTAATATGCGCAAAAACGTTTCTCATGAAAAAAATTGTTTTGATTAAAAATATATTCCTTATCTAGAAAATTTTAAAAAGCGACATTAATTTATTTTTTATTTTGCAAAATTTTTTTGTTTTGTGGTCCAAGTAATAATTAAATTATATTCTCATTGAAAAATATAGTGGATGCTTGTACCCCTGCCATACAATTGTGTAGGCAATCTGTTTGTCTCAGCTCTGCGCCTGGTTGCATAATGAATCACGTGCCCAGGGGCAAACAAGTTCAAGCACGTCGATCTCCTGTTTTTCTTGTCAGCTGGAGTAGAGCCGCGGCTGCATGGCGACCGGCGTCCACTCGTTCTCCGCATTTCACCTGAGAAATTTTCACAGATTCCAGCACCACATTTCCAAGAGGCCATCAGGGAATTTTTCCAAAGCAGTCGACTTTGGAAATCCAAGCCGTGAACCGCAAAACAGACGTTCCTTCAGCCACAAAACCATGTCGAATTTGGACCAAGCCAAAACCATCGCCGCCGAAAAGGCTGTGCACGAATACGTCAAGGTGATTTTGCACTTTTAAAGTTTTTCTATGATGAAAATACTGAAACGGAATTTAATTAAAGGACAAAATGTGTCTGGGCGTTGGAAGCGGGTCCACTGTTGCTCTTGCCGTTCGCGTTCTTGGTATAAAAGCAATAAAAAAATATGTAAATCACAAATAAGATTTTAATTAATTCATCTTTTTAATCCACAGCCGACAAGATTCACAAGGAAAAATTGCACGTGATCTGCATTCCTACCTCTTTTCAAGCTCGCCAGTTGATTCTGGAAAACAATTTAATCCTCGGTGATCTCAACTCGCATCCAAAAGTAATAAGGAAAAAAATATAAATTTCAATAAATTTATTTATTTTACTTTTTTTTTAATTTCTCAGTTGGATGTGGCCATAGACGGTGCTGATGAGTGTGATGCAAACCTGACCCTGATTAAGGGTGGAGGCGGCTGTCTTGCCCAAGAGAAGGTTGTTGCTTCCTGTGCCGAGCAATTCATCGTCATTGCCGACCACACGTAATGAATTATTTAAAATACGTGAATATAAATAATAATTTTCGTCATCCTTGTGCTTAGGAAGAAAAGCTCCAAGCTAGGAGAAAAGTGGTCTAAAGGTGTGCCAATTGAGGTTCTGCCCTGCGGATATACTCCCGTTGCCAACAAAATCCAGGAACTCTTCGGTGGTGTTGCCGAATTGCGAATGGCCAAAATGAAGGCTGTATGTTTTTATATTCATTGTAAATTCCAAATTTACAAAATTTAATTTATGCTTTTTTAGGGCCCTGTTGTTACGGACAATGGAAATTTCATTCTCGATTGGAAATTCTCGACTGACAAAATTTTTGATTGGGAAAAAACCAACACAGCGATCAAAATGATTCCAGGTATAACCTTTGTAATTTTTGAATTTAAATTTTTAGCCCATTTTTTTTAAAGGCGTTGTCGAGACGGGACTCTTTGTTGGCATGGCAAAGAAGGCTTACTTTGGAATGGAGGACGGTTCTGTTTCCACAATCTAAAATCTCAATAAAAAGGTTCCTGCCGAATTGGTAAATATTATCTCCATGGCACTTTAAATGAAATTTGTAAAAGTCTAAAAAATCAAGATTTATTTTTGTCAAACATTATAAGAAGCATTCTGTGAGCAAAAACTAAATACACGCACAAACAGTATAGTGCTTGGAATATATGGTCTACAAAATCTAAAATTGAGTAATTCCTTAATATCACATTTAAAGCTTGAGGAAAATAGCTTTTTCACCACAGCACCCATGGTGGCTGGTTCATTTTGTTCAGTGGAACATTGGTGAGGTTAGCTGGAATGTTGATCAGGGCGTAGTTTTTCCCTAGCTTTTCAAGACCTTTTCTTATGAAGTTTCTATTTTTAAAATAATGGGTTTTAATAAATATTAAAAAAAAGGGAAATTGTCATGTGGTCTTACCCATTTTTCCCCAGCAAAAATCCAGCTGGGATGCTTGTGTCTCTGCCTGTGGTGTCGTCAATCATTTCTATGTAGAAACTTTCCTCCTCAGGGTCATAATCACAGATTACTATGGCAATAGCTCCGGCCCGCTCTGCCGTTACAGCCTTGCTCAAAAATGAGCATTCACTGCGATTAAGAGAAAACACAAAATATTACAACCTTTTCAATATTTTTAAAGTTTCTGCCAAATTTTAACAAAATTATACCCTCTTTCTGCAAGGGCAACGCTTCCTTCTAAGTCTGCTGCATTTTTGGGCCATCCGCACCCGTTTGGTGGGTCGACTGGGACTAGTTTAACACCCTGAGCATAAAAGCTGCTATTCTGAAATAAGTTAAATTTTTTTATATGTTTTTACCTTTCTATTATATTCAGATTAAAACTCACAAAGGTTGGGCCAAAGTCTTTTGCTGGCTTTATTTTGTAGGTATAGCGGAGAACTTTTGGTTCCAAAATCTCAAAGAAAAAGTCATTGCCAATAAAGTCGACCATTCCTCCTCCGTCGAAAGTGTGAGCATTGTTAGCTGAAAATAAACAATTTGTTTATTATCCTCTGTGTTTGGCTCATTGACGCAAATTGTCGTACACATAATATTTTAGATTTTAAATTAATTAATTATAAAATAATTACCTCCTCCATTTATATTGCTGAATAACTGGTTAAATGCGAAAAAAGTTAAAAGCCATGTCTTGACCATCTTTGCCTAATTTAATTAGCAACTGCAAATCTTGTCACTGTTTTTGTTTTTGAGAATTTGGCCAGTACGGGGCGTACATGAACCAGCAGCCAGGTAGGCGAATGCTGTGTCGACGGATGTTTTTAAGTTGTTGGCGGCAAAAGTGGGAGGGTGATGTAGCCGGATGTAGCTGATGTGGTGCCTTGCCTTTTTCGGCTTTCGGCAAGAAACAAATAATAATTATTGTAAATAATATTTTGGTATATACAAGTATCACAACGTTAAATTTGTTTCATATTTTAAAATACCCCTAAGCAGTTGTCGCTTTTATAAAATTAACTAAGCATACAAATATTCATCAATAAAAATGTTTTATTTTAATTAAAGGGGTTTTGCAAAATGAACCAAGTCTATTGATATAAATTTTTCTTTTATTATCAAAATACTTAATCCTAATAAATTATTATAGTACAAATAAGATATTATTTTTCCCCAAAATATTATTGAATATACATTAATAAAGTTATTTGCATATTTTTATTATCTTGCACAGGCAGTAAAAAATAGTTTCAACCAGTTATTAAAGCTCGAATACAGTTTCAAAGCTTCGATCGTGCTGAACGTCTTCTTTTCTGGCAATATTGAACACGACTTTCAAATTTTCCATTTTGCAAACACCATTACCACACGTAACAACGTTGAGTAATATCACAACCTGGGAGTCTTTGTCCGAGGATGGAAATGTCACTTCGACTGACCCGTGAAGCTCTCTGCACTCATCCCTTATCTTCAACTCTCCCTTCTTTGAGTCCACAGTCAAATGGTCTGTTGAAAACACAATAATTTAAGGTAAATTTCTTTTGATACATCAAGCCAAAGTCAAAAATACCTGGTGCCAAAATGCGAAATGAATGTGGAGCATCTTCTGATGCCTTCAAAGGTCCTTTGAATTTCACCAAAAAATTGTAGCTGAGCGTCATTTCTTTATTAGAAATCAACAACGTCGCCTCCTCAACTTTGAGGTATCGAGTCACAGAGTCCACTTCGGTTGAAAAGACAATTGGAAACTGCAATTTAGAAAGTCATAAATTTAAAAAAAAAATTATTTTTGATAATTGTACTTCTTCCAGTTTCCATGTGCTTAGATCTACCGTTTTAATGGTGTGATTGTTGGTGTCTGCTATAAAAATTCTATTATTTGCATCATCAGCGCAAATTCCACCAGGTTCCTTCAGCTGGATAAATAAAAAGAAATGTTAGATCCAAAATTATACCAGATTTCCATGATAATGAAACTTACACTAGTTGCATTTCCAGCAAGATTAATGGTCTCACAGGAATTTTTCTGAACATCAATCTTTTTTATTTTGTTGTTAAAAGTGTCTGCCACAACAGCACACTTAAGACGAGAGCTCCAGCAAACATCGATAGGGTGCTGAAGTTTTGCTTCAATGCCCTTGCCATCCTTGTCTCCGTAGGCAAACAGGTTCTGTTAAAAATATTTTTTTTTAAGGTTTCAATAAAATAGAAAAATAAATAAGGTTATCTTACATTTGGGTTCTTTTCTGCTCCTACAACTCCAGAAACTGCCCCGCCGTCAAGAAGAATTTTCCTTACGCTAGAGCTCTCCGAATCTGCCACTAGCAGGCAGTCCGACTTATTCCCGCTGAGGGCCAAACCCGATGGCTGGGCAAAAGCAGCAATGTGGGGGTATGAGTTGTTGCGATTTTCCTCCCTGCCACTGCCAGCAAGCGCAACACAGTATCCTTTTTTCACAGACCTGTCAAAGTGCAGAATTTTTCAAATAATTTATGTGTACAATTTCAAATATACATTTCTAAAAACTTGAAAAAGCAAAAAATGAATTGAATTGAATTACTTTTTCCAAATTTTGGTATCTTCAAGAGCTAGCCCCCAGATTTGGTGATTTCCAGCCATGGCAATAAACAGAAGTTTCTTTTTAGGTTCCAATGCCAGGCCCCAGGGTGAATTGAGTTGCTGCTTCGTTGCCAGCACCGAGCCTCCAACTCTGTCACTGCCGATTTTTCCCGTTCCAGCCACTGTAGACACTTGACAATTTTTCAGGTCAACCTAGGATAATTATTTGAATTTAAGTTTTGGTTTAAATTTAGAAGGAGATTACATACCATGCGGATGGCGTGATTTTCCGTGTCAGCCACATAGGCAATGTCTTCGTCCGCAAATAAAACTCCCTGCGGAAAGAAAAATTTTGCTTCCAAGAAATTGCCATCTGTTAGCCCTGAGTCTCCACTGCCGATTTTAGCCTCCACTCGTCCAGAATTTGAATCGACCAAGAGCAGACGGTGGTGTCCAGAATCGGAGATCAAAAGCTTTCGTCCTTGCACTGCGACTCGACCAGGAAAGAAAAGTCCAGTGGATGGAGACAAATGTAGGCGAGCTGAAATTACTGGCACACTAGCAGTTGATATTTTGTCTTTGAAAAAATCCAAAGCAGCTTCGACCATCAAGTCCAGAGTGGATGTGTGACCTTCGCCCATCAGGATGAAGAGAGGGATATTTCCTGGGCCTAAATTTGCAATAAATTAATTCTTTAGATTTGGTTTCAATTTACAAAGTTTGATTTTTTTTTTTAAAAAATACCAATAAGAACAAGTGAAGGCCAGCAAGCAATCTGAAGTTGATTCCAAAGGACCATTCCATCGTTGACGACAGGGTGGTGAATTTCGTGGCGCAGGACAGCTGCCTCGACATTCTTGGACAGCTTTTCTGCTTCAAATTTAGCGCTGTGGACCCCAATCTATAATAATTTTGGATAATTTAGTCTTATGAAATCTCTTTAGTAACTGCAACCAACCACAACTAAGCCTTTCTGGACCGAATACTTTTCCTCCAGTCTCTTTATCTCTGGAAGAACGTGCAGACAGTTGATGCAGCAATAGGTGAAAAAGTCCAGAAGGACCAGTTTGTCCTTAAGATGCTTCTCCAAGGACAGAGGCTCGCTGACGTTGAACCACTCAAGGCCTTCTCGAAAATCAGGCGAATGTTCGACTTGTTTCGAGTTCAGGAGCTGTTTGATGTATTTCTGAACGAGCAGGATTTTTCCTTGGTGGGATTCGATGTCGGCCAAATTTTCGGCTAGATCAGCACTAAATTCGTAGACCAAATCCATGGCGTATGATGCAAGGTTCGAAGGGAAACTAAAATATGAAGGAAAGGCAAAGTCCTAGGCGGTAAAAATCTATATAATAAAGATGAGTCTCTGTCATTTAAAGACGCTAATATTAAAATGCGTAATGTCATATGTATCTGAAGAAAAAAAATTTCAGTCGATTCCTATTGTCGATAGGTGCTATATTTTGCCCCGAAATGTAAGGAAACGGGCGCGCCGGTGAGCCAGGTGTGAGCAAATATGTATGTATATGTACATAAGTATTTTAGGTGGGGGCGAAATATGACTTTTTAATCCAACCAACTTAATTAATCCTATACCTTTGCCAGAATGTTAAATTTCCAAAGTCGCTTTTTGGTCATCCACGGTCCCAGCAGGCCCCAAAAGTCCTCCGTGGAAAAGAAAATCTGCCTGCCAGTTTCCTTGCAGATCATCCACGTTCATTTTCTAACAATTTGCTGCGCTGCTTATGCATGTCTTTCAAATGAATTAAAAGCAAAGACCGAAGCAGAGGACCGAGAACGAAAAGCTTGACGAAAAGTATAATTTGGAAGGAAAAGATTTTCGCAGCTGTGCAGATTCAGTCAGATGTTTGTTTTTCTTCAAAAGCGGTCGGGAGAAAGTGGAGAAACCTCGAAACCAAACCCCGCCTCCACAGCGTGCCAGTGGTGCCAGTAAAAGGGGGCGTGCCACGCCACTACGCCCCCTTAGGTCCTTCAGTGTGGTTCTGGTGAGGATATATATAATTATGGTGATTGGTGATGAGGATGCACAATCATGTTTATTTTTTTAAATACATAACTATGCGAAATGCAATAAATGCATCATTCCTTTTCGTTTTGATTCTTCATGATTTCAAGATTATATTCTATTCTTCAGGTGCACACGAGGTATACGACATATTTCAAATTAATTATTTGATGAATTATAAAATTTGCGTTCACCATAGTGAATTTAAAAATTTGTGTTGTTTTTGTAACAGAAGTCTTTGCCTTGATAGCGTCAGCTAATAAATAAAGGAATACTTATTTAGAAAAACACAAGGCTTAATTGCGACTATATAGCTTAGATGGGACTGATTTTAATGCTGCATGAGAGATACAATAAAGCTTCAGGGCCTCCATTTGGGCAGGCGGATCACGAGACAGGGTTGGTACGGCATAGGCAGGCTAGCAGATGGGCGGCTGAGAGTCGGGCGTAGCAGGCTTGTTGGTGTTTTCAAGTTCCACTGTCAGAGGGACTGAAGAGGCAGTCAGTCGGAGCACTGCCCTACCGAGCAAGGAGGACTTGAAGGCTGCTACGATACGAAGGTCGTGTTCCTCCTTGCTCAGTTTTTGCCGCTTGGCAGCCACCTCCTCTTCAAACTTATTTTTCTCTTCCTCGAACGCCTCCCTCTCCTTCAAAAGCTCAATCTCCCTGCGTTCAAGATCATCCCTCGTTCAGCAGCTGCTTCTCCAGGTCAAGACAGCGGTCTGGCCTACCTCCTGCAGCTCCCTCTCCAAACGCTCCGCTCGAATTTCATCTTCAAGCTGAGGGAGCCCTTGCATACACAGAGATTGAAGTTTGCCTCCATACTCTCTGGTCCCTAATCAAATGGAAAAGTTTAACACGTTTGCTTGAATTTCAATTGTTATTTCTCAGATTTACCCCAGCTTGGTGACGCTGCTTTTCCGTTCTTCACAAGCAGCACGAAACTAATTTTGTTGGGGAGGGACGAGAGGTGGCCTTGGATCACCAAAGACTTGAAGGTGTCGCTCAGGAAGCTCAGGTCGACAGTGCCTATATTGTCGGCATACTTGATGGTCTCGATGCCGACCTAGGAGCGCTCTTTGGCTAAGGCAATGATCTCGTCGATTAACTGAGCACCCTCTGTTAATGCATTGAATAAATAAAAGTTGAATTCTGTGAATCATTAGGAATTTCAGAAACTTACTGAGCCCAAAGTCTATGGTGTCCGGGTGTTCACACTTTGTTTTCCACCACAATTAGGAGAGCTACGCAGGCGCTCATCTCTTGGTGCAGATCTTGTTCTCTTTCCTGGGGACGCATCAAGTGTCCTACCAGGGAATCCGAAACATGATCAATTGGAATTCTGAACTTCAGGGGACAATTTTGAAGAGACATGTTGACGTTCAGAATGGAGAAAGAGCAATGAATTTTAGTTTGAAAATTCTGATTGTTGCACAAGCGGAAAAACCGTTTTCTTCTTCAAAGTTTTCAAACAAGTCTCCATGACGACGACAACAATCGAATTTTTGCATGAATATATAAAATTCATATTACATACCGTTATGAATATCAATAAAATATGTGGTTGCATATTAAAACTTCATTAAAATTTTAAAATAGCAGCCACGGTTGAGCTCCAAAATCTGTCCTGCGGTTGGGCGAAAACGAAAAGAATGCTTAAGATGATATAGATAATAATAAATAACTGTACATTGTTTATTTTTAAACAAAAAAATTTACGTACATGCATACGTATTCAAGAGCATACATAATTAATTTGCGAGTGCTTAAATATCATAATGATATTAATTAACGGTGTAATTAAGGAATTGTGTTTTATGTGTTTATAACAGTTAACAATTCTATTCATTCGTTGGCGCATGTATTTATAGTTAAATTTTGCTTCCAAAACTCTGTACAAAATTCAATAAAAAAATCTTCAAACCCTAAAATTAAAACAAGCAATGGGATATCTACTAAATCTTCCAAATTATTCTTTTAAATTCAAATTAATAATCCAACTTTAAGCTCAACTCGAAACTCCAATTGAACAGGCTTACCGCTCAAAAGTAAACAAAAACAATTTTATTTCGCGAATCCGCATCTATGAGACGTCGAAATAATCAAAAATCCACTTTCGCCACCGCAATGCATGAGAAAAGACCATGCTGGGTTTAGGAATATAGGGGGAATATATGGAATCAATGGAAAAAGAAACGGTCAATATTATATAATATTAATTTAAATAGGTTTTATTATTTCCTACACAGAAAACTTGCAAAATCGTGTTTAAAGGTCACAGGTCACCGAGGTCAATGACCTTAGGTGACCTGACCTTCTTAACTGATACATGGTTGGATGCAGAAAGTCAAGACAAACACATTTTGTCATTACACAATTTGTCGTTTCTGTAACAGAAACAGAGTTATCGCTGGTTGAAAATTTATTTCTATTGCGGAAAAGTGATTTTTCACTGTTTTTTTATATTTAGTTAGTATTATAAATTTAACAGTAAAAGTTACCATTCCGAAAATCAAGTATTTTGTTCTACACACTTGGGGCTACATTTTTTCCTATACTGCGAAAAAAATCTGAGGGGTGCTTCTTTGCGAAAATTGCGTTTAAAAGTGAAATTTGTAATTTAGTGACCTTGACCTTTGACCTACGCAAAATTTGTCAACGGCAAAGTTGTCGGGCGTAAAAAGTTACGTCTGAACGTGAAAAGAGCATACGTTTATTCTTAGTAGGAGCAGAGATATTGGTATTTTAGTGTTTTTGGAAAAATCTGATTTCCCGGAAAAGCACCGAATATTTTTAGCTGAAAATTTGGGAGGAAGCACCTTTTTCCAACCCCAACAACATACATGAATTTCAAAATGGTAACTTTTCATCAACAATCACACCCAAATCATTCCTGGATCCACCATCAATATATAAATATGATGATTATTATTAAAAAAAAAAAAAAATGTCCTGAATGCACTAGGGATGAAGCTTTTTTGTTACATTGGCACTTAAACAGTCCGAAGTATTGAAAAAAGTTACTTTTCCAGTCGTGGGTCTCCAAAATTTGGGAACCCACGACTTAAACGGACCTTAATTTTGAAAAAAGTTACTTTTCCAGTCGTGGGTCTCCAAAATTTGGGAACCCACGACTTAAACGGACCTTAATTTTGAAAAAAGTTGCTTTCCCAGTTGTCGGTCTCCAAAATTTGGGGACCCACGACTTTAACAGACCTTAATTTTAAAAAAAGTTACTTTCCAAGTCGTGGGTCTCCAAAATTTGGGGACCCACGACTTAAACAGACCTTAATTTTGAAAAAAGTTACTTTTCCAGTTGTGGGTCTCCAAAATTTGGGAAACCCGCGACTTAAACAGACCATATAATTTTGAAAAAAGTTACTTTTCCAGTCGTGAGTCTCCAAAATTTGGGAACCCACGACTTAAACAGACCATAATTTTGAAAAAAGTTGCTTTTCCAGTTGGGGGTCTCCGAAATTTGGGAACCCACGACTTAAACAGACCTTAATTTTGAAAAAAGTTGCTTTTCCAGTTGGGGGTCTCCGAAATTTGGGAACCCACGACTTAAACAGACCTTAATTTTGAAAAAAGTTGCTTTTCCAGTTGTGGGTCTCCAAAATTTGGGAACCCACGACTTAAACAGACCTTAATTTTGAAAAAAGTTGCGTTTCCAGTCGTGGTCTCCAAAATTTGGGTACCCACGTCTTAAATAGACCATAATTTTGAAAAAAGTTACTTTTCCAGTCGTGGGTCTCCAAAATTTGGGAACCCACGACTTAAACGGACCTTAATTTTGAAAAAAGTTACTTTTCCAGTCGTGGGTCTCCAAAATTTGGGAACCCACGACTTAAACGGACCTTAATTTTGAAAAAAGTTGCTTTCCCAGTTGTCGGTCTCCAAAATTTGGGGACCCACGACTTTAACAGACCTTAATTTCAAAAAAAGTTACTTTCCAAGTCGTAGGTCTCCAAAATTTGGGGACCCACGACTTAAACAGACCTTAATTTTGAAAAAAGTTTCTTTTCCAGTCGTGGGTCTCCAAAATTTGGGAACCCACGACTTAAACAGACCTTAATTTTGAAAAAAGTTGCTTTTCCAGTCGTGGGTCTCCAAAATTTGGGAACCCACGACTTAAACAGACCTTAATTTTGAAAAAAGTTGCTTTTTCAGTTGTGGGTCTCCAAAATTAGGGAACCCACGACTTTAACAGACCTTAATTTTGAAAAAAGTTGCTTTTCCAGTTGTGGGTCTCCAAAATTTGGGAACCCACGACTTAAACAGACCTTAATTTTGAAAAAAGTTGCGTTTCCAGTCGTGGTCTCCAAAATTTGGGTACCCACGTCTTAAGTAGACCATAATTCTGAAAAAAGTTACTTTTCCAGTCGTGGGTCTCCAAAATTTGGGAACCCGCGACTTAAACAGACCTTAATTTTTAAAAAAGTTGCTTTACCAGTTGTGGGTCTCCAAAATTTGGGAACCCACGACTTAAACAGACCTTAATTTTGAAAAAAGTTACTTTTCTAGTCGTGGGTCTCCAAAATTTCGGGACCCACGACTTAAACAGACCTTAATTTTAAAAAAAGTTTTTTTTCTAGACGTGGGTCTCCAAAATTTGGGGACCCACGACTTAAACGGACCTTCATTATGAAAAAAGTTGCTTTTCCAGTCGTGGGTCTCTAAATTTTCGATCCACGACTAAATTTAGTGTCTTTCATTTCGAAAAAATTGGCATTTATAGTCGTTGGTCTCTAAATTTTAGAGACCCACGACTGTCGAAGCGAATATTTTCAAAAATAACGTTTTCAAACAGTCGTGGGTCCATAAAATTTAGAGACCCACGACTGTTAAAAGACCTTACTTTTTAAAATATTTGCTATGACAGTCATATGAGTCTCTATATTTTAGAGACCCACGACTGTCGAAAAGAACATTTTAAAATTAAGGTCTGTAAACAGTCGTAGGTCCCTAAAATTAAGAGACCTTAATTTTGAAAATATTTGCTATGACAGTCGTGGGTCTCTAAAATTTAGAGACCCACGACTAAACAGACCTTCATTTCGAAAAAATTGGCATGTATAGTCGTTGGTCTTGAAAATTTAGAGACCCACGACTGTCGAAGGGAAAATTTTCAAAATTTAGGTCTTCAAACATTACAGTCGTGGGTCCCAAAAATTTGAGACCCACATCTGTTAAAAGACCTTCCTTTTGAAAATACTTGCCGACAGTCGTGGGTCTCTAAAAATTAGAGACCCACGACTGTCGAAGAGAATATTTTCAAAATTAACGTCTTCAAACAGTCGTCGTCGGTCCCAAAAATTTAGAGACACACGACTGATATAAGACCTTAATTTTGAAAATACCTGCAAGGACAGTCGTGGGTCTTGAAAATTTAGAGACCCACGACTAAACAGACCTTCATTTCGAAAAAATTGGCATTTATAGTCGTTGGTCTTGAAAATTTAGAGACCCACGACTAAACAGACCTTCATTTCGAAAAAATTGGCATTTATAGTCGTTGGTCTCTGAATTTTAGAGACCCACGACTGTCGAAGAGAAAATTTTCAAAATTTAGGTCTTCAAACATTGCAGTCGTGGGTCCCAAAAATTTTGAGACCCACAACTGTTAAAAGACCTTACTTTTGAAAATACTTGCTATGAAAGTCGTGGGTCTCTAAAATTTAGAGACCCACGACTAAACAGACCTTCATTTCGAAAAAATTGGCATTTATAGTTGTTGGTCTTGAAAATTTAGAGACCCACGACTAAACAGACATTCATTTCGAAAAAATTGGCATTTATAGTCGTTGGTCTCTAAATTTCAGAGACCCACGACTGTTGAAGAGAACATTTTCAAAATTAAGGTCTGTTAACAGTCGTAGGTCCCTAAAATAAAGAGACCTTACTTTTGAAAATACTTGCTATGACAGTCGTGGGTCTCTAAAATTTAGAGACCCACGACTAAACAGACCTTCATTTCGAAAAAATTGGCATTTATAGTCGTTGGTCTTGAAAATTTAGAGACCCACGACTAAACAGACCTTCATTTCGAAAAAATTGGCATTTATAGTCGTTGGTCTCTAAATTTTAGAGACCCACGACTGTCGAAGAGAAAATTTTCAAAATTTAGGTCTTCAAACATTGCAGTCGTGGGTCCCAAAAATTTTGAGACCCACAACTGTTAAAAGACCTTACTTTTGAAAATACTTGCTATGACAGTCGTGGGTCTCTAAAATTTAGAGACCCACGACTAAACAGACCTAAATTTTGAAAATTTTCCCTTCGACAGTCGTGGGTCTCTAAATTTTCAAGACCAACGACTATGAATGCCAATTTTTTCGAAATGAAGGTCTGTTTAGTCGTGGGTCTCTAAATTTTAGAGACCCACGACTGTCATAGCAAGTATTTTCAAAAGTAAGGTCTTTTAACAGTTGTGGGTCTCAAAATTTTTGGGACCCACGACTGCAATGTTTGAAGACCTAAATTTTGAAAATTTTCTCTTCGACAGTCGTGGGTCTCTAAAATTTAGAGACCAACGACTATAAATGCCAAATTTTTCGAAATGAAGGTCTGTTTAGTCGTGGGTCTCTAAATTTTCAAGACCAACGACTATAAATGCCAATTTTTTCGAAATGAAGGTCTGTTTAGTCGTGGGTCTCTAAATTTTCAAGACCCACGACTGTCCTTGCAGGTATTTTCAAAATTAAGGTCTATGGTCTCTAAATTTCAGAGACCCACGACTGTTGAAGAGAACATTTTCAAAATTAAGGTCTGTTAACAGTCGTAGGACCCTAAAATAAAGAGACCTTACTTTTGAAAATACTTGCTATGACAGTCGTTGGGTCTCTAAAATTTAGAGACCCACGACTAAACAGACCTTCATTTCGAAAAAAATTGGCATTTATAGTCGTTGGTCGCTAAATTTTAGAGACCCACGACTGTCGAAGAGAAAATTTTCAAATTTTAGGTCTTCAAACATATTACAGTCGTGGGTCCCAAAAATTTGAGACCCACATCTGTTAAAAGGACCTTACTTTTGAAAATACTTGCCATGTCAGTCGTGGGTCTCTAAAAATTAGAGACCCACGACTGTCGAAGAGAATATTTTCAAAATTAACGTCTTCAAACAGTCGTCGTCGGTCCCAAAAATTTAGAGACACACGACTGATAAAAGACCTTAATTTTGAAAATACCTGCAATGACAGTCGTGGGTCTTGAAAATTTAGAGACCCACGACTAAACAGACCTTCATTTCGAAAAAAGTGGCATTTATAGTCGTTGGTCTCTAAATTTCAGAGACCCACGACTGTCGAAGAGAAAATTTTCCAAATTTAGGTCTTCAAACATATGTTTGAAGTCGTGTTGTATTGCAGTCGTGGGTCCCAAAAATTTAGAGACCCACGACTGTTCAAAGACCTTACTTTTTAAAATATTCGCTATTACAGTCATGGGTCTCTAAAATTTAGAGACCCTCGACTAAACAGACTTTCTATTTTCGAAAAAATTTGCTTTTATAGCCGTTGATCCCTAAATTTTAGAGACCCTCTACTGTGGAAGCGAATATTTTCATAATTAAGGTCTTTAAACCTTTGTGCGTGGGTCCCAAAAATTTTTTCCAGTTGTGGGTCTCCAAAATTTGGGAACCCACGACTTAAACAGAGACCTTATTAATTTTGAAAAAAGTTGCTTTTCCAGTTGTGGACCTTCAAAATTTGGGGACTTAAATAGACCTAAATTCTGAAAAAAGATGCTTATTCAGTATTATACCCACTGGCCAGCGGGGAGGAAGCTTGTGCATATTTACTAATAAAATTAGGTTCATTTTGTGCATGCTTGTGCTGTCTTAACCGTCCGCTTTTGTTGGAGGGAGTTATGGCGGCGTACTTTTCCGTGCCAAGCAGCGCCAAGAAAAATTCGCATGACATGCAATGCCTGAACTGTAAATTTATATGAACAATTTTATTTTTAAAAAAAAGTGACTTTGCGTTCTTGTCCTTTAACATGCCTATAAAATAAACAGTCACTTGCATCATTTACGTTTACAGCTCCAGAATAGTTTAATTTAAATATATAAACCCATTGAGAATAATATATAAGTCAATATTAGCCAAACTTAAACGTACGGCGAGTTTCTTAATGTCAAAAAGTGACACTCAAGTTTTGATTTAGTGTTATATTCCATTTTATTTCTCACTGCAATTTAAATAATGTCGATTCTTTCCCAACATTAATGAAACATTGTACTTGTTAGTACAAAAAATGTCCATCAATCGATGGGAATACACCATGGGTTGCATTAGAAAATGTGCTTGGTCATTTTTTAATCTTGTTAAAAAATCTGCAAGTTTTCTGTGAACTTCCGAAAATCCTCAAATTGAGGCTGGAAAAACTCAATAACTATAACTAAATATTTGGCCATTCAAGGAAATACGAGAGGGGGAGAGCAAATATTTCTCTTCACAGCCCGTTAATAAGTAATACATCATTATATATAGCAACCAACGTTACAGTGATTATTCAATTCTGTGAGCGTATGGTGAGATTTCGACTGAAGAGTCAATCGCTCCGACTTTGGGGCAACCCTCCAAGGTGTAGTGTAATGTGAGTTTTACATGCTTTTTCTCATTAAAGTTATTTGAAAATAAAACTGAACTATGCTATGAGAGGGCACATTTTTTGCATTCACCTCGCCGCTCACACATTTAAGTAAACTATGGAATTTTGCAGAACTGCGTAGAGAGCATACATTACTACCCATCTTAGAGTTCATCCAGGTGCCTCTGCCGCTTCCTGGAGTTCCAGTGCAGACACTCCGCCAATGATTCAAACCAGTCAGACAGTTGCTCCTGGGCGCAGATTGAAGGCAGAGGGTATATGGAGGTATTCACATGGAGGCTAAAAATACAATTTTAAAAAATTATATGGTAGAATTTCACAATCGAGGGTTGATTCATGGTGAATTGAATTTAAAATTGGCTTTTCCTCAATGGGATTTTGTGAGTTGTTTATTGTTTCAGAAAAACAATATCCTGCTCTACATGTTCCGGCTGCGGGCTGCAGCCATAATTTGTGAGCTTTCTCGGCGGTGGTCGAGAGAATAGTCTTCAGCCCGCAGCCGAAACATGTAGAGCAGGATATTGTTTTTCTGAAACAATAAACAAAGCTCACAAAAACCCATCGAGGAAAAGCCAATTTTAAATTCAAATCAGCTTTAAAAAATTAATATTTATCCACACTAAAATAGAAATTCGAACCAGAAACGTCACGCAGAAAAAAAATTGCAAAAAAATATATTTATTAGCAGTTTTCTATACAAAACCAATGACCAAAGTACAAGTCTGTGCAAGATAAATTTAGCCACCCCAGGAGAAAGACCAATGGTGGGTCTGAATATCAGAGAAAAGATTCTCTAGAAATGAATCTCGTGCAAGGATTCTATATTCTCAAGGAACGTTTCTGCCTTTGAAATTCCACTAAAGAATCGTTCCTTGAGAATCCTTGCGCAAGAATCGTTTCTCGAGAATTTTGCAAGAACCCTGTCTCTCATATATTCACCCCAAGTTTCAGCCAATATATAGGTGTAGGGCTATAAATCAGTTGCAAAGGGAAGCTTTTTTGAAGCACCTGCAACTCCAAAGGAGAGTCACACACAATCTCCTCCTTGGTGCACTTCTTGTTTGATATCATTTGCCAAAACTGACACATGCTGTGCTACGAGCGTCATTGCTTAGCTTATTATCTAAAACACACAATAAAACCGTGCTAACTTAGTTAGAAAATTATGTCTGATAGGTATTGATATGTTATTCCGTGCACAAGAAAAGGCTCTCACAACTGCTACTTATACAAGAGGGGTGAGTAAAAAAGAGACAATGCTCAGTGATCATTTGGTGCTGGCGCTTACCTCTCTCCATGCCTTAATTCTTGCCTGCTTCTGCCATCAAATGAGACCCAAGATGTGTTTCTGCTTTCAGGAGACACTGAAATCTTCAAAGATTATACACGTCTTTTTGTGCCACTTAGAAATTACATAAGATTAATGTTTCAATAAATTTTTGCAAACAAGACAAATTGTGAAATCTTTGTAAAATCCGTATATTATTTTTAAATTAATTAATACCCTACAGGCACTGGTGCCTCAATGATAATATTATAATCAAATATTCCTAAAAAAAAATGGGATCCATGACATGAGCATTATTTTAATTTTATAGTTAAGTTAAAAGCACGAGTTAAAAAAAATGCTCACATTTGAAAAAAATTGAAGCAAAAATTTAGAATGATTAAGTTTTTTTCAATAAACCTGCAAGTTTAATTTCTGCTTCCTTAAAATGATTTCACCAAATTGTGCTGTTTGATTTGTAAAAATCAATCAAATACTTTGCTGCAGGTGCGAGTAAATTTTCCAATTGCAAAACATCATGCGTGCAAATTTCCCACCTGCAATGTATAAGCAACAGCAAAAATGAAAAATTGGCCCGCATGATGTTATCAGCGACTTCATGTTTTACCTTCAGTTCCACGCCGGCAGGGACAACGATGGGTCTAAACGATAGCGAGTGAGGACAAATGGGAGTGACCATGATGGCAGGCACACTAGGGTGGATCATTGAGGCGCCAGCTGCAACTGCGTAGGCGGTGCTACCAGTAGGAGTTGATACAATCAGACCTGTTTAATATTCAATAAAATAATTCCGGCAAAAAATAGAACTGTTTTACCATCGCCTTGTACTGAGGTGATGTGTTTTCCGTCTAGGTAGAGGTCAATGTTCGACAGGTAGGGCGAGGGTCCTCGGTCAATGATCACCTCGTTTAGCACCAAAAGATTGGTAGATGGAACGTGGCCCTTTTCTTCATCCTTCCTCATGATGCAGCAGCGGAGACGACTGCGCAGGATCAAGGCTGCGTGGCCTTCCAGGAAATGGTTCACTTGCTCTTTGAAGTTCCCAAACTCAAATGGAGTCAAGAAACCAAGAGATCCAAGATGGAAGGCCATCACAGGTGGCACTGATTGCTGCAAAACGACAATAGAAATTAATCAAATTTAATTTTAAATGGTTTCAAAAGAGAAATGAGAGCAATATTTTAAAAGTTGAGCATAATTTTAGCATTTTCAAGATTTCAATGTAGTTGAACTTGATGTAGTGGTCTTAGTTAGCGGATTTGGCAGGCTTCTTAATAACAATAGACTCCTGAATTAAAAATTATAGCACCAGTGCCAAAAAAAAAATATTAGCATACTTGAAATAATGAGCTAGCATGGAGCAAGGTGCCATCCCCTCCCAAGCAGATGATGAAGTCGATTTTGTCAGTCAAATCATCTTTGCCATCTTGAAATGTCATTAGCTTGTCCTTGACAACTTGGAAGCTGCTGTTTCCCTGAAGCATCGAGTCGTCCATGACCGAGTTCTCCACAAACACCACCATATTTTTCTCCTGGAAATGCTCGTTAATATTGTACTGGAAATAATTTTCTTGTCGAATGCACCATAATGAGCCAGTTCACCAGTTGGACGAACGGAGGAAGTACAGAGGCGTCCCTCACTTTCTTTACCACCAGCACGGTGAGGGGTGGTTTGTACCATGTAAGGCGCTGGCTGGCCTGGTCTTGGATGGTCCTCAAAACCGGTGCCAAAAATCAGTCTCCCACTCAAAGTGTCAAGTGAGCAGATAGAGATCATAGAGTGTGTCTTGTTAATGAACAGTCTTTTGAAAAAAAAATATGTGGAAGGGTCTTAAAAAGGTGTTACTTTGAATGTTGGAACTTGTAATGAGTAAATAGAGGTAAAATTCTAGTTGAGAAATTAAAGGACGAGTTTTCTTACATTGAGAGGGGATTGCAACAGAGTTTAAGAGAGGGAGTTGACGGGAAACAAATGCAGCTCACTTACATCATCATTGCAGAAGTTTTGATTAGGCCACATGGACCAACCTTTTGCAGGGGCGCGGCAGAAACCTTTGGAAAATCTGCTTTTTCTTCAATCACTTTCTGACGTTTCATTGCAACTCCGTAAATTTCTTCTTTTTCCAACAGAAAGGCATTGACCTGCTGGCTCAGCTTTTGCTGTTTGTACTCCAAATCCTGCCTAGTCCTCTTAAGTTGACGCTTTTCATTGTCTAATTCTACAGCAGTAACTCCAACCTTAATAAGCTCTTCTTTTAAACGATTTGACTCACAGCCGTCGTCATCAGCCTCAGGGAACCCCTGGAGACACAGATCTCTCATTAGGGAGGCATACTCCCTGCGAGCTAATCAAAATGAAAAGGATAATTATAACTTTTGCTTTAATTTGTAATATCTAAAAGATTTACCATTTGAGGGGAAGGGTGTTTCCCATTCCTGGCAAGGACAACAAATGATACATTGTTTGACAGAGAAGAATAGCAGCCTTTCCTGACCAAGTATTGTAAGCCACTATTGAGGAATTTGAGGTCAACCAGATTTTTGTTATTGACGTATTTGATGAGATCCAAGCCATTTGATCTTCGCTCTTCAGCCAGTTTCACTAGAGCCTCAATCAGTTCAGGACCAGCTGTTAATGTCTTGACATAAAATTTAATTCTTAAAACTCTAAATTTTAAAAGCTTACTCATGTTGAAGTCCAGTTTTTCTACGTCATCTGTCCAGTTTTCGCTTAATATAAGCAAACACACCGGAGGTTTAATGGCCTTTCGAATCTCAGCAACTTTCAGAGCATGATCAGTGTATGGACGGGTAAAAATTTCACTATCCGTGACATACTCTTCTGGGATCTTAAATTTTTGAGAGCAGTCTAGAGGAGAACTCATCTTTATACCTTTTTTACAAGAGCAATGAATTAATGAGCAATTTTCAGTTTAAAAATTTTGATTTATGCAAACCACCAATACAGTAACATCCAAAGTGATCCAACGATCAAGTTTTGCAAATTCCAAAGATCCCAGACAATGGAGAAGATGGCACTTTGGTTTGTTTGGTTTTTGGATGTGGAGTGTGGAGGCAAGAAGTTGTCTTTTTTCTTCTGTTCTTCCTATGCTTATTATGTTGTTTGAATTCACGGGGGTGTGGTCTTGTTGGTGTGGTCGTATTCAAAAGTGAGTCCATCGGGAGTAAATTTTGCTCCCGAGGAGTCCCGTTCCCGAGAAAATTTTCCTTTTCCCGACCGCTCCCAAGTGGTGTCTTAGCAAAATTTTCCTGGGGATTCCCATTCCCGAAAACAAATTCCCGGGAGTCCCAATAAGGTGTCCTTAACGCAATTTTTTATATTTTTTTTTTCAGCAGAAAAAAACACAAAAAATTGGTTGAATTTTCGGTGAGGGTCTGCTTCGCAGGCAGCAATGGATAAGCAATAGTATGGAAAGTGGCGCTCTGGCCGGCACTCGCCGTGCAGGAGACATGGCATCGCTGCTGGCGGTACGATCGCGAGGTGGGGGCTCCCAGAGCCGTCTCCAACGCGAATGCGGCCTTACGCGAAAACAAATAATTTCTTATCAACACTAAAACCGAGACAATGTCATGAAAAAATTTATATAAATCATCGCGACATGAACGCATAAAGATAAAAAATGCAAATAGTTGATAAATATTTATTCATAGAAAAGCAAAGACGGCAAAATAAGAAATTGAATGGATATTTGGAACCGATCCACGAATATAATTATATTTAAATATCATTGAATAGAGTTTGCACTAAAACCTTTGAATATTCATGCACACCTATGGTAGATATACAAGCTGTGCTAATCTCGTTTACGTCAATAGGTGGAAACTAATTAAACGGCAATCATAATTATAGCAAGAGTAAGTTTGCACGGCACTTGCAAAATAGTAATAAATTATTTTAATGTGGTGAACGATCTGTTTGTATATAATGAATTGAATTTTCCTTTCGTTCTAATGAAGTGTAATCAGCCCTGTTAATCTCAGTTATGTCAATAGGTGGAAACATGCATACCAGAAATTAAATACAAAAAAAGTGCATGTTCAGGCTGCCTCGAAATAGTTAAAAAAAATATTTTTAATTAGTTCCCTTCGAGTTTACACAAAATATATTGGATTTTCCTTCTATTTTATTCGAGTTTAATCAACCCTGCCAAACTCAATCTTGTCAATAGGTGGAAATCTACAAAACTGAAATTAAATATAAAATTATGATATGTTCGGGCTGCCTCAAAATAGTTTATATTTTTTTTAAATTTATTTCCTTTGAGTTTGCACAAAATAATTTGAATTTTCCTTCTATTTTATTCGAGTTTAATCAACCCTGCCAAACTCAATCTTGTCAATAGGTGGAAATCTACAAAACTGAAATTAAATATAAAATTATTATATGTTTGGGCTGCCTCAAAATAGTTTATATTTTTTTTTAAATTAGTTTCCTTTGAGTTTGCACAAAATAATTTAAATTTTCCTTCTATTTTATTCGAGTTTAATCAACCCTGCCAAACTCAATCTTGTCAATAGGTGGAAATCTACAAAACAGAAATTAAATATAAAATTATGATATGTTCGGGCTGCCTCAAAATAGTTTATATTTTTTTTTTAATTAGTTTCCTTTGAGTTTGCACAAAATAATTTGAATTTTCCTTCTATTTTATTCGAGTTTAATCTACCCTGCCAAACTCAATCTTGTCAATAGGTGGAAATCTACAAAACAGAAATTAAATATAAAATTATTATATGTTTGGGCTGCCTCAAAATAGTTTATATTTTTTTTTTTAATTTATTTCCTTTGAGTTTGCACAAAATAATTTGAATTTTCCTTCTATTTTATTCGAGTTTAATCTACCCTGCCAAACTCTATCTTGTCAATAGGTGGAAATCTACAAAACTGAAATTAAATATAAAATTATGATATGTTCCGGCTGCCTCAAAATAGTTTATATTTTTTTTAAAATTAGTTTTCTTAGAGTTTGCACAAAATAATTTGAATTTTCCTTCAGTTCTAAACAAGTTCAATCATTACTGTTAATGTCAGCTATGTCATTAGGTGGAAACAAGCAGAACTTATATGAAAAATAAAAATAAGACTTGTTCGGGCTGCCTCAAAATATTTAATTTTTTTTTTTACTAGTTCCGTTTGAGTTTGCACAAAATAAATTAAATTTTCCTACAGTTCTAAACAAGTTCTATCATCCCTGTCAAACTCAATCATGTCAATAGGTGGAAACCTACAAAGCATAAATTAAATATAAATATGTTCGTCTTCCTATTCAATTCATTTGTTCTCTCGCTACAAGTTGAACAGAAATTTTATGCTCAAAATAGTTAATTTTTTTTAATTAGTCCCCTTTGGGTTTGCACAAAATAATTTGAATTTTCCATCACTTTTAATCAAGTTTAAACAGCTCTTTCAAACTCAATCATGCCAATAGGTGGAAACATGCAATACGGTAATTAAAAATAAAAATTGATATGTTCGGGCTGCATCCTAAATAGTTAATAATTTATTTTAATGAGTTACTTTAAAGTTTGCACAAAATTTATTGGATTTTCCTTCTAATTTATTCGAGTTTAATCAACCCTGCCAAACTCAATCTTGTCAATAGGTGGTGGAAATCCACAAAACTGATATTAAATATAAAAATATGATATGTTCGGGCTGCCTCAAAATAGTTTATATATTTTTTTTAAAATTAGTTTCCTTAGATTTTGCAAAAAATAATTTGAATTTTCCTTCTATTAAATTCGAAACTAATATAAACTATTTTTAGGCAGCCCGAACATGTCATATTTTTATATTTAATATCAGCTTTGTAGATTTCCACCTATTGACAAGATTGAGTTTGGCAGGGTTGATTAAACGCGAATAAATTAGAAGGAAAATCCAATATATTCTGTGCAAACAAAGGTTCGCGCATTAGAAAATTTCAATTGTTGCCGAGCGCTCTGATTGGGTGCAATTATACTTGCACCCAATCAGAGAGCTCTAACAACAATCGAAAAAATTTTCGATTGTTCTGATGCGCGAACCTTGGTGCTGTTTAAACTTGATTAAAAGTGATGGAAAATTCAAATTATTTTGTGCAAACTCAAACGGAACTAATAAAAAATAATATTAAATAGTTTGAGGCAGCCCGAACAGGTCTTATTTTTATTTTTCATTTCAGTTCTGCATGTTTCCACCTAAATACATAGCTGACATTAACAGTAATGATTGAACTTGTTTAGAACTGAAGGAAAATTCAAATTATTTTGTGCAAACTCAAAGGAAACTAATTAAAAAAAATATATAAACTATTTTGAGGCAGCCTGAACATATCATAATTTTATATTTAATTTCTGTTTTGTAGATTTCCACCTATTGACAAGATTGAGTTTGGCAGGGTTGATTAAACTCGAATAAAATAGAAGGAAAATTTAAATTATTTTGTGCAAACTGAAAGGAAACTAATTTAAAAAAAAATATAAACTATTTTGAGGCAGCCCAAACATATAATAATTTTATATTTAATTTCAGTTTTGTAGATTTCCACCTATTGACAAGATTGAGTTTGGCAGGGTAGATTAAACTCGAATAAAATAGAAGGAAAATTCAAATTATTTAGTGCAAACTCAAAGGAAACTAATTTAAAAAAAATATAAACTATTTTGAGGCAGCCCGAACATATCATAATTTTATATTTAATTTCAGTTTTGTAGATTTCCACCTATTGACAAGATTGAGTTTGGCAGGGTTGATTAAACTCGAATAAAATAGAAGGAAAATTCAAATTATTTTGTGCAAACTCAAAGGAAATAAATTAAAAAAAAAAATATAAACTATTTTGAGGCAGCCCGAACATATCATAATTTTATATTTAATTTCTGTTTTGTAGATTTCCACCTATTGACAAGATAGAGTTTGGCAGGGTAGATTAAACTCGAATAAAATAGAAGGAAAATTCAAATTATTTTGTGCAAACTCAAAGGAAACTAATTAAAAAAAAAATATAAACTATTTTGAGGCAGCCCGAACATATCATAATTTTATATTTAATTTCTGTTTTGTAGATTTCCACCTATTGACAAGATTGAGTTTGGCAGGGTTGATTAAACTCGAATAAAATAGAAGGAAAATTTAAATTATTTTGTGCAAACTCAAAGGAAACTAATTTAAAAAAAAATATAAACTATTTTGAGGCAGCCCAAACATATAATAATTTTATATTTAATTTCAGTTTTGTAGATTTCCACCTATTGACAAGATTGAGTTTGGCAGGGTTGATTAAACTCGAATAAAATAGAAGGAAAATTCAAATTATTTTGTGCAAACTCAAAGGAAATAAATTTAAAAAAAATATAAACTATTTTGAGGCAGCCCGAACATATCATAATTTTATATTTAATTTCAGTTTTGTAGATTTCCACCTATTGACAAGATTGAGTTTGGCAGGGTTGATTAAACTCGAATAAAATAGAAGGAAAATCCAATATATTTTGTGTAAACTCGAAGGGAACTAATTAAAAATATTTTTTTTAACTATTTCGAGGCAGCCTGAACATGCACTTTTTTTGTATTTAATTTCTGGTATGCATGTTTCCACCTATTGACATAACTGAGATTAACAGGGCTGATTACACTTCATTAGAACGAAAGGAAAATTCAATTCATTATATACAAACAGATCGTTCACCACATTAAAATAATTTATTACTATTTTGCAAGTGCCGTGCAAACTTACTCTTGCTATAATTATGATTGCCGTTTAATTAGTTTCCACCTATTGACGTAAACGAGATTAGCACAGCTTGTATATCTACCATAGGTGTGCATGAATATTCAAAGGTTTTAGTGCAAACTCTATTCAATGATATTTAAATATAATTATATTCGTGGATCGGTTCCAAATATCCATTCAATTTCTTATTTTGCCGTCTTTGCTTTTCTATGAATAAATATTTATCAACTATTTGCATTTTTTATCTTTATGCGTTCATGTCGCGATGATTTATATAAATTTTTTCATGACATTGTCTCGGTTTTAGTGTTGATAAGAAATTATTTGTTTTCGCGTAAGGCCGCATTCGCGTTGGAGACGGCTCTGGGAGCCCCCACCTCGCGATCGTACCGCCAGCAGCGATGCCATGTCTCCTGCACGGCGAGTGCCGGCCAGAGCGCCACTTTCCATACTATTGCTTATCCATTGCTGCCTGCGAAGCAGACCCTCACCGAATTTTCTAACTTTTCTCCCGGGAGTCCCATTCCCGATAAAATTTTCCCGGCTCCCTCCCGCTACCATATTGTTGGGACAGAATCGCTCCCGCCTCCCGGGACTCCTGAAAAAGTCGCATTCAAAGTGCCCGTGTAGAATTTCGCTGACAATAAATCATCAAAAGAGTTCGCCCGAATGATAAGATTTCTTGCTCCTGATTGATGTGTAGTCAAACACAAGAAGAGTTTACACACATCCAACCCAAAGTCCCCTACCCCACAGACTGAATAATAAATAGTAAAATTCGGCGCGCACGTCGCAATAAGTCGTTGCATCATGGTGACGCCTCATAAGTCAATAAACCTTATCAATAATGCCCCATGTCCCACAAAAAAAACCTCCTTCATACTTTCCATTCAAATACAAGATCTGCAATATACAAATTATTGTACTTTTTTCTTGTAAATTTAATATTTAAACTTAAATTTCAAAATTATAAATATAATTTTTTTTTACAGAAAGTGGCAATTTTATTCCTTTTTGTTTGAACAGCTAAATGAAAGAACATGCCTAACTGTAATAAGGGTCACAAAAATAACATTTTTCTCAAAATTCTGTCCAAAGTTTTTCCTTCAAATAATATATTTTAGATCATACATGAATGATTTGTAATTAACTTGTAGCAGACAATTACACAGCAAATGATTAAATTAAATTTGGTGATGCTTGCGTTTAAGTTTGCTGCACGACGTGGGAGAAACTAGTTTGGTCTCGCGTTTCTCACATGATCATTAATATTTTGATAAATTATGATTAATGAATGGTGCACCGATTAAAATGACAATTTAAATTGCAAATAATTTGAAACGTTGATTAAATTAGGCTCCTTTAGTAGCACTCGTATCTGCTAACAAAAGGCACATAACTTTCCAATCGTCTTAAAATTAGATTCCATAAATTACTGACAAGGCCAGGTTGATTTACGAAAATCATACATACCTTTTCTTACACTTAAATTCAGACACTTGTTGGCCGATAGCTTGCTCTATCAATGAGGATAGGAGCATTGATAAATACATAAACAGATTTAAAAGAGTGTGCAGTTTTGGAGAGTAATTATTTTGTATTTACAAATTAATCGATACAATTTAAAGACTCTAAATACCACATTTGAAACAAAGATCACGCCTATCCTCTTACTTTCTCCTCCCTCATAGGCTGGGATATAGTTTATATAATGTCATGTTAAATGAGATAAATTTGATCTTGAGTTGGCAGTTTAATTTGTTGAACAGGTACAGAATTTTCTGGTCCCACTTGAACATATCAGTTCTTCCAGCGACTTTATTTATCAAAGAGGTTTGATATAATAGTTAAAATAAGACCCCCAAAATTTATATAAAAAAAATAGTAAGATTGGGTTCTAAAGTTTCAAATTTCTTTTAAAGCTGGACAGAATTGGCACAAACTAAGCACAAGTGGAACCAAGGAATTCTCTCGTTTCAAAAGATATGATCGCAATTCGTTCTTCAGAACGGTTCAGTTTCCCCAACTGAAACCAACAAGACGTTTAAAAGCAGCAGGCAACAGCGCCTATGAGAAGCACACACTGAATGTACGTTGACGAAAGATTTTTTGGAAAACACCAATAAATCAATTAGCATCGATTCTCCTTTTTTTCTACTTATCAGTTGTGCACTCATCGTTTGAATTTAGTATCTGAAACCAGCCGGCAAAAAATAAAGCCATTTTTCTTGCACTGCATTTAAATAATTTGAGCTTTTGTTTGCTTTTTCGAGAAAACGATCGACAACTGCTAGCAGTTATTGGAGGGTGAAAAGCTAACATTATTTAAAAACAGATCACAATTTCCAAGTTTACTCCTTTCTAACCAACCGTCTGCCACTGAGATAGGTGTCGCGAGTCAGCAGCAGAAAACGGGTTCGCTCTTCTTTTGTTGCTTATTTGTCACGGCACTGCCAGTTCAAGAGGAGTTGTGTTGAAAGTGCACAGGTTGGGCGGCGCAGCACGTTGTCAAAGTATTGAGCAGCGCGACAACCAACTGACCGGTTTCCTCTGGGGTTCCTGCGCCTTCAGCTGGTGGCCGCCGCCTCGGGGTGGGTTACTTGCCTCCTGTAATAATATTTTCTGAATAAGCATTGGGCATTTAACACTTAAGGCTTCAGCATGCATCCAATTGAAATTCCAAAGCAAGGCGTCTACTAACTACAGAAATTAGGCAAATCCACTAAATTTTCAATAAAAAGCTAAGAGCATTCCACTTATTCAGTCTCGGTTTAGTATTAAACCAAATCTTAATAAAAATATGAAATCATATTGAACTAATAAATAAAAATTCACTAGCAGGTTACGCTGAATTATTTGAAGAACAGTCATTCTATTGAAATCAAGTCAAAATAACCCAAACTTTGTTAAATCGATCAATACACAAAATCAGTTTAAAATGCCTTATTTTCAAAGCACCAACTAAACTGATCATGCCAGTCATCAACGAGCAAAGTCGTACTAATTAAAGCCAGGTTAGGTAGGCCTGGTTAAGCTCATGCAAACATTAAGCTATCAGGGCTTCATAAAGGCACACTAGCAGAATTCTCATGGTTACCTTCTAAATTGGTTGAACCACGAAGAGGCGGCAAGAAACAACAGCAAGAGAAATTAGTATTAGAGGAGATTTTGAAAGGCGAGTTAGATTTTCTGGCTAAATATATTCAGCAGTAGAGGATGATTGAGTCAAGATATAGACCAAAGATTTAAAAGTTTAGAGTAACTTCAATAGACATACCAATTTCCTTTCCATTTTGGCTTTGATGTCTCTGGCAAGAGTGAAGAAGGCTTCTTCAACATTTATTGATGCTTTCGCGCTTGTTTCAAGGAACTTGATCCCATACTCGACAGCAAGTTGCTCTCCACGCTCTTTAGAAACCTTGACGTTAGGACAAATTAAATTGGTTATTATTTTTAAATTGCAATAAAAAGGAAAAATTAAAATAACTATATTTGAAGAGACAACGAAATGAAAACTTACTTGTCTTTTTTCATTCAACTCGCACTTATTTCCCAGAAGCATCTTTTCAACATCCTGGGCGGCATTTTCCTCAATATTTCTAATCCAGTTCTTGATGTTTTCGAAACTCTTTTCGTTTGTGATGTCGTAAACTAGCATGATGCCCATAGCACCTCTGTAGTACGCAGTCGTAATGGTTCTGAACCTTTCCTGCCCAGCAGTGTCCCTGTAGCGACAACACAATAAACTCATTAACCGAGTCAGCCAAATAATTTTTTCCTAAAATCTTACCAAATTTGTAATTTTATTTTCTTCCCGTCCAACTCGATTGTTCTGATTTTGAAGTCGATGCCTAGAACAAAAGATGCTGAATGATAAATCTTTCAATATTTTCGAAGGGGGAAATTTTTTTCGTTCATCCAAAATAATAGCATCAGATAAGAAAGATGCTGGTCGCCACGCCCCCGTAATTAACAAGGAAATTGAATTATGTAGGCAATCAAATTGCATGCAGTAAATAACGACAAAGAGGATTCGATTTCGATTGCGCCAAGGCGACTTTGATTGTAATCATAAAACTTTTCGAAGCGTGAATTAAACTGCGGATGCCAGCCAACTTATGATTTCCCTCGTCATTGTGCAAAACGTCACTTTTCTGGGAAAAGTTCTCTCGTGACACGATTCATTAAGGGTCGAGCGTCACGCCAACAAAATCGAAGAATTTCTGCCTAACACGTAGTTCTCATGAATTATCGCAGGAAATGGAAAAAACGGTGAACAATTGACTATTGGCAGCTTTGATCTTGAGAACTTGTAATTTTTTCACGCGAAAGATAGAGCCAGAAAAGGGTGTGTGAATTGTTCACTTTTCGCAGGGCTTTTTTGGCGTCTGCCGCTCACCGATGGTTGAGATGAATGTAGTGTTGAATGCATCTTCGGAAAATCTGAATAGCACACACGTTTTTCCGACACCCGAGTCACCAATTAAAAGTAATTTGAACAGATAATCGTATGTTTTTGCCATCTTGGCTCAAAAAACGGATTGAAGATGAGTAGAAGTAGAACTGCCAGTCTGCACAGCTTGGGCAACATAACAAAATTTAACCAAATGCATTTATTTTCTACGTATTTTACATAATTGCTTGGTTATTATTTTATGTGAATTAGATTGAAAATTATTTAAAAGCATTTTTAAATTACAAGATGAATATATTTAGATGAAATGCAATTAATTCTGGTTTAGAGTAATTTGTTCATGTTGGCTACTTTCAATGTTCAACAGATAAAAAGTTTGCAAAATATTCACTTTATCATAATATTTCTAAGAAATCAAACGTCATTTATAAATAAAAGTTTTCCGTAAAACAGAACTCATATTTTTTATCATCAGATTTTCCGTATTGGATTGAAAAAATTTACTTTGGGTGTGCAATTTAATGCTCTACGCAAAATTGCAAAGTTGAGAAAACTGGTCTGACAAGCACGTATCTTACGCATGCGCTGTTCATTCGCCGGTGGTGCTCGCTCAGCTGCCAAGGCCATGGAGTGTTTATGTTTGGTTTCGACTTGAAAATCTATTAGTTAAACCTCGCTAAAGAGAGGTGAGAGTGGCTCTAGATCATTATTAAATCTTTTTCTATATTTTAAATTCATTCGTACAAAATATTCTGAGCTGGTTTTAGCCAAGAAGTAAATATTTAACTTCAAAATTCTCACCAAGATTCTCACTTTTTTCGCGCAACGTGAGTCTCATCACATTTTAATACCGAACCGTCTGATGCCTTTCATTATTTCTCTTGATCAAATCTTGAAGTTCAACCGACTCATATGGAAATTTTTGCAGGTTTCCTTTGCCGGAAAAGTGTGCTTAGTGAAATAAAGAACTTTAGAACAAATCGACGCCCATGCACGCTTGCAGGTAGGCGTGGTATGGAATTGGATGACATCGGCCCCAAGAAGATGAGAGGTCGTGGTCGAGGAAGGGCAAGAGGCAGGGGAAGAGGCCGCGGTCGAGGCCGGGGCAAGAAGCCAGTTAAGGTACTTTAAAGTTTTTTATTTAAAAAAAGCACTGGTACTAATAATGCTGACATTTTCAGCCCATCGAGAGTGACGGAGAGGACGAGTCACAAATGGAAGTTGAAGAGGAACAACCACCTGCGAAGAAGGTTGAAGAGGAAAAAATTGAAAAGGAAGAAAGTGAGGCTGACGAACCTGTGAAGGAAGAGAAGGTGACGCCTCAGCCGAATTCCCCCGTGAAAAGTAAAAACTGAGAAATTATCTTGACATTTCTATTCACCTCGACATTTTTAGTTGACCCGGAAGCAGATATATCTCAACTTGAAGCGCCTACCTTTACCACCATTAACCGAGGCCCACCAGAGCCGATGCTGAGACTCAACTGGGATCACAGGGTCAGCCTTATGGGCGACAAAGTTCTCAACCCCATGATCCACTGCTGTGATAGGTGCATGAAACCTATCCTGATATACGGCCGAATGGTGAGAGCTTTGCCCAAACCTTCAATATTTTATAGAGGTTAATTTATTTTCAATTACCAGATTCCCTGCAAACATGTGTTCTGTTTAACATGCGCGAAGAAGGAGGAGAAGCAGTGCCCTAGATGTAGTGAGAAAGTTGTTCGAGTCGAGCAGACTGGCTTAGGGACAGTGTTCATGTGCACGCACGGTGGCTCCAGATACGGCAATAACGGATGCAGGAGAACATACTTGTCACAACGAGACCTTCAGGTAGGCATTTGATGGTGATTTTTTAGTAATTTAAGTTAAACAAAAAAAAAGTTTGTTATTTTTGCTATTTTTGATGGTATTGTATTTATGTTGGGTTTACATGCATTAACAATCTGCTAAATTCAGTCAATAATAAAAATTATTTAGGGTTTAGCTGTAGATAAGATTCATTCATAATTTTGAATAAGTGTTTAAAATAAGAATTGAATTTTGAAAAAAGTTAATCAGCAATTTTTCAGACATTTTTTTACGTTGGAACTTTTCTTAAAAATTTACACAATAATATATAAAAATGAAAATTTGATTATATTTCTTGCTCTGGACCAATTGCGAACACAACCATCATATTATTCAAAATGAATTGACGTACATCAGCATAGAATATTGTATTTTTACATACCTCTATTATTAGAAAAAATAACAGATCGAGGTAATATTTAGAATTTATCCTGTTAAAATTTAAAAGGCATTATTGTGTGTACTCTTTTTAGGATCTCTTTATAAAAATTGGCATTTTTTTTTTAATTTACAAAGTACTGTAAGTTATTAATAGTTTGTAAACTTCAAACGCTTCAAAAATTAGATTCAAGTAAGAAATTGAACAAAACTATAGGCCTCGAATTTGTTCAAAATTGCAAAAAAGTCACTAATGAGAGCAATAAACTATTTTCAGGCCCACATAAATCACCGCCATGTGCAAAACTCAGCCGTCGCAGCCGAGTTCACCAAGGACGAGAAAGCATCACCCCGGCTGGCCAAGGTGGCGGCCGCACCTGACCCCAGAGTGCACCAGGACAGTGTCCGGGGCGGCAGTGATAGGACTTCTTCGCAAGTGGTCGGCGGCGCGCAGCCAACGCTGCAGCCGCCGGTCTCATGGACTACAAACCCTGCGGACGGGGCGGCCGCCGCGGCCTTCGGGCAGCAGCCGCCAGGGCTTTACCAGCGGATGGTGGGCGCGGCGCCATACCAGAGCGCGGCCGCCTCACGGACTAACTTGATCACAGTGCCAATTCAGGACACTTCTGAACCCCCACCCAACTACTACCCGCAGTCCATGTCGTACGCAGGCGGACAGCCGTACCCGCCGCCGGCCCAGTCGCAGTACGCCGCTCAGCAGTACTACCAGTACCCTCCGCAGGCATACCAGGGTGTGGCCGGCGGCGGCGGACCGCCCCAGCCCAGGTACGACCCTCCGTACCAGGGTCAGTGGCAGCACCCCCCAACGGCCGCCAACTCGTTCTACCGCTGAGCGAGACCCTTGAACTTTTTTCTAAGAGCTTCTTTTTGAACTACTGATCAATCCAGAATCTTGTATTGTCAGGCTTGTGAATTTTAGTCTGTTGAAATGACTCTATTATCAACACGTGTTTTGAAAATCATAATGAAACTTAAACAAATAAATTATATTTTGCACTTAAGAATCTTCACTTTTTTAAATGATTTTAAAAAATCTGTTGCCTTTGTTTCTGTTAATTGGTCTGCAATTGAATGACGTTTTATCACTTTGGCTTATAGAAGAAAGCAATGCCAATTTTTTTTGTAGATTTTCTCCTTAAGAGTAGCTATTTTTCTCAATAAAAGATCACATCTGCCAACTTATTTAATATATTTTAAAATTGAGTAAATGAATCTTGTAATTACTTGTTTTTTTTTTGTTTTTTTTTTTTTATGTCTGAACTAAAACTAAAACACTAATTTCTTTTTAAATCTTACACAAATGTAATTCGGCAAAGATTTGTACGCTTAACATTTAGCTATTCAATTAGCTCTTGATTTATAAAAAAAATATTACATATTTTTCGCAGCTTTTATTGGAGCTCTCAAAACCCTCCCAAATATCATGGGAAAATGTGCGAAAGAAGCATCAATCGCAAAAAATATCATCCTGAATGTTGACTAAAATTCACAAGTCTATTTTATTACACTTTCTAACAACTATTATTGTAGTCCTCATCTATCTGCTGTTGTTTTTTTGTTGAATTTATTTCTTTAACACCTGAAACCGAATATTATATCTTTTCTAAAGAGACCGAACTTTCTGCATTTGCAATGAACAGATTCGGAGAGAAAAATTTTTTAATTTTGGGGCCTGATGTGAAATTTGATTGTATTATGTACATTTTTGAGGCACACTTGGAAGCAAAAAGAATGCAAGAAAATAAAAAAAGTATTTAATTCAGCAATTTAAATATTGATGTATTGAAATTATCAATCCCTACGTCTTATCTCAATACATCCCCCACTTCCCTTGGTACACAATAGTGCATAATGCCGTACCACAAGATCTTTCTTTGATTGATTTATTTGTCTTATAATTCCTACTATTAAATTATTTTTAAATTATTTCCTTTTCAAATATAATGCATTTCAAGAAGAAGAAAATCCATCTGCATAATTTAAAAAATAAAAATTCTATTTCACAGATCAAACTATTGGGGTATTTCACAGAATCAGATCAATTGCAAACGCAAATTAGGTATAAGCTGAAAGCTGAATCACTGAAAAGAACCTTTCTTGTTACTCGCGCATTGACTGAATCACGTGAGCGATCAACGGCTCGTTGAATTTCATCATAACTAGCAAGAAACCAGATCACTTTTTATCTTTTGGTACTTTAACTAAACCAAAATTAAATTTAAAATAGCACCAAAATCTATTTTCTTTATATACCGCAAAGATTTCATCTCGAAGTCCGCGCTTTATTTATTTACTTCTTTATCGAGCTGATCAATCACTTTTAGACGTTGTTATGAATTGAGCTGTCGTAGTTCTTCATTGAAAAGCAATATTTATTGGCGCAGTTACAGAGAGAGTCAACGCGACAAAATGAGTGGAAAACAACTGGCCGCTCCGTGCGGTGAGAGGAGAGTATTTTTTATTGTACATCGATATTAAAAAACAAGGGAAAGGTCAGTAATGCTCATGATGGCTTGCTGGCCGGGCTAATATTAGGATTCCAAAGGTTGGCCCTGGCTGACGGATTCCGGATATGTGTAATGTAATTTGGGTGACTCTTTGGTGACTAACATAACAACGTTATGTGGAAGATTGGTTTACATGATCAACGTTATAAAATAGCTCTTAATTGAATGTGCAAATTTCTCCCTATGTGATGATTCTTATTTTCATCAAAGTCAAATAGAATTAAAAGAAAATATATATAAAAAAATTGACCTCAATTAACCATATATTAATCTAATTAAACCAAAAAAATTATAAAATAAAATACTTAGCACCCCAATAAAGGTTTAATTTGAAGTTAATTTTATTTTTGATTTCTAAATACATTTTTTTTCCTGGATGTAAAATGATAAAAATAATATTACAGGGCCTATGGCACACCTGGGATCTGGGATTATTAGTTTTACAAGAAGTGCAACTGCTCACTCGTCGCACGTCGCACCATCCCCACCCCTACTCCGTCTCGGTACAAAACGAAATTCTTTCCGCATGCGTGCGATGCTTGTTGATCTGTTATAACAACTTTTGTTCACTTTTGGATGGGTCGCCGGTCGTCGCGCAAGCGTCACGACTTGCATCAGTGCTAAAACCGAATATTTTCGCGAATGAAAACCGCAAATAGATTGTGATAAACCTCAACCCATCTGGGTATCTCTGCACGACCGACGGCTCTTTCTTTATCAGCTCTGATCCTCTGATGCCGCCACCGCCGGTAATTATTTATTACGCTTTTTATCTTTCGCCTGTTTTTTCAACTATTGTTTTTATTTTGCACTCACACGTTTTGAAAATAATTCTGGTATTGGTGAAACATGACTCTTTATTAACACTAAGGAATTGCGTGATCCTTTTTCTCTTCCATCGTTTTTTGCAGTTCTTGGTTTTATTGGTTAGGGATTTTTGTGTAATTAAGAAGTGCAAGTGCACCTATATGCGCATAATAATGAACTCCGTGTACTGAATATAATCTTATCGCAATACCTTGCAGCAGATAGCAAAGCGCTTTTGTTTTCTCACAAATGTTGACAGGCCACTTAATATTTAATACTTCTTAAAGAATTTGTTAGAAAAAAATTCTGTTATCCCCCACATCTAAAAATTTACTTAATTTTTCAGTAGACAAATTTTTAACGCCTTTGAAATTTTATAGAAAATAATAAATGCACATTCATGGTCATGGAAGAGATTAAAGTTAATTTCACTGCCTTTGAACCAATGGTTCGGTGTGTTTGAAAATTTTCAGAGGTTTTTACCATATTCGCAAATTTGATTCATTTTATCGTATTTGAGATGATTGCCGCAAGTTGTAACACACAGATATCAACAAAATGACCAACTAGCCTAATAAATTTGCATTTTGAGAAAAGAATTGACAATATAGCATTATAATTTGAGCTGTTTCAATAATAATGTGTGTTTGAAAATTTATTTATTTTTCCATACGTGCGTATAATTTTTTCAATCTTTTCTTGGGTGACACCAGCAAATTTTTAAACAGAGATATTGTTAAATTGACCAACTATGTTAAAAAATAGTAAATTCACATTCATAGATGAGATTAAAGTTAATTTCATTGCCATTGTACCAATTTGGCCATTATTTTGCCTGGTCAGATGCAACGGTTATTAATTAAATTTGAACAAAACCAGCCATTAAACCAGGTAAATGCTGGAAGCAATGGCATGCGGTCATAATGTAATAAGCCAACCGAGCCACCAATAATGAGACCATACGTGGATTTCGTTTTTGAGAGAGAAAACAGACAGCTTTGAACTGAACTCAAAAACGCATAATGTGCCCTACGTCGTTTGGCGCCCTCATGGTCAGCCGCGCCGCGCGCTATAATCACCTAATTAATTGTAAGATCACCTCTCCCAATTAATCTGTGTTTAACTAGCTCATTCTTCTATTAGCGAGCAGCTCATTTGCTCATAGGTTGGTGCTTAAATTTGTTAGCTTTAAATTTTTTTGTAAAAAATGTGTTTTTTTTTCTTCAATTTGCTGATTTTTTTATATCTTTCTCGCTCTTGAAATAGGGTCGCAGGCCGTGACCGAAAATGGAAGTCTTGTTTTTTTTTTAAATAAAAACACTTTTTACAGCGGGGAAAAGGCCCGATTTCTTCACTTCCACAATCATGCTAGTTGTAATTGAAACAGCTTGGATCTGGGGAATCACCGTTTTTTTACCTGCACATTTTATAGTCTCCGTCGTATCAATTTCGCGTTTTTGGTAGTGCTGATCTCAAAAACTTTTTTCCTAAATTATGTTAGCAAATATGAAATATTTTAATGAAAAAAAAATATTGGTAATTAGCTATAAAATACACAGAAAAATAAAATATAATATGCAAGATCCACCTAAAGGTATAAATCCCGACATATAGTTTTTGTGTAATTGTCTCCCAGTGCATGAAAAGGTCGTTTTGATCGATCTAGACAGATTGAGTAATTAACTAACAATTAATTGACTCGTAAAAAGGAGAGGTCACACCAATAAAAAAAACTATTTTAAATTAAATAAACAATTCATATTATGCAATTCTCATTAAGGATTGTAACATGAATTTCAACGCGGGGTGTCAAGCACAAATTCATGAACGTGAGACGTTTATTCCTCGAGCGACTGAAGGAAAATGCAACGTCTGCTACTTAGCGCGTAATAATTTTCATTTATGGCGGCGGTCATGTTTTGGTGACGGCATCGCATAATTATGGTTTTTCTCACAAACAGACACCGTACCAGCAGTGTAAGTGTTTGCCTATGGTGGTTTTAGTTTTCTAGAGCTATTTGAATGCATGCGAAAGTTTTTGCTTTTGGAAACATAAATTTAACGAATGTAACTATTCATCCGCATGGATTAAGTAAAGAACTTCATGTTTTTTCCCAAGCATCAACGGCCTCCCCTGATGGGTCCGAGACCACCACCATTGGATTTAGGTGAGTTAATCATCAAAATTATTACAGTAATTTAAATTTACCTTTTTTTATTTCTACTGCCACTCAAATTTGTTTGAAAAAAAAAATTAAAAAAAGCGTATAATAATTTGAAGAAGATGAAAATGCATTTGATATCGTTTAACAATTAGCTTCTTTCATAAAATTGTCTACATTTTTATTTTTTGCACTATTATAACACGAGTTTCTTTTATTGAGTTTTGCAGAACATTAAATTTATAAATGTTAATTTTTAGTCTGCTCATAATTTAGCGAGATTAATTACATATAAATTATGTTTAATGTTGATAAAGTAACGAAATTTTTTTTTTAAATAAATAAATATTCATCGAAACCATAAATTGCTAACAAAATAATATATTGAATTTAATGTATTCAATTAACATCTACAAACAATTTAAAATTAAAATATGTATTTATTTATTCAATAATTTTCTTAAAATTGAAAATAACAATAATTTACTTTATTTATATATATATTTTATCCACCATCTAGAATAAATAAAAATAATTCAATATTACATTTATTTAGTATTAACAACTGCAAACAATTATAAATATATCAATATATTTGACGTTTTTTAATTTCAGCAATACTTCAAGCAAGGATGTGGTACTTGGGGTTGAGACAGCAGCCAGAATGGCAGAACAGCTACACACCGACTTACAACTATTTAAACGCCTTGTCACCAAATTTTGTCTGCCAGTACCCAACACCACCTAAATTGAAAAAGACGAGGCGGAAGAAAACAAAGAAATCGGACAAAAAACAAATTCAGGAAGAGGAGGAGAAAAAAGAAGAGGTCGAGACCAACTTTTTGGTGGCATTTCCCACCAAGACCATTCCTGACGAAACCATCCAAAGTCTGCTTCCTGAAGACTGGTCGAAAAATTGCGTCTCGGACTTCAATAGCAACGGGGTCATCCGACGACCTGTAGTTGACCTGCCTGAAATTTTCGACCGGATTTGCCAGGGACTTGTGGTGCACGCCGTCGAGAAGGTGGAGAACCCCTACCTGTGGCTCATGTACCAACTCAAGTTTGTCGAAAACTCGGAGCTTTTCCGCAGCACCGAGACTGACCTTTTTCACGGCACCAGTGGGAAAAACGTCTACCCTATCATCAGGGACAATTTCGACTACAGGTTGGCCGGTTCGTGTGTGGGGCATCGCTCTGGCAAAGGCGTCTATTTCGCTCACAGTCCCCGCTTTTGCATGCACTTCTCACAAGTGGGAAAGTGCATGGTGATGGCCAAAGTGCTCACTGGCCGCACGTGCGTCGGTACGCAGGAAACCCAAGTGCCGGAGAATTCTTGTGACTCTGCAGAGAACGGTCGAGGAACGATAGTGAAATTTGGTGACCACGAATTTTACCCTCAGTTCCTGATTCATTTCCTGGACCATTTTATTTTCCCGCAGTGAAAAATCTCATTCTGTTAATATTTTTTTCCTTCTTATTATAATTTTCAATTGACAAAATTTAGAAAACTTGTAACATTTAATTTAAATTCTAAAAATTTAATATTTTTGAATGAAAGTAATCAGAAATTTTTAACATCTAAAAAATACAATTCTGTATTGATGATTGTATATCCAAAATTTTTATTTTCAGAGTAAGACTGAAATGTGAAGTTGTATAGGAGAGAGAAATTCCAACAATTTTGTTTTTATTTGAAAATAAACGCTGTAAATAAACAATCTTATGAAAGTATTCCGATTTGTTTATTTTGAATCTTTGACAATTTGAAGATAGATTTAAAATTCTGGTCATTTCAGAAAAAATTTAATATATTCAATATTTAACTATATCTCTAATATCTTTGTAAATTATTTAGTTAAAGAGCTGGCTGATGTTCTAAAAGGAAAAGAAAGATATATATTTAAATAATATTAGCTGTTCCAGATAGGGCTGCCAAATAATAACCAAGCAATACCCGCTTGGCTTGTGAACATGCGGCGGCATCAGACCTCACCGACCGATGACGAAACTTGGACTCCTTCTGTTTCCGAGTTTTTCGCTCTTTTCCGTCATGAAGAAGGTGAAATTACATTGAAGTAAATTTTTAAAATTGAATGAAATCAGTTTCCATGAGTTTTTTAGAGAAAAAAAATGAATAAACCACCTAGGCAATATTTAAATTAAAAATTAATCAATCGGATGGTTTTTTGCTGTATAATTTTCTGTCTTGTCAGCCAATGCAGATATTTATTTAATTCTAAAAAGATACAAGCTTGTTTTCTTATTCTTCAATTTTTTTTTTTTTTTACCAATAATTTAAACTTTTTGTATTGACAGAGAAGAATAATTAATTATAATAAATCAAGAACGCTTTCTAAATTAAAATAAAATGATATTAAGAATTTAACTTGAATGTCACAAAATTTCTTCACGAGGGAATTTTTAAATTTTATATATGTAAAATTATATTTCAGGCACAAATGCTGGGTCATGTCCAGGTCAACCCGAACATGAATTAGAATCTATCAGATTCAATTTTGAATCTCATTTAGAAAACCCCATTCACTGCAACGCATTAAACGCCTTGTATGGAATAAAGATTAGCAAAATAAATCTAAAAAATGTTGAGACTGAAGAAAATGATGTCGAGAGGAAAAGCGCAGACTGTTTGTCTTCGTTTCATTTGCTCCATTTCGTTTTTAACTGTACGGAACTTTTGTAAATACAGCTGAAAATTTAAAATTAATAAATAATAATTTTCAGGTTATTTCCCTGTGGAAAAGAAACAGACAATCTCTGCCTTGTTCAAACTTTACCATTGGAACTTTTATTCCAGCTTTGAAAAACGTCTCAAAGTTCTAATGATGAGAACTATTTTTCCACAAGTGAAGCCTGCTTTTAATTTTGAGAGAGATGACAAAAGTGTCACAGACACTTTTATTGAAGCGTATCCAACAAAGACAATACCTGCAGACGTTCTGCAAAGTCTTCTGCCTTCGGACTGGTCTTCGCAGTGTCTGAATAACTTTGAATGCAAGAATGAAATTGTGTCTTACAATTCGGAATTGCCTGAGGCGTTGCAATTGATGCTAAGCGTTGTGCAAGCTGAAAAGATTGGCAAAGTTGAGAACCCTTATCTCTGGCTGCAGTATAAATTAAAGTTGTGCGAATCTCAAATTGATCCCGAAGAAATAAAATACCTTTTCCACGGAACTAACACGCAAAATGCGGATTCCATTGTGAAAGACAATTTTAATTATCGACTGGCAGGCTCGGCCTTTGGAAATCAGCTCGGCAACGGAGTGTATTTTACATCAAAACTCAAATTTGCAGCTTATTATGCAAAGCGTGATGGGTGCATCGTGTTGGCGCAAGTGCCAGTGGGCCTCGTCTGTAGAGGAAGCAAAAGTGACGTTTTACCCGAACCATATTATCACTCTACTGGCGACGGCAAGCACAAATTTGCAAAGTTCCATGATCACGAGTTTTATCCATTGTATCTGATCTTTCTTAAAAATTCCCGAAAAAAGGTGAAACACAATCAGTTGACCGATAATCTCACCTGCCATTCTACGATCAGTCGAACTTTCTATTCATCCCAGAAGGATAAAATGTTGGCGTAAACAGGGCGAGCTGAAAAAGTTGATGTTATGAAATAATATATAGTTTTAGACACTAATTTTTTTTAGACTTCAAATTTTATAATTCATTTTTTAATAATTAAATTAGGATATGCATTGTATTATTTCAATAGAGCACCGACTGATTAAATGTTTAAACATTAATATAGCTTCTGTATTACATCATCATTAATTTGTATAGTTTTTTATCACAGTGTGGCGGTGATGCCCCTTTCAATATAGACTTTTTATCAGACCTCTGCTACATTTTGAACCAGGTGACTTTAATTTTCCATGATCCTGCGGTGGAATTACAAAAATAATCATCTTTAGATTTCTTCGTCAAATAAGATGTAAATTTTAAACTTTTATTAATCAACATAAAAAATTTCCCAATATATTTCAATTGAAGTAAAAATGCAAACTGGGTGCGATTGATAATGAGGAGGGAGAAAGATAATTCGTTTCGGGGAAAAGTACTTGATGATAATAAAAAGATAAACGAACATTGCATTAAAAAGAGGGTGTCAGTACCAGCAGGACCAAGAACTTGAACTGCTTCTGATGTTAAAGAGTTCTGACACTTCCTCAACATCAGCAAAAGGTAAATTTTACATTTTCTGAAGTAATAGAATAGAATTATTGTTTTGAAATAAAGTAGCTATAAAATTTTCCATTGCAGTTAAATTGGGAAATAATTTATATTAGATAAAATAGCTTCAACTATAAATAAACTATACTGCCTGATTTTGTGATTCTTTTACGAAAAATAACCCGTATGATAAATATTTCAGAAATCACTGCGGTATATGCAGAGCAATTAAACTGGACACAAATAGAAATTTACCAGCGGCGGGATAAGCAAAGAAGAATAATTGACGCGTGATGTGTTTCGGACCAAAATTGATCTCCAATTGTGCAGACTGAGGAAGATAAGTTTCTTCTAAAAAAAATGTTCATTTTTTTACTGTATTAACGGAAAAGTGAAACTCTTAATTAATTATTCAATCAAAAATCAACGACTTGCATTTTAACTTCAACAACGCATCAGATTTTTTTAAGTAATAAAAAACTTCCCCTATTCATTAACATGTGAGCCGCCCTATTTAAAATACTTAAGTGACATCGCAATGAATTTTATCGAAGCTTACAAAACTAAGCATGTTCCTGACGATTTGCTGCAAAGTCTTTTGCCTGACGATTGGTCTCGTCAGTGTGTGATTAATTTCAATTCTGAGGAAAGCATCGTGTCTTTTGCTGCAGAATTACCCACAGCATTACAATATGAATATAATGGATTGAGCAGTTATAAGCGGATTGAGAAGGTTGAGAATCCTTACCTCTGGCTAATGTACCAATTGAAATTGTGTGAATGTCGAATTCAGCCTGACAGTGACAAAATAGAGCACCTTGTACACGGCACATACTCTGGAAATGTGCCTTCCATTATAAGGAACAACTTCAATTATCGACTAGCGGGAAGAAACGTTGGGGTACGCCTTGGGAAGGGAGTTTATTTTGCATATGAATCCCGCTTTACAAGTTACTATGGAAATTGCGTTGTGTTAACAGAAGTACTAAAGGGTAGCGTTCTCTGTAGTGGCAGCTGCAACAATGGTTTACCGCCACCAGGCCACTCCATTGGCGACCCAAAAAGAATTGCTAAATTTTACGATCACGAGTTTTACCCAAAATATCTTATATATCGGGAATGACGGGGGTTTTATACTCCAGTAGATTAATTTTAAGACAACTGAATTTAATCTGTCGTTTTTATTAAATATTGTTGCATTATAAATTTTTTGTTATTTGTATGCTGCAAAATGCAAGAAACAAAAATACTAGTTTGCAAAAATATTTGTATTGCATTAATTTAGCCATTAACTGTGTTTTAAAATCTGGTTAATTCATGTTCATGTGTTTTAAATTTACTTAAAGTTAAATAAAAATGTGCAGCAAAACCCAGAAAAGCATTTTTATTTTTACATATTGCGTAATTCATGGGAGAGAATAATATAAAACTAAATATAGCGCTCAATAAGTTGGCTGTTAAAAAACTTCAGCAAATCATAAATTGGCATTTTGATTAATCTGTTTTCTATTATCGTGTTGGTTAAAATTTTCATAAGGTGACCTGGGTATACAATTAAATAATCTATTGACACACAAAAAAATTTTTTCTCCCATCACAAATAAAGTTGTAAAAATTGGAGACGTAATGTTAATTCTTCTGATAAAGAGAGCTATATATAAAAATTTCGAAGTCTTAGTTTTTGGGAAATCACCAAACATGCAATCGGATTTTGAATCATGTTGTTATCTTTGCTTCATCATAAAACATTTTTTCGGTATTCATATACAATCTCTGTTTATCTGCAAAATTTTTATCAGCTTGCAGTGCAAGAAGAATAGGGAGGTTCTTTTACCATAAAGTATAGCCTTATAGAATAATAAAATTAGTGCTGCGGCACATAATGAAAGCTTATTATCTATGGTTGTTACTGCGAAGTGCAAAGCTATGGGTAAGTCAAATCTGAAAATACTCTCAAATTTTAATTCCAATATAAATATTATGCAAATGAATGAGTTGACATTTTCAGAAACGTTTTTCTCTCCATTCTGTTATCATTTTTTGGCTACAAATGACGTGTAAATTTTCAAGAGCTCATCGCAGTTTGCAGTGAAGAATGGTATAAATATAATAACATATGTTATTATATTTATGTTTAATAATAACAAAGCGAAACTGTGACCTCGGGATGGTTATACTGTTACACGTATGCGCATAGTATATGAATGTCTTGTAATTTGCAACTCAACTTATCTTCAGTCTTCAGTCTGGTGCCATATCTGCCTTGCTTATGACAGACACTCAGTTATTAAAATTTATAGCAAAAAGGAATAGCAGGGAGCATTAATTTTCGTTAATTTTATCAAAGTAATTATTTTTTTCAATTAACTTTCTAGTAAATTGTATTTAAAATACTTGGATCTTAACTGCACTCTGAGATGGGCCGCAAAATAACGGGTTCCTAGTAATTGTATCTTTATCAAGACAAATATTTCCAACTTTGTTCGAAATTTTCCGCTAATTATAAAATCATTTTTTTTTAATTTCAACCCGTTTATATTTCCAAATTTAAATCTCCTGTAAAAGCGGGTGTGCGACCTGAGTCGCGCCGATATCATGAGTTCTCGTTTCAGTGAATTTATTCATTTCAATAGATAGGAAACCTCCTTGTCGACATTTCCCCCACCCAAGCTTGTCCTCTAAACGTTTGCTGGCTGTACAGAAACAGAGAAGCCTTCTCAATCTCATTCATTTTTGGACAGCTCATGAAAAAAGGTTCCCTCTTTGCAGCGCAGAAAAGTTCCTCAGCACAGATTAGATGAACCCTGAAGTGAATCGTGTGCGTTGCTAAATTGAGAATAGTAAGTTCTCACGCACAGCTTCTTGCCGTTGTGTTTTTTCCATCTTGATTTACAAGATTATCTTTTTGCTGTCAAGATGGGAAACTGCAATCGATTTTTTTTCATTATACAGTTAGGTCATTTTTTCACGTTATAAAATTTAATTTTTGAAAACAAAAAAATTGGTAGATAAATCTATTGTGCCATGTTTTAATCCACCTTTTTTTCAATTTATTTGTTTACAGTTTAAAGCAAAATGCTACTATTTTTTCCATTTTGTGCGCGTTTCCTTTCACTCTTTGTCACTACCATGATGTGCAAGAAATCTTTCTTAAAATCCTTTTAGTCGATATTCTCTCAAATTGTGTTCAATAATGAACAATACAATCATCGCCCAATTTTCTTGTTCGAATTTTAAACCTGTGTATACCAATAAGTCCATTTTAAAATCTTTAAAAGAAAAATAAATTATTTTATTTGCTTCGAGCTGAATTTTTTGTACCTGTTTCAATTGAAATTTAAAATTTTGAAATATTTTGAATTTTAATTTCTTACTTCGAGCCCTAGAGACGATAAAACTTGATATTAGTCATAATTATTACCCATGATTCTTTCATTCTCCTTTCTTTTCATTTTTTTTTTAAAATCTCTTTCTAGGCATAAATTTAATAAATGTGTAAGAATTCTCATTATTTTTTTTTTAAATTGCCAGCTGGAAAATATACATTTCATAATTCATGCGTTTATAAAGTATTAAATATTTCTTCTCTGTCATGTGTTTCAGTTGTGCTGTAAAAAGAAATAGGCCAACATGCAATCTCAACAGAACAATGTTCTGGACGACCATCTGCGTCGCCTGACCAGCGAGGAGCGCCTTCGTCTCGCGACTGCTTTGGCCGAAAGCGGAAAATTCGCGACCTGCTCTGCTTCTAGCGGCGCCTCAAACCTCAAACACCGGCGCCCGAAACCAATCGCGCCGACACAAACTTTGGCCCCCCAGGCCCCTCTGCCCCCAGTCAGTGTAAAACCAGACAAATCGAAAAAGGAGGAAAAGGAAAAACCCAAGGAAGAAGAAGTCACCGTCACCGTTATCCAGGCATTTCCGACCAAATACTTCAGCGACGCGGTTCTGCAAAGTCTGCTTCCGAGTGACTGGTGGTCCTCGAGTGTGAGCCAGTTTAACTCGAGGGACGCAGCCCCCCTTCGAAGGCCGGTCAACATTTTCCACCCGTTTTTCCTCAGCCTCAACCAGGCCTTGCAGGGTCAAATCTTCTGCATAGAGATGGTCGAGAATCCGTACCTGTGGCTCATGTACCAGCTGAAGGCCGTCGAGACCGTCCCGTTCTTCAACAGCACCGAGGTTTTGCTCTTCCACGGCACCAAGACTTCCAACCTGCACAACATTTTCAACGACAACTTCAACTACCGACTTGCCGGCACGTCCGTCGGACACAGACACGGCCGCGGGGTGAATTTCTCCTCCAACCCCCAGTTCTGCGTGCGCTTCGCGCAAAGGGGCTGCATCGTGGTGGCGCGGGTGCTGCGGGGCGTCACGTCCCCCGGCAGTGCGGACACCCTGCTGCCGGCGCCGTTTTGCGACTCGACGGGAAATTTCGCCGGCGACATAATTGTCAAGTACCACGACCACGAGTTTTATCCAGAGTTTCTCGTTCACTTAAAAGCTTGAATTAATTGACTGTAAATTCAAAAGCTATCTAAACTTCACAGTGACCAACAAAAACTTTTTAAACTTGAGATTTGTAAACAATTACAAATTATTTTAATGTTTTTTATAAAACTGTACAATTTATTTATAGTTCCTGTATTGCAACTATGCTAGAAACCAGAAAGAATAGAAAGAATTCTTTTATAAGAAGAAAATTCAAACCTCTTTGTTGTAATTATAACAAAAATAAGCCATTCACAAAAAAAATCGTAAAGAGAAATTAGTTCTTTTATTTTTTACAAAAAAAAATCATCTTATTCAAATGAGTATAATAATTTTTCAGCGCGTCTTTGTTTCTTGGTGCTGGTGCTTAATATTATTTTGTTTAAGTAATTCACAATAATTAAATATAATTAATGGCGGAAATGCAAATCACAGGTGGGCCTTTTAATTATAATCATATTGTTTAATACATCTATAATTCATGCTCTTAGCTCAGTAAAGCTTTTAAAGGTGTTAGAAATAATCTAAAATTAACGCTTTTCTAATAAAAAAAATGTATGTTCTTTTTATGCCATTTAAATTTGGATTTATTTTCGCCTGCACAGCAACGCCTTGTATACGTTACTCTCTACACCTTCCTCTTCATGCGCCTATAAAAGAACTCTAAGGGGAGCTATTCTCCATGCAAACTTAAATTTAGTCCCCTGAGTTTACAAGAAAAAGTGCCATTCAATAATCAAATCTCCTCAGGGCCTGCGAATTTGCATATATAAATTACACCGATTTCCTACACACGCCAATGAAGTCGTTACCCTTTATCTGATGCAATAAGTCTCTCTGCGTCAAACCCTCCAGTTTTCGCTGAGCGCATCAAACTCTTGGCATCTTTATAAGCGCTCCTGCATTTTTTCCGTCTTGAAAAGAGGAAGAGGGAAGTGAAGTAAACCGGGTTGTGTTCTTCTTGAATATGTTCTTATAATTTTAATTTTTATTTAAAAGGGACAAAGAAATCGACAAAATGCCAGTTTCGGTCATGATCTGTGCTCCTTATTTCATGATCGAGAAAAAAAACAAAAATAATATTATATTTATGCAGTATTAATGTTTATAAAAATATTTTTTTATGTTGCATATTACGATTGTTTTCGCAACAAAAAGTTTGAACACTGAGAAAATAAACAAATTTCATCTCAAGGCAAACCAGAGTGGTTTTTAGAGAGAGAAAAAAAAAATAGAAAAATATAAAGCCTTCAAAGGTGCATGTTGAGTTTATTGAAGCGCGCGCCCTTGATTTATTTTCACAAAACTCTCAAGCTTTTCTTGTGACACATCTGTCAGCATTTTAAAATGATGCATGCCCCACAGGGTGCCACGCATTTTTTGAAAGCATCTTGGCTCCTTCTTTCTGGACGACAGAGCAATTTGTGATTCTCAGCAGAGAAGATAGAGAAAGAGCTCAGCAAGTTGGCGGCCCCCCGAGCGGCCAGTGCATTTCCTCCCCAAAAAGAAAAGCAGCAGTCGCGTCTGACTCACTTCTGGAAATCGGCGCCAGTCTAATTTTCTTCTCCAATGCCTGTGTGACAAAAAGCGATTATGCTTTATGGTCTGTGCGAGACCCTTCTTCACCTATTGTTAATGATCCCGATTCTGAAAATAAGGCGAAAAAGTATGAGACTAATCTCTTTACATTGCACAGAGGGGTTCAAACTTAAAAAAATCCCTAGGAGAGATCTCAACAGCTTGTATGAAAAAAAATCCTTTCCAAGGAAACCAAACTCCAACAAGCTGCAATTTTCGAAGAAAAACCCCAATCATATTGTGAAATTGTGAAGCGACTTGTGAACAAAAATTAAATTTTACATTTTATTACATCCTGTTACGCTTTTTTTAAATTCTTTTTGAAAAAAATTGACATTTTTTCAATTTGTAAAATAATTTTACGATTAAGAAAGTTGATTCATATGATGTTTGAATTGAAATTTGAATTTTCCTAAATGGGTTATTGTTTTACTTAGCGAGGAAATTTGATATTATGGTTCAAAAATCATTTATAAAAAAATAAATTATAATTACATAGAGGAAAAATCGTTATTGTTGTTTATTTGTCTAAATTTTTGCATCACATTGTTTACATTCAGTTGTTGAAAATAATTAATTTAATAAAAAAAAGGAATTGCTGGGTAAAACTGCACCACTGCTAGCAAAAACTTTGCTAAAGCTTGGAGGCAAAAAAGATACCATTCGCCGCAGAGAGCATCGGTTGGTGCATTTAAAATAAATTGAAAACACATTTTATTTCAGTTACAACAGATTTAAAAAAAATGTAATTGCATAATATATTTATAAATTAGTTTCAATTTTGGGTTTGAGGAAAGGGAATTTTTTAATAATGGGGTGAATGGGCTTGATTTATATTATTAAGAATGTCGTTTAGTATTTTTGTTAATTCTGGTTAAAATTAATAACATAGAGTTCGTGAAAAGTTATTTAATATTAAATCAATCTAAATGGTTTTTAAATTATCTGAATTTTCTTTAAATCTTTTATGTTCATGGCTCAAGTCATAATATATTTAATTATTACATATTTATGATATTGTTTCACATCAAATTGTTTTTCTAAATTATTTTTTAATTTAGATAAATAAATAATAATAAATAAATACTTGAAATTTTATTTTTTGCAGTTTTCATGTTATATGCATTTAATATTTACTCATTAAATTATTTATTTAGAAAAATTTAAATTATGTTAATATAAAATAAAAAATAATAATAACATGCAATTTATTTAAGATGGAATTTTTTTTTAAATTTTAATTTATGAATTAAGTTTTGAAAACCTTGATGTGAGCGTTGAGCACAAGGTTGTTCCGAAAATGATAGCGTCAAAAGTGGATTGGCAGCCTAACTCTCTCAGTCTCAATGCACATCTCTAATCTACATTGTAATTTTATTATGCAATTTTGACAGTGAATTTCTCTTTTTAACGAAAACACTCAATCTATATAAAAAAGCGAAAAAATTCTCATTTTATTTTGCATTTTTTCAACCCAAGGCCTCAACCTTCAGTTTAAAAAGCGCTGCATGCTGCAAACTGCATCACGCCGCAGTTGCCCTGAAATTAATAGGCTCTTTTAAGGTAAATTGTGTTACAAAAGTGCAGTGACCGCTTTGCCCTCGCGTATACTTTGTAAGGAAGAAAGCGCAACATAGTGTGCGCCACAAACTCGTTTGCCACGCCGCTTTTGCAGTGCAAACGTCTTAACTGAATTTTAAATAAATAAAATTCGTGGCACATAAGAAATATTACTTGTTATGACAGTTTTTTAATAGAAAAAAGGAACATATACCTCGCGGCTCGCGGCCCGCGCGCACATCACAATTTATTATTGACAATTTTATTAAATTCTTTCTCATTTATTGTACCCGACCGTGCAGCTGCATGGGGTTGCGGGGTTGCGCATACACTGATGATTGTTGAGGGGAGTCAGGGAGTTGGTCAGTCATCTGCCTTCTTCCTTCTGCGCGTCGAGGACTCTGCACTCTGGAATCTGGAATCAGTTGGCTTTGGAAAGGAGAGCAGAGCGGGTCGCGCTTCCTAGCTGCTGCGCATCTGTTCCGTGTTCTGCGTGGTTTCTAAACTGCCTGAATTTTTCTCGGAGACTCTCTACTTCCCACAGCTGAAAATTAGCAAGTAAGTGCCTAGTGTTTATACATGATATTATTTAAATCATCTTGAATAATAATTATTCAGACTACAAAAATTTTGACCCAGGAATTGTGTATTACTTTAAAATCATATTGTATTATTTATTCTTCTCGGTCGCAACAAATTTGAAAAGAGAAAAAAAATCATGGAAATAGAGAAAAAATGATTTATTTTTATGCCTGTTTTCTTATAATTACTTAAATGCTATATTGTACTCATTGTAATCGCATCAAAACTTCATTTTTATTTATTGCATCCGTGCGCGTTCGAAACTCTACCTACAATCCCAGGAAATTAAAATTTTCAATTCCATTTATAATTTATTGTTGAATATATCAATTTTTTCCTAACAGTTACAAAGAATCGAATAAAAAAAAAAAAATGGTTGGGAGAAATTTTTAATCAACTTGCAAAACATAAATTATCTGAATTTGTTTTGATTGGGAGATATGGAAGAAAGACCAAAGGCAAAGATCTCTCCTGAGGGTGGCACCTGCAATAATAATTTTAAATTTTACTGTTGCTGAATTTTGACATCGTTGTCTACATAGTTTGTATGGTAGCTGTGCGTTGATTCCTATGTCTGGGTTGCAAAATTACCCGTGGCGGAAGAAATATAAGGCGCGATATCAACAGTTTTCTCGAGCCACAGGTTTTATATCCGAGCCGATCAACTCCTGTTCCTGCTGACCCAATTAATTCATGGCAGGTACTAATTTAATTTGAATAAAGTATCCCTCTGCATTATCTTCATCGGCTATTTCATGAAAAATATTATTTGGAATACGAATTTGGGTTAAAAAAATTTATATAATTTTTTTTTATCCGAACAATTATTTTTACATTTTCATAATGCAAATTTTATGTAGAAAATAGAATAATTAAGTATTGATTAATTATGTTTTCAGTCTCACTATTCATTGCTTCATCACAATTATGCCAATTATGTAAATAAAATATTAATTAAAATGCCAACTTCGACGGCGCCATTCTGATTGAAGGGGTCGCGCAAATTATTCTTCTTTTAAAATACTATTGTAAAGTCAATCTCGATGAGCAAAGAGCGTCTGTGCAGTTTGTGTTTTGTTGGTCAAAGAAATAGATCTGCTGCATTTTCCGTCCCCCTTTTGAGATATAAACAGGAGCGACGCGCGCTTTTAGAGGGAGAATTTTCCACACTCGTATCGCCTAAATGGCCTAAATTGCCTCGCCAGGCGCACAAACGATTTTGTTTTGGTGTCGCCAAATGTCTTCTCTTGACTTGGAATTAGGGGAGCCAAAATCTGCGGCCTGATGGTCGCGCATTTCATAAACCCTTTAGTGAGAGGCATCTCCCAAATTCTAGCTGACAAAGCGTCAATGTCGCGGAAAATTGAGCTCCGGAAAATTTGGAGGGATTAAGTGTCGCTGGTAATTATTATATATATTGGTCGACAAATTACTCAGACAAAAATTTGCTGATTCCAGTTTATCTTTAAAAAAAGAGTAAAGACTAATTTTTATTCAATCAAAGTGATCAAAATATCGGTGCGCGCATTCATATTTTTTAAACTTTTTCATTGCGGGCAAATTTCGAATTTCGTCATCTAATATTGCGCAATATGTAATTAATACACCTGCCGGGTTTATTAAAAAAAAATTTTAATTTTCAAAAAAAATTTAAGTGAGACAAGATTATGTTTGCTGTAGGGAAAATTCGTGCATTTATTTTTATTCTTGCTCCCGCGCATTGGATAAAAAGTTAACTGCAGCGGCCAAGTCTCTTTTGATGTCAGACGTTTTAGTATCAGCAGAACTGCTAGTTGTAAACCTCTGCTGCTCTTTTTTTCCAATTTAAAATGTGTGTATCGACAGAGAAGAATAAATATTAAATGTTTTGTGTTGCGCTATTGCGATTAATTCAAATTATTGCAACCTCAGCATAACATTTTGAAGTTGTATAATAATGTTCAGTTATTGTTCTTTGCTTGCAGAAAATCTTGACAGGACGTTGTGCAAGTCCGTTGCAGACAACTTGAATTTTATTGATTTTAATTGGTGAGTTTTTCTTTTCCTTAATAAATTTTTTAGTGAAACAAATAGCTCTTCAAACTCTGTAATTTGATTGCCTTACTCCGTTACATACTGAAAATATATAATGGACTTAGACTAAATTTAAGAAAATAATTAATCGTACATTAATAGAAGGATAATTATCAATTTCGGTGTTTTTTTTTATACATTATGAATGTTTTTCCTTTAAGATTTTAATTAATTTGTGTGGAAAACTCAATGATTTGAAATTGACATCGATAGTTAGTGCAAACTGCGAATAAATAGCAACAGGTTTAAAGTTTTAAAATCATGCTTGAAGCTCATTTTTGTTACTTATATAATATGTATTTTTTTTAGTTCATAAGAAAAATAATAATGGAACGCTAAATAATTTTTTTATTTTTGTATTTATTAATAATCTGAATATTTAATTTATTTTATTTATGTTTCAGGAGCCTTTTGTAGCGGGTAGCATGTACAGCTCCTGTGAACCAATGCATCCTTTTCCGATGAAGCCGCCCGTTTGGGAGTCGCCCGTTTTTAGAGAATCCTTGCAATCTTGGATGGGCGCATTCCATAATGACCACATCCCGCAGCACAGCCAGTTTTTCTACGAAGAGCGTCTTTGTCAAACTGGTCCTCAGCAACCCCCAACACAACACGTCCCACCCATGCAGTTCAGAAGGCCACTCACCCCAAAAAGGCCTAAGCCCATCGGACTGCTCCGGCAAAATTTCAAGAGGAAACTTTCCAAGATCAACCAGAAGAAGAAAAGTTTCATTCGAAGTTTGGTGAAATGTACCACTTCCGTCTTCACAAAAGTCAAAGAAGCCCCGGTCAAAGAAAACACCGAAAACCTCAACTTCCTGCAGGCCTACCCTACAAAGAGCTTTTCGAACGCAGAGTTGCAGAGTTTGCTACCTGAAGACTGGTCCAGGGTGTGTGTGGAGGAATTCAATGAGTTTGAGGTCATTCGGCGAGAGGTCAACATGGAGCACCAGTCCTTCGAAAGAATCCACAGGGCCTTCGAAGGTCGGGTGCAGATGATCGAGAAAGTCGAGAACCCATACCTGTGGCTCATTTACCAGCTGAAGAGGATGGACTGTGAGAAGATGCACAACAGCGCCGAGCATTTCCTTTTTCACGGCACCAGCGGCAAAAACGTCTACAGCATCATCAAGAACAACTTCAACTACCGCCTGGCCGGGTCAAGTGTGGGTCACCGCTCTGGCAAGGGCGTCTATTTCACGTACAGCGCCCACTTCAGCGAGCTGTACGCCCGGAACGGAGGACGCTGCGTCCTTCTGACCAAGACGCTGGTGGGCCGCATGTCGGTGGGCTCGGAGGACACGGAACTGCCCGAGCCAGCCTGCGACACCACCACAAACGGACGCTCCATAATCGTTAAGTACCACGACAACGAGTTTTACCCGGTCCTCCTCATTCACTTGACACCACAAAACAAGTTTAAAAGCTAATTATTGATGGACTAACTATGAATAATTATTTAAGTGATCGACTGAAAGTGGAAATCTTCTCAATTTTGTTTTGTAAATATTTTAGCAATATAGAATTTTGTAATAAATAATTTATATTGAAAACATTTTACCTCCCATGTCTAGTTTTGTTACCTATTGCCTAATCGTACATATGTATAATTCATGCAGATGCATTTTTATTATTTAGAATAAGAAACTTGACCTACTAAATAGCAAATAATTCAGTTAATTAGTTTCAACTATGATAATCTACAGCTCCTTTTTTTAATTTCATTGTAAAATTTCATATTTGACAATTAAAATCATATATAAAAAAACCACTAGTTACTCTAGCCATTTTTTTTTTCAAATTTAGCATTCACAGCCAGAGAAATTTGGTCGGTAATATTACTGTTTATTATCATAGGATGGGTGATTATAGGCAACCTGCGAAACGTTTACGTAAAACAGGTTGCTCCTGTCAAATATTTCAGGCGATTTTAACTTTTAACTCTCAATGAATTTTTGATTATGACTATAAATTATGTGAAACCTGAAACTTCTGGCTATCCGCGCACGGGACTTCAACACCCGATTGTATTAGTCACGTTTGCCTTTTTCTCCCCTCAGCTTAATTCTTTTACCTCTCTGGAATCACATCAACTTCACTTCGCGGCCGTAGGGATGTTCCTTTTTGACCGCTTGCACTACTCATTTTTATTTTTATTATTTAATAGTTTTGGTGTGGAGCTTCAGAGGTAAAAACGCAAAACTAATTTTCTCAGATGATTAATTGAAAATTTAATTGTTTATTTCAATTATCCTAACATGCTATAATTTTCATTTGAAAGTAAAAATTAATAAGTTGCCGGCCTTAATAAAGCGGAGAAAGTTCCATTCCTGCCCCACAAGTCCACAGCTCTGACGCGATACTCCTGTTCGGAGCCTGCATGGTGCCATTGCGTCAGGATGGAACCGTGCGTCAGGGTGCGCCAGTCGCCGTCAAAACCACTCCGACCTTGCACCTCATAGCCCAAAAGACACCTAAAAAAATTTTACAAAGAAGTTTAATCAAATTCGAATTTCAAAGTAAATGGTTTACAATTACAAGATCTTACTGCAGAAATTAAAACATTACATTTTTCCACGATGAAAAATGGTTTTTGCATTAAATAAACAGATTGCTCTACCAGTTCCGTATGTGTTAGTCAGCGAGCAGCGCGTTTGCTCATGAAATAGGGGCACCGCAGTCTGTGACCGAAACTGGTAGAGCCGTCTTATTTTTGAATAAAATAATTGAAATAAATATTTGCGCGCACGAAAAAATTGACTTGCCTAGTTCCAACGTCTTGGTCGCTCCAAAGTAAGAGGGTTTCCCCCGGCGCAGGTTGGAGAGTTTCCAGGTTGGTCGGAGCCCTGGGCAAGGCGTCCCTGCGACTGCAGACTTGGACGAGGGCCACGCTCGGCAGACGCAGCGTCAACGAGAGACGCGGCGTAAGCGGCGCCGACGCCACCGCCCGATACGGACCCTGCGCGTCTCGCATGCGACGTCTCAGGGCGGTTTCCGGCGTGCTGGGGCTGCCGGCGTCGCGCCAAACGCGCCACGGATTCGTGCGGGCGTTGTCGAGGAGGAAGACGGTGTAGCGGACGTCAACGCATCGGGCGCCCACGCAACGCAGCGGCAGGTCCACACTGATGCTTTCCTTGAAATCTGCTTTTGTCTCGTCGCCGAAAGAAATTATCGTGGCGCCCTCAAAGTCTTCTGCATCGCTCCAACAGGCGCCGGATATAATTGTCAAACTAAAAATTAAAACATTTTTTAAAAGGGATTTTCCTGTATAATATTAACAGGTATTTTGAGAAAGAATTAATTATGGTCTAAAAAAACTGATTAAATTAAATAATAACATTTTTAGTTCTGGAGGATTAGTAACGCAAAATATTGTTTTTCTTCAATTTAAATAATTAAAAAATACATTTTGTATTTGAAAATAGCAAAAAACCACTCCCTCTAATTTAGGGGCCATAAAAAGATTCCGCGCGCAAGGGAGTGACTCGAAATGTGTGTGAGTATAATATATCCTCAGGCTAGTTGATAAGACCTGGAATTAGTTGGAACAGCTGTCCTAGCCTGTAGTGGGTGGCAGATGGTAAATTTTTTAATCCCTTTTAATTAAATTTGTAATTATATCAGACATTTCTTGGTTATCTTTTTATGGCTCATCAATATTATAATTGTTATAATTAAAAAATTAGATTTGCACCGGTCATCGTCAATACTGGTGGTAGATTCAATGCGTTTGTCGCCCAGTAGAGACAGCAAAGCCAAGCTGACGGCCACTGGCTTGAGAAAAAAGTGGGTCGAATTGTCCGACTCGCGAAATCGAGCTAAAAGCGTGCGCTGCGTGAAAAAGTGCGGCGCCTGCGGAAGAAACGCGTTGTCGTTGCTAAGAAAAGAGACGTCGTCCAGGAGACGTCCGGCCGTCCGCACCACCATCGCCGCGTATCGCACGTCGGCGCGCCACTCGCGAGGTTTCCACCACCCGCTTAATGGGTCAGCTTCACTATAATTGTATATAAAATGATCAATTTTGAGATGAAGTACAAATTTGACTCAACTCATTGGTGATGGAGAGATTTCCGAGTTTAGGGTAGCGAGCACGGATTTCTTTAATAACAGCTCGCGTTCCTAGGATGACCTTAAAACACACGTAATTACAAATTTTAGTTCAAAAATAATAATTTAAAAAAAAAAAATTGTTTTATAAGAATATCAAAATAATTTTTTTTTTTAAATTTTTCATTAGTGATCTTTGACTTTTCTTAAATTATGGAATATTAAATATTTTAATTAGTTATTAAACCACAAGAATCAAAAGTTTGCAATTAAAAAAAATATATATAGCAATTTATAAATTATTAGTTATTAGCTACAAAACTTAAACTAACTTATTTATAAATTTACTGTTTTTTTTTTTGCAAGACATTTTAAAATTGATTTATTAAATTATATCGAATTATATTATGTTTATAGGTAAAACTGATGAGTTGATTAATTTTTTGACGTTATATTTACCAAAATGTTTTTGTTAAATACCTTTTTTTATTTAATGTAATATATTTTATTAAATTCAAGGTAGTTTTTCTTTATGCTTCTTCTTATTACCTGATCAGCACTTTCGCTTCCCTTATGATGAAATGAGAGAAAAGAAAGTACGTCTTGCGGATTCGTAGTTTTCGCCACCTCGTCAAGCACCTCCCAGCAGATGCGGTGGCGCGGCCGAAAAATTCCTGCCGGTCCTCCGACCCGCAGTCCTGCATCTCTGAGCGCGTCGACGACGGCCCGGAAGTAAGCAAAGTACGCAGGCACGGTCTGGTTCCAGTACTGACGAAGGTCGGGCTCGTTCCACGTTTCCCAGCGCCAGAGCCGCGTCTCGTTGGCGCCGTACGCTGCCTGGTAACGCGCGGTCATTTTGAGCAAAAGGTCGCGCAGTCGACGGCGGTGAATCTTGCTGATGAACGTCCCGCCCGTAGGATTGCCCATGAGCTCAAAAGCAGGGCGCAGGTTGTGGCGCCGAAGATGCGCCACCGTCGAGTCCAACGTGGTAAAATTGAAGGTGACGTGTTTTTCATCACCGGGAATTTCACTTTTAAATATATAATTAGTTTCTAATTTATTTTTAAATAAATGAATTTTATCAGAATTAAGTTCTATTTTATTCAAAACTTTGAATCTAATTTTTTTTTTACTTTTGTTCAATGTGTTTATTTTACCTAGCATTTACAAAGTCCAGAAGCCAGTGGATTCGCACATGAGTTAAAGCACCATAGCGCAACGAGCCAATTATCGCCAATCCGTGGTTCTCGTCCTTAGTCAAGTCCAGTGGCCACGTCCAATTTGTTGTATTTCGTAACTCCGGGCTATGATTCATTCATTAAGTTAGTTTTAAATTGAAGTTTGCCGTAAAAGGTTGCCTTTTAATTTTTCATACACATTTTTAGTTGTGAAAAAAATTGCGTTTTTTTTTACAAAATTGTGCGGAACTTCCGCGGATTGCAGTTTTATGATGTGCAACAGAGAGTAACTAATACAAATTTATTTGAAGTTTACACAAAATAGTAATTTAGCACATTTACTTGCACATAATTAACGTGGATTATTAACAATAATATCAAATTTAGTTTAGACGCGATGACTATATGCAGTGGACAAATAAAAAGTAATAATAAACAAAAATTAATGCTGATCAAAATATCGCGTCCACTCACAAAAACATCAGGACTTGGTGTAATATGTTTGAAAAAAGTGCTCATTTGCTCAATCGATATGTCTTGGCCAAACCACCCTTCGTTATTGAACTGACCGGCACAATGTCATGAGCTATAGCTACCCCACAGACTGTTTAGTCTAAGAGCTACCCCTACATTACATTAGTCATGGGCAGCTGGCAGCAGCCTTCAAACAATTATGTAGTCGAATCAAAAGCTTTTTCCAGCCCAGACTTTTTGCTGGCAACTTATTTTATTTCATTGAAACCGCTCAATAGAAAATAGAAAAAATTAATTTAATTATTACTTTGTTATTTCCTAAAAATTGACGGCATAAAAAGAGGATCTCACCTAAATCCCGTTGAAGTCCATATGTGAGGGAGCGGCCGCACATTATCTCCGTCAGGAGTTTGCAGGTCTATTTTCAGGGCGCCGCCAATCCCCAGCAACAACGACACAAGCAGTAAAAGCAGCATCATTTGTAGTTGTGTGGCTGATCAAGAGGTCGAAGGTCCCTTGATTAATTTTGAATACTGCTTTGTCAACAACCAAAGCAACGCATCAGCAAAAGCACTCGTCATCGCCAGAAATGCATAATCAAGAAAACAAATTTCTCTCCATGCTTGAATCTTTTGAAATGGCAGTTTTCTATTTTAACAGGCAATTTAAATTAACATTTTAGTGCAGTTTTGGCTTATTGAGCTTTATATACTTTATATAACCCAAGAAGTACATCCCGCGCATTTTGGCAAAATCTGCGAGGTGGTGCCATCTATAGAAAATATATATAAACAATTCAACGAGAACTTGGGACCACAGTTAGAAATTGGTACAACTCTGTGCTTGGGACCAACTCGGAACTTAAAACTTGAGGCATAATTCATATTTATAATGGTTTTTAACTCTTCAGAGAGAAATGCCGACTTTGTTGTTTAAGAATTCAAAAAGTGGATAAAGTATTTAATAAGGAATTGTCAGTTAAAATTTGCCCACGAGTAATAATTATTTTAAATACTTTCGATATTATTTCATTCCTAATTGACTCAAACTTAAAATCATTTTCCCAAGTAATTCAAGAGATGTGTATTTTCAGTAGGTAAAACTCATGTATAACCAAAATTTGGTATTTAATGGTCATCCTTATATTAACACAGAAGCATTCTTTTTGAAGTCAAACGTCCAGAGGGAAATTATTTTTTCTGTGGAGCCTTCTGCGTTCTGGCTGCTGCTCTCTCAGCGGCCCTCTTCAGCTGCTGGGCTGGCTTCAGGTTGTGCTTGCGGGAAAATTTAAGGTTCTTCAGGAATTTGGAGTCAACCTGCAAAAAATGTGAACAAATTTGAATGAGTTTTTTTCTGCACCATATATAAGAGACTATTAAATAAAATTAAAAAACTGAAAAGATTTGGATATTTCAACTTACGCCACGGGTGTGATCGCTTCTGAACCTCTTGGGCTTCTTGATTCCATTTCTGTGGTCCTTACGGTCTATAAATTAAAATAAAGGTTTTTATTAAAATCCACCAATTTCACTGGAAATTATAATTATAATGCATAAGCTCCAGTGCAAAAATACGGGAGACAAATAACTCTTCAAATGATTGTCAATGAAAATATAATTTTTTTATGTACATAATTGTAAAACAATGCAAAATTATTTATTTCGTCAAAATTAAACTGTGATGCCAACAAAAGTTGTATCCTAATTTATTTATGGTCCATTTACATTTACAACTCTGACAAGCCGCTTTTGTTTAGAGTTTTTACCAACATGCATTAAAAGGCCCAGAGGCCAGAAAAAATTATTTTTCTAAAACTAAAAGACTAAGAAAAAATCAAGGAATTGGGAAATAAATTGCGATGAACAAAATCTTCATTTATACTTACGCTGGTTGTGCGCCGTGTGGTTCTTCGACTTTGCCATGATTTGTTAAGATTTCTGAAATAAAATAAGAACAACTTTTCAGTCAGAGGTTGTAAACAAGAAACATGCTGGCAAAATGAGAAACGACGGGATCGCTAGCTTTTCGTAGTGAATTTAACGATGAATACGCGAACGACACAAAAACTAATTGTGCGAAACATTAAAAGAGATATTTATGAACGCGATGAATTCATAAAATATTACAATTCACATAATTTAAAGAAGATGATCGAGGATAAAATAAATTATCTCACCTCTACGCACGGGAAACACAACACGAAAGTCGAAATTTTACGATCGTATAAAGTGGGCGTAACGAAAACAAAGTTTTAAAAACCACACCCCCTCTTTGGCCGTCAAAGGAAGAAACGTCATGTTTGTTTATTTTTAATTTACTACATACTTGTTACTTGTATTTTTTTCGTGGATTCAAGTTATCTTTAAAAAGAAGGCTAATTTTTTTTAGTAGATAAAATCATATTTGATAAAATCACCAATCTACAGTATTGTTTGATTATTTCTTAAAATTAAAATTTTATTGCAATAGGTGAAGCCGGCAAAATCCTCTCCATAATTGTTTTGACGTGTCTCTTTTGGTCCGAAGTCGAGGAATTTTTTTAACAACAGCGCTGCACGGGATAGACGCAGCAAGATGACGATGCTCATGCAGTGGCTGCAGATTTTGGTGCCTGCTGGCGTTTTGTGGGCCACCGTGACCTACACGGCACTCAAGGATAAGCCATTCCAGGACCAGGGTTCACCTTTTGTACAGCTCATCATTCTTTTACCGTTCCTGGCAGTCATAGCTCTAGGGGTGAGAGCAACTAATATTTCTCACCAATACATTTTTGCCTTACTCAAATATAAAAAAAACTACATTACCCTGAGATTAAAAAAAAAATGTTAGTAAATTAATTTACTTTTTCTTATCATTTTTTCAGTTGTATGCCGTTTTTACTGTTCTGTGGAAAACGTTATATTTTAATGACTGCACAGAAGCATCAGAGGATTTGAAAAAGGTGAAATAATTTTTTTTTTTAATTTCATTAATAACTTGTGTTTAATTATTTGTTTTTTCAGGACATAGCTGAAGCAAAAGAATTTTTGAAGAAGAATAAATTAATTGACACTGAAGAATAGTCCATCACAATTATATACACACTAACTACTCATGTTCTGATGTTGAAATCAAATAAAATATTTTTGTCAGGTTAAATTTTTTTAAATGGAAATGATTTCCTTTGAAGATGTGAGAAATTTCAATATACATAATGGAATTGCATGGAATAACATTTAAATTTTGAAACCATCTTGCAGAAAATGTTCAAAGGCTAAAATTATTGCTCAACCAAAACTTAAAATTAACTTGCACACAGTACCAAATCTGTAGATCTAACTAAGGCCTGGTGGCTCCAGTCTGAATCTGCTCCTCAGAAAAATGCGTTTTGCCAAATTTTAGCGACTCGGACTTTTATCGAAAGGGCATGTCGAGGCAGGCCCCGTCTTCTTGACCTCTGAGTGGAAGTTGTGCAGTCCAGCTTCGATTTCCTTCATGACTGCCTTGTGATCATTTTGCAAACCTTTAAGCAATTTTAAAATACAATCCGCAATTTTTTGAAAATATTAATTTACGGATGATTTTGTTCCTGGCATGTCGTACTTGATAAACGTCAATGTCGTTCCTCGGAAAATCCTCACCATCAACAAGGGTTCCGTGCATCCCAACGTTTCCATTCTAAAAATATGTATTGCACACAATAATACAAATGCTTAAAATTAAGCTATCAATATATGTATTATAAATTTTAGCCGTGTGGTAATTAAATTTTGTGTCTAACTAAATTTAACAACAAAGAAGGGAATTTAATATTTTTCAGATGACGTTAATTTTTCACCGTTCGTAGGATGTCGTGGAAACATTTTATCTCCGCCTCGATTGCCTCTTTTTGTTTCATAAGCTGCAAGACCGCGTTCCTGGCAGAATCTGCAGACTCATCTGAGAGGAAAATGGGTTAATTTCACAAATTTGTTAAACGAAGTTAATTAATCACCAGTTTGACGGTTCATATTGCTCACTCTTGAAGTCTTTGAAAGAAAATAAAGGAGATCGCGCAGTGCTTTATCCGTTTTTCGATTGCGAAGGTTTGAAGAAACAAAGTGTAAAATTGTGAGTTTCTGCGCTCTTCTCGACGTCTTGTTTTCAAATTTCCGAATAAAATTTTGCGGAAGGCTGCTGAGAGTCGACCACTGCCACCTATCAGCCAATGAGATAACTCAGGTCTATGACGTAGCCACGTCTATCAACCAATAGGAGTTCAGGAATGGAATTTTGCCGCTGATTGTCAACAACAACAAGAATTTTCTCCAGAAACAAAAAATTTGGTCGAAATTAAACTCGTTAAGGCCGGACTTTGATGTTTTAAGTGTTTTAAAACAAATATCAGGTTCGAAGTCAATCCATCATTAAAAAAAATATGCAATTTTTATAATATTTTATAAATTACAGATCTTCCAGAAGAATGTCTGACGAACAAGTTGAGGAAAAACCTAACGTTCCTTTCATTTTTAAGAAAGTTAACAGGAAAGCTGTCGCACGAAAGCGTCAAGACAGCGACGCTGAAAAAAGTGGTAAGATTTTTTATCTCATATCCTTGAGAGCAGCTTGAGAGGTTGTCGAATAATTGTATTGAGTGTGTAAATATTTGAGTTTTAACACATAATTTCCGTCATTTATTCATTTATTTTTCTAGTGGTTATATTTTGTGCATATTAATTTATTTATTGCAGCAATCTTGCTCTTGAAAATAATGCTAAATTAAGGATGTATAGCTTATAGTTTGATGAATAAAAAGTCAGTCAAAATCTTAAACGTGTATTAAATTTGCAGCGTCCAGTGCTGAAAGTGATGGAAGCGGGGACGAATCCCAAGTTGTGCGAAACCAAAAACGACGGAGACTCGGAAATCCTCTTGTTCAAAGGGTAACTTTTTATCACTTGCAAAATTTGATGATTGAAATTGTGATAAAATGTTATTGCAGTCGAACATAGCCAAGGCCAAGACAAAGCAAAAAGTTGGCAATGACTCCAGTACAAGCGAAAGTGAGGAAGAAAGCGTTGTTGGTGTTCAGTACAAATCGAGAGGCGCTGCCACAAACGAAGGGCCAAATGATCAGGGAGCAACGGCAACTCTAGAGACGGAAACGGATTTTTCCAAGGATGCTCAGGCCATTTACGAGAGATCTCTTGCTGTGAATAAAGTAGGTTGATTTTCATTTAAAGCCTCTAATAAAAATATTAAGATTATTTTTTTTCTCTGAAAGGAATTGAAAGGAAAAGAAGATGACAAAATTTACCGAGGAATGGCAAATTACGCGCAGTACTATGAAAAGAAAGACACGGCCCAAGGAAATGCTGCCAGTGGATCAGTGAGTTTAAAATTATGTAGTTTAATTGATTTTATTAACTTTTTAAACCCAACTGCTTAGGTTCGGAAAGGTCCGATTCGAGCTCCTGCCAATTTGAGAGCAACAGTGAGATGGGACTACCAGCCTGACATTTGCAAAGACTATAAGGAGACTGGCTATTGCGGCTTTGGAGGCAAACCCATTTGAAGTTACCTGCTTTCAAATTATTCAGCTAATATCTTTCCAACAGACAGCTGCAAATTCTTGCACGACCGCTCAGACTACAAGTTCGGCTGGCAATTAGAGCGCGAGTCTGCTGAAGGTACTTACGGGGCAGATGACGAAGATGCGTCCAAGTATGAAATCCACTCCGACGAAGAGGAGTTGCCCTTCAAGTGCTGGATTTGCAGGGATTCTTTCAAAAATCCAGTGGTTTCCAAGTAAATTATTTTAATGATAATTGAATTTAAATTGAAATGATTATAATCTACTTTATAGGTGCAAACATTACTTTTGTGAGAAGTGTTTCCTGGACAACTACAAGAAGTCTTCAAAGTGCGCCGTGTGCAACGCTCAGACTGGAGGAGTCTTCAAGCCGGCAAACGAAATCATTGAGAGAATGGCCGGAGAACAAGGTCAGCAAGAAAAGGCTCAACAGAAATCTGACGAATCTGCTGAAGATTCTGATTGACAGAGGGACTGTGTTTTTCAGACGTAATGAAAAAGTAAGATTTATGCTCTTATAAACAATATATATTTATTTCATCATCTGCAAGTTCCATCATAAATAATATAATTTAGTACAATTTCTACTGTTGGGGGTGTTCGATTCCACGCACCGTGTATCCATAGCCATATTGGGGAGCAGCCTGAAAGTAAAAAAATGTGACTCAAAATCATTTAATTCTAATGATGAAATCCATTGGAAACTGGTCTATGGTTTAAAATTTAGAAATCTCTTTCCAAATTAAAATTTGCACTTACAACATTGACGGTGAAGATTTGCTCGCGGAAGATACGTGCCTCGGCAGGGGTCAGGGGAGGCAGAGGTGGCAGGTGCTGCTGGTAGGAGATGGCGTTGGTGGCAGCAACTCCTGCGTGGTAGGCAAGGACCTCTCCTCTCTTGGTGGCGGGCAGCAGGTTCATCTTGTGGTAGGGTGTTTCAGGGGCAGGGGGAGCGGTGGGGCCGTTGCGCACCATCGAGTGGCTGACGCGGCTGCTGGACTGCTCGTCATGCTGGGTCTGGCCCTGGTAGGCATATCGGACGGCACCGTTGTTCAGGGTGGTGATCTGTTGCTTGAGTTCGTGATCGGCAGGGATCGCCTCGGTTGAAGGGGCATCTTCTTCGGTTGGCTCGTTCTCAACAGGGGTCTCTTGGGCCTGGATATAAATTTGTGTTCAAAATGTCCAGGTTTTTTACACCAAAAAAAAGTTATTAGAATGAAGGAATAATGAAGGAATTTTAAACTTTCGTGCAAAATAAATAGAAAAGAAAATCACTGATTAATATGAAAAAATACCAATTGCAGAGAAATAATAAGTTACTATCTTTAATTTATGTTTAAACTACCATAAAATTATAATTAAAATGTATACTCACATTATTGATGGTGGGCTGCTCAGCAGATTTTTCAGGTACAAGGTTCTCGGCAGTGGTCGTAGGTCCTTCGACATCTTCGACTGCGTTTTGGTTGAAGTAATTGAGGGAGAGCTGGTACTCGGGCTGATTGATGTTAACGAGGGAGGCTGCAGGCATCGAGTAAGCCACGGCAGCGAAGCCCAGAACGATCGCAAAAATCTGAGAATTTTTTGTTCTTGTTAATGAGAAAAACTTTTTATAATTCTGCACAACTCACAACTTTGCTTGCCATGTTGTTCAGGTGGTGGATGACTGAATGCCTTCTAGGCAGGGATGCATCTTTTTATACTCCCGAGAGCACTTTCTCTAGTCGCAATGTTACATCAAAGATGTTACGGATGCGAATGCAATTCCAATTGTGGGGCAAGGTTGAGGGTGTCGAATAGCCGGTCGTTTTGCACAGGTCTGCGGCGGCGGCTTTTTGCATAACAGCACGCAGCGCCTGGGCATATTCCACCAGAGGAGCTTAAATTTCACTGTATCGGCTTTTGTCGAGAGTGTATCTTGTGTTTGACAAGTGATCAATTGAGATGTTCTACAAATAAATCAGCAATAATTAAATCATTATGATTAATTGATGTACGAGAAAGCTGATTTGTACAAACATCCTTTTCAAAGTTAATTCTGCTTATTTTCTTTTTTATATGGAAAACATAAATTTAAAAATCTGCAAAATATTTATTTGTAATAAAATATTCTTTTATTCTAATTTAACAACATTTTATCCAAAATAGAAATTTAGATCTATTTTTATAAATTAAATACCCCAACCCAGCCCCAACCGCCAACAAAACATCGATCTTTTAAACAAAATATAGTTATAATACAGTCTTTTCTGAGATTAGTAAAATACAATGTAGTAAAAGCTCATGATTATTTATATAAAAATACTGCTCGGCAATTTGAAATAAATATTAAATTAAAACAGAGATTCACTAGTTCCATTAAATTTCCCAGGATTCCAGCCAGCGCAGATAACTCATTGTGCTGTTGGGGTCATTGCCAAAAGGCCCAGACATGCCATAAGCCAATGGTGCAAATAGGTAGAAACTAAAATATTTGAATTTTAATAAATTTGATGTTCCAATATTAGTTATCTTGCTTAATTACCTGTAAATGAGAGATGAGGCGAGAAATGCCAGAATAGTATGGCGGACCACAAACGCCAGTTTCCCAGCCAACTGGTTTTTTATTACGTCAAGTATGTAACTCAATACAACACCTGAAAAACGTGTTTTGCTTCAGTAAAGCTTTGTTCCAAAAAAAAAATTTGTTGTATACCAGAGAGCATCGAGTTGAACATCAGGGCAGGGAAGTAATGATGAAAATAAAGCACTCTTCCCATAACCCAGAATGGCACATAGTGGAGCGCCCAGCCGATGAAAAGCCAGGAGCAAGGCAGTAATTTTTGTTCCTCGTGACTTGTAGTTTCCAGAGACCTCTGACTTTTCAATAACTGCCACAGGTACAAAATGCAGAATGTGGCCAAGACGACCAAATTTCCCCACCAAATTACTGGGTTGCCTAATAGGTAGATTCGGTATTGGTTGCCAGAGAAAAATTGGCCCTAAAGGAATAAAAAACTTTCGTTATTCAAATTTCAATGGGCAAATGTGAAGTTGCATAATAACAGTGCCAAGGAATTTCTTTCACCTTGTAATTGATAGGCCACTGCCATGGCTTAGATGTGACTTCCCCCTCCTTCGGCTTGAGACCCGCGTTGCCTTGAAGCATTACAGCGTGTGACTCCAAGAACCGTTCAAAGAAACTGGGTGCGTACACCTGGACCGTCACATTTGGCACTGCAATTTTTATCTTATTACGTGAAAATTCAGATTAATTTTCAGAATTTACATTTTGGAGAATAGTTGTCTTCAATATTCCACAAGGCACTTTTGTCTCTAAAATTTGGGTTGCACGAAACTTCCTGTTGCTCAAAACCCCTAAAAATTTGTTTTATTTTCAGGCTGAAATGTCAGGGCATGAAAATATTCAAATCTCACCATTTTGGCAACTGCTTTCCTGAGGTTGTCAAGACACACTTTTGCAAGTGGTGGATCAGTCTAAATTTACTTGTAACTGTTTGCACAACTTGATTTTTTACTCCACTGTCAATATGAACGACCCAGACATCATTAGCATCCCCAGTGCCATTCTGACAAACAAAATTTTAATATGCAAATTTTCTAACTCAAAATTATTCATTACTTCTCCATATCCTGTCACTTGCAAGTGTTTCCGAGTCATCGGCGCAGGCTCTTTGTGAGAGTGCAAATTGCGTCTAGTGACCAAATGCTCCAATCGAACATAATTGCCGTGTTTGAGCAAATTTATCTAAAATTGTTTCACATTGATTGATAATTCAAATGGACGTTTAAAAAAATTCTCACTTGGCTTGCATCCGTTTCTTCTGTGATGGGTCTAATGACCCACTTGTTGTTGTCGTCTTTGTGCGTGTATGCAGTAATTTGCTGCTGTCGAGCGCCAACACCTTCAGGATAAAGATGCCAGTGAGAATGGAGGTAGCCGCCGCCCGTTCGATGGTTTTTCAGGGAAACAACCGCTCCATACGCAACCTCTGTGAATTATGGTTTTTAATTTCTGATTCTTTCCTGAACTGCCAATTTTACCTCTCGGCATGCTTGCGTTGTGCAAAGAATTTCCAATGAGCTGCGACTGAAACGCTGAGCTGTAAAATCCATCGCCGTTTCCACTAAAGCAGAGAGTTAATTTTTTGTTTGCTTCCATATATTTGACTTACGAATGATTGAGAACTTTGAGGTGAATGTAGAAAAAGCAGACATAGAGAAAAATCGGAATGCCAATCAGACACGACGCTCTAGCAAAAAAATGCTGGGCCAAGTATTTGAGCTAAAAATTATTATTATTATTATTATTTCAGGTAAAAAAAAATTGTAGATTTAATTTTATATTACTGGTTTGGTTGTGTTGCCAAGAATTTCCCACAGATCACAAATTGTATGAAGACCTACGAGCAAAACAACAAAGAGTCCGACAAACTTAACACTTATAGAGCCAGCCAGCATAACTCCTGTCCAGACAAGCCAGAACCACCATACAAATGAAAATTCCCTGTTGACATATAAAGAAATTTAAACTTATATTTGAGATATTGCAGCATATTTATCACCCACTTTATAGATTTTGAAGCTACTTTCACCATTCCCAAGACAGAACCCATGACGAAAAATAGCAAAATCGGATCAAGTAAAATGTATTGGTTTAAAGTAACCAGCCCTACATCTGAAAAATTTTAAAATATTTTAAATTAATTTGGACATCACTAGGAAATGAACAAACCTAGTAAAAATAGGGCGGACGCCAACACAGACGCTTCAAGAGATTCAGTCAGTTCGTAAACTATCAAAAATGAAAAAGGCACAGTCATTGCTCCCATCAAAGTACAGAACTGCAAAATTCTTGCTTAATTAATTCTGTTAATTTATAAAATGTACTTTTACTCACAAATCTCATGCCCAGGTAATTCACATTCTCATAAACGTCTCCTGGCTTTTCAAAAGCAAATCGACCGTCATATCCCGTCAGGTATCCTGACAGTCCAATTAGCATCTAAAAATAATCACGTACAATCACGTATTATAATTTTTAGGGGACGAAAGATTTTTGCTGAATAATACTTTTCCCAAAGGTGGGTGAACGTCAAAGAAGAAAGTTCTGTTGATGTACCAACTCCCCATTTTTCCAAAATGCGTCTCGTCCCAGCTGAAAAGGCAAAATTTGTTATTTTAAATTCAACTAAAATTGCGAGGATTCTCTTTCTGTTTTCTTACCAGACATGTTCTGGTTCTGCAATTTTGTGGAGTCTTGTAAGCAGAGTGAATAAGACTATAATTCCAAAAGCAGCCCACCATCTACAAAATAAAAAAGATCAATCAATTTGTTCCGGTTTCTGCATATATATTTTCAATTAAATTTAGAAAAATTTTGTAAAAATTGAATTAATTGAGGCTTTCCTTTCTTAAAACTTGCTAATACATACTACTTTTACTTACTCTTTATTGTTTTTCTTTGCTTGCTTTGTGCCTTCTGCATGACTCATAGTTTGACCCTGATAAGTGGAAAATAATTTAATTATTAACGTGTGTTTTTGATATTCAATTTCAATGAAATAAAAACATAAACTGAAAAAAAAACAGAATTTTAAAAGCATAAACAAATTTACATTTCCAGCACCATCCCCTATTATCAATGTATAAAATTCATTTTAAATTATGTGTGTTAGATTGATTAGTTAAAGATAATGAATGATTTTCACCGGTAGGCTTCAGGAGTGAGTCATCAAATTTCTTTATCTGATCTGAAACTCGTAGTTTCGGTTCAGAATGGGCAAAATCGCCTAAATTCAGCAAATTAATTTTGTTGTTGTGGATGTTGTTGGTGACGGAGACCATTGACCTTAATGAAAAGGGGGGCGTGTTCGCCAAGTTGTCTCAATGACAGGCCACAGAGGTCTCTGCTCAAACCCTGCCATCCCTGCCATCACCTCTGCAGAATTAAGGGTAAGGGTAGGGATAAAGAAGGCGCGGAGAGGAGGAGCCTCTTCTTGTTCATACTGATCCAGAGCCAATCAGCGCCCTGGTCTACTGGGTGGTAACCTCCTTTTCGCATCTCTTATAATTTTTTGTTACTCACTGTAGATAAATTCCGAGCAGGGAGCGCCACGATCAAAAACAATAACCAAAACCAAAATCATTCTGAAAATTCTGAATAGTGAACCGCAGTGAACTTCTGTTTTCTGTTATGTAGTGTTTATGAACTTTTTAAAAGAGAAATTTATAATTAAATTCTGAAGAAATACGAGCAAACTTAGAAGGTAAAAATGTCATACATTATTAATTGATTTACGCGATTTACGTGGGTTTGTAGCGGGTTCACAAAATCTCATCAAACGTACATTTTAATCATTTCTTATACGTACTTAAGAAATTTCTCGTTTACATCATTATTTTCATTTTGTCTGTTCTGATATGAGTTTTAGTTCAATTGCAATTTGATAGCTGCCCTTCCATCATTATAATAGACAAATAATAGTCAAATATAGTGTATGAGTTGTATGTAATAATTTATGATTTGGTTATAAGAAGAATGCTTAAATTAAGGATTTTCTTCTTTCGCTCAAAAATTTTATCGCTAAAACATAATTTAATTCCACAGATCATATTACAAAACCAGAAAGAAGTTGGGAAACTTTAAAACAATGGCAGAAGAAACAAACAACAAGTCCCTCGGAAAGAGTCCATTGCCGTCGCCAAACAAAAAAGAATCTCATTCTTTGACCAAAATCAACTCTCCTTCAGGTTTATATTTTGACAAAAATCTTCAAATTATTCAATTGAAATATTCAAATAATATTTTGTTTAGTCACCAATGGCAGTTCTTCAACCCAAAATGAGAAAGAGCAAAAGCCTCGGAAAAGAAAGGAAGGCAGTAGCAAGGAGGAGAAGCCAAAGGACCAAGTTGTGAAGAAAAAGAGGAGGCGACTTAAGGACGCTGCTGCCCCCAAACACCCCATTTCTGGCTACTTCCGTTTCATGAATGACCACCGAGACAGGATTAAAGCTGAAAATCCCAAAGCCAACTTTACCATGATCACCAAAATTCTTGCCGCGGAATGGTCTAAGATGGGACCAGCTGATAAACAGGTGTAACATCCAACCTTTTATATTTCTGAAGGTAAAAAGTAACAAATTAATTTCAGCAATATCTTGAGGCAGCAGAGCAGGACAAGGAAAGATACTCAAAGGAGCTGGAAGCTTATAAGCAAACGGATGTTTATAAAATGTTTGCAAAAAAGAAAAAGGAACGCAAACTGGCAAACAAAAATAACCCTGCGGCAGTAGAGGTTGTTAAGCCAAAGATCGAAGTTCCGAAACGACCAAGCAAGCCTGCAAAATCAGTAATAGATATTTATATTTAAAATTCTGATCACTCTATAAATAATATTTTCCAGGAAATTTCAAGCACCAAAGAGACCGATTCTTTTACTCTTGACATTCCCATTTTTACTGAGGAATTCTTAGACCACAACAAAGGTAAATCTTTTGCTATATTATTTATTTGAAAATTATAATCGATAATTATTATTAGCTCGTGAGACAGAATTGAGGCAGCTCAGAAAATCAACCATTGACTACGAGCAGCAAAACTCAATTCTCCAAACCCACCTGGCCAACATGCAGTCGGCTGTGGAGAAACTGGAAGCCGAAGTTATGCAGCAGATAACAAACAACGCTGCTCTGAAACAGCACCTGGAGCACTTGCGCAACAACCTGGTCACTAGCTTGGCACATTTGCCACTGCCAGGTTAGGATTCATCAATATTCAAATTTTCAATCTCACAAATTCATTTATTATAATTTCAGGGTCTGGAGAACCTCCCAACTTGCACACAATCGACAACTATATGCTGTCGGTGCAGCAATTCAGCACTTCTGGTCATTCCGAGAGCAAAGTGTTTCTGTCTAGTGTTAAATCTGCCCTGGGAGGCCTCCACTTCTGACTTATTACTCAACTTCATGTTTTGCGTTCAATTAAGTGAATAATTATAGAATCAAGTAGTCCATGAAGTAGTTTATTTATTTTTTCTTCCTATGTCATTTCTTCTTCTTATCCGACTTGCCTCCCTTTTTACTTGGCTGAGAAGCTGCAACTCCTTGCACTTCGGCCAATTGCTTCTTCAGCTTGAGAAGAGTTTCGACCTCGGGTTGCCAAACTGTCTTATCCTTGCTCTCAGCCTTCAGCTGCCTTACTTTCTCGCCCTGAAGTAATATAGCAATACAAAATGTGCCCATATTAAAATGCTTGCAAGATTTTACCTGAGCAGCAACGGCAGCTTCCAAAGCACCAATGTCGACGCCACCAGTTGCTGGTGCTGCGGAGGAGGCACTGGCTTTTCCAGCTTCGGTCAACTGCTTTTTAAGGGACAAGAGAATTTCAACTTCAGGTTGCCAAACACTCTTGTCTTTTGTCTCAGACTTCAATTTTCGCACTTTTTCCCCCTTGGTTTTGAAGGATTAATATGATTATTTCCGTTTTAATTTTAATAAATTGTAATTTACCTGGGCAGCAACTGCAGATTCCAAAGCGCCAATATCAACAGCAGCTGCAACTGGTGCTGCTGAGGCTACCGGAGAGGCAGCAACTTTCTCTGCTTCAGCCAACTGCTTCTTTAAAGAAAGTAGAATTTCAACTTCGGGTTGCCATACACTCTTGTCTTTTTTCTCAGACTTCAGTTTCCGCACTTTTTCGCCCTAATTGAGTTTTTGTTTACGTACTGATCAGAAGAATAAAGCAATATTTTTTTTACTTGAGCCTCAACTTCCTTTTGCAAGGACACCAAATTTCCTGAGGCTGCTGCTGTAGAAGCTGGTGCTTTGCCTTTACTTTTGAACGCTGCCTGGTCCTCCTGACTGCCTGCGAATTTAACTTTCAGCTGATCCACTTGGGCAGCATCAATTTTGGTAAACAAAGGAGCAGGCTAAAACATTTTTAGGATTTTTAGATCAATAAAATGAAAACTAAATGTAAAAAATATTCTTCGGACCTTTCCAATTGTATGGTTTTCCGGCAGAGTGATGGTGAATATTTCTGGGATGTTGAAAGCAGTTTTTCCAGGAGCCATGAGTTGCTTGGAGATTATTTCTGCCGTGGCTGGCATGTAGGGCCTAAGCAAAGCTGCAATTAGGCAGACGATATTAGCACTCAGGCCCAAAATCGATCCAGCCCGCTTCCTAAAATTTTGGAAATGCATTAATTCACTATTGCCTTTCAACTCTATAAAAAAATTACCTGTCTTCAGGAGATTGCTTGACCAGGACCCATGGCTGAGTGACTTGCATGTACTGATTTCCTAATCTTGAAATAGACAAAATGCAGCGAAGACCATCTCGAAGCTTTGCCTTCTCTAATGCATCATTGTAACTCTTCAGTTCGGAATTGATATTTTTCACAAGTTCTTTATCCTCATCGTTCAACTCAACCTTAGTAATGATACTTTCAAAATTCTTCTCCACAAACATGAGAGCCCTTAAAGAAGTACATACATTTTAAATTTCATTTTGTTCTTAATCAAAAGCATTTTTTTACCTGTTGATGAAGTTTCCGAGATTGTTGAGAAGCTCAGAGTTGTTTTTGGTCATCAGGTCAACCCAGCTGAAACTTGAATCTTGACTTTCGGGGCGGACATAAAGAAGATAGAAACGCCAGACGTCAGCAGAAATTCCAATGTCCTGAACGTCGGAACCAAAGACACCAGCTCCTCGACTTTTTGAAAACTTTCCATCCTCGTAGTTCAAATATTCTGAAATTACATTTTTTTGGTTGGCTTTGATTTTGAAACCTATCTTGCAAACCTGTGGCCATGATGTGGTTGACAATGGTGAAATTCTCGCCGGATCCAAGTTGCGTAGAAGGAAACATGACCGCGTGGAATGGGACGTTGTCCTTTGCCATGAACTGATAGTACTCCACTTCTTCAGGATTTTTCCACCACTTTTCCCACTCATCTGTGTATGCTTTGGTCATGCTGATGTAGCCAAGAGGCGCATCAAACCATACATAAAAGACCTGTCGAAAAATTTAACCCTGCACTCTGGTGCAAAGAACTTGTCTATAGTAAATACCTTGTCCTTGAACTCTTCAAGAGGAACAGGTATACCCCACTTAAGGTCACGGGTAATGCAGCGGGGCTTGAGGCCGTCTTTGATCCACGAATGGGCAATGGTGCTTGCGTTACTCGTCCAACCAGGTGAAGATGTGGCCATCCATTCACGCAATTTAGGCTCAATCTAAAAATCAAATTTGAATGGTTAAATGAAAATAATAAAAACTAAAAGGCAAGTACTGTTGGCAGATCTATGAAGAAATGCTGGGACTCTTTGATAACTGGCTTTTTCTGGCACAATTTGCACCGAGGATTCAACAGTTCAGTGGCATTGATCAATTTGCCACACTTGTCACATTGGTCACCTCGGGCGTCTTCGAACGCACAAAAAGGGCAAATGCCTTCCACAAAACGGTCTGCCAAGAACCTGAAGCAAAAATTGATTTAATAAAAAGTAAAAATTGTTTTGTAAAAACAGCAATTATTCGTTATTATATTCATTTAAATTTTCGCAATATTAAAGATAATAAATTTACCTGTTGCAATTCTCACACAGCAATTGCTCCACAGATTCGATCAACATCAGGCCTTTTGCGTGAAGTTTCAAAAATAAGTCCTGACAAATTCTAAAAGTTTGTAACGAAAATTTACTTCAGCGTGAATGACAAATATTTTTAAATTTTACTCAGTATGCTGTTTGTGGGAAGTTCGTCCGAAGTGATCAAACTCAATATTGAACCACTTGTACACTTGAGCGTGAAGCTGGAAAATACCATAAAAAATTCAAAATTTATGGTTTTATATTTCTATATTAGAGAACTACCTTGTGGTACTTGTCGCAGATTTGTTGAGGAGTGAGACCCTCAGCAATGGCCTTGGTTTCAGTAGCAGTTCCATACTCGTCAGTGCCCGATATGTACAGGGTGGGGTGACCCCTGGCTCTGCAGTACCTGGCAAAAACGTCGGCAGACAAGACGCAACCAATGATGTTGCCCAGGTGGGGCACATTGTTCACATAAGGCAGGGCGGAAGTGATCAAAACATTCCTCTTTCCTTTCTCAGGGAGGCTATATAAAAATCAAGTTTGAATCTCCATAGACAAAATTAATAAAAACAAAAATACACTGGGTTGGCGACTGATAACGCAATTGCTTTGTCCTGTGAAGCACCAAGAGAAATATTCATGAAAGCTGCGGTGATCGAGGAGTTGCCTTGTGCCCAGCTTTCGATTCCAGCCTTGAAATTCAGTTTCTCGGCAGCATTCTAGATTTAAATATTGAATATAAATAGGTATAATGATAATGTGAACATTATTTACTTTAAATGCATCGGTCGAGGCTAATTTTTTGTGCCATGCTCCAATTTCAGGTGTGACCAGCTTTGACAGCTTCGCTTCAGTGACCACAGGATAAAGGGTGGACCACACAGCCACGTCAGCAGGAGAAATTTTGCCATCAAAAAGATATTCTTGCCCATTCAATGAGTCAGTGATGGTTTTCATGCATTCTTTCAACTCCGAGCTCTCAGCTTTTTTTCCACCAGCCACGGCAGAGATCAGAAGAAGGACAGAAGGCTGAAAATAGTGAAAATGTACATCAATCAGTTAAGGCACACCATGTGGGTTTTAAAATTACACTCAATTGGGTAGCTTCCCATTCAAGAAATTCCTGGACATGTAAGGGCGTCTCGCCCCCTGAGGAAGACTCAAAGATGTAAGTCGTGGCCGCGTTTGGAGAGCAGATTTTCACTCCGGAGTCCAAAATCAAGGTAGTTGGAACTCTAGATTGACCTAAAATTTAAAGCAACAAAATATTATTTATAAATTTTTCAAATCCTGCAATTTTAACTTTTTTTATCTGTCAAAAGTACATTAAAAACACAAACATACATACCTTTGGTTTCAGATTGAAATGAGATGTCCAACTCTCTGTTAGCATAATTTGAAGCCACGACAATTTTTAACCCTCCCAGGTCGTTTTGGAGGCTAACAAGCTTCATTTTGAAAAATTCTTCCTTTAAATATGCTGATCTCAGAGAAGACACAACGTGTCGGCTCACAATCAATCGGCTCGGCTGACTCAATCTTCAATCAAATTATGCCAATGCCATGCTGCAGCGAGTCGGAAAAAGGGGTGTGGTAATGTCCAATCCAAGAAGTGGTCCAATCGTGTGGTGGGAATTGGAGGGCGAGTGGGGGCCAGAAAAATTCGCGGAATAAAACCCATGAAACTGCTGAACTATAAATAATGTAATGTTTTGTATATGGATTGGAAAATGGAATGAACAGAATTAATTAAAAAGGAATAAGGGTAACAACATTTTTTAAAAATTCCAAATTTTAACTTATCTGGGTTGTACTGTAAAGGATAATGAGCAATAAAATTTTATTTTACTGCAATTTAAAAACATTTTTTTTTTATGAATCGATTTAATTAATACTGTTTATTTAATAATTTAACGACTTCTCCTATTAAAATTCAGGAATGATGTTTCTGTTTGAGGTTTCCACGAAATAATACAAGACACACAATATAATTTATACAAGAGGATTCACGGCCATTCTCGATACTTTTGAGTCAAAGAAACAATTTTTTTCTGAAAATGAATTAAGAGGCACCTTTTATGCTAGGGGGTTGCCAGTTTACGTCAGTCCACCGCTGAACCCTGCGTCCAGACCAAAAAGCTTGATATAGTTATTAAGGGGTGTCTAAAAACGGTGGACCACTTTTTGCAATCATAAACTAGCAATTAGCATATGTATGAAAATTATCTAGTTTATATATTACGCAACCCTCCCAGACACTTTTTTTGTAAAAATAATCAACAGAATTTTTGACATTTGGAAAACATACAACATGAATTATCTTTTTTCCTCAAATAAATGTTATCTAGAGCCTCATTAACCGGCATCTAGTCACAAAAATTGTTGCTGATAAATTAAATTATGTCCATAAAGACTTGCAGTGTGGACTTCAACATCAAAAACTTTCAAATTATAAATAAAATGCAATGATTAGTAATCTGCTGTGCGTTTTAGTTGATTTTTCGCTTTCTCTGAAATTGAACCAGCAGCATCACATTCTTGCTCGAAATATAAATACGAACATATCAATTTAATGCCTCCATAATCGAACAATCGTCAGGTCAGTCATTATAGGTTACAATAGTTTTTTTTTCAATTGTTACTTCTCTTTAATAAAACTCGGCCAAAAAAATTCACAAGCTGGTCAACTCAGAAAAGCTATTGAGTGAGTAGTGCAATGTGTAGTAGTTCCAGAAGCACCTCCAAAATGTTAGGACAACTTACACATTAGCATTAGGTAATTTTTTTAATAGACTTCAATTTGTTATTGGGAAAACTTTAAAAGATCAATGAGAAGCAAGTACAATTTGGGTTAATCCATTGTCTTTTGAGGATTGCTAACTATCTGAGAATAAGGCTTATTAAATTTGAGATAGTAATTTTGTGTGGGCGTGTGCAAATCAGAAAACAAAATTAGTGGTGGTTGTTCCAGGTGGGTCGCACCATTCTCTGGCTTAGCTGCTCCTCGGCTGTCAGTTGCTTTCGGAAGGCAATCACCTTGTCTTTCAGTTGGTGCAAAGCAGCCATTTTTTCTTCAATCAGCTCCTGAAGCTGCTGTGAGTACTCTGCAAGAATCATGAAAAGCATCACCTAAAATACTTTTTTCACTAAACAAAATTTTAGTACCTTCTTGATCGTAATCAACCTCAGCAGTATGGGTCAGGAACCTCCTGTCAAGCTCAAGCCATTTTTCCGACTCTTCGGCAAGTCTGGCGTGCGACTCTAGAAGCTCATCCTCCATAATTTGCAACTGTGACACTGCTTGGTGGAATGTTATTAAGTCTGCTGAAAGCTCATGTTCCTAAACAATAGATTTTTTTTAAACGTATATTAAATTTTCAATTTTTTTATTACATTCAGGGATCTAAGCTGGCGCAGATCATCCTCGTCTTCAGCATGGTTGGGTTCTGCTGTTTGTGCGCCGTGTTTTTCACTAGGGTCCTGCACCGCCAGTTCTTTCACTCTGTCGGCGTAGCGGAGAGTGTTCAACGAGTGCTCACATGAGCTCAGACCAGGGCTCAGCATAGCAATCTAAAGGATAATATTTAAATTTTTAGCTTTCGGGCCTTGGAGTTTGAACAAACCATGCATGTGCGAGACTTTTCTCCAATAAATGAATCTCTCAAAACGAGAGTGAGCTTGCTAGCTCTGAAGGGCAAATGTGCACCCTTTTTACCAAGAGCACGAATGCACTCCTTTAAGGCAAGCAAAGACTTGTTAATCTCGGCTCCTTCCATTCCTGAAACATCCCCAAGTTAATAAAATCAGCTTAAAAAATAATAAGTAGAAGTAAAAAATTAAAGCAATGTCTTTGAAAGACAACACAATTTCCGAAAAGTACAATTTTTAAATAGCAAAAGATCTCACTTGTTTGACGATTTGCTGAAGAAGTGTCAGCGCCACGCTCGTTTCCTGCTAAATCGATCAGAGAGAATTTTCCGTAGAGTTTGTTTGGATGGTCAGCAGGGCGCAACACAATTTGAAAGACAGCGTGCGATCGCGACGAGTTGCTGTTTGCTGATGTTTGGCCAGATGTTCTAGAATATATCAAGTGAACATGGTTAATACAAGTATAAAAAAGCAGCAACAAAATTTACCTAGCATTATTACCGTGCTGAATCAGTTTCAAAACGTCATCAACATTGTGCACCACTTTTTCTGTCAGGCCAACAACTTTAATCTCCTGCTTGCCGTCTTCCAGCACCCTTAGTTTGGCTTTGTCAGCAAGGAGATCAAACAGCTGTGGGTTGCAAAAGGAGATAATTCAGATTACGATCCAAGATTTTATATAGACATTATGTTTCAATAATTGGATGAACAAAATGCACAACTTACTTTCCCGCTGTAAATTTCGAAGAACGAAGCAGAGATCCTGATGTTCAGGCTTTTAAATTTAGGAGAATTTGCCAGTTTGAAGACGTCAGCAGCTGCCATAGCGTAGATGCCCTTCTTGCAGTCCTGTGTGCGTCCATGGAAATCGCCTCCCATGGTGTGTGTTTTCCCACTGCCAGTCTGACCATAGGCAAAGCAGGTAGCCATGCCACCCTCGAATACAAATTGGACTAGCGGTTGTGCAGTGAACCTGAAGGAAAAACTTCATTCACACCTGATCCTTCATAGTTAATCTCGGCATACCTATACACCATCTCGTTGCTAGTGGTGTCATCGAAGGCATAGTCAAAGCGGAAGTGCTGGTTCTCAAGGTACTTAGTCAAGTCCACCTTCTGCTTTGGCTCGTGAACCACCATCTGATCTTTTGTCGGGACAGTGATCACATCCACCTCTTTGCGGTTGAGCTCCTTCTTGCTCAGTGGTCTCTTTCGGACACAAACTGTGATTTGATGAGTTTCTACATTGTCGGTCGCTCTCAAAGGTTGGAAATCAAGGCCAGCTTGATAATCCCTGTAGCAAATCAAAGATAAATGAGTTCCATCCATATTGTTGTTTTAATAAAAATGTCCATTAACTTATTTAAATTGATGTAAATAAATTAAAATTTTTGATTTCAAATCTTTTTTCACCTTATCATTCCCATGAACTCCCAATTTGGATTTCCTGGATCTTGATTCATAAGAGCCTCTTTATTTTCCTTCAATTCAGCCTGCTTGAGACGTCTCTCCTCACGGTTCTTCTTCAGTCGCTCCACTTCTTTGACCACGTTGCTCCTTCGACCGCCAGTTTGCTTGCCGTTGGCTAAGGCAGCTATTTGCAAGAAAAAAAAAGAAAATTTAATTAAGCAAATAGTTCAATTCCAGCTGTTTTGTTAAGACGTGTAATATAAATAACTCACCATCTGTCACAATATGAAGGCAATGAGAATTTTTTGTGTTGTTAGTGAAAACATTTAACTAACATTTTTTTTCAAACTCACCAACTTGTGGAATAGCTGATGGTTGGTGGACTGGTTCCGTGTTGATTTCTGGAACAACGGCCACAGGCGTGGGCACCATAGTCTCCCTGCCATTTTGCCTGGCAACTCGTGAACGGGTGTTTTGACCCTTCTGATCTTCAACAGTGGCAACTAAACATAACAGACGATCGATTCAACGCTAAAGGTAAACATTTGACATTTAAGACTATCTCACCTCGTGCAGTCAAGACTTGCTGCTTGGCGACATACTGCAACAGAAACATTGTTTTGTAAGAAAATGCCACTCAACCCCATGAAAATTTTCAAGGACAACACATGATCAACTAAAAACCTGGATGAGACAAATAGAAAAAATATTAAATTTTGTTAATCAGGAAAATCTGCACACATGGGTTAATTTTAAATTGGCACAATAAACTAACACCAAACTAATCAGGAACTTGAACTTTTACAATTATAATTGCAGAATGCTTTTTTTTTAATTAATCATTGCAAAATATGAATTAATTTTTTTTGGAGAGTTAAAATCCTGGCTCAAAAAAAGGTCAAACATTTTTTTGCATTTAACCTGACATAGTTGTAAAATTAATTAGTAATTTAATAAAATAACCAAAACTTGTTTAAATCTTAAGGTTTTCTTCCTTGTTTGTTTTGACGCTTTCACGAAGTTCAATAAAAAAAAAATATTTCAGGTTCTGTCACAAATTTGCATCTAGATTAGTCACTCTTCAACTAAGATTAGTATCAAAAATTCCTAACAAAAATTTCTCACAATCCTTTGTCAAATCCATTTGCCAACCAACAACTGTGAAGACCGAACACGACCTAGCACACAACGCGCTGCAATTTACCCCTCGCGTCTGTGGGTTACTGCCTGTGGGTGAACCTTTGATGGTGGGAAGTCGGCTTCGCAAACCCTGAGACACGCTCTGGCTTCTGAGGCGACCGGCTGAGCTCACATTTGTCATTGACCCACTGACGATCAGGGGTGCCATTGTGTTTGTGGTCCGGCGAGTGTCAACATACATCAAATTTTCCTGAGAAAACTGGTTGATTGCGTTTGCAGTGGTGCGCACCGGGATACTGGACAGTCTGTTGCCAGAATCGGTGGCGGTGGACGGCTTCCGGACTAACGACGATGATCGCCGGACATTGGATCTTGGGGTGCTTGGAGCGCTTTGTCTCTAAAATGTCAAATTTTGATGGAGAATTTTGCTTCTGACAAGCAAGATTGACAACCTTTTGACACAAAACATGTGACGAAACCACCCATGATTGACGTGATTGTTCATTTTTTTTTGACGGTACCATTGTTTTGCGATTGATAAACATTAAATTGATGATTTGTAACCTATATATTTTTACATAATTCTTTTTTTTTTTCATTAAAAATAATATTCTCGACGTAAATTAATTATTTGCAAATTCTTTCTCACAATTAGGAATAATGTATAAAAAAACAAAGGGATTTTAAAATTAATTCCCTTTTTTCCTAAATTCTTAACTTTTAATTTTAACTCAAATTAAATGATATTCATAGATGTGTTGATTTAAATAAATCTCAGAATTGATAGATTACGCAGCATTGTGTCTATTAAAATGTCAGTTTTCAGGGTTTAAATCAAGAGTGGAATTTTATCTTATATTGATTAAGTTCTTAAGAAACAAAATAATATTATTAAAATAGATTATTATTTCTGCCTAAAAAGAAAAGATATTTCTAATCTTTGCAAGAATGAAGATTGAGGCTATTTATCTTAATGAATTTTGAGTGGTACTCACCCTTTTCAGCTTGCTGGGTAGAATGTTTTGTGCTTCTTCGACAGATTCCTGCAGCTCTGGGTTCAGTCTCAACAAAGCGTCTAGCTCGATCTGTATTTTCAAAAGTAAATTCAAAAAGAGAAGCAAAGAGTTAAAACGTTTGCTGAAATTATTATTTTTTCGTACCTCTTTCCCTTTGGTTTCTCCCTTCTCGAACCATTCTACTGTGACACTGCTTGTCTCGGGGTTCACTCCGGAAATCACTGCTGTGTGTACACGACCTGTAGATGAGAAGAAAGACAATAAAAAATATGCTTCTCATATAAGTGTAATAATTATAAAAAAAAATTCCACATCTTGTATTAAAAATCAAGATTTTTATATTTGAATTATTGTAATTTGAACTACGGAAGTCCCACATGGGGCTCCCCCAATTTAACTACTCTGCGTCAGTTACAAGAACAAGAGTTTTATACAAAATGTGCTCTCGCAAGCAAACACGAGCAATGGAAATTTGTTTAAATTTTGGAACGCAGTCAGTTTATAAAATTTATGAATTTAATAGTCTGAAATATTTCGACGAGAACCGTGTCGTGCCACGCAAGGAGTATGAAACGCGAATGTCTCGACTTGAACACCACAAAGTATAAAATAAATTCACTGATCGCACATTTACATACATCTATCCTAGATTGTGGAATATTTGCTGCAAAATCTAAAAAATCTGGGTTTGAAAAATGATGTCAAATTTCAAAGTAAAAAATTGTTTCCATGGCTGTTGTAATTTTTCATAAAGTGTTATTCTTGTAAAATAATCTCAAGTAAAAATATTTGAATAGAGCTGAAGTGCTTGGCTTTTAGCCTTGCGCTTTATAGTCGCATAGGCACCAGCCAATAACTCCAATTGGAGATGGCTGGACTTGTAACTTTATAAAAAAAAAAAAAATCACAAAATATTTCAATTCAAGGGAAAAATTTCAAAACATAATTCGTTATAAAAAAATGATTAAGATCTAATTGACTGTAAAACTGTAGAATTCTGGCAAATTTTTGAGGTTTACAATCTTATTATTATTACTATAAAAAAATCAATAACTTATTTTGGATTTTGAACGATTTTCTTTCCAACGAATTGAATGCAATGAATACAAATAACTTATATTTTTGCCCGTCTTTTGCACAGGTTCAATGGCACGCCTTGTGCAGGAATGGCCACAATTGCAACCACCGCCGACACTTGTTTGTTGAGGGGGCTGTATCTCAGCAACCGTTGGGCCAAATTAATAGGAAAAAATGTGATACGAAAATAATCAAAGATGGTTGCGCAATTGATAAAAATATAAAATGAAAAATATTTAAATTTATTCATAAATTAAAGTATTTTTTTTTAATTGAAATACATACTTTGAGAAAAATAATGTACTATTTAATGATTTCGATAAAAAAAATGAATGTACATATTATACGCAGAACATAACATTGCTCTGATGAGTAATACAAAGTCCCGAGCTTGATCAAGGCGAAATTTCCATTGCTGTCTGCTTCGACCGCCACAATAACAACAAAAAAGGAAAAACGAGTGGGCGAGAAGACCTTGCTCGTATCTGGAGCAAATTTTCTGAAAGGATTGAAAATTGTAGAAAAAAAACTCAAATTGGAGTCGAACACAAAAATAATATGGAACGACAGTTCGTGACTAGATCTAGTTCAGTGCCCATTAATAAACAAATTATGAATTTATTTTTAAACTTCCCAAACCGCCATCGGAGCAGCGCGAGAAAGAATTTGTATTCACTCGACTGCAAACCGGACACGCCGTCTGGTCTCGGGTCGTGGCGAATTCGTAGGAAATTTGACGAATTTGGCGGCCACGACGGCGACTGACGAGCGGAACGAGAGCGAAAATTCGTACGAATTACAGGTCATCCGCCCATGCACTCGTCGCACCACTCACCGTCAGTCCGTTGGATATCGACATTAACCCCAGCCTGCAAGTTGCCGAGTCGATCCATCTTTCCTTAAATGGCAATTCTTCGCGCCGAGAGTCGCGCACGCATTTAACACGGGCCGAATCGCAACGAGCGCCGGTTGGAGCCAAGTTTTGGCCGCCGCCAGCCGCAGACTTTGACAGTTCGACCGAAATTTCGGGTGCAGATTCACGAAGGACCGTACAATCCAATGTACAATCGCAGCGGCTGCTTGGCTGATTCCGCTCTCTGCGACGGCTATTGCGAGCGTGACGTCACGCAAACAGGCTGCGACTTTTCAAAAAATGATCACTGATCTCGCCTTGCAACGATTTGCTTTGATCGGAAGCACCTAGATGGCAATAGTGATCTAATGGAGTTTCAACCAGGAGCTAAAAATGTTTCATACTTCTGCAATATAAATCAAATTTACGCACTTAATTTCCTTCATTTTTATGAAATTAAAATTTTTCTGTATAAGATTATAATTTTAACGTAATATTTTTTAATTTTAAAACAAAATTGTCAGAAATATTCTCGAACTAATTTATTCTCTTTCATTTTCACCACACTCTTGCAGCTGCCCGCAATCAACACAACAAACTCAACAAACTTTCGCTGCCTGTTTCTTTCTTGCTTAATTAATTTAATTAAATTGTCCACATATCACCAGTTTTCCGGGAAAAAAGCCTGGTCAATTTTTTTGTATCTTGTATGTATAAGTAAGTAAAATACGTGAGTATTTATTGCTGACAATTAATTTTGAATCAATTGTTTATAAAATGGACTTCCTTATTTTTTTTTTTCAAATATTTTTATTGGTCGTGTTGTGGATTGTGGTTAATTATTTCCGACACCACCCAATCTGTTCCATTGTTTTTATTAGAGGCTTTTTTATTATTTCAGACTGGCCACAAAATGCGTTTCAACGAGAAAGAAATGGCAGACTATGGATGTTCTCCAGGCACTGTCTTCGAAGGAAGACTGAATTACAAAGTTCCTGCTGGAAATTTCAGCCAAGCAGGTTTCACCTTAAAAATAATGCAAATTGCCTTATTAATTACAAATTGATTTGTTATTAGTATTCAAGGAGCGATGGTTCAAACTGAAATCGAACCTCCTGTTCTATTTTCGATTTACGGAATTTGGAAGTGTTGATGCAAATGAGGTATTATAATTTTTTTAGATCATTGAATATATAATCATAACTCATAACCTTAATTTTAACAGCCAGTAGGAGTTTTCGTGTTAGAAAATTTCAAGATCCAAATCGAGGAAAGCAAGGAGATGCCGTTTGCATTTTCTATAACGTTCCACGACGATGTCGAGAAGAAGCAGTATTTTGCAGCAAGATCAGAAGAGCTCGTCAACTCTTGGGTGAGCGCCATCAGCCAAAGTAGCTACGAGTACATGCGACAAAAACTCCATACCTTACAAAATATGGTCAAAACTGCTTCCGGCTTGGTATTGTTACTATAATTTTTCTTTAAATTAATTTATTCAATTAAATCAATCTAAGGACCGTGTGACTCTGCAACCTTTTTGTGCCACTGCCAGAGACTTGGAACAACAACTACAAGCTCCGCAGTCTCCATCTCGACCTTCGCGGAAAGGAAGTAAGCTGAAGAGCTCACAGTTCAAGAGTCACATAGCCGAGTTTGTTGCTCCAGAGAACAAACCGAGGACGTCCATGCCAATTGTGTCTCAAAATATTCCTGCCAGAATGCCAAACAATACCAGTTTACGAGCGTCCAGCCCTTTAATGCCCATAAGGCAAGCACCACCACCTCCTACAAAGCCGCCACCTTCTACAAAGCCACCCCCTGTCAAAGATCTCATTGAGTTTTAAAGTTTGTGCCTTAATATTATTAATTACCGAGCAATTCGAACAAAGCTGTCCATACGCTTATCTCACTAAAGCTACGTTTTTAGCGCTCATATTATTCTACTATTTAGTTTTATTTCTGTGCCAACATTTTGGCATTAGTCACAAAATTTACTTTTCATTTTTTACTTTCCATCCTATTTCTTAGGCTCGTGGGTTCATGATATGACATGATGCACTCCATTTCACAGAGTTATATATTTTCACCAGATTTATAACAAGAGATATCGAAGAAGTTATTGGGAGTTCCAGTTGTCTGTTCAATAAATAATTGTTTATTTCATTACATGATTGTTAATTATGTTAAAGTTCAGAATTATAAATTTGTGTGTATTGCCATTGCAAAAGTTAAATCCACTTATATCACTGTAAAATAAAATAATTATTTTACTTTCCAAACAAATATATTTTTTGTTTTTACTTCATAAGCAATCATTCTTAAAAAAAAAACCAGTTGTAAAACTTTCATAATTTACTCAGCAGACTAATTTGATATTTAACTACAACTGAGTTGCATTGTTGATGGTTTTTTTTTTTAAATCAAGACGAGAAAAACAAAATTCCACAAAATAAATAAATTTAGATAAAAATCAATTTCTCCGTATTCCTATCAACAATAACAATTTTCCAGTCAGAAGACAGAACATAAATATTTATCTATAGAACAAATGGATTAGTTCAAATTCTTGCAAATTATTTAAAGTGATGCTGCTGAAAAGTTATCCAGAAAATTGACTTAGATAAGTATCGTTTATCACAGTTACAAAAACACTGATGCCTATGGTTAATCAGATTCTCTCATCAGCTTGGGTTGTCGTTGTCAACAATGATAGCTTTGTAGTCTTCTTGGTTGCCAGCAAGAGCAGGAATTTGTGCGTTGAACTCACTTGTTGCCCACAGGTATAAGTCTAATGTTCGTTCAGCGCAATCGGCAACAAATCGCACGAACGGACGAATATCTCCATTGTTTGCCATTTCCAAGTATTCATAATATCTAAAAAAAAAAAAAAAATAAATTGAAGACCTTTAAATTTTATAATTACAACAAAAAAAAACAGTTGTTCATATAAACAAAAACATAACTATTTTACACACTTTTGCCTGTCTTGTCTAGGAATAATAACCGGGGCGTATCCAGCCTGCATCAAGATAAGATTCATAAGCAGACGGCTCGTCCGTCCGTTGCCATCTGTGAAAGGGTGGATGTACACCAATTTATAATGAGCAAGGGCTGCATATCTGCAAATTAATTATTTAGTCTACGATAATTTGCGAGAAAATTTATATTCGCCACACCGAATAGGATGGAGCTGAAGGGCTTCAGTTGACCGCAGCCATTCCACAAGTTGAGCTACTTGATGGTTCACTTCGGAGGGTGGAGGGGGAATGTGGTTTCCCACGAAAACCTGTGTGTGCCTAAACGTTCCTGCGTCAAAAGGTTCCACATAGGCCATCACTCGTTTGTGGATGGCCAAAATGTCCTCCACGTCCAAGTGTCCAGGAGATTTCCCTCGTAAAAGCGTGTCTAAAATAATAATCGATTTACTCAGAATTACAATGTTTCTCTTTTAAATCTTACTGTTTAAAAATTTTAAAGCTGCGTCTAAACCAAGAATTTCCCCATGTTCGACAAGACTTTTTCCATGTACAGCCATCCTTGTCTCAAGAACTACACGAGTCTGCGCCAGACTCATAGTGTTGCCTTCAAGTCCGACTGTGTGGAAAACATGCTGAAAGTAGGCCTCTCGCTTAGCCCGTCGGAGAGCTGCGTCTGTAGTAGAAATTTGAGCAAGGGTTAGCCGTTTTTGGTCGATTCGTTTCAGGTTTTCTGCATCCAGTGCTTCCACAACGGGCAGTGTTCGCTGATGGTTCACTTTGGCCTCTTGATGGCTCGGGTGGTGTGACAGTGCCCTTGCGTAAAGGGTATCAGCCTCGAGGACATCCTGTTAAAAAGGAACTTTCATGTAATAAAAATTATAATATTGTAACCAACAAAATAATACATAAAATAAGGACTTAATTAAACTGCTATAATAATGCGAATAAATTGAATACTTTTTTTACCTTGTGAGTGTGTTCTAAAAATTCTCCAAAATGGTTGAGTACATCGGGGTTGCTTGGGGCAAGTGCGATTGCATGCTGGAAAAGCTTCAAAGCCTTGTCGAATTGCTTAAGACCAGTCTTTTCCAGAGCTGCATGTAAAGAAGCAAGAGCCTCCTGGTCATTTGCTTTATTAGCTAGAACAAAATATAACCTTCAGATTTTTCACATCTCTCATATATGAAGTACCACCTACCAGCTTTGTCAGGGGGTTTTGTGGTCCTGCGCGCCTTTTGCAAGTTTTGGATTACCGTGCCCAAAGTGCTGTCCTCCTCAAGCTCATAAGAACTCCCCGGAGGCAAAGGGAAAAATGTGTCCTTGTACTGCTCGAGGACCTCTGACCTGAACACTTGTATGCTGGTCCTCTGCTTCGGTTTGAGAACTTCATTTAAGTAGGTTGCCAAAAGAGCGAAAATTGCTCCGGAGAGGAAGATGAGGGCATAAATGAATTTGTTCATGTTGCTCTTTTATAATAGCAAAATGAATTCAGATTTAAAACCAAAAAAACGATGATCGTACCCGTAGCTCTTTTTCCAACAAAATTTAAGTGTTCATCTCCAATATTCTGTAAAGTCAATTAAATTTTATAAGATAACACGCATATAATTTTTGTTATATTAATAATTAATATTTTACCGACGAGTCATTATTAATTAATAACAGATCCACCTTGATCCACCCTTACATTGCTCTCACGTATGCAGTCGTCGTCAACGCATCCATTCCAAATTTTTAATTTACTGACGGTTTTTAGCGTATAAAGCGGTATAAAGTAGCTGCTGGAATGTAAATTAAATATTGTCACACATCGTTCAGAAGTTTAATATTTGCATATATGTATATGTATTACAATTAATATACCTTTCATACGGCTGTCTGCGTCCGCAAATCTTCACTTAATCATTTTATGCACATTCCTGTTTCTGCAAATCTGCAACATTTGCAGAACTTGCTGCATGCGCGCGAGCGTGAAGCCAGGTTCACAGGTTCAAACGGTTATACCGGCAGGGGGCGGGGATATCGGTAACCGGTTGTTTGTGGAGCGGGGTGGCGCGACGTATTTTTATAATTTGAATCCAAAAGCACACGCGAATGACACCCGAGCTGGAATTTATAGTTCACTGCGTACTACCTTTTCCGCGTCTCAGGAACTAGTATTTTTATGCATGCATATTTAATAAAATTAAAAAATATATGTCATATTTCATCACCTTCTTAAATTTAAATTTAGAAATAATATTATATAATTATCAGCAGAATATTTTTACGAACATGGTCAAAATAAAATAAGTGAATTAAACCCAAATAAAATAAGAATATTACGGGCATTCATTTTAATTAGGCTGTGGTGTATTGTATGAGATCAAAGTATAAAAATGTTTTGGTTTAACACAAACGCGGAAGGTAAAATTTTTATAATTTTATTGAGTTGATATTTTTATAATTATAATTTTTTTTAATATTTGGATTACGGTCATATTTAGCACAGATGATTATTTAAAAGAGCCTTATTGATTCCTTCTTTTACTTGTTTAAGTCTCAAATTTTTTCCACTGTTCTGAACAAATTTATACATATTTTTTTTTTTTAAATTTTACAAGCTATGTATTCATAAAAGAGATATTTGCCTAATAGCTTCCTTGTTATCTTTTATATTTAATCAAATGTTGATACCAATTTTTTGAGATTGAAAAATCTTTTATATATTTCAAAAATTTAATTATTCGGATCAATAGGACCAAAGTTACGATTTTTTGAGTTTTCGTTTTTACAGAAACTTGAACAGCGCAATAACGCCGATGTCTCTCTTGTGTGAGACGACCGCGGCTTTTTAGTCCAAAAATTTTTGGGGCGGGTCGCGGAGTTTTTATTAATTATCTCGCCTGCTAATGAAGTAAAAATTGAGAAAATTCACAACTAAGCTCAAATACATCTATTGTTTTTTTATTGTGAGAATTCAGATTCTGAAACAGCTATTCAAAATTATTACAGTGTTTTTTCCACTTCAACTTTGACTGCAGCACATAGATTTCAAGTAAAAAACACAAATAAATTATGATTAGTTGCTTAAAGACTTGGCTCAAAACACTTGAAGCGTTCTTGTCAATGGCGTTAATAGAATAATTTAAATTTAATTCAACCTTCTTAAAAATGTGATGTTCATACTAAACTGCCGAGCGCAAATACTTTGCTCCCACTGGTCCGAATCGCATAATTCTAACGATGGTTGATTCAAAATTTTAAGCTCCAGAGCAAGAAGGTATTGTTAAAGCTCTAAGTGCCCTAGGTCACCCGCTGCCCTCTTGACCTCTGGTTTTTAATTTCAAATTAACTTTCATCAAAATTTGACAATTTTAATGCTGATTTCAACAAACCTAATATTGGCCGTATCAAAAATTGTGCACCCACATAATTATATTTTGTAAAATTAATAAATAATTTAGGAGAATAAGTTAGGAGCGCATTCTCATGCTATTTGTATATACGCTTTGTGAGATTTTCAACATTTTTAAGTCTCCTTGGATCACCTGTTTTTTGTGTTCTCTATTGTTATTGACGATTGCCTATACCTGACATGCTTCCTTCTCTTCTTCCACCCCCACAAAAATCTCCAAAGCAGGCAGCAGCAAGCGACCGATCTGTTTAGTTAGTGAGGCCGCGGCCATCCTCTGATAAACAAGTATGATTCTCGCCACTCGTCTTGTGTCGCGGTCGATCGTGACAAAAATATTTAAATAATTAAAAAAGTGAGTGTAAATATAAGGAATTTATAATAATTATAACGTGTTTAAATTTTCCAAACTTTATTTGAAATAAATATGAGAATAAAATATATATAATTTTAATTTTAACAAATAATTATTGATAAAAGCTGTTAAAATTAGTTAAAATTGGAAAATAAATATAGTTGAGATTTATGAATTTTTTTTACAATTAGCTTCTTGAACTTATGCGTGTTATCATCGCGGATCGCGAGTTGACCCAACCACGATGCACCGGGCACCCATAAATAAATAATTATTTTACTATTTTTAGCTTCTTTAATCTTTATATTGATAAAAGTTTGGGAATAAAGATTTTCGCTTCAACTATGCAATTTAACGACCGCGCAGAGTGCAGAGCTATAGGATTAATTGGATTAAAAAAATGATTTCAGATTAAGATTGCATTATGCTTTCCGCAATTGCAATGGGCTTTTTTTCATGTTTGAATTTTGAAAAATTTAAATTACTAAATACTAAATTATGAGAATAATTAATCGTAATTAATAATGCTTTTTGAAAAGAATGCAGTCGCAAAAAGGCCAAAATGGGGCAATTGCCCCTTTTAAAAGGTCGATAATTAAATAATTTGACAATATGAATCATCTATTGATATATTGAATGATATAATATGATATTAATGATATACGCGATCGAGCGATCTAATCCTTGCAGCCTAGCGGACAGCGGGCTCTACTGCCTGCGGCCTGCGGTACTTTTGCTTTTGTTAAAAAAAAAAACAATTGACGATCGGCCGATAACCGGTTGTTGTTACGATCTCTGAACCTCAGAAGCTCTGAACCTGGCTTCCCGGGCCTTGCATGCGCGACGTCAACAAAAACACAAAACACCCCCTCTCCTCTGCTCTCTGCTCTCCTCTTTCAAAAAGAAAAGCCGAAGAAAAGCGTCAAACGCCATCTTTTGTTCATTCGCAAACTAAGCAAGCGCTGTTGAGTTGCAACGCAGAATTGCAGATTCTGGCCACTTTGGCTCAAATCTGCCATGTTGCCTAGTTCTCTGAATTCCACGTCATCCACTGTCGGAAGTCGCACAGTTCCCGGCCGGCGCCTTCGAAAGTGGAGGGAATCGAACAGAGGGGGAGGCTAAACTGTACCGAAGCAAACAATAAACATAAACAGAGAGGCCCTGCGAGTTAAACTCAAATTATCACGAATTGTGCTAATTTCTTGCTGTTCTCGCCATCTCGACCCTCGGTCTCCGCAAGTCTGCAAGGGCACGAGACGCACCTGCGCTTCTTTTTGCCGTTTGATCCGTGAAAGATTCGCATAATTTCCTTGGTCAAAGGAAGTTTGCGCTGGTTCGCGCCTTTGCAGGAACTTACTTGCGGGCAGCAAAATTTAGGTTAGTTTAATGAAAACTTACTATATGAACCTTTATTTTAGCTAATATTTTTGTCAGTTAATATTAATTATTAAAAATTAGCAACCAAATTAAAGCATAAATTTTATATTATTACGATTTGTGTTTTAAAACTTGTAAATAAAAGTCCTATTTTTATTTTCCGTCAATACATAAACAATCTTTTGCCTTTTTAAACAAATTAGTAAATAAAAATATATTTCTCACTTACAGTCAGCACCACAATGAGTATTGGATGAAGTAATGAATCCTTCGACATCAACGGATCCCACAACTTTGTTCAGGATGCGGCCGGATCAGCCTGTTGTTCGGTTGACCCGACATGACTTTAGTCAAGAGCAGTCCTTTACCAACAACAACAATAAAATTGCAGACACTTGCCGAAAATCAGGACTGACGCCCCAAAAACAAAAAGCACCGCCTGAAAGTTCTGCAAGTAATAAAATTTTCAATTTTCTAAAAAAAATATTTTTTTGCATATCCTCTATAATACCTTATTTACTTTCGCAGGTCTCATTCTTATATTTTTTTTCAATCTTTTTTTTATATTTTTTCATATATCTGTTTATTTATTCATACAATTTCTATCTTCAGCTGTCAACGAAGAAGATGCTGACTTTGTTGAGGATGACTTTTATCTCGTATCAAGAACGTCAGCAGAAGTCAGCTCTATGATGAGCAAGTTCAACTGTCTGATGAAAATCTACACAGACAAAAATGCCAATTTTGATGTTGAGCTAACCAAGGTAAAGTGATTGTTGTAACTGAGGAAATGTACTTAAAAATTGTTTTAGTTGCTGCAAGAGTTGATGGTGAACATTGTTGCTCCATCTGATGTCTCCGACCCTCAAAAGTCATTGAATTTTGGCCGCATGGCTCTGATTCTCCAGGGGTCCACGACAATTTATTCCAAGAAAGTTGAATTCCTCTCTGACCTGTTCTCTCAATTTCTTCTCCATCTGTCTAGTGAGATGTAAGAAAATTACTTAATAAGTGTCATTTTTTTCAACTTTGGTGCCTTTCCAGAGGCAAAGCGGCTACGAATGCAGATGGCGCTGAAGAGACGCAAGCGGAGAAAACGACGGAGGCAGCAAAAACAGGACACAAAAAGAAACAGTCCTCCAATGTTGCAACCCCTTTTACCTTGCTTGATCTCAAAATTAAGAGTGAGAATAATGGAGCCTAATATAGTATTATAATTTATTCCAATTTTTTTCAGAGAATCCTGTTCCAATATCTCTTCGGAAGATTCAGTTGAGACCAAAGATTTTCCCCATTTTGTTTGGCAATGGCCAGTGTGATAAGGACAAACAGAGGGTGACCGCCCTAAACCAAGACTTGGCGGGAGAAAACACATCATACAGGTAAAAAAACTATTCAATTAAATTAATTATGAATGAAATTTTTGCAGAGTGTGGGCTCCAGTCAATGAATCGAGAGGCCTTTTAAATCAAGATTGTACAGATGATGTGCACAACAAGTTTGCAAGCTGTAAGTAGATTAATTTAATTATCATATTTTGCAGAAAAGGACTAAAATAGGTTGTATTTCTTACCCACTCATAATCTTGTTAATCTGGGTTTACCACAATTTATGAAGTACATGAATCAGTAAAAACTTCTAAACTTTTCCCCTGTACAATTGCATTGAAGTAAATATTTTTCAGCAATGGCGGAAAGAGGGGAAATTGAGCCAACGGTTGACATTGCTGAGAGAGACGTAGTTATGGAGCCACTTGATGAGGGACCACCTGATGATAATATAGAACCTGATAGGTTTATTTATAATATTGTATATTTATATGAATTACTATTTATAATATCTCCAGGGCTGAAGAAACTGCTGATGAGTCTGAAATCGCACCAAATATTGAGCCAAATATAGGAGAAACAGAGCCACCAGCGCCAACGATAGAGGAAGACCCTTGGCAAACTCTGGCGCCTGGTGACACAATAGAAGACTTAGTGCTACAACCTCAACCTCCCGTTCCAAAATTTCAATCAAAAATCGTATGTTCTAGGAATTAATATTTTTAATATTATATAACAATTTTCCATTTATCAGGAATTGGAAATTGACGAGCAATTTTACTTCAAACAGTGGTACAAAGAGACTAAAAAGACTAGAGGCTGTTTTGGTACGGATTTTTCACAGAGTTTAGTCCCGTCAGTAATCTGATAAATCCAAAAATTTTAGGTGATGAGAATGTGCACGAGGGTCTAGCGTTAGAAAAAGAGGGAAAACTTCTTGAACATGCCAAAAATGATAGTAAAAGAAAACGCATTGACATTGGTTTGTTCAAATAAATATATTATATTTTATGCTTAATAATATAAACAATTTTTTTTTATCCAGATTCTGATAGAACAGGAAAGAAAACAGCCGCCTCCTTGGAAGCTTTTCTGGCTAGCACAGAAAGTGATGGTTAGTGTAAAATGTATAAAATTTAACAAAATTGTATGCTTATTTTTCTTCGTAGATGAAGATGTTTTGGGCTTCTGTGATGACAAACCTGTGTACAAAAACTCTGTCCCCGACATGCCAAACGTAGTTGGCATAGAAGACTGGTCCCTTGATCCTGATTTTGAAGACGCCCCGTTCGAAGCTCCTCCTGCTGACGAACAACCTAGTGATGTGACAACAAACGAAGACGAGCCAACAGATGACACTGTAAGCTTGTTAAAGATCCAACAACAAATTTACTTTAAATGATAAATAATTCATTATAGCTTGGCTTGGCCGTACCAGCTGAAGATGCTAAGAATGCTGCTGCTCGAGTCGATGGCTTCATCTCATTCATGAAGCAGCAGTTTGTGGAAAATGAAAAGAAGAAAAAGTTTTCTTTCCAAACCTTTTGTGACTCAATTCTTGGAGCATTTCCTCCGTCATGTAATGTTGTTGAGCCTGAGAGTCAACCAAGACTGGGATTCCATGAGCTGCTGGATCAAGTGTCAACTGGTCAAGACCAGGACATTGCGAGGCAGCTTTTGGCTACTTTGATGTTGGTAAGAAAAAAATTTGAAATTTGCAGGAAACTTTTAAGCCATTATTATTCAATTTGTATTTTCCACAGGCCAATCGTCAAAATGTTGAAATTGAGGGGTTTGAGGAGGGCGTTCTGGCCAACGATTCCCTCAGCATCAAATTGCTCAACCGAAGCAAACAGTCGTTGAATTTTGAAGAGGACGACCAGTACAATTCATAATTTAAGACTTTTTTTTAGGGATCTAGGTAAACTGCCAAATCAATTTATTTTAGTACTGGTACTTTTTGACTCCAAACATAATAACAGTGTGATAGAAGTTTTTAGCGATCCAATTTTTTGTGCGCTTGTTAATGATTTTGGGGTAATTAATTTTCTTACAATTTTCATACAGGTTGTTCAAATACTAAAAGCATTTTGGTCTCAGGACTTAAAAATTATGGTCAGTTTTCACGTCAGCAAAGATCAGCTAACAATTGCCAAATAATTTTATACTACTTAACTTTTTTCAGTCATTTCGCTTGCTGACTAATTAACTCATTCCTTATGTTACATTATTGGATTAAATTATTTAAAAAATAATGATTTGAAAGACTCTGCAAATAAGTGAAATACGCTGTGCGTTTCTATACCGGTAATAATATTTGAAGTACAATGTAATATGCTGTTAGTCAATAAATTATTAAATTAATGAGTTGCTATTTGGATAATAAATAATTGATGTTATTTAAGTGATCCCATATATTATTTTAACCCCAAAAATCATTAATTAAATTGCTCAATCAATTAATTAATGATTTTTGGGGTTTCAGGCTATATGAGCCAATGGCTACAAATGCTACAATATTTTTCGTGAAACCTTGTTGTGATTGGCCATTTTTTTTTGTAGCCAGTAATATACTAAATTTAAGTATGAAATATATTCCTCCATATCTTGATCAATTAAAAACCAGCAGCCAATTTTCGCAATGTTCAATAAATAATTATATGTTTATTTTTGTGAAAATGACACCATTGAAAACGCTTTACATAGCATCTTAATCTTGCACACAAAATATAACAACTGGATCCAGCAAGTCAAATGTTGCTCTCTCCAAACAAATCTGTAATATTAAATTACCCTGACTGCGGTCTTTGTGCTTGTACTTCCTCCAGCTCTTGTCTTTCTTGTTGCTGCACCAAAGTCCAATAGAGACCCTTCTTTCTTCTCAAAGAACGATCATCACCAAGCTAGAATTACATTATTTATATCGTGTTAAAATTATAAATTTATTGTTTTACCTCAACTACTCGCCCATGGGCCACCACAGCAATAATATCAGCATTTCTAATAGTGCTGAGTCGGTGAGCAATGACAAGAGTTGTGCGACCATGAACAACGTGGTCAAGGGCCTCTTGGACAAGCCTTTCTGATTCTGTGTCCAAAGCACTAAAGAAAATTTTTATTACACATTCCAATTGGCAATAAAAAAAACCATGCAGTCTCTACCTAGTAGCTTCATCCAAAATAAGAATGGACGGATTCTTCAATAGAGCTCTGGCAATAGCAATTCTTTGCTTTTGGCCTCCAGATATAGTCACCCCTCTCTCCCCCACAACTGTGTCGTAGCCTTTTGGGAACGTATTGATGAAACCATCAGCATTTGCAAGTCGTGCAGCAGCTATGACCTATATTAAAATTTCCAATCTGACAAAAATTTTAATATTAATTAGAGAAAAATACCTCAAGGTCAGTAGCATTGGGTCGACCATATCTAATATTTTCCATTACGGAAGTTGCAAAAAGAATTGGTTCTTGGTTGATAAATCCAATGGCTCGCCCGCGAAGCCATGATGGGTCTAGTTTTGTAATTTCAAAATCGTCTAAGGTGATGCGACCCTCATCAACCTCGTAGAATCTGAAAATTGTTAGTTTAAATTTTCAAAACTGCAATACAACGTCTAATCAAATAAATTCCCAATGGCCGAGGCTTGCATATGAGCACTTAAAAAATTTCTAACCTCTCCAGAAGAGCTGCAATTGTTGACTTTCCACCTCCCGAGGAACCAACAATCGCTACAACTTTACCAGCTGGAAGCTTCAAATTGAAGTTCTTCAGAACTGGCTGGCCTTCTCTGGTAGGATAAGAAAACGTCACATTTTCAAACACCACCTCTCCAAATAGCGAGTGATAGGGAATCTTCTTTCCCCCTGTTAGTGGCACAGTCGGCTCTAATTTAATGTACTAAAAAAGAGAATGTACATTTTTTAAGGTTCCAGAAAAACGTAGTAGAAATGAAAGAGCTCACTTCCAAAACTCTGGCGCCAGCGCCAAGTCCCCTGACTAGATGCCCGAAAAGTAACGAAAGTTGCGCCACCGACCGCTGAATAGTTTGGGAAGCCACAAGAAAAGCCATCAGGTCTCCAGCCTCCAACTGGTTTGAGGCAATCAATTTTCCACCAAACCAGAGCGTGCCAAGCACCAGGCCATTGAGGAAGAAATTTGTTCCGCCCTGAAAGAGGCCGATGCCAAGACCCAATTTCTCGTTCATTTTGCAGGCTAAGTCTGTTTCTCTTGCAAACAACTCTTGTTCCTGGCCCTCCATTGCAAAGGCCCTGACCGTCCTCATGTTGCTTATTGCTTCTTCACAAACAGAAGTCGATTGGGCAATCTAAAAATTAAAATTAAATTGATTTTTCCTGATTGCAAGAACATTTTAATTATTAACCTGAATTTGCGCTTCTCTGGAAAATTTTCTCAGGAAAGAACCAAACAAGGTACCAATAACCACAATGGAAGGCATCACTAGCAGCATCCCCACTGTCATTTCAGGGGAAATCATCACAATGGAGGCGGCGCAACCAACAATCTAAAAAGTCTTGCATTTATCAACTTCCTTCTCATAAAAAAAGAGATTTGATTTCTCACTTGAGCAAAACTCCTAAGACCTTGGGATATGCACATTTTGAAAGAGCTCTTAAAGTCTTGGACATCAGTAGTTAGCCTGCATATAAAAGCAGTTAAGATTTTTTGGTGTTCAGTTAGTTTAACAAATCAAATCGTACCTGTTAATCAATTCGCCAGTTCTATGCTTGTCAAAAAACGTAATATCTTGTCGTAAAATCGATGCAAAAAGTTCCTTTCGGAGTTCAGAGGCCACCCGCTCACCAACATTGGAAAGGAGGTAAATATAACCAAAGGTAAACACAGCCTAACAATTAAATAATTATGTTTTATTGCATTATATTTTTTAAGATACTGAATTTTGTTCTCATTAAATTTAGTGAAGAATTTTACCTGTGCAAAGTAAAGTTTGACCAGCTTCAAAGCAGGCTCGGTTATTGCTTTTGAAAAGTTTTCTATCGTTTTGCCACTCATAACTGCTGTCATTGCATTAACTACAGTTCCGAGCACTTGAGGAATTTGTATATTTAACGCCGCCACCACAAAAGAGGCCTAGTAGAAAATTTTTTAATAAAACTACATTTGAATAAATGATATTATCTAAACAAACCACAATAGCTGCCAGCAAGTGTAAAATGTGTGGCCTCAATAATGAGAAAAATTTCTTCCAGTCAAAAGGCGGATCTTTTGCAGAGGCTTTTTCGTCCTTCGCGCCAACGAGCCGACTTGACGCCTTAATTTTCCCATCACAATAGACTCGAGATTTGGAGCACCTTTGATATTGCATTAGTTCAATTTAACTTAAGCACCAAATTACATGCTAATACCCATAATAAAAATTTATTTATAGAAATTCTTAAAATAATCCTTGGCGAAAAATTTATACCATAATTCATAAAAACTCTGATATTTTGGAACAAGAATAAAAAAAACCTTGATTTCAATTAAAATTTCATATGAACTTAATATTTTGTTACCTAATAACGAGAGATGCTGAAAGTCCACCAGCAAGTCCAATTCCTATGGTCCACTTTCCAACTTTTGTATTTTGTAGGACGTTCTGTCTTCGTAGCAGCCTGGATTGTTCGGTAAAATTTCTTAAAACAAACCAGTTTTTACCTGAGTTGACTAGAGAATTTCTGAAATTAAAACAAAAATTAAACCATCCATAAATTTTGTAATTTAGGTAAAAAGAAAATAAATACATAAAGGCAAAAACCCTACCTGCTTTGAGGCAGCAAGCAGGGAAGTCTGGACAATTTCAAAGAGCCGCATGCTTTTGAGGCTAAAGTAATCATAATTTTGTGACCAATTAGGTGGATGACAGCCTTTTGGGTTGGCGTTCCAATCGTCGATCTAGTTTATTTTGTAACTTCTTGTCGTCGAAAAAGGTCAAGCAAAGTGTTGTGGCAATCACATGTTTATGTTCCAGATTGACGGCAAAAATTAAATCGGCACACCCCTCTCAGCCTTTGCCACGCCCCCTTCGTTGCACTGCGAAAAAACAAGCAAAATATTTCGCATTTCGCTGCTTCCGTATATTGAGCATTCTCCAAAATTTGCCATAATGACAACGTCCGCCTTCCGAAGGGGGTTCACCCATGTAAAATGCAGGGGTGAATTCTACCCTCGGACAGAAAATAAAGTCAGGAGGTTGCAAGTTCCAGACGATAAAGTTTCGTGGGACGCTGCCTTTCCTGATTACCGGCCTACAAACTTCACATCCGAACATGTTTTGAAAGGTCCTGTTTGGGCAGATAAGGTGAATTTTCTTGGTTATTCACACAACATAAACCATTATTTTCGTTTGTTTTTAGACAGTAAATATATAAATATAGTAAAAAATATGCTTATCACGGTTTTTTCCTATTTTTTAGATTTTTATTTTGTTTTTAATTTTGTGCTTCCAAAAGTTCTCTTTGCGTTATTTTTTTTGTATTAATGCTTATAGAGCAAATTTATTTTTAAATTAATTTAAATTTTTTTTCAAGTTAACCAACATTGTTCTATAACTTTCTCAAAATAAATTTTCTTAAATGACTTTTAGTATAAAAAAATCCAAAATTGCATCAGAATTACAAAAATGTGATTAATTCATTTTTTTATAAGGATGACTTGACCACTGGGAACTACAAATGGAATTGTTTGGATAATAACGTGGACAGAAGGAGTCACTTGGGCGAGTATAATTTGGACTCACAAGGGCGCCCTTTGAACCCTCGTGGAAGAACCGGCATCTCTGGCCGCGGGTGCTTAGGGCGATGGGGCCCCAATCATGCCGCCGATCCTGTTGTGACAAGGTGGAGCATTGACCCCAGCACTGGTAAAATCCTTCAAGCTAAAGGACAGCCCGTTCTCCAGTTTGTGTCTATTCTGAGAGGCGACTGCAATGAATGGGCCTTGCCAGGAGGAATGGTTGGTGTTCAAATTTGTAGTTGGGTTGGAGCGAAACCTATGGAAAATTAATTTTAAGGTGGACCCAGGGGAAAGCTTTTCAACGACTCTGCTCAGGGAGTTTGTGGAAGAAGCCATGGACATGAGCACCTCGGCAGAAAAGGAAAAGGTCAAGGAATTTTTCGCAACCGGCGGCACTGAGATTTACAGAGGCTACGTCGATGATCCCAGAAACACAGACAACAGCTGGATGGAAACTGTTGTTGTCAATTACCATGACAGGGACGGGACTTATTTCAAAAACATCAAACTCAAGTCTGGAGATGATGCCATTGGCGTGCAATGGAAGAACTTGACTGATGATCTAAAACTGTACGCATCTCACTCATTCTTTTTAAAGAAAGTCAAAGAGTTGCATTTGAATGGAAATTGAGGCTCTTAAATAAATATGAAAATGAAATAGAATGTATTTTTTCTTAAGACAAAACGTTTTTACCCGATTTTACCCTCATTGTCAATTCAATATTATTCTAAACACTTTATAAGAGGCATTCAAACCCACTTTTTGGGTCCCTTTGCTGTGATTGACGTAAATTATAAGTAAATGCATTAAATTAATCCTTCATAATTCTAATCAATAAATACAATGATGAGCTTTAAGAACATATGTATAATTTATCAGAGACGCGTGGGTTCTAAAAAAACCAGTGTCTTTAACTATATCATATGGTTGGAAGTAGTCAGTAAAATATTTGATATAATTTCACAAAAGATTGATTAAATTTAATAATAATCATTTTATTAAACGCGTTTGCGTTTAACCTGCGCAGCGGTCAGATTCAATATTTCAATAACCAAAAAAGCTTTTGCGCCTCCTTGCAACACACTTCTGTCATTGATGAGGAGAGACAGCTACAAGGACCGCGCGCGTGCCATCCCTGCGATGGCACGTGCATGAGATAAATAAACTCGTGGTGTCGCACTCTGAGCAGCGATTATCTTATCAGCGATTTTACTTTTATCCCATGAATAAATTAATTGCATTAATACTTTTACTCTTTTGACAATAACAATTCCCACAGGCGGAGCACGTTCACGTTTCATCATAAAAACACGGCTTTTGTTTATTATTAAATATTCAATACACACTTTATACACACTGATATAAAACTAAGGATATTTTCTGTACATACACACAAACATTATTGAAATATTTGCATCTTTTATTTTTAATAAATGACACAATATTTAAAATTACTAAATAAAAAGAACCAACATTAAAATATTTACTAAAAACCAAAGAAATTAATTATTTAAAAAAAAATCAACCTTTTATATGTTTTGTATATTCAAATAGTAAAACGTGTATGATATATAGTGTTAAGTAATAATCTAGTTTGAAAACTAAATATTTTTTTTCAGCCTTTTTTAATAATAAGTAAAATCTGCTATGACGCCTATCAATCTATATACAATAAAATTTCCGCGTCATTTGTATAATTAAATTCAGTATTCAATTGACTTCACGCAATATTAATAAAAAATAATGATTTTTGGTTATATTTATAGCAGTTTCGAGATTGCCTCCTACTTACTATAAGAGCGAGGGCGGCTTTTCATTATAATCCCTGACAATACCATTCACATGCAGTTAGAACTCGCAACTTCCAAACCGGCTCCACAATCACGTGTGCGCAACCAACGCACCCCTCCGCCCTTTATGAATCTCTAAATTACATTTTAGTTACCCCACAACAGGCACACGACCGCGCGCGCTCTGTCATATTTGTCATATCAGCGGCTCATTGCTGTGTGAAAATGCAAACCACCCGCCCCCCGCCCTTAAAAAGTCGAAAGTCGCACGAGTAAAATGAAAAAATGCATTAAAAACGGGAAGTATTGTAAAATTACCAACTGATATTTTTTTTATTTTAATTAATAGAGTAATGCTTGCGATCAAAAAATTATCAATATAATGAAATGAAGGAAATATTTATGATATAATTCAATAGGGATTTTTATTATTTTATTCCGTTTTATTCTAAAAAATTGAAAATAACACACACTCCACTTAATTAAGACGCAACTAAAAAACTTTCAAAATTAGCACTCGTTTGTTCTTTTCGTGCTTCCACAGCTCAAGAGGGTTTCATGTAGTGCTTGGGCGCGCACCAGTGCTCGGCGTCAATTATAATCCCCTTATCAGGCGTCAACAGGCGCGCTGTGGAAACAATTTGCCAGCCCTTATCGTCCGCACCAGCCAAAAGCCCCGTGGGGGATGAAAAGCCGACGAGGGATGGAACTGCTGGGGAGAGAGTGCGGAGAAAGGCGGAATTTCCTCCAGGAGCATAGTTTTTTTACACATGCAAAAATACACGTTAGCAAATCTGCAAAATTCTTAAAAAGAAAAAAAAAACAAAGGCGCAATAGAAATTGTCTGATAAATTCCAGACTTCAAAGCAATGCCGAAAAAAACATAATGATAATATAAGAATTAGAGCTAAAAAAAAAAAAAACTACAGATGTTTCTTATATTTTTTTTTTTTTGCATTTCTTATAATCACATTGATTTTCTGAATGACGAGGATCAGTGTGACTAATAATTACTCAATATTCTATTGCATATTTGCTGAAAAATCTTGTGTGTGTCTTGACTGACAGAGACGATCAGGATAATTTGTCAATACTTTCAATTGAAATTAAAATTTTTGCGGATTGGAAATTACAAACTTTTTTAAATACGATGCAGATGAAGCATTTCTAACACTGGATGACATATAAAAATATACTGCGAGAGATTTGTCATTTGAGACCAACTTATATTTATTTCTTGTAAACTAAGCTCTTATTAGAGAAGAATTAAGACTTCTTATTCCATTATATCTCAAGAGAATCATGCAGTGGTTTTATTTTTTGCTATAAAAAATTCTAGAAATAAACCTGAAAGTAATAAAATAATTCTTCTCTGAAATATAGAACATTTAATTTATTTTGGAATTGTGAACTACGATACATCTTTAGTTGGATAAAATTTAGATTTTAAGATGATTCTTAAATTTAATATTAATTACCTTCTGTGCCCAAGGTTTCCTTCAAAGCAAACAAATTTTTGAAAATAAAAATGATGAACATTTAATTATTATTATAGGAACACGATTTAAATATATTTTTGCTTGACAAAATTAAGTATTTCGCCTGTATTACGGGGGTCGTACGAGTACGAGGGTGGTCTTTGCACGTCAAGGGCGCACCCCATTGGATGTGGAAAACACGCCCCGGTGAGGGCATTGTGGGCTTCGCAAGAGCATCCCGTTCAATCAATTTCTCCGTTTTGCACAATTCACCCTGCAACAGGCCCTGGACCAAATTTCAAAAGCTAGTCGTGTCGCGGTTCTTGAGCAAGCAAGAGGGGTGAGCATTTTTTACTTTTGAGTATTTATTTTTATAAATAAGAAAAGGGTGGTATTTTACTGTTTTTGCATTAAATATTTATCTATATAAACATAAAGAAATGAATCTATTTTTTTTTAACTTAAATTTTCACCTAATTTTATCAATCTTCTTGTAATTTTAAATGTAATTTATTTCCGCTCAACAGATATGTATATTGGCAATTCTTGATTCTAGCCACACGCTTTTAAAAACATAGTAGTGCGCATTGAACTTTATTTTTAAACTTCATCTTGTGACGATAGTTTCCGGGAAATTCCTTAACAGGCAGTCAAATAAAAATAATTAAGCTTATCGCATTATAGGAGCGCAAAACGCTGCTGCCCCCCTTTGTTAAAAATAGTGTTCAGTTTTTCTTCAGCGGCCAATAATATAAAATTCAGCTTGTTTTACGAGTAAAAACACATGAAAATCTGCTCCTTCCCTGACAAAAATTATTGATTTTAATTTTTTTTTTTTATTCTTGAATTTTCATACCTGAAATTTTCTAATTTTCCGCAAGCTGCAAGCAACAAAAGTGAACAAAAGCTATAATATAAAACAGCAAACCACAGCAAACTTTCATTAATCTTCTCAGGCATTGACATATGCATCGCTAGAAAAAACCGATAAGTCGTCAGAGACTATTGTATTTATTGTATTTTCCAAACTCAACTTCCTGCCACCGCCTAGCAGGAAAGAGCAAAAGTAACTGATAAGTGCGTTGGCTTGTCAATCTGCAGCCCTCTCGGAGCACGACTAGAAGGAATAATGGTGCTGGACAGAACTGCAGGGAGCAATAAGCTGAATGGGTCGGAGGACTGCACCCCTGCACCAACCTTGCATTCACAACAGGCGCCAGCCCCAGGTCGCGCCACCCTGAACCGTTGGTCGCCAGGAATGTCCTCGTCCGCGGGCGGCTCGTCCAGCGATATTTCCGACATGGACGAGGACTTTGAAGGCGACGAGGACGACGACCTCGTCAGCCTTTGCTCGCACAGGTCGGGAAAACGCAGCCCCCGCACTTCATTGACGCCGCCAAACGCTAATGGCTCCAGTGAGTATAGTTAATTTATCTAATATTTTGCTGCGGCTACAATTTATAAAGAAATTTATTAAAGCCAAAATAAATATGAAAAAGATTAAGATGAAATTAAAATAAACTTCTATTTTGAATTAAAAATAACACATATTAATTTAGTACAACTTTTTGGTTTCATTATATTAAAATTTCCAATAAATTTGAATTTAATTAAGGAAAAAAATAATAATTTGCTTAAAGCACATATATGCCTGAAATTAACTAATTATGAAATTGTCACATCTCCTTCAATAATCATTGTATTTTGCTTGTTTTTATTTCATTCCAAATGTTCATGTTCATAACAAAAATAATAATAAATTAGAGATTTTAAAGTGCTAGATATTTAGAAGAAGAAAAATTGAATTTATCAACGCAGTATAAATATTAAAATCAATGTATTGTTGCAGCGGCCTGTTTGTCAATTTCAACGAGCAGCTCAAGTGGGCCGCCGAGGGTAGTGCGCAAAATTTTCACCAATAGCAGGGAAAGGTGGCGCCAACAGAATGTGACAAGCGCATACGCTGAACTGCGAAAACTCGTGCCCACGCATCCCCCCGACAAAAAGCTGAGCAAAAACGAGATTCTCAGAATGGCCATTCGGTACATCAGACTTTTGGGTAAAAAATTAATTTTGGTTTTGGTTTCAAAAATCTAAAATTCAAATAACTGTAGACGACGTCATCAAATGGCAGGATTTGCAAGAAAACTTTGGTAGCTACGACAGGAATGGAAATTTGCAGAGTACTCTGAACAGATCTTCCAGAGCACGCAGAATCATCAAGCAAGAGCCAGTCGAAGACAACAAGAAGCAGTAAAATCTTTGAGGGAATATTAAAAATTTATACAATCTCACACTCAAAATCTATTATTAAGAATAAAAATAAATTGTGTTAAATTTAAAAAAAAAATACTCATCTCAAATTCATAAATAATATTAATTATTATAAATATCAAAAGGTTCAAAAAAGTTGTATTAAAAGCTGCAAATTATCGTGATATTAAGTTTAAAAATATTACGTCACTTTGTGTCAAAATTATTTTTATAACGACATTTGCAGTTCGTGCGCCGCATTCAGATTAAATTTAGACGGATTTATGAAAAATTTAAGTTATTTAAAATTATTTTTGTAATTAAAAATCAATTTGGAACTCTTATATTTAATAATATTAAGAATATTTTCACTTTTATTTTCTGAAATTTGTATTCAATAAGTAGCGATTCAGTGAGAAATTAGCAAATCATGCTTGTTACACTAATAATCAATTATTGGCAAATATGAGATAATTAAATACCTTGCAACTAAGCAGTAGCACTAAAAATTCCTTTTGATGTATATTCGATTATCAAGTAGACCATTAGACGTGTCAAAATTTTGCAAATTAATATTTAGCTAGCATTATTACTAGACAAGTGATGTCGTGTTATATTGAAAATAAAAATCATTAATTAAAAAAATATACATTGTTGATCCTTTGAACAGATATTAAAAAAAAGCTATTGCGGGGAAACGGATCCAGATTATAGAAACGCGCCGGGCACCTTTGAAGTTTGTTGTGAAAAGCGATAGCAAGGAAGGTACCTGCTGGCTGTGTGTGTACCTGGCGTACCTTTCCCTCCCTCCCCCTCCGACGGCTTTCCTCCTTATTTGCCTTAATTCTCCTTAAGTGTGACGTCTCAGAGACCCTCTCTCCTCGCAGCTGCTGAGAGAGGCTGATTTTTAATTGCGCCGCGCCCGCGACTACACAGTCATACTATCGCCGCGCGTTTATTAATAATTGCGAGTGGAAGTGAAGCAGATTGTGTTGCGCGCCTACGATCGAAACGCGCGCGTCACCCGCCGAACGGGCTTTCCCTTTCTCAGGTATATGCAGATTATTATTCATTGAGTTGCAGCAGCGCCACCCGAGAGTTGTTCGCTCACTTTGCATTTTGTGGCGCAGGTGCTGCAGTTGTTGTTCCTCCGTCGGTCAAGCAAGTCGGTCACGTCGGAGAGGCGCGGCATCTCGACAGGCTGCAAGTTCCGGTGAAGTGAAAGTCGTCACCGAAAGATTGCTCATTTGTTTGTTCCGCGGACATCGTAGGGTGTTCCAGATTAAGAAGTTACATTTTTCTGAGCCTCTCTTTGGAGGTGTGTCCTCGAGACCAAAACACCTTGAGTCCACGTCGATCGCCTCTTCCTTATTACACGACCTGCGGATGTTGGCTGGATAGATTGTTCTTCAACTCGGAAGGTGAGGTTATTATTACGTCAGTATAAAAAGCCTTGGCACCTCATTGCCGATCATGCGAATGCAGCCAATCCGATCACGTTTATCCGAATCATTGGATTTTCACCTGGCATGCCATTGAATGCGATCCTACGCCTGAGTGCGCGTCTCATTATGAAGGGAAATTTAATTAGTTGCAGTTTTTTTTTATATTTCACATTTTATTGAATTTATCCTATTACTTTCATTTAAATAAATTCCTTATCATATTCAAACTTGCAGCAACCAGAAACTGACTTCATGAATTAATATTATATTTGTCGGGGCTTTTCCTTGTGTAGTTACATTTATTTTGAAATAAGGACGTTAAATGTGTTCCTCGAATATATACAGAAGTGTTTGGAAATCCCCTGTAGCCTTGTTTTTGGTTTGAATGATTTTTATTGCTTTTCAAATTCTTGTATTTATTTATCTTTTAACCAACGGGCATTTTAATTGAAAATGTTGAAAATATTTTGTTTCATCGTGTAAATTAAGGCACTATTTATGTAAATTTTATTTAGACGTCTGGCTGAAAAATTTGAAAGGTTGATTCACTCATGGTTTTTTTGAGAGTTAAATTTTATAACGATATTTCCGTTTTGAGGATAAAAATTAACCCGTAGGACCAAAACCACCATTTCCATGCTTGGCAGGAAGAGAACACGGCGGATGTTATAATCAGATTTTACTCTATTTTTCTTAATTCAAAGACAAAGCCTTTAGCTGAAATAATGTTATTCATTCATATTTAATTAAATTGTGTTGTGTACTCTAAAAAAACAGACGATTGCAAATTAGCAGAAAAAAGTAGATTCTAAATATTAATAAATAATTGTCGTTGGTAATTTAAAAAGATCATGTCTCATTTTGATTGATAGTATTTAAAAATTAATTTGAAAAATATTTTTCTTACTGAGGACTGGGTCCATACCAAATGAAAGGAAAAAGGAGATTGTGCTCCAGAACAGTCTAAAGTTGATTCTATTTTAGTCAGAATGTTTCTTGGTCACAAGAATACGCAGCTACAGACACTAAGGAATTAAAATTATGCTGAGGCTTGAGTGTTTTCTGACGCATTGTGCACGCCGCGGCGTTATTTGATGCCGTAAATTTACAATAATATTTTCAGCGACGTTTCACTGAATACAATTTTCAGCACTGAAAATACGTTTTGATTTCTGCAAAATAATTTTTTTAACTTGGGATACCCTTGAATCTCGAATATAGAGCAATATACAATTTTTTTGCAACACATTTCTGTTCTAGAATTAAAAAATTTATTTATTCGCTCTTGTCATTTCAACAATTGTTGGAATTTTTCCAGACATAAAATGCCAAACAAAATTCTGCAGTCTTGTTGCATGTTAGACAATATTGACAATTCAGAAGTGGAAATGAGAATTTTGCGTATTAAATGTGTCCTTGGCGAGTGGAGCGTGCGAAATTTTGAATGGACATTCACGGCCGCGTGATTTGCAGAGAATAATGCACCGGCAAATGTATTTTTTATTTATTTATTCTGAGGAAGGAAGAGAAAATTGCTTTGTGAAGAAAAATGAGTCACGTTCCTTGATAAAATTCCCAGCGGGGGTGCACACAATTTTACTGTTGGTGACGCCGGTGATATGCCTGGATATTTATCATCCTTTCACACACACTAAGTTATTGGCCTCGGGCCTTTGCAGGTTCTGACTAATCACTAATGACCTTTTAAGCCCTTGGAAACGTCAGTAAATTTTGAAAATTAAATTACGCACATGTTTGAGTTTTGTCACTCGAGAGGAAGAAAAAATAAATCATCTTTACGCGTGCCTGTGCCCTTGTTGCGTGCAATTACCACTGATTCGTGAAATGTGACACTCTGTTACACTCCCAGTTCTTAAAAAAAGGGGGTCAGAGATAACGATACATACCATGACATTCATAGTCTACATTGCGCCCAAGTCCATTCAGTTTTTATACTTTCAGGTTTAATTTTGAAAAATAAAATTTTTTCTTTAAAACATAAAATTATAATTAAATTTATTTTCTAAGTTTAATTTAAAATAAATAATATAACCCATTTCATTAACTTATATTATCAAAATTTAATAATTAAATGATTTAATAAAAAGCCCAAAAGGTGAAACTATTCGACTACAAAAAATTAAAATTAGATTAGATAAGAAAATTTAAACTACTTTTTGGATTTTCGCATTAAATTTTTATTTCTTCAATTTTTCAGGATGATGAGACCAACATGGATATTGTGCCTTGTGGCGGCCGTGCTTCTTAAGAGCGAGGTGCGCGCCTTCTCCAAAGGAGCCCCTGATTCTGCTTGTATTTCCATGATCCCTGGACACAACGTTGATCCGCAAGACTCCCCGTCGCCCTACACCGTCGAGCTGGCGCCCATCAAGAACGACAACGGTCGGCGCCTCGTCAACGTAACCATCGTCAGCCAGGGCAACGCTGACTTTGCTGGCTTCATCATTCAGGCCCGTCCTGACGGTGGAAACAATGCTCTCGGCTCCTTTGAAGTTCGACCAGAATTGGGAAAAACGCACACTTGTGGATCTGGATTAAAGGTAAAGATAAACTTTTTTACTTTATTAATTTTGGATATAAATTTTAATTTTAATTTTATTTTATTAATTTTGGATATAAATTTTAATTTTAATTTTATTTTATTAATTTTGAGTATATAAATTTTAATTTTTAATGTGATAAATTTTGAATGGATTTTTTTGTTAGTTTTGAAATGAGGAAATTTAAAAAAAATAGCGCAAGTTACCGTCAGCGCGAGCGCAGCCAACTTTGTTATTTGATCGTGTAAAAATTCTAAAAGTTACTTACTTAATCTCATAAAAAAAACCGGCGGTGTTCATCAGGTTGATTATTTGTCAATGTCACAATTTGAAAATTCTCTTTCATTCACCAATTGGTTATTAATTATTTACATTGTGTTTTGGTCCCATTCTTGTTGTTTTTAACATGAAAGAGACTGCAGTAGCTTTAGCACGGAAGGTCCTGCCTTTGCGTGATCCCAACACTATAATGGGTCAAATGACCCATTACATCGATTTTTGTTCAGAAGGCCAAATTTTAAATGGAATGCCGAGGTTTTGGGATTAAAAAAAAAGTAAAAAAACACATAATTATGCTGTAATTATAAATATTATTTCAAAAAGATCGCAATTTTTATACTTCAATGTACATTTTTTGAAAACCCGCTTTTAATTATTCCCAGGATTTAAACGCATTTTTATATTTTAGAAGGTTTTTAAAAGAGAATATATTCATGAATTATTAACTTCTTGTTCTTCAGAATTCTGTGACACATGTCGATGCAAAGCGAAAAAGGACAGTTGAATTGGTTTGGGAGGCACCCAGCAACTTTGATGGTCATGTGACTTTCAAGTGAGTATTCAATTCTATTATCAACGGTTCAAAATATCATCTATTTAAGAACATCTTTATTAAAATTTCTTCAGCTTTTGATTTTGTTTTTATAATCCGTCGACTTTATATCTCATATATTCATCAAAATATTATTTTAAAAAGCTGCTTTTTTTTAGCAAATTTCATTTTATAAATTTATCTTGCTGAAAGGGTCTATGATTACTGATATTACGCAAATATTGAATTTTAACTAGGTACACAAGACAAATAAATTTGTTCTCAAATCATAAAGTACTCTCACCAACAACCTAATTTGCTCTAAAATTGTAATTAGTGTCTTGTTATCTGCTTTTCAAAACTATTTTTGTAAAATAAAATTCTAAATTTTAATTTTTATATATTTATAGTGCAACTGTTGTGCATAATTTCGCTACCTTCTGGACCGGCATTAAGTCGATTCCTTTAATTGTTCGGAGTACACCAACAGGCGTTGAATATGACACAAGTTCAAATAAGCCAACAACCAGAGTTCCTTACAAATCGACTGTCTCCACGACAACAACCGCTAGACCTCTTGTTAGTAAAATAATAGATTATTAAAAATGTGTTTCCAGAGTTTCATAATAATTTTTTTCCTTTTAGTCGGGAAGCCAGGTGGCCAATCCAATTTATGAGGGCTGCAATTCCATCAAGGGCTGCTTTGGTTGGCCTAGCAATTGTGTCAACTCAAAAAGTTGCCGAGCTTTGGTCACCTACAAGTTCAAGAGCTTAAATTACGAGTTTGAATTGTATGCTGATGACAGAATCTGGGCTGCTGCTGCATTTTCTCATGACAAAATAATGGTTGAAAGATTTAATTTCTCTCTTTAAATCAACTCATAAAAAAATTATTGTAGGCTGAAGACGCTGTGATGGAATGTGTTTACGAAGAAGACAAAAATGAAGTGAACGCCTATGTCTCATGGAACGAGGCGGCCAACCCTCGTAAAGGAAATCACCGCGTTGTAAGTATTAAAAATTTTATATTTTTTTTGAGGGGTAAAGGATTTTTTGTTTTGGGTCTCTGCAAGGTGAAAATTAATGACCATATAGCCTTTAAATTTTATGGGATTAATACAAATTAATTTTTTGTTATTTCAGGAATCAGATCTGAATCTCTTAGAGTCGTCTTACAAAGACAAGCAACTCTACTGCCGTTTCACTAAACCCCGCATCAGCACAATCGAGGGAGTCGAATTTGATCTCGACAAGCCTTACCATCTCTTTGTTGCTGCAGGCACAGACCTGAAAGGCAACAGACTTGGTTATCACCAGTCTGAACGTGATCTGACCGCTGAGAAAATAAGTCTGACTGATATTCAGGAAGCTAAGGGTGCTTCAAAAATTTTGGTAAGTTCCCCCCATACAAAAAGTGATTGTAAAAATAAAAAATAAATTATCTTGTAAATAGGTTCATTTGCACGGTGCCTTTATGATAGCCGCCTGGATTGGTGCCGCCAGCATCGGAATTTTGCTGGCTAGGTACTTCAAAAAGACTTGGGTTGGTTCTCAACTTTGCGCTAAGGACCAGTGGTTTGCTGTGAGTTAGAGAAAAAAGTGATTTTTAAAAATAATATTGCTGAATTAAAATTTTTCCCAGTGGCACAGAGTTTTTATGCTGTTCGCATGGTGCCTCACTCTGGCTGGCTTTGTGATTATCTTTATTGAAATTGGAGGCTGGTCAAGTGCAGACAACCCACACGCCATCCTTGGCTGCATCACCACGGGTCTGGCATTCATCCAGCCCTTCATGGCTGCCCTTCGGCCGGCGCCAAATGCCCCAAGGAGGCCTCTTTTCAACTGGTGCCATTGGCTGGTGGGAAATTTGGCCCACATTTTTGGAAGTAGGTTTTCATTATTGTTATCCGATGTTGTAAAAATATTTATTGTTAATTAATTTTCATTTGCAGTTGTGACTATTTTCTTTGCCGTCTTGCTCCCAAGAGCAGAGCTTCCTGACTGGACTAACTGGATCTTGGTGGGATATGTAGGCGTTCATGTTGTCATGCACCTTATTTTCTCAGTAAGCTCTTGACGCATATTTATATATTATTTTTCATTTATTAAAATTTGTCATTGTTAATTTATTGCAGATTGCTGGTTGCGCCAGTGATAGGAAGAAGAGAGTCAATTCGTTCCCCATGCGGGATCTTTCGCACAGTCGAAACTCTGCTCACTCTCATCATGAAAAAAGTCAGGATGCACCTGTGAGTTTATCTATAATTTATTTTCCATGCGAGCGATTAGCTGATTTTTTTGTTTTTAGTATTCATGCATCCGTAAATTCTTGTTCGCCATATATTTCATTGGTGTTGTGAGCGTGACTGTGGCCCTCATCGTGATCGTCGTTCTAGCGCCCATCGAAGATACATTCAAAGATGTGAAAAGCAAATTGAACATCTAAGCCAAGGAGTTTTTTTAAGAGAAGAGCATCACTTAACATTTTCATAATTTTCATTATACAATCAATCACCATGTGCAATGACCCCAAAAGTCTGTTTTAGAGGCCTTATCTTTTGTCTTCAAATTCCATCTTAATATATATCACTCATCATTTTTAGAAGCAAGAGGAGAATATTAATTCCGTTAGTTGTATGGTTAGTTTTTACGCTATGAGAATTTACAGATTTTTTTTTAAACAAACTAAGCGTTAATTTTTTGTATTTGATTGAAATACTTTAATTAACAAACCACCTGATATTTAAATTTCTAATTTTTATTATGAATCTCGTAAAATGAATACGTCCTAAATAATTTGAATAAGAAATCTCTGCAAGACTTAATTGTCATAAAATAATTTTATGTTGTCTGGTATTACATGAAGAAAGAATATTATGTGGAGATCAAGCTTTCGCAAGTTTTTTGATAGATAATAATTGAGATATTACAATATTTATATTGAGAAAAACTCATGAATTTAATTTGTATAAATAATGACGAGAAATGTTTTTACTGTGAAAGTGTGAAGCGAACAAATTTGTGAATTTTCATTTCCTCAAGTTCAGGGTCCCAGCTGCTGACGGATCTTATCCCCTTGCACAAGTTTTATAGAATAATTTATAATTTACAATGTAAATAAAATTTTCCAGTAATAAAAAAATTCTTCATTAACAAAAATTATCGTGTTTTTTAATTTTATTTATATTGCGCAGTTACATATGCTCCCTTTTCATATATTTCAGACAGAAATTAATTATTGTAAATTAAAATTTTTTTAATCCATTATGAGATTTTCTAGACTGGCGGGCTTTCAAGAGACCTCTGTTGAGAAATCCTTCGTTTTGTCATTTATTGTGTCAGCCCTGACACCGCACATTGTTTGGTTGGCAGCATTGGTTCGTTAAAATGGCCTACGTTTACCATCAGTGAGCGTAGCAGAGAAAAGAAACGGGCCATTTGTCAAGCTGTTGTGGCAGGCTGGGTTCCCATTCGCGACCTGTGTTCGACAATGGCCATTTCCTGAGCTGTTGACTTAGACTTCGATAGCATTCCTGGTCTGCAAACCTCTCGCCTTTCGATCCGCAATCTTGATGGATTTTTCTCGCCTCAACAACAAGAAGCACTGGACTCTGAAGTTTCCCAGGCCTTCGAGACGCTAAGCTGAAAATCAATCGAGTAAGTTCCCAACTTCCATGGCCGTGAAGGAAAACACGGCAAACTTAACTTTAAGATTCGACATTCCGCCTCGTGTTCAACGAAAGAGATGCCGAGACGGGCCCGTTTAGATTTTATCGATTTGTAGCTTCGAACAAGCCCCACCAAAATTTCACAGACATGCAGAGAGAAAGGGCCTTGCTTGTCAGTGCCAACTTCTTCATAAGTTTTGCACTCGCAATTAACAACATTGAACATTTTTGCAAGCGATTCGCGTATTTTAGTCCGTTGCTTATTTTTGTCCTGACACTGCAAAATTTTCAATTTTGACATTTTTTTTTGTGCTAAGAATTTTTTGGCGTTTGGATTCTAATTACTGTTATCTCTAACTTCAAAGTTATGTAACTACTTCGCTATCTGAGATGGGTAGGATGAGTTGACTGAAATGCATAAAGAAATATTAATTGTAAAACTTTCGAAAATGTAAATGGGAATACATTTTTTGACATTTCTATTATAAGCCTTTTAAAAGCAAAACGCTCATATTTTTAAAATACTGATACATTTTTTTTTAATATTAAGAAGCATGATGTTTTTAATCACTTTTATGTGAAAAGTGGAAACCTTTCATGAGATGAAGGAAATTTTTTTGGCCTTCAAATAAAAAGAGGGTGTCAAGTATCGAAATAATAAAGCAGGCTGCGCCCAAGAAGACGGGGTACAGATGATATCTAAAATGTGCGTTTTGTATTATCATGTTCGTGCAAGTGGAATTAGAGAGAGGGGCCATACCAGGATCATCCACAAGATTTTCCTCTTAATATTATTCTTAGACTTTTTTTTACCTTTTTGTTTTTAATCTAGTCGATCCTGAGTCTGAATTGCAACAATCCATCAGTTTTTAAATTTTAGTTTTACAAAGACTTAAAAAATATTGCTTATTTTTGTCGTAAATACACCATTTTTCGTAATTGAATTTTAAGTAAGCATTTCCTGGATGAGGTGTTTGAGTCATTTATTGACTTCTAGAAAAAAAAAACCAGTGGGCAGATTCACTTCAGATAACCTCCTGCTTTTTACATTGCTTTAAGCTTAATGAATACTGAACTGCACAGAACAATTAATCAGATTGATTATCACATTTTTAAAAACGGCTACAAATAGCGACAATAATTTAGATAATTATTTTCCAATGAACAGAAATGCTTAAATGGCATTTTATATCTTAAGTTTGGTTTAGACTTTTTAATCGTCCTCACATTATTTTTGACATTTTAATTTCCTAGTGGATGTTTTTTTTTGCGTTGCGTCATTATATTATTCCTAAAAGGTCATTGCGGTCTTTCAAAATTTTGAGATTCCACGGTCTTGATAACCATTTTTGGTGTGAATTTTCAGAATGGAGTGTCCGCCGACGCCACCGTTGTTGCCAGCGGAAAGAATTCCAACCCCTGAAGAGAAGGTGACCAAAGGGGAAGATCTTTACGCACCAAGGAGTGGCTCACCAGAACCCAACTGCACCATTTGCCTCGGACCCTTAACAAACAGGTCAAACACTGACATTTGCGCCCACAAGTTCTGCTTCGAGTGCATCCACACGTGGTCCAAAGTACGTAAATCATCCAATTAATATGGTTTTCCTTTAATTTTTTATAACAAAAGTTTCTAATATATTTGAATATTATTTAAATTTCTTGCTGGGAAAGAAATAGTAATAAAGTCTATTTTTCTACCAATCATTGTCAGTTATTGGCCACTCAGTTAAAAATACTTGGTTAAAATAATATGACCCAGTGAGTAACCAAATTGTGGCTTGAAACTGGCCATTCATAATTGTTCATTATAGTTTTTATTATTATAATAATGTACGTCAATTTATTTATTGTCTGGAAGGAAATCTATCATAAACTTACTCATATTCTAAAAACAAATTAAATTATAAAATTGACTAAAATATGCATTTAATAAAATCCTCCTTTCATTTTTAAGGTCAAGTCGGAATGTCCACTGTGCAAGCAGAAGTTCTCAATGATCTACCACGGGTACAAAGAGGATGGCAGCCACAAGGTATTCACGGTGCCGCGACCAGCGCCGGACCCGAGCGTGGACTCGGAGTTGCATGGCAACTACTTCATGGTGGTCAACATGCCAAATCTGCCCGAAATGCCGATCATGCCGATGCCGTTCATGCGACGCAACCTGAACCGCCACCGTCTACCTCACCTGCCATCCATGTATGCTCGTCTCCGTCGCGCCATTCCCCGGCCGACCGCGCTCTCGGTCACCCCCGAGGAGTCGCTTCCCCTGGCCATGCGAACCAGATCTCACTCAAGACTCGTCAACTCCTATCAGTACCGGCCCGTCTCCAACCCCAGTGAAATTCCAAGCCCCATGGGCATCGACCGGCGCTGCCAGATTTACGCCCTCAACCAATGGGCTCTGCCTTTGCCAGACATCACGGGACGCACCAGAGAGAGCTCCCTTGCATTTTTCCTGTGAGTGAACTTTATTCTCTGTAGACTTAAATGAAAATCACACTCTCTAAGAAAAATTATTCAGCCATAATGTTTAAATTTAATGTGATTTTTCAATCAAATTGTATTTTGCATGATTTTATTCTCAAAATATCCTCAAAATGTTTGATCAATGCATCTTTTAAAACTCAAAAATGGTAAAGAAGGATGAAACTTTTAAAAAATGCGTTTTTTTTACAAATTTCTCATCAAGATTATTAGAAACATACCATTTTTGCATCCAGGCAATTTAATTGCTTTTTGAGATTTCAAAAATATCTCAGGCTCCTTTTGTGATCTTGTAATTAGAACTTCAGAACTTTTCTTTGAATTTTTTGTGCCAACAATAAAAAACAATTTTATTGCAGAGAAAACCCAGCGTTGACACATCGACTTACCTCATGGATTCTTCGTGATCTGTCAGTGCTGCTGTCAGAGCCACACATTGCCCAAGCCTCGCATCGCATCAGTGAGATGCTGTTGCAGCATGACCTGACCAGCCGAGAGTTCAGCAATGAAGTGCGCACCTTCCTCGGTGACCGCACGCGCCACTTCATGCACGAATTGATCAGTTTCGCCCGTTCTCCCTACGACATGATGGCCTACGACCGGTACGTCTCCTACGGCAACTGGCACCCCAACTTCCACAGCTATGCCCTGCAGCCCAACGGAGAAAACGACTCGGAAGATCTTGACGATGAGGTGAGAGAAAACTATCCCAAAAATGGTGCCGCGTACTACAGAAAAATACAAAATATGAGCTTGCAAAAATCAACAACAATGATCCAATAGTAGTTGGTTTTGGGAACCAGTAATTTCGTCAGTATTATTCATCCAAGTCTGGCTTTCTTGTAAGAGTATAAAAATAATTGTGCTATTACTTCTCTATAGTTGGGTGTTGCATTCCGTTATTTAAAATTCCTGCTACTGACTTTGCTGAGAAAGGCAATCTTAATACAAAGACAAACAATTTTTTCAAAGAGTTCTAAACTTTTTTTTTACACAGTTGAAGGTCTAATATAGATAATTATTTATTTTTTCTATTATTATACTGCAATTTAAGTCACTGATTTGAATTTGTATAATTAATTCATATAATTTATGTAATTTCATGAATTTTTATTTTTGGGATTTGAGATTCTACACGGTTTTCTTTCTCAATTTCAGGACGTCGTGGAGGTGCCTGTGGACGGCGGCACCGCTCGTCGCTTTGAATACCCGTCAATGCGCGAGCGACTGAATTTCTACCGTCAGCGCGACCCAGACCGTTGGGACCGCATCTATGCGCGTCTCCGCTCGATCCAGGATTATTCAACCCGCGCCAATGAACTGCTGAACTTGCAGATGCCTTCCGAATCGAGCGCGTTCACCGCCTTTTCGGCCGCTCCTGCACCTCAGGTTCAAATACCCCCATCAGCTGTCGCTGGGCCCTCTGGCCTCTCGGTTCCGTTAACCACTGTGCAGACGCCCATAGTTCTGGACTCTTCTGACGACGAGGCCCTCCCTGCCTCCGTTGAAACCCCTGCTGAGGGGGATTTTCTTCCGTCAGACAATGAAGTCGAAGTGGTTGGAGTGTTCAAACCTCGTCGCATTCGTACACCCGAGCTGATTGAAATAACGTCAGACCAGGAAGAGCTCCCCGAGTTCTTTGAAGCTCCTCTATACTCGGCCAACACTTTGGAAGTGCAGAGCCAGCCAGAGGAAGAAGTTGAAACCAAGATTGAGGTCGAAGTCCCACGACCGCCGTCGCCGCCTCCACTGCCCGAAGAGCAACCTGAGGAAAAGAAAATCAAGAAATTGAAGCGTCACGCATCTTCCCCTCGACCCTCCAAGTCGCGGTCTAAGCACAAAAAGCACAGGCGAAGGCACCACAGCACAGTGAGCAGAGACGAAGACGTGAGCAGCTCTGATGAATTTGACGCTCTCATGTACAAACCACCCAAGATTGAAGTAAACATGTACAGTTCAAGTGAGGACGATGAGGAGGCGATGCCGGCGCGTCTCCGCAGCGTGATTGTGGCCAGTTCGGACTTTGGTGGTGCCTCCACTTCTCGATCCTTCCGTTGAAGTAAAAATGAATAAAATGACTGCTACTCTCTCCAATTAACCTGAATCGGTTTGCTTGCTTTTGTATAAAACATCCAGAAGTGGTATAAGTTGTGACTCTTTGTTTTCATGAATAATGTGCATTGTGGTGAAATTTCTGTGTAATAATCAGAGCATATTTAATTATTAAAAGAGAACTGGGCTTGCGTTATCCATGCATCTCTAATTTGCATCAACCAGTTAATCTAGGATTGAGTTTTTAGTATTGGAAATTGTGAACTGTTAATTGTAAGATCAAGAAACGCATATTATGATAAACAAATGGACAATTTTTGGTCGCAAAGTATGTGAAATTTAAACAATTATTTTATTGCATTGTAGTATGCTCAAAATTACCATTTATTTGTGTTAAAACTTTGAGTTTATTCCAATAATGTCGGAAATCCTGTGGGAGATAATTCCATTATTCCGCCTCCTTTCTCAAATCAAGTTAGTTAGTACACTGGCTAATTATTCCCTTCCCTTTCCCTGTCTTGAACGTCCAAAGAAAATTATTTCGACGTAAAATCCATTATTGATTTGTAAAGCACAGAGTCTTTCTTTTCGTTTGTAATGTTTAATTTGCATTATGACTTTATATAAAATACTAATTTCAATCAAAGTGTTTTGAAACCTTTTTGTTTTGCGCAAGCAATATTTGACACTATTCAAGTCAGTGACTTTCTTGCAGTGCCTTGACTTAATTTTGCTGTTTTCAAAGAGTTTACAGAGAAAATTCACATCCTTAAAAGTAATTTGAGATATTTATAAGTGGGGGCAACTTTTGCGATTTTTTTGATAAGATAATCTTTATTTTTAGACGTACGTACCATTAATAATTTCTTTCATTTTGTGTTCTTTATTATTCAATTTCAATTTTAATATCTTCTACAGAAATAAGGTTCTATTAGAAATAACATAATAATTGTGGATCTCAATGGAAATGATAGGTAAATTTATTACAGGAAAATATCCAATAAGCTAAGAAAATAAAACGGCTCGTAATATATAGCTAGGGTCAGTTGAGGAAGGCATGATAATTTCATTGAAACATAATTTTCTTCATAATTTAAATTTAAAATCTTTTGCCAAACCAAGATGCTGATCTCCTGCAGCCCCCATACTACATGATTGACAAACTGAGCAAGTGTGATTTAAAATTTAGTATTGTCTACGCGTGACATCAAATTGACCTGATGCTAAATATCTCATCGACTTTTAATTCGGTTACTTCTAGCTCTTTGCCAGGAAAATTATCTAAAATTCATGTGATGCGCTCTATGAACTAGAAGCATTTAAATTCTCTGTTGTTCCGTGGCATTATTTTACAGAGAGGATTCCAGTCCGATTTTAGAAACCGTCTCAAAGATAGCATTGGCCACATAATCAATGTTGTGGCTAGTCAAACCACACATGTTGATGCGTCCGCTCTTTAGCAAGTAGATGTGGTAATCGTTCACCAGCATATCAACGTGTTTTTCTATAAAGGAATTTGTTCAATTATCTAGGCAAATTTAATCAATGGCAAAACTTACGCTGAAGGCCAGTGTAGGAGAACATTCCGATTTGATCAGTAATGTGATTCCAAGTGCCAGGAGTTCCGAGCTTCTCGAGCCTCTCCCGAAGGCCTTTCCTCATCGCAATAATACGTTCAGCCATGGTCTTGATGCACCCTTTCCTGAAGTTGAAAATTAATTAGATGAAAAAAATTATCAACTTTATTATTGATACCATTCGTCGCAAAGTTCAGGAGTGTTGAGCACCGTGGAAATTACCCTTGCACCATGGTTGGGTGGATTGGAGTACATTCCACGCACCAGCAGAGTGAGTTGCGACTTCGAGGGTGCGATGGTTGAGGCGTCGTTCACAACCACGGTCAAATTACCAGCACGCTCGTCTAGATTGAGCGAAATGTTTTTCAATTTTCTGTTTTTAAAAATTTGCATTATAAAACTCACTGTAGAGTCCAAAATTCTTAGCAAATGACTGACAGCCAGCAAGCTCAAAGCCACGCTCCACAAAGTAACGAACTGCAAATGCATCTTTCTCCAAATCGCCGGAAGCGAATCCTTGGTAAGCGCAGTCAAAAAGCGGGAACAGCTTTTTCTCCTTTGGAAAATTTTTAATGGTTAAATTCCTGGTGCCAAAACTTGTCGTTAATTTTATTAATAAAATGCATGTAATAGTTCCAATTTAATAATGGGAATCAATTAAATGGAGGGCAACATAATTAATGTTGGGTTAGCTTGAAAAAAGAAATTTTTCATTTGTACTTTGTCGTTATACTAAATCATATCAAATATTGGTCAGCTTATCTTGATGCAAACCCACTTGAAAATGTTTGTCAGCCAATCAGCTTATGAAATTTTTGGAGGCTTGTTTTGATCAGGCCATCCTGCACTTATGTAAAGGGCATCAGCCCAAATATCAAATTGACCTCTGATCTGAAAAGTTTAGATAAAACTGTAAATTATGAGACTTGCCTCAACAACGTCAGCAATGAGCTTCCATTGGTCAGGTGTGGGGTCGACGCCAGTTGGGTTGTGGGCACAAGCGTGCAAAATAATGACCGAGTTCTCGGGGGCATTGCGCAGATCCTCGATCATTCCCTCAAAGTCCAAGCCACGGGTTTCTGGCTTCCAGTAGCGATAGGTCCTGGGCTCGGTGAACCCAGCGTTGACAAAAATCAGGTTGTGGTTTTCTAAAATTAGGAGGGATAAGAATTATAGTTTGAAAATATAATTATCAATTAATACGAATACTATAAAATAATTCAAATCATACTTTTTTGAAAATAAAATTTGAAAGGCAAAAAATTAATTTAAAAATTCAAGACGGTAAGATTTTTTAAAATTAAAATTCATTTTTTTACCCCAAGTTGGAACGGAGTAATAGAAGGTTTTGTACTTCAAAATGCGGCCCAAGAACTCGGCGGCCATGCGCAAACTGCCAGTTCCACTGAGGGTCTGGATTCCAAACGCCTGAAGCAAAAAATATTAAAAATGAAAAAGTGGCCAATTAAGCTTGTTAACAATGTATCTCACCCTTCCTTCCGCAATGGCTTTGCTGTCCTGGCCGAGGAGCATGCGAGTGGCAGCGGTGGAAAAGGTGTCGAGGCCTAGCACAGGCAGATACTCGTGGTTGAGTGACTCGTTGCTCGCCATCGACTGCTCGGTTTTTCGCACCACGGGCAGCACCCATGGTTTGCACTCATCTGTCCTGTAGGCTAAACAAAAATTCAATAATAATTTAAAATGTATTATTTTTAAATGGAAATAAATTTTAATCACTTTTTCTAATTCTTTCTTAAAATAAAATAATGAGACGCATATGATATAAAATTGTCTTTTCCTGTTAAGTACTGAGAATTAGTGCGAAATATAATATATTTTTGAGAATGAAACCAGTTTTGTAGAAAATACTGATTAGAAAATAAATGTGCATTCTCAAATGAATGGATTTTGCCAGTAATCAGTCAATCGCATTTATTTGCTTGATTGCTTGGCTAACCGTCCTTGACCACTTGATTTTTTATTTATATAGTTTTACTCAGATTTACTAGGAAAAAAGTAACCTTGAAAGTAAATAGATTGATAAGTTTCAACAGCATAGCACTGCATTGAAAGGAATTGCAAACGTGCGACAGTGATCAGGGCGTTTCATTTCATATGGTGTAAATTGGCCAGATCCGGTTGCAACTGGAGTGAGCATAGATCAGCATAATGTTTTTATTTGTTTGCATTTTAAATAAAAACAATAAATAATATAATTTTGGAAATCTCCATATCTATTCAAAATTAGATGGGCTACATTTTTCCATACACCTGTACAAAAATCGAAGGGGGCGTTCATTTGGAAAATTTCAGTCAATAAAGTCAAAATTTGTCTGAAAGTGACCTTAAACGTGTTTGAACACGTTTGGTCACCATTGCAAAGTTGTCGGTAAGCATAAATGATTTTTGTTTGTTTGCTTTGCTGAAATTTGCAGAATAATTATAAAATTGAAGAAAATGCACAAGCAGTTTCCTTTTGTCAATGCCACATTCATCAGAGTATCAGGAGAATGCTTTTAAGCGTGGTTATTTAAAATTTTTTTTAAGAAAAAAAAATACTCAAGAATTCCAATCCAGTTTATTTAATAATTCAATTGTTGTTAGGGCACCAAGACAGCATTGTTGAGCGTTTCCTTGGCGAACCTCAAAATTCGTTAAAAAAGGATCAATTGTTAGATCGCTCTGTTGATTCACTCCGTCCGGATAAAATTTGAAATTTGAGAACTTTCTCCCAAAATGCAGGCGAGAGAATTAGTTTTGGCACGCAAGCTTCGCGAGGAGCGGGACATCGGGATGAACGAAGCAGGTAAGAACATCGACACAAGCGTTTTTAAATGTATAAAAAAAAAATTAATCTCAGGGGAGATTCTCGTGTCAGAGGCCATGTTCAACACTCTGCGGCCAAATGGTCCACCAGTGGGGCGCCATCGCCCATACCATCTTGCCAGAATGGCCAACGACGACATCTGCCTCATGGTGAAATACCGAGCATTGGGTCGCCTCAAAGGCTCGGCTTTATTCTGCCCCACCTGGATCGCCAAGCAGCTCAACTTGCGTGTCGGCGAAACGGCCACTGTCTCCCACTGGCAAGGCGAAGTCCGAACGTTGAAGGTGGCCTGCATCCTGGGACCATTTACGAAAAAGGAGGAGAAAAATCTGGCGCGAGCTTTTGCCAGGATCGGCATCCTCAACTCCAACACCTCCATCACTCTGCCACCCAATAACATCGGCCTGAAGCAGGTGAAGATCCTCAACTGCAACCCACGCAGGGGCTACTTTGACGCCGAGAAGTCCGCGCTTAAAGTCATCGAGGTTGACTCGGACTTAGAGGATTGATCTTTGAACGCCTTGCCGACTTTTGGCCTCGATTTGAACAGTAAATTAATAAAATTAGTTTTTAACTCGAAATGACTTAGTATTTTCTTGAAATGCTTGCCTGCCAAATTGGCTGTCAGGGATTATCAGGGATTATTATGCTTTTGACGACGGTGAGGGGATATATATGTATATTATCTCAGAAGATTAAGCAAAATTTTTGCTGGTGGTGGTGTCTTTTTGTCCTAAAATTCTTTTTCTCAATCAAATATTTTTAATTATTCAAAAAGGAAAAAAAATAAAATTTTCTTTAAAAAAATTGCAAGGAGAACGATTGGAATATTATGCTGAAATTACAAAACACCCAGTTCTTGAAAGTTTTATTCAAATTTTAAATCTCTTTTTGAAAAAGAGGTGAACTATTTTTTTCTACTTAGAATAGCACTCTTAATTTTGGCACACTTCCCACAAATCATTCATCACGTGAATTATCTTTCTGGCTCCAGTCAACCTTGTCAACCCTTCAAAAATATCGTCACTGAGCTGATAGAGTCACCTTCATTGTTCGGTGAAAAAAAATTGCGAGGAAATTTTTTTAATACATATTGATCATTATCATGGAACATTTTGTTCTTTGAGAAAAACAATTTTTAGCTCATCCTGCACAAATCTGAAATTTATTTATTTAAATTTAAGTATATTTAATTTCTTAAAGCAACATTATGGACCTACATAAAAAATTATTCCAAGTATTTTTCCAAAGCCACAAATAATGAGATTATTTTTAATAAATCTGTGTTTGATGTGGACATTATTAATTGTAAATATACAAATAATTATTGAAAATACGCACCTCCGACGCCCAAATTCACTTTCTGCGCGTTAGGGTCGTCGAGGAATGCCTTGTTCAGGGCAAAAACCTCAATCGGCGGGCCGGTGGTGACATTGGAGAACCTGGAGGTCATGGCTAAGGTGACACTGCAGTGACGGAGATAAAGCTGGACGACTCTTCACTTTTCAGCTGCGAGAAAAGAGAAAGTGAATCTCGACGACCGGCGCGAAGGACAGACGGCCAGCCACACTGACAAAAACTGTACTTCGAGTTGGAAACTTGCCCGCAGTACCTGCTCGAATGACGTCAAAAATACTTGGTGGCCCTTTCTTTTGCCAGACTGGACAAAAAAGGGGGCGCGGCAGGACCGGGTAAACAAAATTATGAAGTGTGCACAAAGGAGACAAGGAATCTAATATATTTCTGCAATATAAAAAATGATATTTAATCAAATATTTTTCATTAAAAAACAAATTAACAGCCAATTAAAAGTATTGGCTTATTTGCTTTTTGTTTATTCCAGCTAAATTGAAATTTTTATAAGTTTTCAGAATTATCTCGTTGATCCTCTAAAATTCCTTTAATGGAAAGAATGAAAACATGTTGGAAAACATGTAAAACATCAACATTGCCGACAACAAGAATCAACAAGAATTGCCGATTCCTCACTCATCCTCGCCACTCATCGTTTTCTTTCCACGTTGTTTTATGACTGAATTACTTAACATTCAGGACTTACTATGAAGCAAGAAACTTGGGAAATTGAATAATTTATGGGAATAACTACATAGGGCGTCGCAGCTTTGCAATACATACACATAATATATTATGTGACACACAATCATGTTCTTCATCACTCGATTCTCAATTGCAAATAATTCATAGTTCATTGGTATGTAACATACATATTGATATATTTGAAAGTTCGCTGTTTTTATACATAATATTACATATTTTATAAATTGAGATGCCACGTCTATAATTTAATTTTGATTATTATTGAATTTAAAATTCTATGGTTGTTATAGATTAATTCTAAAAATAATGGAGCGTGGAAATTTTCCAAAGTGTCTCTTTTGCAAAGCTCCTGTCATCAACCAAGACGGCAGTGACCTGCTGCTGTACAACATCGAATTTGAAAAGCTTGCTGAAATTTTTGCAAAATGGAGAGGATGGCACTTTGAAGAAGAAGATGGAGAAACGTTAATTGGAGAATATTGGTGCATGTTCTGCGCCATGGATGCGAGGTAAAGATTAATTAATTTATTATATCGAAGGATTAAAATAAAATTATAGTCACGGATCATTGAAATATAACAATACAAATTATGATATGTATTACAGGTTTGCTTGTGAGAAGAATAGCTCAACACCTTCTGTCTTTCGAGAACTAATCATTTGGCCATTTAGTGACACTGTCTTCAACTATTTCAAACGTAGGTTTAAATAAAAATATTTTTTGTTTAAAAGATTAAAATACATTTAAAAATCGTTTATAATTATTAATATAAACTTTTTTGTAGGTGGCTGGATGAAGTCTTGTTCTGTGCCTTTAAAAAAGTTACGAGATGAAGAAATTTGTAGTCTCGGCAACTTGAATCATGATTCTGACAAAGCCACTGATATACAATATCCACCATCTTCAACTTTGATTCGGCAGGAAAGTAATATTGTTGCACCTGAGGGAGAAGATTCATCCTTGCTTCCGTTTGACACCATTTACTTGGAAGAGCGATCAGTCGATTACGACTCATTGGTTTCTGAAATCAAATTAGAACCTCCAACGTCTCCATGTCCTTCAGAGAAGAATTTCCAAGAGTCATTTACCTATGAGAGCATAAAAGATGAATTCTTTGATTATGAAGATACCCTTGACGCTCCTGAAACTTTGAACTTAATGAAAAGTGAAGACAAAGTAGCTGAAAAAGACAGGCCTAACTCATCCTTACCTGAAGATGGAAATCAAACAAGGAGGAAAAGAGCTCCACCAAAACGCTTAGCCGACCCAATGTTTATTCTAGATCAAAAGAAGGCTCGTCCAAATACACAATCAGAGAAATGCAATTATTGCAGAGATAAATATGGATCGGATCATTTGTTAAGAAAATCATACTGCCCTGCGTGTAAGTTATGGTTTGAGTGTGTTGGACGCCGCAACAACCACTTTCGATCCGAGATGTGTTTGAAGTGCCCAATATGCTCCATGCAGTTTGAGAACATTAGCCAAATTACAAAGCATGTTCAAAAATTGCACTATAGAAGATCTCTGAATAGAACAGGAAGTGCATTTCAGTGCAACATTTGCAAAGAGGATTTGTCTTCTGAAGAACATCGAAAAGAACACAAGCAAAAATTCCATACTAATAATGAAATTATGAAAGTATGCGAAATTTGCTGCGAAAAGTTCAGATTCAGCCAATTTGACCAGCATTGGAAAAAGGAGCATTCAATGGCAGATCCCTTGATTAGGTAAGAGAAAAGACATTCAACATTTAAATTTTATCTACACCTTGTAATATAAAAATCTTCTGCCGAATTTTATTTTAATTTTTTTTTTTAAATCTTGGTTCTTAAAATGTCTAATAAACCATTTTGTTATTTTTCAGTTGCAACTACTGCGTCTTCAAGACAGACTCGGAAACTGACATTAAACAACACCACAAGAACCACGACGATCATACTAGTTTGCCCATTTTCATCTGTCAGTATTGCACGTTCCAGTCAAACAATTTGTCTTTTTACAACTACCACGTGTGTCCAAAGAGACCCAAAGTCGAGTGTCCCGTATGTGGACTGCAGATGTACTACGAGTTTTTGAAAGAGCATTTTGACACGTCAGAATATAAGAAAAAGTGCCGTGCTTTTAGGCCGAGGTGCAAAACAATTGCTGATGTTCACCAACAGTCACTAGCCACTTGCAAGCTATGCAAAAAAAGCTTCTGCACAATTCAGCATCTAGAAAGTCACACACGAACGAGTCATGGAGCAAACGCTTGGGAGCAGCTGCCTGACCTGAAATACAAGGACTCTGGGTTCACATGCCGATTCTGCGGGGCTCATCGTGCATGTGCTGAAAGTTTGCAGTTGCACCAGAAGAATGTGCATCGGGACTTAATTCAAAGTGTTTGCGGTTTCTGTGGAAACATCTTCAGAAACCCGAGACTGCTTCAAACTCACATGATCAAAGTTCACAAATTGGATGACGTGGGCTACCACTGCATCACATGCAATTTCTTCTGTTTTGAAAAACAAGATTTTCAAGAGCATTTGAAGTGCAAGTTTGCGAATAATGAAAAGTTAAAATCAAATGTAGATCCTGTCGAAAAGCACAAATGCAAGATCTGTAAAAAAGATCTCACTAGTGCCTATAGCCTCAAATTGCACATAGCCGCTCTACACCCTCATGTTCAACTTCATTGTGGATACTGCATGAGGATTGACTTTGAGGACGAATACAGATTGCGTCTTCATATCTTGGTTTCTCACTTGCTTTTTAAGATCAAAGCGTCATCGCATGTAATAAATAATAGCGCCCGTAAGCTGCATGAATGCAATTTGTGTGTGGAATTTATCCGGCACAAAAATCTCATATCGCATCTTGAAACTAATCACAAAAATGACCTCCTGATTGAATTCACCTGTGAGGTCTTGGAAGAAGATAGAGAATGGAAATGCAAAATTTGTGCGAAAACATTCACTTCATCAAAATTCATCCCAAGTCATTTCTTGGGAGAGCATTTTGGGACAGGGACGGACAAACTTTGCACTTGCAATTTATGTGGAGCTTTGATGCCCGACAAAATTGACGTGAAGGTGAGTTAAAAGTGCAGCTTACACAAATTATTTCCCAACAAATCTTTTGCGAAAGTTTAATTCTTTAAACTAAGTTAAAAATGAGCTTCCTATTTGGTGCACGCCAAACCTGTGACTAACTCAAAAGCAGTGCATTGGAATTATGCTCAACTCAATTTGTTAATTCTCTCTTGAAGAACTATTTTTTTATACTTAAATTAAATTATAAATATAATATTACATTTATTAAACACCATAGTGTGCAAATACATGCATATATTTATTATTGCTTACTTATATTTTGATAGAATATTGTAACTGAATTTAAAAATTATCAAGAGCAAAATTAAAAATTTTGTGTTTGGATTTTCTGTTTCAGGAGCAGCATTTGTCATGCAGCCATACTGAAACTGCAGGTGATCCTTTGTTCAATCTTGCTGGAAAATTTTTACCCTGCAGTTCTGGTCTGAGCGTGGGAACTTGTCGCAATCGCACCAAGAGCCCAGTTATTACGATGAAACCTGTTCCGAAGGAAAAGAAGAGACGCCACCAGAAGTCAACTGAAGATCCCTTTCACTTTGAGAAGCGGCGGTGCAAACTTTGCAATATAAATATGAAATTGATCAACGTGCCAAGACATTTTCAACACTACCATCGTGATGTATTTGATAGAGGGGAGATGGAGTCGAACATCATGTCAAGTCACACTGATGTTTCTTACTGCCGTATTTGCAAAACGGTGATTGAATTGGGAAAGCTGCAAAACCATTTCCGCGAGAAACACTTCATACAATCTCCATCATATTCTCTTGCCATTGAAGAACTTAGCCGTGTCGAGCCAATGGAGGAAGTTACACTTGATCAATCAAATCTGGAACTCGAGGAATCATTTTCTTGTAGGGAAATGGTTGGATTCAAGTCAGAGTGAAAGATGAAAGACCATTCAAAGAGGCTTTTCAATGAAGATTGTACCGTACTTAGCAATACTACTGAAAATGAAATCTAGCATTTTTTTTTCTGATGGATTGTAAAAGGCTAACTGCCTAATTGAATGAAGAGCTCATCTCTGTTTTGTATAATTATGGATTTTGTTCTATACATAATTATAATTAAAAGATACAAATCAAGATTATTAGTTCTTTGGTCCTGTTTTCTATGGGTAACAAAAGCTCTAGTGGAACATAAAAAAAGTAAAAATATTATTTGTTAAGTTGCATAAAGAGTAGCTACTTATATTCATGTATAATCAAAAAGTGATAGTTTTTTTTTTTGAATTTCTGAAAACCTGATCACATTTAATTTCTTCCTTTTGGTAATTGTTAGACGTAAGTAAAAATAGTAATAAGTTTCATCTAATCTAACTTTTTCCTGCGCGAAGACAGAGGTCGAGCTTCAAACTGATTTTCAAGCCACAAGGTGCTCTTCAGGATCGCAGCTTCTCGAATTGGAGCTGCAGGCGCCGGTCTCTTAAAACGTGTAGATCCCATCTCATATCCCTTGTTGATTGGATTTGGGTCCTTGGGAACTTCCATGAAACCTTTTATCAGAATCTCCGGAATCTGCACCTTTATTTTCTCTCCCTATTAATTACAAAATTAGTCCCTTAAATTTAAAGTAAAATTTTATATTTCCTTAAAATGGTTCGTTATATCGCTTCTGGCAGGCGCCGATGCAGTTGTCTCAGTGGAAATTTTGTTTTTCTGCAGCCGAAGTATCGTTTCCTGAAACTGTGGTGTAAACCTCCTCAAGTCGGATCCAATTTTCTCATTCGATTGGTTGTATGGATGAATTGGAATAAGTTGGTCAAATAAATCATCAGCCGCTTCATCGTCTACAGAAAAGTGGTTTTTACATGTGAAAAAAATTTAAAAAAATCAGCTTATATTAAAATTTACCATCATTGTTAATTATCGGCTGATTTGACAAAGTAGTGTGAATCATTTCCCACTTATTACTAATGCAGCCTTTCACCGTTTTTCAAAATCTTTAATATTTTGTTACCATAGCAACCCTTTATAATATTATATTCATTGACAAGAAAGATTTTGATTTATTATATATGTTACTATTCACTATCTGAATGAAGGAAAACAAATTAGAAAATAAAGGCAAAATTTTTATCTTTGTTATTTTTAATAATTATGTATTTCAATTTACACAATTTAACTGTCAGAAATACAAATTGCTCTAAATAAAAAACCTATTTTACAATTTTTTCATAATTAAATACAAAATACATATTAACAGTCTATCTTTTAGCCCGAAGACCCATTTGCAATGTATCGCTGACCGAATTGACACTGAGGCACATTGGAAGGACTGAAGAATCCTGTCTCATAGTAGCACGTGTATCTGTCGGCGGGCGCGAAGGTGAAGCTCATTTCTGATGGACAATATAGTGAACAAGTCAGGTATTCGCTTGTGCCGTTGCACATGCGACTTCCATTGAACTGAAGATTTCTCAATGAGCATCGATCAATACCTATACAGAAATGAAATAATAAAAAATAAATACTTGTTGTGTATTGATAATTTACTGTATTGACACTGAAGGCCTCTGAATTCTTTCTGACACTGGCAACGGTTGTTCGAAAGGCAGCGTCCACCGTTGCGGCAAGGAGGGTTACATGTCACTAAAATTTTCAAATTTTATCAAATTAAATGCTATTAAATCAATATTAGGACACAGAAAATAGTTCCAATTCATATTTGAACACGAAATTTCAGTATTTTATAATTATTTTGAAAATTTTGTTAAGTAAAATCAGCTGAAGATTAAAAAAAAAAATACCATCACAATTAGGAATATTTTCCCAGTCAAAGTCGACATTATTTGAAATCCAGGTCCCATTGCGACAAACAAATTCAGTCTCAGAAAGGCTATTAGGGAATTTGGTGCCAGCCAAACATTTAACTGTGCAAGACCTAAAGATATATCAACATATAAAGTTAAAATGTTACATACAACTAATTAACATGAAGTATTTTGAGTGAAAAGAGTAAAAAATTTGAAAAGGAAAGAAATGAAAATCATCTATTACATTGCGGTAAAATTAAATTATTTTTTAAATCTAACCTTTGCGTGCACTGCTTCCTTGAGTTCATCGGTGTGTTAGGGTAAATAGAACACACGCGGTCCTCGATCTCACATTGAGCACCGTTGAAATTCGGTGAACAGGAGCACCGGTTTGGAGACGTGCAAATCCCACCGTTTTGACATTCAGGTTGGCAGATTGCTACAGTAGAATCAAAATATATTTTTTTAAGCCCATTTTTTGTATGATGAGTGAAATTACGTTTGCACGGTGGTAGAGTCTTCCAGTCGGCGCCGTGAATCAACCAGTTGTTATTTTGGCAGGTCAGGTACATGGTGCTCTCGCCGTTGGGGAATTGATAGTTATTGTGACAAGATGCTTGGCAGCTGCCGCTAATAAATTTTTTATTTTAAATAAATCTCACGCCATAATTTAATAAATATGACATATGCAAAAGAAATTTGATTAACTGTTAGAGCAGTAAATCAGTAATATATTATTTTAAATTTGATTCATTCACAATCAGATGAGAGCGAAAATAAATTAAAATTAATAATTGTAATAATTATTATTCACCTCGCAACGTTGCAAGTTAATTTTGAAAAGGCAGGAACAGGCGGCAAATGTGAACATTCAGCTGAAAACGACACACAGCAATCGTCAAATCTGAGCATTAATTTAATTATATATGACATTCTAATATTTGCTTAATTTAAAAGTAAAATTAGCATTTTTTTGACACAATAACTATTTTTGTTAAACATCATAGAAAATTATCAGCATCATTATTTATAATAAAATTCTAATGTTACTGACCGTGATAAACTGCATTGACCATATTAGGGTCAAGCAGCTGCGATTCGTGAGTGGTCCCGCTGCGTCCCAATACTCTATTGCTGATGATTCTTAAAAATGATTTATGTTCGAAATCCTTCTTTCATTGACAATTTTTATATATCTTACTTTGGTTGTTGAACTTCAATTTTGTGGTATGAGAGATTAGGGTCACAGTGTACCACACTTGTCACCACTGGATTCCTTTGCAAATATAAAAGTAATTCAGTTTGCACTATCACTATTTATAATAATATTTGAACAGAATATTAACGAGAAAAGCGACTGGAAAATTACAAATCAAAATAAATTAAAACATAGAGTGACTCTATCTTACCCACTGCATTTTTGCAAAGCGGAGCTCAAAATGCAAAAACTGAAAATGGTAAAATCCCACATACTGCAGATAAAAGAACTAGATCGCAAATAACGTGAGTCGCTCTTCTGCACGGGCATTTAAGCGATCGTTAAGGGTCACAAAGGTCGCACCACTATCAGCCTGACCACCGCTCGAGAAACATCTTGGCATTGGCAGCAAAAACGACAGAGATCTTATTTTTTTTAGTCGCAAAATTCATGCCATGGCCGCTTACTGTGTGTCAGTGTGTCAAGGCGTGACCTCGACTTGCCAACTTATAATCGGTAAAGTGAATCAAAAGAGGTAAAAAATAATTTATTTGCAAACACGATTATTGTGAATGAAAAATAGTAAATTACGAAAACTGTTTATATAATTTATTCTCATCATTGTGTCTTCATTGACCTCATTTATTTTAAAATAAATTTAAGCAAAAGTTAAAAAAGTAAGAAATTTAAAGTCTCTAGCTAAGCAACTTACTGAATAGAAAGTTATAAAACTGATTTCATTGATGGAAATGAACTATATTTTTTTTTTTAATTGAATATTTAGAATAATTTTTGGTTATGTTTAGCCCTGAATTTTGTTGAATTTTATAATTCTAGCTCTGCATTTTCTTGTTATCCTTATGCATTTCTTCAATTCTTTAATAAAATTCATGGGTGTAAATTTTTTTTTTAATGGAAGAAAAAAATTATTTGTTTTTAAAATTTATAAATAAACTGTTGAATTATATAACGTGTATCATTTTACTAAAAATGATCAATAGCAAAGTATTATGAGACGAATATTTTTATAAATGCGACTTCTTTATAATTTTATGTAATAATATGGCGAATCAGACAACGACCGCGCTTAAATAAGAGATAAATAAAGCGCCTTGCAATGTGACCGATACTGTGCCGCTGCTCATATCATTGGCGCGGGTTGCAGAGCTTGTGTTAACAAAATCTTCTTTCAATACAATCGAAGTAACATAATAAGGTCATAAAGGGAAAAATAGACGTCAATTTCAGTAGCATAGAGTAGCTTTAAGCAACAACGAGTTCTTTAACGAAGCATTAAGTTACTTTCAGTAACATTGAGTTCCTCAATGCAACATTGAGTCAATGAAAGTAGCATAAAGTTCCGTTAAGCGATAAAAAGATAATTCAAGTAAAATATATGTCTTAGAGCGAAAAAATAGACTTCAATTTGAGTAGCAAAGAGTAGCTTTAAGCAATAAAGAGGTCTTTAAACAAAGCATGAAGTTTTGAAGAAAAATTAAACTCATCATTTTACAGATACCACAATTTTCTCATATAAATTTTTAACCGAATGTAAATTTATCGAGATTGTTTTATACAAAATACTTAAAATCTTTTATATTGTGTGGTACAGTTTTACTATCAAGGGTTTTTTTTAATGGTGATTTGAATTTAAAGCCTTAATGGGTTTTGTGAGTTGTTAATTTTTTAAGAAAAAAAGGAGCACGATATTGTTTATTCTAAAAATAAAGAACACCAACAACAACGTAACTCACAAAACCCATCAATATTATGGTTTGTATTCTTTTAACGACAATAATAGAAGAGTACATTTCTTGCTGTCCATAGTTAACCCCACGAGGTTGAAAAATTCCCATATATGTAGTGAAATAGATTGAACTAAATTACATTTTTAGAATTATTCCATAAAAAATGTATTTTATTTATATTTACATGTTGGAGATAATAATTAAAAAACAAAGCTCAACCAATTTTGCGACGTCAAAATATTTTCAACATAGACGAAAAGTATAGTCTTGTTTACTTTTCAGCTAATTTTACTGCAAGTCAATTTTCTAAATGAACGCTCCTTTTGATTTTTTTAGGCTTACTGGGGGGCAGGGAAAATAAAGTATACCACGCGTCTAATTTCGAATGTTATGTTAAACCAGGGTAAACGTTGGGCATTTTTATATGTGAAAACTAATCAAACCAAATTCATATAATAATATTTGAAAACACTGCACACATGAAAATTCCAATTTAAATGAATTCTGTGTAAAATCGCCACCAAGTAGAGCGACCACGTGCCAGTTGCGAGCAGGCCGAGGTGCGGCGGACGGTTGGAGCTGCAGCCGGCGCTCTACTGACACCGAGCGAGGGCAGCGGGAAAGTGGTGTGTGTGTGCGTAGGGAGGAATAGGGCCGGCGGGCGGGTGGCTCGGCGGCGGCGGCGGCTGCTGCGATCGATCGGCGGGTCGGGGCGGCTGGCAGGTGGCGCTGGGGCGTTTGCGAGGGAGCAAGTAAGTGGTGGTGTGATGAGCGACTCCATGTTGGGCTGCAGCAGCAGGACACCAGGCCCCGAAGGTGCTGCTGGCTGAGGATCCGAGAGCGACCAGCAGCGGGCAGCTCGGCTGCCGCACTCCGCCCGCACCTGCCGACTGCTCTCTCGGGGTCATGCGAGTCGGCAGGGCCCTCTAGCTCCGGCCAGCAGCAGACACGGCGGTCGCCCGCCTCGCGATCAATGGCGGCGGCCACCACTGGCGGTGTGCTGCTGTAGCCAGCACCGAGAATCGGCGACAGTGCATCGGCCTGGCAGATTATGTTGAGCAGTCGACGGCGAGGACCCTAGTGGGCCCATGACGAGCAAGCAACACACCCTGCACCAGCACTCCTTCTCACAGGAACGGCGCTCGCCCCAACAAGATGTAGTAAGTGCAGCACACTTAAGCATAAATAACAGCCTAAAAATTAACTGCAGCAAAATTATAAAGGACAAAAGAAAAAATTGAAAATTACATAAAAAAAAGAAAATTAGTAAAAAGTGGGAGAGAATGGACTTGTGTGGTTAAAGCTTCACGAGGTTGAGCAAAATTACAAAGAAAAACCAGTAAAAATTTTGAAAATTTTATAAATCTAGTATTTTAAATAATTTTCAAAGATTTTTTTGTTTAAATTTTTTGTTATCTGCAATATTCATATTCAATCAATTAATATCAAAATTTTTAGATGTATTTTATGGCAATTTTTATTTTTTCTTTTATTCATGTGGATATTGGGCTCGGTTTTTGCTCTCCGCTCTTCCAAAGTTTAATAAATGTGCAGTGTCGGTGTCTCATCTCTCATAATGATCCCATGCTGGCTGGAGCTTTGGAGATGAGCGCGTGTGGGTGAGGCGTGGGCTCACTGCAAATATATTTCCTCGGTCAGGCCTGCTCTGTTTCGCCTACGCTAATTTCCCCTGAAAGAGGTGCCCGAAAATTTCCCCGATTTGCCTGCACCTGCCGTCGGGCTTCGTTTTTTAATTTCTGAATTTTATCTCGTCCCGAAGTCGCGTCCGAGGGGTTGTTTGGCGGCCGCGGGACGTCGAGCCAGTCGACTTGCCATTCAAGAATTGTAACTCGACTAGCGGGGGGCGTTGCCGGTCGAGATTCATTGACGACCGCCCCCGCACAGCCGCACCCCTCCACCCCCGCTCAAGGGCGCAGCCATTTCCTCATTCCCTTGCTTTTGCTTGCCTCCTTTTTTTTTAACTCGATTCCTGTGGAATTTGGCAATTTTTGAATTGATTTTTAATTAATGGTGGTTCGGTGCGAAATTTTTCGCAGTTGAGCGGCCGGGAGAGCGCGCAGGAGAGAAAATTATTCTCCGCTCCCCTAGCAGTTGCAGACACACTGCAGGGGTGCCCAACGAGCGAACGGGCTTATTGCAGACTATCTTGCCACTGGTGCACAGACACACACGCGCTCCGAACGTTGCAGGGGTTCGCTTTAAATTCTGGCTCCGTCTTCTGCTGCTCCAAGCAGACGATATCTGTTTTTACCTCAAATTGCGATTTTGCTGAAACTTGAAATTCATCTTCTCATTTTTACGCGTTCTTGATTGATTAAAATTTCATCTCGTCCTTTAAGGCAAAGAATAATTTGAACTGGATTAACGCAAAGTTATTTTTAAGATCAAATTAACAAAGAAATAATAATCAAGAAAAATTAAATCCAAGTTTCCAACTTCAAGCATCAAATTAAGGGTAGCATAAAAATTAAGCATAGCCAGAAATAATTTTGGTATTTACAATTTATGCAACCTGTATGTCCTACGTGCTGCGCGGGTTGCTTACTTTTTTTATAACACATCTCCCCCGTCTGCCATGAATTAGCGCGCGATGGATTTATTTAGAGTTGCTTATTGTTTCAAATTTAAATCACTCCTTTAAAATATCAAAATTACTAGGCGTGAATTATGCTTTTCGCTTTATTTCAAAGCCACAGGTTGTAAAGAAGTTCTTTAATTAACTAGAGCATGCTTAAATAATATAGCAATGGGAAATGACAAATAGGGAAAATCTAAACTCACGCGATTGCTGAATCAGTTGAAAATGTCATTAATATTTCTTCTGTCAATTTCACAACATCAACCATGGTGAGCAGTGAGAAAATAAGAAAATATTCTACAAAGATAGAGATTGAGAAAAAAATTCTAATATTTAATAGATTTTTCTTAGCCAAAAAGTCTTAGCTAAAATTCCAAAGCTAATAGAACAAAAATGGTCAGAAGTGGTATATTTTGATGTAAACTTTTTTTTAAATGTTCAAATATATCAGATTTATTTTATTTATCATGCAAAGACTATGCAATTATTTAACTAGATCCAAACTTTCTTGAAAAATCTTCAAAAATTAATAAAAACGCGGCCGACTCCAAGCGCACGCTTCTGTTGTACCATAAGAGACAGCGAAGAGAATGATTAAATAAAATTATTTTCTTTGAGTTAAGTCAACTCGCTGAGTGACAAAGGGGGTAGATTAAACAAACTTTGTCACAATATGGGTCTAAAAAAATTTTACTTGAAGTAAAATAAATATTGCAAAAAAAAAAAAACATAATATGAACAGCAAATTTAATATTATATTTTTCGTTTGGAACTTACGAATAAAGTGCCTGGCGTTGTTGTGTTTTCAGGAGCCAAGAGGAGTCATCAAGCGACCTTTCAAGCTCTGGGATATTTGGCGGAATGTGCGGAAGGCTTTGGTGGTCAGCACTTTTGAGGAACTTGTAGCTCGAGGTGCGTAAAATCTTTTCTCTGTAACTACTGTTGAACGTGTACAATCGGAGAATTTTACTGAAGTCAAAAGTAATCATTTTAGTACCTTAAATTATATTTTAAATAATGAAAAAATATAATAAATTTTGCAATGTTGCAACTGTTTTTCTTTTATATTCAAAATACAAAAAAAAGATGAAAACAATAAAAAAAAAGAAAAAAATTCCTTGCGCCTTTAGCTAATACTCTTATCTTTTCTGACTTAAATATTGAAGCATAAAAATATTTTCTTGTAAAATTTTTTTTTTTTTGTATCACGAAATTTCTGAAACCATAAAAAAGTTTATTGAGCAATTCCAAATATCTCTGTATTAACTACATATAATGTTCTGTTTAGCATACTTAAAAAAAATTAAAAAATTAGAATAATATTATAAACAATATTAATATATTAAAACAGTTTCCAACTGAAACATTGTAAAACAGATAAGAAAGTAGTCAATAAATAGTGCCATATAAACCACCATTAAAAATGGGCGCGGTCCACGCGGGCCCACTTGTCTTGACCTGCATATTTAAGGTCCAGAATATTTTTAACTCGTTAATAATTATCCATAAAAATCAGTAAATTTTCTTAGCAGCTCATTTTCAAAATTTTCCAAGTGACCCATTGTTTTCGCAGTAAAAAAATCGATTATTTTAAGGTTGCATGTATGGTTCATATTTTGCGGGGCCAACGCGAGTTCAGGCAAAACGCATTAAGCGGTCTCAAATCTACATCTCTCGCGGTTTCGCTCTTGTCACACAGAGACGTATATAAAGATGAGAGAGTGAGTTTGGTCTATGCTCTTTCTCTCTATACATCCGAGTGTGCATGTGTGCGAGCCCGAGAAAGCATTGTTGGCGAATCCAAGTCAGAGAGACTGGCAAAGTTTGGCGAAAGGGCTGAAAAGCAAGCGGATCAATAGCAGATGGCACTACTGTGTTGCAGGCAAGGAGAAGCTGAATGTGCCGCCCGGAGAACCAGTGCGCCTGCTGCTCGAGTCCGACGGTACGCAAGTCGAGGACGGCGAGTACTTCCGCACCCTTCCCAACAACACGGTCCTTTTGTTGTTGCGACCTGGCGAGCGCTGGCACCCGGCCGGAGTTGACGTGATTCGAGCAGGTCAGTCGAACGCCCCAAACTCGCCCACTTTCCCTCCGAGCGAGCTGCCTACCCCCGTTTGTTGTATGTACGTGGTTGGTGCAGGCAGGGCCACCAGCCTGGCTCCACAAGTAGGTCACAAAGCGCACACCAAAGTGCTCTCTTTCTTTCTCTCGTTCGCTCGCTCGCTCGCCATTGCTGCAATTAAAGCAAACGTGCTCGTTTTCAAACCATTCTCGGCGCACCGTCGTTCTCGGTGCATTCTTAATTTGATTCTTTTTTATTCGCTGCTGCCGAGTGCGAGCTCAGCTGGTTTCACACTGGCCTAATTTCAACACTACGACTTCAGACCCTAAGTGAATTATTTAGCTATTTTTCTCTTAAAATCTCGATAGCTTCATTTTGCTCTGAAAGTTACAATCAATTTAATAATTCAATAACAAAAAACCAAAAAAAAGTTCCGGTTGATTCCAGCAATAATTTATCCACGACGTTTGCTGTCAGATGTGGATATAAATTGTATTAAGATGCTACTTATAATGTCTTTGAAGAAATTGACTAAAATTTATAACTCTTAAATTGCAAATAATATTTTATTACAAGTGCTGAAATAATATTTAATCATTTACAAAAACTTAAATCACAATTATTATCAAACAGTTTATTTATTTTTTACCTTTGATAAAATGGAAGTGTTAATATATATAATTTAGAATCAATTATTAGAAATAAATATCAATTTATCTTTTACTTTATTATTTTATATTTTGTAACAAAGGTTGATATCACCTTCATTCAATTAATTAATACTTCATTAAAATATACGTACATGTTATTTTAAATATTTTCAATTTAAGTCTTAAGAAATGAAACTTTATCTACCCAAAAATCTGAAATAATGGGGTGAGGACAAGTAGATATTTATATTGATGTAATTAAATTGACCAATTAAAACAAGGAAAAGGAAAAATCTCTTCCCAGCGACCGATTCACAATATTATTTGAAAGAAAAATTATCAACTAATGCAATGGGAAAAACGCGTTTCAATAAGCAAGATAAGTTTAGTAAAATCAAAATAATTTCCAGCAATTCTAAAAATTCAATCAAAGCCCAATGTTTGAAGTATAAATTTATGATATAAATTCAAATCTTCCATGATTAATTTTGTTTTGAACTAACAGAGAGGGCAGATGTGTTTGAAAATTCTGCGGGGAAAGACGTAATTTTTTATTTATTTTTAAAGTTTGAAAAATGAATGTAATTTTTCGTTATTATATTGTGTATATTTTAAGTTTATTGCACGCCTGTGGCTTTCCATCAATAAGTACATGCGTGCATTATAAATTCGAAATGCCCATTTAAAAATATGTTTTCATAGAACATTTTTTGGCTCTTTGCGACTCAGCGTAATACACTGATTTTGCTCTGGATTCTCTTGAAATAACGGGGAAGAAAACAAATATCGTTTTCTCTTTGACAATAACAAGAGCTCGCAGTGAATAAAATTTGTTTTAAAACTGTCAAGAAAGCATAAACGGCGGATCGTGAGCGTACACATAAGATTGGAAGAGGTGTTGAAGACACACAGTGTGTGTAGCACTTGATCGCGCGCGCGGCGAACATGAAAGAGGGCTCTTATTTTGTTTGAGCAGGCGCTTCGATGGTGCGGCCACTTTTACTGGGGTGCGCTACACTTACAGTTTTCATTGAGAATGGCCCAATCAATAATTGGCGACGGCAAAACATATATGGATTGTGACCATTAAAATGCTTGGTTCAAATCTTATCACTTCAAAAAAGGGAAATTTTAATTTTTTTTAGAAAGTTTTCTTTTTTAATAAATAAATTTATGTGATTTTTCAAAGCTGATGAATCAATTTATTAATTTTATTTTTCTATCATTTTTACAATTTTTATCACACGCTTGATATAAATATTAGATTGTCACGTTGCTTCGTGTGCTTTTAGCAATCTCTGCAATCCCGCGCATCGTATGCGAGACGATCCATTCGCTTGAGTTGCACGATGAAACTCCCTCGTGGAAGATCATGGACAACAAGGGTCGAGTCACTGTGGTGCTGCACTGGGATCAACGCCATCAAGACAAACAGGCACCCAAAGGTAATGAGGCTCGCAGCCCCAACAAGAGGGTAGCAGGTGAGCGACCTTCGCTCGTCATCCAGACCAGTCTGGATAAGCTTGGTACGTCTGCCAGAAATTGAACAAATTTTTCATTGCTCGGCTCATGCTCTAAATTTCCTCATTCTCTTGGTGTTCATCGCGCATTATTCTTACACTACTTCTTTGTGTCATCGCTCGAGCTTATCTGGATGTACAGGCTTGCTTTTTAATTGGACAAAGCTCAGGAATTTCATACCTAAATAAAGGAAAATATCATTGGAATTTACTTTTATTTCTGAACAGGAGTGAAATTTTTAGGTTCTTTTCGCAGGATTAAAATTTAAAAATTACTGAATGAAAATATTTAAGTTTTCATTAAATTGCCATCAAGTAAAAAAAAAAATTAAATACCTTTTGAAAGCCGCTGTTATCTTTTAAAATATTATTTTTAATCACACAAAAGTCATATATTTCATAGGTGACTTAAGAAATTTTGCTAACAAACATAAAAATAATAAAAATCGATATTTTTGAACGTTTTAGAAATGAAGACGATTGAAAAACCACAAAGAGCAACATTCAGGGCTGACTTTTGATGGGATGTTCAAGCAGATTCTTCTAAAATATTATTTAACATTGGAAAGAGCAAAATATACTAAAAATAGTTTGTGTTCGTAAAAACGTTTTTCAAAAATCACAGACATCGAAACCAATCCGCATGTAAATATCAGGAATGAGACCCAAAATTATTGTTTCGTCCCAACTTTTTTCTACTATGTGTCCGTTTTGCTTCCCGACTTGCTGTGATAGCCAATCGCAGCACTTTTCTTCATCCCCTGCTTTACCTGAATCTGGAACTTGTGTGTGATTCCACACAATCAGGCAGGCGCACCATTTTTAAATCACATAATTATATTTCAAATGAATTCTCTGTTGAAACGGTCATTTGAAAATTAATTTGCTTTTTCAACTCTTGATCGAGCAGGTGTGCACACCTCGGTAAACAGGGAGACTGGCAAGAAGGAAACTCTCATCAACGATGTGTACCCGTCACGCTACAGCCCGCAGATAACTGTGATAAACCATGACGATGTTCAGAGCAAGTACCAGCGGCTGGTGCGTCAGGGTAGCTCCTCATTCGAGGGCGCGGTGCACGTGCACACGCCCGAGTGCGCCAACCACCTGCACCAGCCCCGCAGCGGCAGCCCGGCCAACGGAGACGCCATCGAGTGCGACTTCCATTGCTGCGCCCTCCACGAGGAAGGTCGCAAGATTCAGGTCAGTCTCAAAACGGATAATCAATATTCATTTTATTCAATTCGGAATGCAAAATTGAATGGTTGTTCTTAAATGCATGTTTAAATATTATTTCCTTTGATAAATTTTCAACTTAATTAAATAAAATTTATATCCCCCTTTTTAAAGTTAATTATAAATTTTCACTTTGAATTTTACTAAAATATATTAAATTTGGGTCAGCTGAAAATATATAAAAAATTAAAAAAATTGTATTATTCCAATAATATCTAATAATATTCAACCAAAACTAGTTAATAAACAGAAAATTGGGGTTCGTTTTTTTTAATAGTAGTAGTTTTGAAATTAAATTATTTACTTTGCACACCCTAAGAAGTGTAAAAGAAAAATTTCGTGGGTGCTGCTTTCCTTCTTTTCAATAAATCGATGGTGTAAAGCAAATTATTTCCTTCATCAGGCGCTTCTTTAACAGGTGCACAAAAGCGTGGCGACGTCGCCCATCCAGGATCCGAGCGGGCAGTCGGGCATGCAGGACGGCCGCAGGACGGGCGCCCTGCCCAAAGGGACGCACGTGCGCTTCCTGGACACGACCGAGAATCAGTACCACGCGCCGCACAACATCATCAGCGCCGGCGACAGTTCGGAGAGTGAAACTGAAAACACCGTGCTCGAGGAGGAAGGCACCACATCCGAGAAATTCCTGCTGCTCATCGACCAGCTTTCGGTCGACCAAAAGAGACATCTCACTATTAAAGATATTGGTGAGACTTTTCTATGTAATTAAAACTGACTTTTCTTCATTATGTAACTTTCCAAAGGACGGAAGATTGAAAATCAGACAAGTCAATTTTACATAAATTTATTAGTTAAATTTTATAGCAATTCTAAATATTTCAAATGCTGAAATAAATATTAAAAAACAACATCATGTTCCTTAATCAAAATTAAAAATTAATACTTTTGAATTTTCTTAAGGCTTTACTTTTTATTTTTGAAATATTAAAAATTTAATTAACTTTATTTAAATATGGTCCATAAAAAAGTTCTCTAATGAGAAAGAAAAAACGGCAACTAATTTAAAGTGTTCAAGTTTCTACTTTTTATATCAAGTAATAGATCTATAATGATAAAGAGATGCGATATTGAAGATTCAAAAATGTTTAAATTAATTTCTTGTTTCAAAATAAAGTAAAAATTACTTTAAAATTAAATTTTTTCCCCTGCTTTTTATGTTGAAATAGTTGCAAATGAATATTCCATGACGGGTAACTTATTTTCAAATCTCAACATTCAAACCTAAAATTTCTAGAACTAACTATAAGACCTGAATTCAATCCATCCTCCTTTCTTGTCAAGCTGAAATTGTGGAAAGAAACTGAAAATTGTGTGTGCCGCAGGAATAATCCTGGAGCGACTCAACTCGAAGATCCTGGATGTGGAGCGTCTGGACCGCGAGAGCGAGAGCGACGACTGCTACAACTGGACGATAAAGGCAACGATCAGGGGCGAGGTGTTGCGCGAGCTCGGGGTCATCTACAACGGCAACTACTACGCCATCTGCGAGCACCCTGGCTACAAAGAGGACGAGCAGCGCGACGAAGAGATTGAAGAGGAGGAAGAGGAGGATCGACTCTAGCCCAGGATGAGCCCCCCGGGGCCCTGCTGTGCCTGCTGTTGTTGTGAGCCAGAGGAGGGGCCCTTCTAAGCCAGCGGCACCTGCCACTCTCTCAGTCAGTCAAGGACGCACCAACGAAGGGACGTGCTAATGCCCTTCCTGTGACACGGGACATTCATTCTAAACACACAAACACACTTACACACACACACTAATTGCTGTGTCTCTCAATACACACAGTACACACACTCACACCTGCGCTTCTCATTATCCCAAAAGAATGATGAGGACATAATTTAAATGAAATATTTAAAAAAAAATCAGCTCCCCCCGACTCCCTCCCTCATTGTTAGACTGCTAAAGAGCGCTAAAAGAAAAGAAATTATTATAAAAAACAAATGTCCCTCGCGCACGTTTACACGTTTTGAGAAATTATAATTACATACATACGCAAAGAAAGAACAAGACACACAGACAAAGAATCGATCTATATTTGATTGAGCTTTCGCACAATCAGCCTAAATCGATGAAGAAAAAAAATAATAATGTTAATAATTGATTGCCGCAGTTTAGGTCATTGTCAAAAAAACGTTTTAAAAGCCACACAAAATTGCTAATTAAGGAGCATCTCCGAGGCCACTCTTCCCAGATTCTATATAAATTATACGCCCCATATAACAGAATTGTGTGTGTTTTGGTTGCATTGTTTGTGATTAAATTTGCTTTTTATTAAAAGTAAATAGTGCCAAGAACTTGAAGAATTTTACAAAAGGCTTTAAAACTGTTTTGAATTTTAAGGCCTCCTTATTAACATGGTCAAATCAAGTCTTTTCAACAATAGGAAACATTGTTATCAATATTTGGAAAATTTAACGACCATTGTTGTAAAGACTTACTTGATTTGACTATGTCAATAAGGAGTCCTTAAATACAATATATATTCGTTTTATCAAATGCATGGTGCCAAATATTAAATTTTAATATATTCCAGCAAATTTTTCCTTTACAAATTTTCATGGCTCTTTTTTTGCTATAGAAGATTCTATTGATATAAATGATAATTATTTAATTGCTAGTCCAATCAAGTAAATTTTACCAGATATATATGGAAAGAATTAATTTCGGCCGCCCTGTTTTGGCTGGCATATAATCGCGTCTCACCTGCCCCATAAATAACGATCGCACAATTGGTCAGACTTATCATTAAGTAATTTGCTGATGAGAAAATAAATTACTAGGCCCCCTAAGAGGTTTAAGCAAGGGCATCTCTCATATAGTTGGAAAAAAAATCAAGTAAAACGCAATTAATTAATGAAAGAATTCTTCTCAGAACAAACACACGCAAACAAACAACCGAATGACAAATTAAGTAAGAGGAAATTAATTGAGAAAAACGAGCGTTACATTATGATGTGAGGACGAGAGTTTTCTCTTGAAAAAAACAAAAAGCATAAAAAGCTGTCGCCCCCAGCACATTCACGAAACAGAGCCTTTGGTGCTGTCCTAAATTGCTCAAGCAGTGATAAACAAGAATTATTTAATTTGTAAAACACTTACACACGTTCAACAGAAGAAACAAACAAACAAATATTACCGTGTGGTGGCGACCGGTTGGTTTTCAGTGCATCTGAGACTTTGCGAGAAGAAATCGAACAGCCGTTTGGAAGAGTGAATTTGAAAAAAACTTTCCTCTCTGAAGCCAATTTCGTGGGAGCCACTAACGAAAAACGCGGCTTTAAAGAAGAAGAAGAAGAAGAATTAAGAGACATTGGTTTTTGGCGGACAGAGCAAGGAATCCTGCGAATTTTGAAGAATATAAAATCCAAGTTGCGATCCAATGAGACACTACCATTTGAATAACAGAAAAAAAAGAATAAAAAGCTATGTACTTGTACGTGCGTGAACGTGGGTTGAAAAATTACAAAAAGAGGGATGTGAAATTAAATAAATCCATACAAAAAATAATAACAGAGAGATCTACTCAAAAGCGTGTGAATGCGGAAAAATTATGCGTGTACCAAGAGAGTGCTGTGCTATTTTTTAACAAGAAAGAACACGTGGAAAACAAAATGAAGAAGTCATGACGATGAACATGCACATTCCAGTTGAAGAACAAAATATACTTAATTGTACGCACATCAGTGGCAGGTGCAGCGCAATATCAAATAACTTTGCGGTGCTGACACGTTATTGCTATATAAAATAATCTTTTAAAAAACTTCAATTTTGGGGTTCACAAAATTACCTGAAGATCCAAAATCACCGAAACTTCCAAACGTCCCCCGTCAACTTTTGACTACTTTCAAATTTCAAGAAGCTTCCCCTATTACAAAAATCACAAAATAATTGAAGTTTTATTTTGACAAATATCTCCATTTTACAATTAACTTAGCCCTATTGATGAGTTTGAAATTTACCGCAGTTTCAGACAATTTTTGCCAGAGAATCGACAGTTTCTCATTTGTTGGGAGGAACGAGATTCTCAGTTGATTTTTGTGTGCCAATTTTCTTGATTAAATTTCGTGTGCCAAATTCTCTCCAAAAAACACCGCTCAAAGTTTCTACTGTTAAAATTGATGGTGCCAAAAACATTTTTTAAGAACCACTTTTTGCGGCAAGCGCTCGAAGTTTTGCGATTTAAAATATATATTACATTGCTGCTGCACCCGCCATTGATGTGCAACTTGCATCTTGCTCATTTTCCGGGCAAGTAGAATAAATCTCAAAGCAATCATGTGTCCTCCAAGTACGGAGCCGAAAAATACCTATTGCAGTTTACTTATTATAATTACGTTAAGAGGGATCCTTCTCTGTGGACAGGTTTGGTGTTCCTATGGCTTTAGTGTATGTTTCAATCTCTCCATTCCGTACTATTGATTGATCAGCACCCCTAATTAATCTAAAAGATGCTCCGAATCCTATTTGAGACTTCGAACGAGAGTACCTTGAAAACAAAACGGAGCCGCTGAAAAAGTAAATTTATATATATTAAAAAAAGTCTTGTTGAAATTTTTAAGGCTTCCGAAATTTTTAACTTTTGAGAGAATGAAATCTCGAATAGGGTGGAGAGAAATCTTTTGGCTGCGTTAAAAGAAAGGAAATTTGGAGAGCTCGATCGCTCCTACGGAGTAACTTTTGCCAAATAACGCTTGCTGTTGCCAACAAGAAAATTTTGAGATGAGCCTTTTGTCGGCGAAAAACTCCCTTGAGCGTACCTTAGTTTGGAATTCCTCTCGCAATGCCGGTCAATTTGTGGCATAGCCTAATTAAAAGTAACGACTAATAGTTGTAATTAATACGAAAATCGCCCCGAAATGACCGGTTTTGCGATTTGGTCACTCGACTCGGCCGCCTCCGGAAAAACAGACTGGCCAAGTCCGTTGGCGGCAGAGTCCAAGATAAAAACATGGTCGGGCCCTTTTTGGAGTAAATTATATATTCTTTATTGTAGACGAAAAAGACAAAGCCGCTTATGGAGCGGTCCCTCTCTAACTCTCGTAAAAAAAAAACAGATTTTGATATAATCGGATGATATAATCAAGCAACGGGGTTTTGAGTTTTAGCCGAAAAATGTTATCGAGATGAAATTATAAAATTTACGACGCGATTTATTTTAACACTATTACAAAAAAGAAAGAAAATGAAAAACTATAGAGACGAAAATATATCTCGTGTTTTAAAATTAACATGTTGGAGATTATTTTGTTGACACTTCAGCATTTATTGTATGGTACATTGTACGAGGGAAAAGAGAACAGAACCTCACACGAACTCTCACTAATGCGCGTGGGAAAATAATTTTTTGATATTTCTATCAATTTTGTTGTACACATTGAGGATACTATTATTATAGATATTATATTATAAAAAAATGAATGAAAAAACGTGGAAATTTATAATAAAAAACATGAAGAAATGGTGCCAAAGAGCAAGAGGGAAAATGGAAGAAAAATATTAGAGCATCACACTCGCATCAAGTTGATGATGGAGAATAAAAAAAAAATGATAAAATGTGGCGTCTCTTTCCGGTGTTACTAAATCATTATTGACATTCAGTGGAAAATCGTGAAGAAAAATCATTCTCAGTTGGGAGCAGTGACGGTTATGAAATTGTTCCGTTAGCAGCTCACTCTCACTGCCCATGTTAAACGTCGTTATTTACATTGCATACCAAGAATCACATTAATTAAAATAAATATGCTAAAATTTAGCAACGAGATTTTTATTTCTTGTACACACAACCCGTACCAGCGCAGTTTCTTATTAAAATTGATGAAATTTCATTTTATGCTCGGACATTGAAAACAAATAATGCTAGAAATTTAACATTATTTATAATGCAATAAAAATCTTACAAAAAAATACTCGACGAGAAAATTTGGCCAGAAAATAATTTTTTAATTCGATCTCAAATAGTTTTTTTCTTTATCTCTAATAATTTAAAATATTTGTTGTAGCAATAATTTCATATTCTGAAAAAAAGGTCAGTTTTGTATAAACGGATTTAATAAAAGGACCTTTGAATTAGAGAGGAGATTTAAAAAAGTTATTAGCAATGCGATTAATAGCCGGAAATGCTTCGTTTCCTGTACTTCTGTAAGTCGCACTTTTTCTCCTTCCTTCAAAATAAGATAAAGTAATTCCGGAAACCCAACTTGCCACAATAATCTCATCGAGTTCACTGCGAATTTGAAGAATTGAAAACTTCCACTGCTGATCCACTTGGTGCAATTCTTGGTAAATTTGCTTGAGTCATTCTCTGATCAGCCTCTATTGGCTTGCAATCGGATCGTCCTTATCCTGAGACGCTTCTTATCTCTCCGGTTAACGATCAAGTGGGTAAATTGGAGTGCTTAATTTTAGAAAAATATAAAACACCGTCAGCGACTGTTCCGCCACAGCTGATAAAAATCCAGTGCGCACATTTTGTCGAGTTAAGTCAAGTGAGCGCCACATAGAGATTGATTAGACATTGCAAAGGAACCAAAAAAAAGCGTTGCTGGTTTATGTCAACAATGGAGAAAAATAGGTGAGTTTTACAGTATCTACAATGATTTTTGAAAGCTGGACTTTTACTTTGCATCAAATTTTGCAACAATAATTAAAGATAGTGAATTTATTTCTAGCCTTTAAGTAATTTAATCACATTTTTATAAAGAAATTTATAAGACCACAATTGAATCGAGTTTTGAAATCAGTTTATTTCATTATTTTTTTAGTTTTTTTTTTTACCATTTTATAATTAATTATTTTGTTCTGTTTTGTACTTTTAGCTCCTCTCGCAAACCTCCTGAGTCCGTTGACTCATCTAAAAATAAGAAGTCTGATCCAGTTGAAATTAAAAATAATCCATCCACTAGGTAGAATTTCCAAATATTTTTGTGAAAGGTTTAATTATTTTACATTTTTTATTTTGTCACTAGCCGATTGCAAGACGATTTGGGATTAGGCGATTTGAAAGTTACAGAATCGTACGTATTTTCTCTTATTATTTTTTATTGATTAATTCAATGCATTTATTTAGACCCAAAAAGAAAAACAGACGAGGAAGAAAAAATAAAAAGCTGCAATCAGCGCAGAGGTTAAATTTTATTTATTAATTAATTTATTTATTGAATTTAACAATTTAATTTTTAAATCAATTACAGTGTTTGCTCATCTCTCCCCAACATTACAAAAGTTAACAGAGATGCAACTGAGGCAAGGTAACATTTCTTAAGAAATTTTTACTTATTATCAGTGGGGTCAAGCTCACAATTAATAAGGCTAACAGCTGCTGCCTTATCTGTTCAAATCATTATCAGGCGGCGCGTTTCAATTTTAATGCTTGCTTAAACATTTTTTAGAATCATAAATGAAACCAACAAAAAATTAATTTTTATCCTTTTGCAAAATCAAATTTGACATTTTAAATCCTGAAGTAGATATTGAAAATAATCAAGCTGCGTACGCAAATTTTTATTAAAAAATTTTTACAGAACTGCCTTCTTCAAGCCGTCTGTAACCGATGCTAATCCTTTGAGAGGCGGTCGACTAAGGTGAGTGAAATTAAAATAAATTTAAACAATTTTTTTTTAAAGAAGTGCAAAATGCAAGGCACAGAAGCAAAAATCTAATATAAGAATAGATCGTGAAATTCTTCCACAAAATAATATATTATATGATCATAATAAGAATAAAAATTAAAATTGAATCTAGATATTCTTATAAAGATTATTTGTTAAGCTACTCAGGGTTTTATTTATTCAGATCCTATTTATCGCAGGTTTGCCTTAATTACCACCACTGCACCCCTAAATTAACTCAGTTTTAAATTCAAAACTAATTTCAAATTTCCCAAGGTTGAATAGAAAATAAAAAGAACAGCACATGAAATAAATGAAGGAACGACTTTATTTGATGAGAATAAATTCAAATTAGTTACTGAAAAAATATTAGAAAATTTTTTATCTTAATTCTAATCACGAATTATTTAAATTCTTATTTTTGTAAGATAGGATTTATTTTGGATTGGATGGAAAAATAAATAATGGGTGAACGCACTCGACGATATTCACTTGAAAATTCAAGTTTGTATTAAATTAAATTTTTTATTATTTATTTGTTAGGCGGCAGTCGGCAGTCGATCCACCCCGTGAGCCTTCGTGGACTGTGGACGCGCCTTCTCCAGTGGCCGACATTTACGCCGAGGAATACAACATGAACCACCCCCGACGTGGGGTTGCTCTGATTTTAAACCACGAGCACTTTGAATACGAGGATGTCCGAGAGGGATCGGACAAAGACTGCGCAAAACTGCACCGGGTCTACCAGCGCCTGGGATTCGACGTCCGAATCCACAATGATCTCAATTTCAACGAAGTCATGACCACCCTTCGAAAACGTGAGATTCTTTCTCAGAATTAAAAATTTTTAGAAAAACAAACCACAATTACAGTTTCTCAAGAGGACCACTCGATGAACGACTGCCTGCTGGTCACCGTCCTCACGCACGGTGCAAAGGGAGAACTCTATGCGCGCGACCACACTTACGACGCTGATAAACTGTGGCTGAATTTCACTGCCGACAGGTGCCGGTCGCTGGCAGGAAAACCGAAAATTTTCATAATTCAGGTAAACGTCAAAAGACAAGATAGTTTTTTATTTTAGAATTTTGGGAATTTTTTATTTTCAAACTGCTTATTTGGATTCATATTGATAAAAAAAAGTGTACACATCGGAGAAAAGCAAATTTATGAGATAAATAAATTTCTAAATAAAAATATTAATTATTATTACTTCAAAAGTTATATTTATGCAGCCTATTAAATATAGTTTTTTAATTATTTAGTAAAATGATTTATGATTTTTAAATTTAATACTGCAGTAAAATTAAAAAAAAAAAACAATAACTAGAATTTACAATAATTTTCATTACTTATTTCAGGCGTACAATTATATTTAGGCAAATATTTTTCAAACGTAACTTGTGCTTGTTTTAGACTAAAATCACAATAAATGCAACTAATTATAAAAATAAAGAATGGATAATTAGATAGATCTATGTATCGCCTTATACTCTATGTAAGCTATGGATTGACTGGAATTAATATAATCAAATTAGGCCTGCAGAGGCCAAAACTTGGACTCTGGCACGTTGATGGCAATTAGGAAAACATCAGCATCGACAGCCCCTGGAGCCGATGCTGTGGACGCCAGCGGAGGCTCTGTGCGTTATGCAATTCCCAACAACGCCGACATCATCATCGCCAACGCCACCATTGAAGGTAGAATTTTTTAAAAACTTAATTCAAACGTCACAGAAATTAATTTTAGGGTACTTCGCGTGGCGAAATCCGACACTCGGCTCGTGGTTCATTCAGGTGCTGTGCGACCAACTCGAGCTGCACCACGACCGACGCGACCTGCAAACCATCCTGACGTTCGTCGCGTGCAGGGTGGCCGTCGACCACCAGAGTGACGTGCCCGGGAGCTGCATGAACAACATGAAGCAAATCCCTTGCATTCTCAGCATGCTCACCAGACTCGTTTACTTCAAACGCAAAAACGCTCTGCAATCGTGAAAAATCTGCAGTTTTTGAAATCTGAAATTTTTAAATGGTTCAATAAAACAATTAAGTTGTAAAAAATTATAAACTGATATTTTTCCTTTGTTTTCATCACTTTGAGAAAAATAAAATGATTTGTGGTAGAGGATATTGTTTTTATGAAACAATAAACAACTCACAAAAACCCATCCAGGAAAAGCCGATTTTAAATTCAAATCACCACGAGTAAAATGTTTCTTTTTAGTAAATTCATTAAAAATGTATCAAAAACCCACAATTGCTGAAAATATATATATTAGCAAATTATTAAATTCTTATATTTTTTAAATATGACACAAAAGCGATACATACTTTTGAACCACAAAGAGAAGAAATAAAAAACAATTATAGCAAATTAATTAATTAACCACTTTTATAGAGCCTATCAATTACAAAATTTAAAATAATATTTTTATCTTGGTCTTAACCAAACCACCACATCAGATTTTTCCTACATACAATTAAGTACCAAGGACTGCCATTATCGTTGGTATTTAAATATCAAACCACATTATTTAATTAATTTTCCTTCATTAACCGACTTGAAATCGGTATATAAAAAGCCCTCACAAGTAAAATCAATTCACTTGCATTCTGACGAGAGGCGAATAATGAAACTGGTGATTCTGTTTGTTGCACTCGTGGCCGCGGCAATGGCGTAAGTTTAGATAATTCATGGCCATTAATTGGTTCTCTAGGGAAAAATTTAATAATTGAATTGCTTAAAATCATTTTCCAATTATTAATCAGTCCTATAATATTGAATAATTGAAATTGACAAAATTGCAATCACTTTCAGCGCTGTGATGGACCAAGAAGCCTTTAATTATGATCTTCTCTATGGTTCACGGTTCAAGCAGGAAAAACGGTGCTTGGGCTGGCCGGAAATGGCAGGCAGAACGTACATGAGTTGCAGAAATAAGTAAGAGGAATTCAATAAAATCATCAAATTGTGATTTAAGACGGGGTTAAAAATATAGAAGCAACAAAAGAATATATAGTAAAAAAATCAGAAAATTAGTTCTTTTCTTAATTTTTTTAAAATCATTCAAAATTAAACACTTACTTCCTAATTTTGAAAATTTAAATTCCGTCACATTTATTTTTTCATTTGATGATTTCAATTAGAAATTAATTAATTAAATTTATTTTAGGCTGTGCACATTTAAGTGCCTAGAGGGTTATCGCTTCCCAGGAACAAACTTAAATGTAACAACAGTGGAGTGCCGTGATGGCAAATGGGTTCCGGCAGAGGAAAGTTGGCAATCAGTTCCAGACTGTGAACGTAAATAAATCAATCAACCGTTTTGATTGCAAATAAATAAAATGGTCTAAAACCACAGCCGTCTGCGACCTTCCTTGTCAGAATGGTGGAAGGTGTTATGGAAAAAACAGGTGCATTTGTTCTAACAAATTCCGCGGACCGCAGTGCCAATATGGTAAATTTTTCAACTTTTCTTTCTTTATCAAAAATTTAAATACTGATACGTGTATGAATTATATTGTTTTAGATGAAACTCGTTGCGCTATGCGTGACTTTTATGAAAGAGGCTTCAACGGACATATCAATTGCACTGTAAACTCAGATTCTCTTGCATGCAATTTGGCATGTGGAAGTCACAGCCAATTTTCATTCCCACCCGCTAAAAAATACACTTGTCGCTATGAAACTGGCGAATTTTTGCCACGTGTCTTTCCAACTTGTGAGTAATTAGCATATGATTATTTATAATAACTTTGACAAAATATGGTAACAATTAAATTTGTCTATAATTAACAGCAAATAAAAAAGGGCTTGGTTATTCAACCGCAGTATTTTATCTTTTATTTAATTAACTCCTCTCCAGTTGTTATTATTTTTATTTGTGAAAGATCTATTATCAATACAATCAATTTATTGATTTTAGATAATAATTTAATTCAGGTACCTCCATCAATCTGAATTAAGTCTAACTTCAGTCTAATTTTCGGAAAAAAAACTTTTTATTTTAGGAAAAAATAGACATTTCTAAATGTGACTAGTTTTCAGATTTTTTTTATATTTTCCAAAAGAGTACCTAATAATTCAAATGATAAATAAAATATTTAACATTATAATCACTTAAGTTGGTTAATGAAAACAACCAGATATAAATATAGAGAGGGGGAAGCATGGCCGCTGACAGACGTTCGCTGCAGCGGCTGCTGCTATTTCTGTGTTTTTCAGCGGTTATCCGGCTGCCATCATCCGGAAACCATGACCAGAGTCAGCGTGAATGGTCCCAGACGGGACACCGGCAATCGGACGGCGCGGACGGCGCCTCTTCTGTCCGGGGGCCGGCTTTTCCCGTCTGGCAATTGCTCGCCCATTATGGTTGCTTTCAAGGACGAACCAGCCGAGCGGCGAGGAGGAGAATCGCGCGTCGGGGCTGCGGCCTTGACGTGCACGAACCTGCAAAATTCCTGCTGCTGCCTCACGGTTTGTTGACAACTCGCTCACCAACTAGCTGCTTCGTCGCCAAACTGTCTGAAGAGGTAGGAAACGGAAAGACAATTCTGATTATTTTTCTCGGCACCGGTCTCTATCTGACTCTTCTACTGCTCGCCATGGGCGACATCGAGAGCAACCCTGGCCCTTTGAATGAGGACGATAAGGCCTTCTTTCTGTCAGCTCTCGACACCCAGCTTAACGACAAATTAAAGTTTACAAACGACTCTATCGGAGAGCTTAAAACATCAATGGAGGTACTGGTGGCGAAAGTGGAGGCGGAGGCTGAGAAAGTTAAAACGCTACAATCGGAAAATGTTAAACTGTCGGCCCGAGTCACCCTTCTGGAAAATCGTTTGGCCTCGCACGAATCCGATCAGCGACGGAAAAACTTGGTGGTTTTTGGCATGCCTACTGCTACCAATTTGCAGAGCGCCGTCGGTGATCTTCTCTTCAGCAAGTTGAAGCTGCCAAACCGTCCGCAGGACGAGCTGCTCGAGGCCTCTTTCAGGATCGGCAAAGAGGACGCCGCAAAACGCCCAGTCATTCTCAAATTTAAAACTGATCAAGCCAAATTTTCAGTCATGAAAAACGTCGCTAATCTGAAAGGAACGGGCATTGTCGTGTCCGATGACCTAACACCAGAGGAACGAAAGGTCAGGCGGAAGCTGGTCGAGGCCCACAAGACTGCTAGAAAGCTCGGAGTCCAGTCGAAATTGCGCCGCCGGGGTCTTGAGCTCAATGGGCACGAGATTTCGGCTGCCGAGGTGGCCAAGGAGGGCTGGCTCCGCAAGTATGTGCCGCAGTTCCACCAGCAGCAACAGATGGATGGTGAGAGTGAGGGGTCCAGCACAGATGCCGGAGACGGTCGACCCAAGCAGAAGAGGAACAAAAGGAACCGAGCTGTAGCCTTACTCTCACCCAACGAGCAGCCCTCCGAGCCCCAAGCCGGCGGGTCCCAACAGGGTTTTGCCCCAGCCCCTCTCAACAGCAAGTCCAACAGCAAGGACAAGGAGGCAAAAAAAACCCAGAGGGGCACGTCGACGAGGAGCTTGGACAGGCTGCGATCGGCCAACAGGAACCCAGGGTCGGACTCAGATGTGAACAGCCAAAACTAAAACTTGTAAGTGAAGTGATACGCTTTTTTTGTGATAAGAAAAAAAAACCGGAAAATTATTTAAAAGTTATTAGTATAAATGCTCAGTCACTCGCGGACTTGGATCATATGCGTTTGCTCCGAACAAATTTATCTTTGCAAATTGTTGATGTTGTTTGTATATCCGAAACGTGGCTTAAAGATAAACATAATATTGATAAAAGGTATGCAATTGAAGGATATAAATTAATTAGGCACGACAGAAAAGAAACTCGTGGCGGTGGTGTAGCTTTTTACATAAAACGCAATTTAAAGTTTAAAGTGGTTTGCGCCTCTTCGGAGAGTAAAAATAATTCGGCAGAGTTTTTAATGGTGGAAGCTCAAATTTTAAATGAAAAGATTTTGCTTGTGGCCGTCTACAGAAGGCCATCACCAGAAGTAAACTTTGATGATCTTTTTAGCGAGCTGCAAAATACTTATGTTCAATACGATAATTGTGTTCTGCTCGGAGACTTTAACTGCAATTTTAAAGTTAACTCGAATCTTCTCAATAATTTAGAGTCACATATTAAACAGCTTGGCATTCAAAGGCTTCCTATTGAAAACACGCACATTTCTTACAACGCAGTAACAACAATTGATGCCATAATGGTTTCTCCAGAAATAGTTTATGCAGGCTTTGGAAAATTGTTCAATATGCTGTCACACCATCAAATGCTTTATGTTATTATTGAAGGTGAGCTTCCAGAAAGTATGAGTGAATTTAAACATATCCGTGAGTTTGGTAAAATTGATCGTAACTTGTTAAGCACTGAAGCGTTTAAAATAAGTTGGCACGAGGAAGTTGAAAATATATCACTTGAAGCGAGAGTTGAATCTTTTAACAAAAAAATTGTTTCGCTGTTTGACCAAGTAGCACCAAAGAAAAAAATTAAAATAATGAAAAAATTTAAGCCCTCATTTCCATCTGGTGTGAAAGCGTTGATTAAAGACCGGGATAAGGCGAGAAGAAAGGCAGAATCAGATCACAATATTATTTCATTTAATTTGTTTAAATCGCTGAGAAACCAAGTTAAACAAAAAATTTTGAATTTCCAGAAATCAGTGATTTTTGACAGTTTAAATCAAATCTCAGGAACTAAGCATATGTGGAGTAAGTTGCGAGGATTAGGCTTGGTGAAAGATAAATCCAGAGTTGCCGAGCTCGTCCTAAGTTCTGACGAGCTTGTAAATGATTTGACCGTGAAAAGACCCTCTAATATTTTGAACAAAATTGTTAAAAATTTCTCAATCCCTCGCAAAATTTCAGGCGATAAATTTTATTTTAAACATGTAACCCCATTGGAAGTGAAATTAGCGCTGAGAAGTATAAAGTCACCCTCTGAAGGGACCGACAATATTTGTAACAAAATGCTGCTCATGACTATTGATGTAATTCTGCCATCTCTCACGTTTATTATTAACTCTGCGCTGCAAACATCATATTTCCCAGCTATTTGGAAAAAAGCTATTTTGATGCCTCTGCCAAAAGTTCGTAGCCCCGCTAGTAGTTCTGATTTCCGGCCAATTAGCTTGCTGTGCGTTGTTTCAAAAATTTTGGAAAAAATTGTTTTTGATCAAATGATGGAATTTTTATTAAAAAATGAGGTCCTTGATAGGCTTCAATCTGGATTTCGGAAATTGCGTAGCACGACAACGGCTCTGTTAAAAATTGCTGAGGATTTGAGAATTTCAATGTTTAAAAATGAAGTAACGCTAATGGTTTTTCTTGATTTCTCAAAAGCATTTGATTTGGTTGACCATGGTCTTTTGTTGAGTAAACTAAATCAATTGAATTTTTCCGCACCTGTTTTGCGTTTCTTTGAAAGTTATCTATCAGGCCGTCAGCATGCAATTAAAAACAGTGATGGTAGTTTTTCTCAATGGATGAATATTGAATGCGGCGTGCCCCAGGGCTCAGTTCTTGGGCCACTTCTTTTTTCTCTGTACACGCACGATTTATCGGCAGTGTTAAAGGATAGGTGCAAGTACCATGTTTATGCGGACGACACTCAGCTTTATCTTAGCTGCCTGTCGAATAATGTAAACGAGTGTGTTAAGATTATGAACGAAGTATTAAGAGATGTTGTGTATTGGTCAGAAGCGAATGGACTTAAACTCAACCCGAGTAAATCACAAGCTATGTTTGTATGCTCAGAACGAAATAATTCTAAAATTTCCGCGATGCTAAGTGAAAAATTATATTTAAATGATGTTGAGTTAAATTTTGTGCAAGAAGCGAAAAACCTTGGAATTATGTTTGATAAGAACTTGTCTTGGAATGCGCAAGTGTCCAGAATATCGCAAAAAGTTTACGGCACTTTAAAAAGTATTGAAAAATTCAGAAATGTAACCCCTGAAAAAGTTCGAGTGAGACTTGTTAAAAGCTTGATTCTGCCGCACTTCGATTACTGTGACATAGTTTACTGTAATTTGACAGCCTCGCAAATTAACAAATTGCAAGTACTACAAAATCATTTAATCAGGTACATTTTTGATGTAAAGATCGGCCAAAATTTATCACCCTTGTATAAAAAATGTGAAATACTGAAAATCGCGGATAGGCATAAATTGAAAATTTTAGTTCAGACACACAAAATCTTGTATAAAAATAGTCCAGAGTACTTGAACGACTACGTTACTACAATGTATGATGTAAATTTGCTCGGGCGCACGAGAGCGCACCGAATGAAATTGCTCGCACCGTTTGTTAGTGTGGAGGTACCGGAAAACTGTTTTCAAGTTCAATGCTATAGGCTTTGGAATGAGTTACCATCAAATCTATGTTTGAACGAAAATGTTAATTTTTTTAAATCAGTACTGAAAAAGCAATATTTTGAGCAATATTAATGTTTTCTCTCTCTCTTGTTTTAAAATTTTTGTTTTGCATTTATTTGGATGAGTTCATGTATGGGGCATAGTTGCCCTAATTTCGAACCCAATAAACACTTCTTGAAACTAAATATTATTGCTGAGACTGTTAGAAAAATAAAAATAAACCCTTGACCTCGGCGGCAGAGATCGCAGAGGTCGCTTATAATTATAAGTCAAATTGATAATTTCTATATTATATTTGAGCCATTTTTCCTCATGATCATGAGCCGTCCTTGCCCTTGAAGCCAATATTATATAAATATGACCCCAGCAAGCAATTTAAAATCAGTCATACTCTGAAGACGAAAAATGAAACTGGTGATTACAATTGCAGTACTCTTGGCCGCAGCGATGGCGTAAGTTTTATGATAATTTATTAAAATCTAAAATTTACCAATGACGGATTTTTTAATAAGGGTGTTAAAACTTTTCTTGTTTGGTTATAAGTTTAGTAAAAATATTTTTTTGAAATTTATTTCATTCCAATTGCTTAATTAAGCGCTGTGACGGACCGACAGACTTGCTCGGGCTGGCCAAGTGCAGCAGGCAACACATTCATGAGTTGCAAATCAAGGTAAACTAAATTTAACACTGCATGATAATTTTTCTTCATTCTGAGGCAATAAATTCATTATTTGAATTTAATGTAAAATTGTTCATAGAATAATTTGATTTAATAATTTTTTAACAGGCTGTGCACATTTAAGTGTCTAGAGGGTTATCGCTTTCCAGGGACAAACTTGGATTCAACCACGATGGAGTGCCGCGACGGTAAATGGGTGTCAACAGTGTCAAGGTGGCAAACAGTCCCAGATTGCGAACGTAAATAAATATTTCAACAAATTAACTTGTATTAAAAAAAAAATTAATTTTAATCAAAGCCATCTGCGACCTGCCGTGCCAGAACAATGGAAGGTGCTATGACCACAACAAGTGTACTTGTTCAGACGAGTTCCGAGGACCGCAGTGCCAATACCGTAAAAATGTAGCTCTCGAAAGAAATTTCACTCAAAATCATATATTTTTTATTCAGAGAAGAGTCGTTGCGCAATGAGCAAATTTTATGACAGAGGATTCAATGGACGTGTCCAATGTACTATGAACTCGGATAGTGTTGAATGCACTTTGGGTTGCACTGGTGGCAGCCGCTTCGAATCTCCGCCTGCTGCCAAGTACACCTGCCGCTATGAAACTGGCGAATTTTTGCCAAGAACCATCCCAAAATGCAAATACTAATTTTATTAATAACAGAAATAATTATAAAACCAGAATTGAAAACAAATAAAAGCTATTTTTATCACTCAACTTTATGATATTTTTCCTTAACAAAACCTGGGGTCTAATTCTGTAAGCTTTTTCGTTTCTATTTCCATTTCTATATTCATTTTCCATTTGCTTACCCATTCCATTTCGTCGCCTTTTTCGATTACGACTTCTATTTCGCAGCCTATCCATTTCCATTTCTAATTCGTCGTCAATTTTAATAGTTGAGCCATATTTATATTTATATATATATAAAAATATAAATAAATAATTATATATATTTATTTATATTTAATTTAATTATTGCATATGCGCTTACAGTAATTTTCAAATGATTTTTAATATACTCAAGTCAATAAAATGTATAAAAAATTATTTGAAAAAGGCGTTTAGTCAAAAGTACCTCAGTGTGGGAGCAAATTGTGGTACCACAGTGTGGGAGCAAATTGTGGTACCACAGTGTGGGAGCAAATTGTGGTACCACAGTGTGGGCGCAAATTGTGGTACCACAGTGTGGGCGCAAATTGTGGTACCACAGTGTGGGAGCAAATTGTGGTACCACAGTGTGGGAGCAAATTGTGGTACCACAGTGTGGGAGCAAATTGTGGTACCACAGTGTGGGCGGAAATTGTGGTACCACAGTGTGGGAGAAAATTGTGGTACCACATTGTGGGCGCAAATTGTGGTACCACAGTGTGGGCGCAAATTGTGGTACCACAGTGTGGGCGCAAATTGTGGTACCACAGTGTGGGCGCAAATTGTGGTACCAAACAGCGCACGCGATGAATTAAATAATATAAAATACATGGTTGCTAATTTGCTAAAAAAAAAATATTAAAATTTTTTAATTCAACCAATTTTTAAGAAATTGATTTAATTAACTTCGTGAAAGGAAAAATTATCTTGATCCCCCCTAATTATGAGCCATAAAAAGATTCGATTAAAAGGGGGTGCGAGAGACATATAAGAATTATAAATATACATTTTCATTAGAAATTATATAATTCATATAATTTTATCAACCTGAATATTAAAAACAATTTGAAGAGCACTGTAAGCATAGGGAATAATTAAATTAAATATAAATAAATAAATGGCTCAACTATTAAAATTGACGACGAAATAGAAATGGATAGGCTGCGAAATAGAAGTCGTAATCGGAAAAGGCGACGAAATAGAATGGGTAAGCAAATGGAAAATGAAATAGAAATGGAAATGGAACGATTCTATCTTACAGAATTAGACCCCTGCTCCAAATTCAAATATTATGCTAGACCTAGAATTTCAATAAAATTTTTAAACATTTTTCTATTCTATACTTATATCTTTGATCATCATATATTGCATGAAATACATATATCAGGGCAAAAGACGTCAGCAAATTAAAAAATATAGCTGCGTAGCCAGTTTATATTGAAATTTATCTGCATCGTCGCAATAAACGAATGCTATCTTGTGCGAATTTCCTCGTGCTAAAGGTCAGCCGAGATAAAAAATAAAAAATTTTGTACCGCAAGAGAAATGAATGACTCTGCATGTGGGAGAAATAAAATTTCAGTAAAATTTAAGCCGCCAGGTGGCACCAGGGTATAGATGTGAAGGTCCTCTGCAGGTAGGCTTAAAAGGGTTATCAGTAGAGAAACTGTAAATAAACACAGAGCACAAAACTGACGGGAAGTAGCTCAATAATTTTGAGATTTGAGCAAAAATCTGTGCTTACATTTGACAAAAAACAGTTAAAATTTTGAAGTAAACAAATCTTCAGTTGTGAAAACCTGAAACCTGAACGAAGGTGAGAATATCATCCTAATTATGAACAAAATAATTTTCTTTTTAAATTTAATTATTACGATGAGCTAATTTTTTTTATGCAGATGTGACCTATGAGAGCGAGAATGCCTTGTTCAAAGGCGTCGCAAATATTGGCCTTCTGCGGCGCCTACCTGGTCGGCTTCCAACTGTGCCTGTTGCTCTTCCGACCCCAACAGCAACCCCTCCGTCCTGACGAGCCCTACCGCGACTGGTTGGCCACGCAGGGCCTCCAGAGCAGCCCTTTGACGGCCGACTTTGTTTCCTATGGACGGAACGTGTCGAACGAGGCGCAGTTTCTTTTCCGCAAGGTGAACGTCATCTGCGTGGTGTTCACCAGGAGCGGCAAGAAGGCCCAGGCCATCGAGAAGACGTGGGGCCCGAGCTGCAATGAACTGCGATTCTACGCGGCGGGCACCAGTTCGCACAAAGACTTTGAGGCACCTGACGATGGCCAGAAAATCAAGATGTTGACCAACCACAAATCGTCGTGGCACCTTCTATGTGATGTAATTAGTGAGGTAGGGGAACATTATTTAAAAAGTGTTTTAATTTGTTTTATAAAATATAACAAAGAAAGCTCCCAAAGACTTCAAAGCTAATTCAATTACTTCTGAAATTCATAACATCTTTACACTCATTCGAGAATTTATTAAAGAAAAAAATTTTAATAATAGAATTTATTTATCAATCAATCAATAAAAATTCATGAAGAGTATAAAAATTTAAACAATAAATTGTTAATATTATATTAACGAAATTAACATTTTAATGAAAAGTTAAATTTTAATATAAATGAAAAAAAATTAAAATAATAAAAGATTATTGGCTTTATTAAAATAGTAATTTTTGTAATCTTCTTAAAAATTTATATTTTGTATTTTTTTTTTACTCAAGATTTGGGCAACTTCAATGGATCACCTCGAGTGGGTGATTTTTGCCCCTGAGGACCTTTTCGTCATGCCTGAAAATCTTCGGCTTCTAGTCGCCCCATTGAGCGCCGATAAGCCCCACTACCTGGGCCACGCCATGACGTTGTGGAACGAGGACTACAACGTCGCCCAGGCTGGTTATGTGCTCAGCAGAGGCGCCCTTGGGGTCATTGCCCGCAGGTTCAACAACTCAAAAGCGTGCGAGACCAGCGGCCAGCACTGGAAGAACGAAGACTTTTATTTGGGTAAGAATTTTATTCCTTTCTTGAATTCCACTTAACAAGAAATGAAATTTAAAATTTATTATTTTAGGAATATTTTTGTTAAAGCTAAATTATTCAATAGAAAAAAATCTCAATAATAAATTCATGCGGTGTTATTTCAGGAAAATACTTGGGCGAAGCTGATATCCGCCCCACAGACACCAGAGACCAGTGGCTACGCGGTCGATTTCATGGTTTCAACCTTAACCAACTTCTATTTTCGCATAAATTATCAGTTCTGAACAGCTATTGGAGGAGAAGCATTTATCCTGTTTCTGAGGTTAATAATAACCACAAATAATTAATTTAACTTTTTCTCGCCTTTTCTTATAAAACATATATCATAATTAAATTATTAATTCTTACTTTAAAAAAACAGCATTTTTAAATTTTTTATAAATTTGTTGTTACAAAAAGACACACGGCACCTATCTAAATTCACTTTGTCTTCATAATATTTTTATTTTGTGAATTCTATTAAAATAATTGAGTTTTATGTGTCATTAATTTCCTTACAAATTTTTAACAATTTATTCCTTCTAAAAGGACAAATTTGTATAGCAAAATTTTTACCATATTTGGAGTAATAATTAAAAGAGATTCATTTCCATATTATTTTTCAGGGTCTGACCTGCTGCAGCGACACCTCGATCACTTTTCAGGGCATCGAGCCAGACAAAGTGCATCAGTTCCACTACCTTCTGTACCACGTGAGACCCTTCCGAGGAAAAAGCTACCTCGGCAGTGTTCCAGCTCCGAAGCCTGCAGGAGACGAGCCGTGGCGCCAGTTTTTGCGAGACGAAAACCTTTGGGACCAACCTGGTGAAGAAATCTCGGCCAAGCAATATTACGAGCTGTCGTTGAAAATTGCCTCCAAACTCTCCGACCTACACCCAAAATAAGACTGAAATCTAGCTCTTGCCTGGAATATTTCACTCTATAACTTTGATAACCCTTTTCACAGTAGAAATTGTGTATTTTAATATTTTATTACATATTTACGTCTGCAATCTGCAATAAAAGCCGAAATAAAATTAATAGAAAAAATTTGTTTAATTTAAAATTATTAAAATGATTAAAATGTCATTTGATCAGTTGCTGCGGTTAATTATTTTTCCTGCATGCATTGCTGCCTATAAAAGAGGGCCCGTGAGCGCCACTCCTTACAGTCATCTCTTGAAGGCGGAGAATGAGAGGGGTGATTCTTGTGGCCGTCTGGGCCACACTCTTGGCTACGGCATTAGCGTGAGTCTTGATTTTATTTAATTGATTATTAAAAATCACTCGTTTGTAACGGGACCAATTGGAGTAAATAATAGAGTTGGGTTATTTGGCTATAAAAATGCGGCAGGATAGGATATAGGATGAGTTGGAATTTACTGTATTTTAGCCCCCGCCCGCCATTCAAAAATTTATTTCAATGCTAGTTTCAAAAGTTTTTAAATATCTCATTGAATGATCTATCCGCTGAAGGAATAAAAAATTCAGATCATTTTTATAATTCAACAGTTGTTTCAATTTTAATTATTTAAAAAAATATTTATAAAAAAAATACTCGATCCTAAAATAAAAATAATTGAAGTGGCATTTCTCTGCAATACAGACTAGTTTTAGGAGAAATCACAAAAGAAATAAGAAATAAATGAATTTTAGAAATGTTTAAAATTTCATTATTTGTAGAAAAAATGTAATGATTCTTTTCAACATTTAATGGCAGCTATTTTGTCCATCGTTCCATCTACAATGCTACACTGATTTCTTTTTTAAATTAGTCTTAAAATTGATTAGTAACTTTTGCTTTCAAATTGAGCTTATGAGTTTAAGTAAGTTGTTGCTGCCAATTATCTCCTCAATGTAATCCCCCCCACCCCCAATAATCTTGACCTGTTGTAAGAGAGTAATTATACAAATTTAATTAATAAAATGGCCCTTGCTACAAAATTATTGAACATTAATGACATTTATCCTACTTGTTTTTAAATGGCAAGAGCTTTTTTGAAAATTTGAAAATGGACTATTAAGTTTTTATAAAAATTTTGGTAGATTTTAAAAGCTAGATTTATATTTATTGACATTTTACATAAATATGCGAGAAAGTGATAATGATAATTTCGCTTTCGGTCCATCACAAAGCGGACCTCTCTTGAGGCCCCCAAAGTAACTTTTTAACCAGTGGTGCTGCCGTTTCTTCACATTTTGTATTGTTTCACATCTCATTCTTGACTTTATACAAACAAATACTAATATTTTTGTCTATTGAACTCTTAATAATTAAAAAAATATATATATAAATTTTTTTAAGCGATTTTGCTATTATATAAAAAATGAGCCACTTTATAGGACTGAAATAAAATTAATTATTGGTTTACGGATTGACACCAAAATAAAAATTGAAAACGCAAATATGCAAGTAATCTGTTTTACAAGGTTTTTTAAGTCGCAAAATAAAACTAATAGAAGAGTCTCTACTTGACAATTTTGCAATACATATAAATTCAATGCCACTGTTTCGATAAGCGTCGGATTTCCTCTCAATATGGCTAGTAAAGGGGTTCTTGATTAATAAAAGCAGATCACTTCAACAAATGAGATGAGGAGGACGGCGACTTTTATTGTTTTCTGGGTCACGTTGTTTTCTGCGGTCAATGCGTAAGTTTTTGAAGGGATTCTTTTTGAAACGAACAACAAAAGTTTTCAAAGTTCCTCTAACTAATTTGAAGTTTGTAAATTATTATTTCGATAATGCTGTAAAATTTGAGCGTGGGAGGCCGCCATATGAAAAAGTATTAAACAGAAACATATTCTCCAAAAAACTAAAATTATATTTGTTAAAAACATTTTACATTAATATTCATTTTATCAGTTAATTAATTTGCAATCAAATTTTGCTAGCTCAAATTAAGTATTATTCCCCATTATAATTTACTTTCTCTTAACAATTAAATTAAATTAAATTGTATCGCATTATAAATTAAGTTTGAGCCATAATAAACAGATTTGAGCTAGAGTGTGAGAGACTCGAGCTGTCCTTGCAAACGTGTGACTTATTTTTATTTTTAATTAAATATTCGCATTCCATAATTAAATTTATAAACATGTCAGTGTTTTAAATACTTATGCACAATTAGAGTCTATCTTAAGCACGGATCTTTTTATACCTAATAATGATAATTAGATACAGGTTTTTTTCATTTTTTTTTTATTAAAAAACTTATTATCCAAAAACAGCGCGGACGAGGATCAAGCTACCGACAATAATTGGGCATGGAAACTTTTTGATGAAGAGCCACAACAGGACGAATCGGACGAGTAAGTTTTACAATTTAATTTCGCAAATGAATAATTAAACGTGTAATTTCTTTAGAGGTTTAAAAGACCTACGACAATACAATGCTGGTTTCAACCCTTCCTTTGGTTCGGACACCAAGTCGGGAAACGACGAACTCAAGACTGGGAAAACCGCAATTCGTAAGTGCAAACCTCTTTTGACTAATTAAACTTCCGCTTATCGTGCACTGACACCACACGTCTGCGGCTATTGAATAATCAAAGCCCACAAAGTGCAGTAACGAACCGTCTAATTAAAAATTTGGTCTGCCAATTGCGGTGATAAGTACGCGGTGGTTTTATTATTTTAATTGCATGCAGCGATTAATTATGGTTTCTTGAAAATAATTTAATAACAGCTTTAATAGAAAATATTATTTATTTAAATCCAATTTCACATGTTATTTAAGTCTCGCACGCTTTGAGGAAGTTAAATATTTCGACGTGAGGGCAATGCACTTTACGCATTCAAAGAATCAAAGCGGATGAGAGATGGCTTTTGCACACAATCTTATCAAAATAGGACGCACGCGGCAAATATTCGCATCCTTTTTGCACAGACGCATTTTATAGTGCAACTCATGTTATTAAGTCACAATAATAATTATAATTAAATTTAGTTGTTAGCATTATTTTTAATTATTATTTAATTTGAGTTTCATCATTTAAAAAAAGTTTACAATGATTTTTATAATAATAAATTCAATTTTAATATTAAAAAAATTATTGTTACAGATTGATCTAGTTTTAATTGAACAGAAAATTTAATAAAAAGCTTATTTCGCCTCTGATTATTATTATTTTTAATTGATCATATATTGCTAATGATTTCTAAGGTAACTACTGACAATAAAGCGCTTCAAAGAACATTTGATTTATATGAATGATCATTGATGTTAGACTATAATAATAAAATTGACTCTTATAAGTATTAAAATTAACCAAACCGGATGACCTGTAGCTTGACGTTTTTGCTTTAATCCTCAATTCTACCATTTACAGGAAAGGAAATCAGTGGTAAATTATAATTTTAATGTCAATTTTAATCCCCATTCAATTTAAATGTTTTACTGTGAGAAAATGTCACTATCTATTATTAAATAAGTTTAACAATAATTTATAAAAAAATAATCTAAGCTACGTAAATTTAATCCTCCAGCCTGCGCCAATGTGAAAAAACCCGAGGCGCCAATTAATGCAGAGGAAATCAAGTGCTCCAACTACAGGTAATTTAAACTAAATTATTCTTCCGTCAAAATTGAGAACACCGAATTTCAAATCCAGTGGTTGTGCTGCGCGGTGTCGAAAAAATTACAACTTTCCCAATGGAAAGAAACTGATGACCCTAAAATGCGAGGACAACCAGTGGAAGGTTCAGGGCGAAGACTGGGAAGTTCTCCCTCCTTGCCAGCGTATAAATATAATTTATTTTTTAAATGATTTTTTTTTCATTCGTGATAAATTACAGCAATCTGTCTGCCGAAGTGTCAAAACGGAGGCTTCTGCTTGGCACCGAATCAGTGCAAATGCCGGGCCGGTTTTTCGGGGCCCACTTGCCAGTTGCATGACAAACCGTGCATGAACCTTCCGTTAACACCAAGAAACTCGGCGCTCAAATGCAACCCTCTGCAAACGTAAGAGGGCAATAAAATTTGTTCTTTGCCAATAATGAGCAGGAAAACATTTTGGTCCCTTCATTTTGACGTATTTGGATTTGTTTTTTTACAATACTAATAATCTCACAATTACCACCAAATTCATTTTTTAAAACATTAGAAAAAGTAAAACAATTGTTGCAACAAATGATTTTCTGTTAATAAACAAATGATAATTAAGAAAAAATTAGCGACATAAAAAATTATAACCAAAATTAACATTTTTTTTTCAAAGACGTGTTATAATTATCTTTATATCAAAACTTACTGAAAAGATTCAAAATTTACAGCCGGTGTAGAATTGAGTGCAAACCAGGTTATTATCTTTCGGAAATCAATTCCAATTGGACATCTGTAACTTGCCGTGGTGGAAATTGGGTGCCAATACAGGAAAAGTGGCAAGTTGTACCGGATTGCGAACGTAAATTTGACAACCAGTTTTATTTGACAAAAATTATAATCGAAAGAATCCTCAGCACACTGCGATCCACCGTGTCAGAATGGAGGAAAATGCTTTTACCGCAACCGCTGCCAGTGCCCGAATGATTTCCTTGGGCGCCAGTGCCAATATCGTAAACACACAAATCTATAAAAATATATCTTTTTTCCAAGCAAAAATCAATTTTTCAGCAAGAAGCCAGTGTGATTCGGAAAAGCTCATATTAAACGGATTCAATGGAGATGCAAACTGCGTAGGCAACTCGGAATCTGTCGAGTGCACTTTGTCATGTCCCCAGGGTGGTAAATTTTCATTCACGCCTGCTTCAAAGTACACGTGTCTCTACGAAACTGGCGAATTCACACCGAGCTCGATTCCAACTTGCGATTACGGTATTTTGGAAATGAAATATAAAATAATAAATCTTTTTTTATTTATCGAAGCAAGAATTGTACAAGAATTAAATATGATAATTTCAAATACGTCAATTCTCGAAATTTTGAAATTTAATATATAATTCTTGTTTACTTTCTGTTGCATTTATAAATTTTTTGCAAATTTTTCAGGGAAGCACAAGTTTGCCGACTTAAGCACACATGAAAGTTTGGTCAAAGGAATTGGAAAAGCGAGCTCAGTCGGACTGATAAATCGCGTGCCAGGTCGTTGCCTTTTCTGGGGTGCTTCACACGTGAAGACATTTGACGGACTCCTCCTGAGGTGTGAAATTATTAATTTAATTTTAAAATTTATTTTTATTTTATTTTCTGTTTCCACAGTTACCAAAGCGACTGTGCGTACACTTTGCTCAAAGACGCAAAGGACAACATTTTCACCATAAACGTCAGGAAAAACTCAAAGAAGTGCACTGATCGTCTAGAATGTACTTTACAAATCATAGTTTATTTTGAGAACCACATCTTCATGATTCAAACTGATGGTAATTAAATGAAATCTTGGTGTAGGGAAAACTAACCCTTTTCGCTTATTTATAGATTCAGGAAAAGTGATTTTAACCCAAAACGAAAACACCCTGAAAATTCCCGCGCAAATAAACGAGTTTTACGTTCAAATGGTTGGTCCAGTCGCCTACATTGGACTTCGCGCTTTTGGAGTGACGTTGAAATGGGACACGAAAGTACATTTTTTTTTATTAATTTAAAAATTTCAGTACAATATATTTCGTTTTACTTTTAGACGTTCATTATCGTGGAATTGACTGGGCATATGTGGAACAGGACGGCAGGGTTGTGCAGCAGGCACGACGGGAATCCAGAAAACGAATTGGAAAATCGAGAGGGAAAAATCGTTGAATCAGTCCCCGTCTTCCTTTCCAACTGGGAATCCGAGTTCCTCAGCAGTAAATATAAATTAAAAAAGACAATTACGATTTAGAACTAAACATTAATAAATTCATCAGAGCACTGCAGCCAATCTGCTTCAACCGAACACCCTTGCACATCATCCAATCATAGTTCAGCCGCGACCGAATTCTGCAACAAAATGCAAAATCACCCGGACTTCCAGACCTGTCGAGAGGTACTTATCATTTTTATCTTAAAATAATTGTGGCATAATTGAAATTGGAAGAAAGCAAAGTAATTAAGACAATTCAATTTATAATTGACATTTTAAGCGAATTTCGCAATTAAAAATTATAATTTCCCTAAAAGTAAAACACCAAAATTTGAAATATCTAGCTCACGAGCCCTCAAAAGAAAATAAGAATGATTATTTTCACCCAACACGGTTCTTTAATAAAAAAAATTTATTTTTTCTATGATTTTAATATAAATTTAATTACATTTAATTGACCTGTTCTTTTAACTTTCAAAAGAAATTGGACGTGCAGAAATACTTTGACGCTTGTCGTTGGGATTATTGCGCCAGCAAATCGACAAAGGGTGCTTGCGAGGCAGTTTCAATGTTCACTTCAGAATGCAAAAGGCTCGGCGTCGGGTTTTTGGGAAACTGGAGGGATGAGTTTTCTTGTGGTATGTTCTTGTTAAATTAATTAAAATTAAACAAAATCGAGTAAAACCAATTTTAGCTTTGAACTGCAACGGCGGGACCGTTTACCAACAATCGGGCCCATCCACAAAGTTGACCTGCGCTTCACCTCGCGAACTGCAGAATACAAAAACTTATGAAGTCGAGGGGTGCTTCTGTCCGGAGGGCACCGTCCTGCACAACGGCGCGTGCGTCCCTCGGGAACATTGCCCGTGCCAGTTGGGAGGAAAGTTTATTGAAAATGGAAAGACCATTAAAAAGAAGTGCAACACTTGGTAAGTTTTGATATTAATCTCTTAAAAAATTTGAAGTTAAAATAAATTGAGCAATAAAACAAATTGTATTTTTTTTAGCGTTTGCATGGGGGGAATGTGGTCGTGCACAGAAGTGGTGTGTGGCGCACGTTGTTCGGCAGTCGGCGACCCGCATTACAAGACATTTGATGGCAGAACGTACGATTTTATGGGCAAGTGCAATTACTACCTAGTGAAGGGAGACGATTACAGCATTGAAGCTGAAAACATTCAGTGCTCTGGATCCATTTCCGAGGTTAGTTCATTAAATTGATAAATTATTATGATAATTTTATGTATTCAATTAATGAGTTAATTCAATGAATTTCTTTCACTAACTTTGTTTTCGCAGATGACTTCAAATAACCATAAAGATTGAACACGCATACATTCAATATAAAAACTATTGACTTAAAATGCATTACATAATTTTTAAAAAGGTTTTCCTATTTCATTTCAGGATTTCAATTTAAAATGTAATAAATATATTATAAAATCTTTATATTTTATAATTAACAAATATCTAAAATCAAAAATAAAATGTGCAAATAAATTTTAATTGCGTTAGAAATTTTTAAATAAGTATCAATTTTATTTAACTCGGCTGATTTCTCATTTTAAATTATTATTAACAGGCACTGGGACTCGAAGTCAGTGGAAGTCCATCATGCACAAAAACCATCACAATTCGAGCAAATGGTTCGGTGATACATTTGAAACGAAATCGCGACATGATTGTGAATGGAAAAGAAATCTCGGGGCTGCCTATAAGAGTGGGCGAAATAATGATTCAGCGAGCTTCGTCGCTCTTCATATTTGGTAAAATTTTCAATTGATGTTTTCTTTTCTTTAATAAAAAAAAATATTATATTATTAAACAGTCACGTTGCCGAGTGGACTGGAGGTTTGGTGGGATGGCATTTCGCAAGTTCATGTTGATGTCCCGCCAACATTCGTGGAAAAAACCAAGGTTTTCTAAAAACATAAAAGTTTAAATTTTGACCAAAATTGTTGAAATTTGAAGGGGTTGTGCGGAACGTTCAACGGCAAGCAGGAAGACGATTTCTTAACGCCGGAGGGTGACGTGGAGCCGACAGAGGAGGCGTTTGCAAATAAATGGAAGGTTTCGGAAATTTGTAAAAATGTGGAAAGCAGCATCCAAGGGCATCCGTGCGACGCACACCCCGAAAAGAGAGCGGACGCTGAGAAGATTTGCGGCGTTTTGAAGAACAGCAGTTTCAGCGGTGAGTCTGATCTGATCCGTCAAATGAAATTTATTTAATACTGATGTTCATTGCCGTTAATATTGAGGATGCTGGCAAATAATTTTAAAATAATAAAAATAATTTCATTAAAATAGCTATTGTTAAATGAGATTTGGATGTAAATTAAGACTTGCTTATTTATAAGCAGTAAAATACTGAACTTTTGAATAATAAATTACTAAATTGTATAAATAATTATTAATTATCGTCAATAAATATTTTTGCCATGTTTCAAGAAAATAATAATTAAATTAATTAATAAGTTAAAAAAAATAAATCAAAATAAAACTACACAAAATATAAGAATTTAATTTAGAATAATTTTAGAAAAAAATTAATTCTAGTTAATTTTTACTGTAACTAAAATAAATAAATTGGTTAGAATGTGCTTGGCAAGTGGCGGTGGAGCCTTATTATCAAAACTGCTTGTATGACGTGTGCTCTTGCGCCAACGATGCCAAGAGTTGCTTCTGTCCCATCTTTTCCGATTACGGCCAAGAGTGCGCTTCGAAAGACATCAAAGTGGACTGGCGCCAAGAAGTTGAAGAATGCGGTTTGACCCTTTTTTTTTTAGCATTTTAAAGAATTTTCATAAAAACTGAAATTGCAGAGGTCAAGTGTCCGGCCGGACAGACTTTCCAGCAGTGCGGCGACTCATGCGCGCACACATGCACAGCTCTGTCCGTCAACAAGCACTGCGAGGCCAAGTGCGTCGAGGGCTGCAACTGTCCACTTGGACAGACGCTGGACAAACACGGCGAGTGCATCCAAGTGGCGCAGTGTCCGTGTTTGCTCGACGGAGAAGAAGTCGAAGCTGGAACTGAGATGGTCAAGGAGAGCTCCAAGGGCGCTCAGCTTTGGTTATTATTTCCTTAATTAAAAGAAAGAAAAGAAAATTGGAAAATATTTTTTGTCTTCAGCAAATGTGCTGGTGCCAAATGGAGGTGTCATTCGGCGAGTGAGGAGGAGATTAAAAGCCACCCGAATTCGAGTTCCTTGCGAAAACAGTGCGATGCTTCAAAGCATTTTGAGTACACCAAATGCGAGCCAACTGAGCCTAGGACATGCAAGGTATGGGAAGTTTATTTCAAATATTTTCTTATTTTAAAAAAAAATATAAATTTTTTTGGAGAAAATAAATTTCAAAATGAAAAGGAAACATTGAAAAAAATCTGTTTTCACAATAAATAATACAATTACTCAAATCCAACGTAAAATTTATGTTACGTTTATGCTTAATAATTCTTTAATTTTTGTTGTTATAAAATAATTTCAACACACCCACATTAACCAAGAAAAAGCCTTTAAAAAAGAGAGAAACTTCGTTTTTACAAAGCAAAAACTATTGTTCCTAAATAATAGATCATTTGAAAAGGTTAAAAATTTCATCAATTGTGTGTAAAAATATAAATTCTTTAGGATAGCAAAGATCATAAGAAAAAAGAATGCCTATATAGTTATTGTAAAATTAATTTTAAAAAAAATCAACCATAAATTGCTAAATTAAGGTATATTGTCAAAAAATAAATGTTGCTGAAATCACTGTTATTTTTAAAGAATTTCCACGAGAGACACAACCCTGTTCCGGCGATTTGCAAGCCAGGTTGTCAGTGCAAGAATGGCTTCGTTCTAGACCCCCTGTCTAACACCTGCGTTCGGCCCACCGACTGTCCCTGTCATCATGGTGGAAAGAGCTATTCTGACGGAGAAACTGTCAACGAAAAGTGCAACGTTTGGTAGGTTTAAATTTGCTGTTTCAATAAATTGTCCGCAGTTAACGCTTTTTATTAATTGTCTATAATTAAAATAGTTTTCCTTTCTATATATTCTTAATTTCCATTTAAAATTTTATTTTGTATTATACATAATTGAAAAAATCATTGACTTGCCAATCTCACAATGAAAATTTTTGTGCTGTGTATTGATGCTTAAATTTTTTATTTTAATTTAGCGAATGTCGCGGTGGCAATTGGAATTGCACATCACAGGTGTGCACTGGCACCTGCAACACCTGGGGTGGATCGCACTTCAAAACCTTCGACGGCCGCATTTACGACTTCCAAGGACTGTGCTCCTACGCTCTGGTCCAGTCCAAGGTTTCGCCGGAGGAATCGTTCGAGGTCGCGATCCAGACCGTCGTTTGCGGTTCGGGCGGCGTCACGTGCGTGCAGTCGGTGACTCTGAGCGTCGGCGCCGGAGACAACGCCGAGTCCTTCACCCTCACCAAGGATGAACCGGTCCCCAGCAACGCAATTGCATTCAAAAGGTAGGTGATTTTCGAGCAGATCAAAACTGCGCTGTACTCTTAAAAAATTCAAATTTTATAATAAATTGTTTCTTTTTCCAAAGAACTACTTTCCGCGAAATCGGTCAGAATGTAATTGCTGAAGTATTTGACCTAGGAATCGTCGTCTTCTGGGACAAGAGCACGCGCGTTTACGTTCATTTGGACCCCAAGTGGAAACAGCGTGTAAGAATATTGAATTTTGAAAGATTTATGTTGTTTTAAACAGATGCAATAATTTGATTTTTTAATCAAATGTTTTTTTTTAGATTAATTTATATTTAAAATTTAAATTACCAATTCTTCTTTTTATTAAACCACATGGAATTGTGATCAAATTTATAATATCCATTACAATTTTGCATCAAAATATAACTTTATAAACTTTTTTTCAATAAAAAACGAAATAAAAGGTGAGCGGTCTGTGTGGAAACTTCAATGAAAACGACGGTGACGATTTCCAAACACCTTCTGGCGGCATTACTGAAGCTTCTGAGAAAATTTTTGGCGACTCGTGGCGTTTGAACTCTGAATGTCTTGACGCAACTGACCCAATCGTGAGTTGAAAGAAAATAATGATTTAATATAAATGAGAAATAAATGTTCTGGCAGGATGCTTGCGTCACTCATCCGAGCCGAAAAGCCTGGGCCGCCGAAAAGTGTGACGTTTTGAAAGACTCCGTGTTCCAACCTTGCCACTCCGAGGTGCCAGTCGAGCGATATTGGCAGAGGTAAAAAATGAAATTAATCAGACTTATTATTTCAAATTATTAGTTGTTCATTTTTTAATAGATTTTTTAACCTCTTAATATTATAAAAAAAATTAAAATATATTAATCAGTTGAATTAGTTAAATTTCTGACTTAAACAAATTTTTTAAGTTGCATGCAAGACACCTGCTCTTGCGATCTGGGAGGCGACTGCGATTGTCTGTGCACAGCCATTGCCGCCTACGCCCAAGAGTGTAACGCGAATGGTGTGCCAATTAAATGGAGAACACCAGGACTATGCCGTAAAATTAATACCGAGAAAAAGTAAAATTACAGTAATTAATTTCCCTCTTTTTGTAGCGATGCAATGCGACGAAAAATGTTCTCAGTACAGCTCATGCATTTCAACGTGCCCTCTTGAAACGTGCGATGATTCTCTGCGATTCAACAGTCAAAATCAACTGTGCAAACAAGAAACTTGCATTGAAGGTATAGAAAAAGACTATTCAAAGAATTTGACTGAGGATTTTTTTTTTTAATTTCTAAGGATGCCAGATGGACCCGTGCCCCGATGGTCAGATATACAAATCTGTCAGTGACCTGAGATGTATTGCAGAGAGCTCTTGCAAGCCAATTTGCATGATTAAAGACAATGTCACTTACTACGAGGGAGACTTGGTTGAGCAAGATGATTGCCATACATGGTATTTGATTAAAAATTACACAAATATATTTATACACTTTTCAGACTTTCCCCTATTTAATGGTACTTGCTTTTTATTATTAAATCATTTAATGATTAAATAATAATTTTCCTTAATTTAAAATAATGTAAAAATATTGTACTGCTATTTTTAGCAAATTTTTTTTATGATCAGTGACTGAAATTTGATAATCTGCTAATATATTGTCAAATTTTTGTCTGTATTATTATTTTCGTAAAAAAATTGATTAATTTTTGAAGATAAAAATTGTTCCGACGCAACTATGTTTGCATAAATTTGAAAATTTTATTAATTTCAATAAAAAAATCTGAATTTTAGCCACTGCTCCAAACACAAGACAATTTGCCGAGGCGAGCCTTGCATGAAAGACAGCATTGCAACTGAACCCGTCACAAATGCAACCAGATCAATTACTTATTCTACTGTTTCTGTCACTTTTACAACTCAGCCTGTCACTTATGCTACCGAGCGCGTCACAACAACGGAACCTACGACCACCGAAACGTTTACACATCATTGGTGCGAGGATGGCTGGACTGAGTGGTTCAACAATTCGCACCCCGAGAGGGAATCTGGTGATTATGAGTACATTGCAGACATCAGGAATAAGGGTGGAAAGATTTGTTCCCAAACCGAGATCAAAAAGGTCGAGTGCAAATTCATAGACAATCAAGGCAGTGCCGCTAAAGGGTAGGTTTCATTTATAGTTAAAAAAGTTTTCAACACAAATTAAAATCAATGTTATACGATTTGTTTCAGTGTTAAAACGGCTAAAAGGAAGGGGGTGCTGAAGGGTTTTAAAGAATCGGGCGACATTGCAACTTGCAGGAAGAAAATTGGCCTCACTTGTAAAAACGCCGAGCAAGTTGACATGATTTGTGAGGACTACGCAATCAGAGCCTTGTGCGAGTGTGGTGAGCATTAAACTTACAATTAGATCGTAATTGTAGGACGAATAATTCTATGGAATATTTCTTTATCAGAAAAATCAACAACTGTGCAGGAAAGCACCACACCTCGAATTGAAGTTAGCACGCCCGGTAAATATCCATATCTATATTTTTCTCCGCTCGTTAAATAAAAAAAATTATTATTGATGCTGATATAATTTTTTTCCCATCACATTAAAAACTAACATAATAATTTCCAGAGTGTCCGCCTGGATATGAATGGAGGAATTGTCTGCGTGAATGCAGCGAGCTTTGCCATTCTTACAAGGGCCCACTGTTCAAACAAAGTGTTTGCACTGATGAATCAAAGTGCATATCAGGTATGCTTAAAAATACGATTGGATTAAATTATTTAACTATTTGGGAAAACAGGTTGTGGCAAAATAGGCCAGAGATGCGAATTTGGGCTCAAGTGGCGTTCGGATGACGTTTGCGTGACAGAAGAAAGCTGCACTTGTCTCGCTAATGACGGCACCGTGGTTCAAGTGCGTATTTAAATTTTTCAAATTTTGTTTTACATCTTGATTAATTCAGTTTTGTCAGCTTCTATTTTATACCTTGTTGATTGAATTAATAAAATTGCATTGAAATGGTTAAATATTAAAAAATATATTTTTAAATTGCAGAAATATGCAAATTTACGTGATTTAAATTGGTAAATGTTTGCATTATTAATTCATTTTTTCCTTCTCAAATGGATGTGTTTTTTACTCGGGTCAAAATTTCCCTATTTCGAAAATATTACAAAAAATATTTGTATTTAACAAAAGCAATAATTTTTTTTATATTAAAACAGCCTGGAGCGACCCACTACGAAGAAAACAACTGCTTGAAATGCCAGTGTCACGACAACCACTACAAGTGCCTGAAAGTTCCATGCTCCACGGCCACCACAACAGAGGAGTCTTCCACAGAGCCAGGCACCATGAGACAAGGAACACCTTCGGAAACTTGCGACGTTTGGTCAAAGTGGATCAACGAACACAAAAAGTCAGAGTCCGAAGATCGGTTTGAGAAAGAAGGAAAATCTCTCCAGCAATTGCGCAACGACAGTTTTTGCTTGGATGTAAAAATTTAAACCATATTTTCCATTTTCAGAAAATGTCAACTTTTACTTTCGATTTTAGGGTCACCTCAGCAAAATCGAATGCTTTTCGGTCGGTCTCGGAAAGGACTATCGAAGCACGCGCAACGTCAAAGTCAAGTGCGATTTGCACTCGGGGCTCACCTGTCTTGACAGTGATCAGGCCTCCCTATCCAGATGCTTGGACTACAAAATCAGATACTACTGCTCATGTGGTAAGAGAATTTAACAAAATTTAAAAAAAAAATCACGAGAGAAAAATTTAACTTGATAAACAACTTTGGAAAATTGCACATCATCAGTTGTGAAATTAATGCTTCAGGAATGTAGCGATTTTATATTGTTTTAATTATTGTCTTAACAATATATTTTATAAACAGGAGCAACAGAAACAGGATATCTTGAAGAAAATTTCACAACCGAGCCCACGACAGTGACAACACAGGTTACGACACTGGTCACGATTATTTCCAGCACAATTACACCGCCTCACAAATGCAACCCTGACATGTTCGTTAAATATGATTCATTGGAGAATTTCAATTGACATTTTTTTATCAATCAGGTACACATATCTAATTAACGGAGACTCGCCTCTCAGCGACCAGGCATTTTCTGCCAGCTCAAGTTCATCAAACTCAAAGTTTGGTCCAAGCCGAGCCAAAATGAATCATACCATTGGTATATCTAAAATTAATTAAATTTAATTCCTTTCATTCAAATATTTATAAATTTAGAGTCAGATTACACTTGGATTGCTGGCGAAGACGACACGGAGCAATTTTTGCAGGTTGATTTGGGTCGAGAAGTGCCTGTTTATGGAATTATCCTACGAGGCAATCCGTTGACAGAGCAATTTGTCACCAGCTACAAAATTCTGTACAGTTTAAACGGCTTCACTTTCTCGCCAGCCACCGACGTTTATGGAAAAGAAAAGGTTTACATCTTTGTTTCATTCAAATTTTTTTAGTAAAAAAATCCTTTTTATATAGATTTTCCGAGGCCCAATAGATAGCCGATCTAAGGCAAGAGAAATTGTGCCAATTCCGTTTGAAGCTCGGTATGTGCGAATCAGTCCTCAGACCTGGCAAAACGGCATTGCTTTGAAACTAGAAATAATTGGCTGCTCCGAAATCACAACTTCGCCTCCTACATCTACTGAAGTTGAGTGTAAGCCGAGTTTCTTTATAATTTATGAATTTTCTTTGGTGTGTTATTAACTTCAAAAAGGGTTAATACACTTACAATTGATCGATCTTTAAAAAGGGTTTTCTTTATAAAACAAGTTTCTTGGTGCCCGATTTAAATTTTCAGATCAAAAATATTATACAGGTCTACGGTCAACTATTGAATTTGTTTGAATGAAATTTTTAACTTAAAAAAATCGCTTCTTTCGATATCTCATAATTTATTTTTCAGTCACTCAAAGATTCATCTTGAAAATGTTCACAAAATTATTTTTAGCCATGGATACAAAACTATTTCGTCAATTAATAATTTTGTTTGATTTTAATGCAAACATGAAACGACTCCTGCGTATATCGTTTTATCTAGAAGTTTAAAATATTTGAATTTTTCAGTATGGAACTCTATGTAATTTTTATTATTATTATTTATTCTTCTCGGTTGATACAAACAATTTTTATTAATAATTTATCATTTAATATGCTCTAGTAAAAGAAGATGAAATATTTTTTTCTTTTTATTTAAGTCTTGTGCGATGAACCAATGGGCTTGGAGGATGGAAGATTGCAGGAAGGCTCCATTTCTGTCTCATCTGTACTAAACGGGGCATCCGACAAATTTGGCGAAAACTTTGCAAGACTTGGAGCCACGTCTGCGTGGAGAACCAACAGGAATGCCCAAAACGAATGGATTGTGGTAAGATTATTTATTATAATAAATATAAAACAAAACTGATAGGTCAAACCATACAATAAACTAATAATAATGCAACACTTTATTTGATTGAAAATTTTATTGAAAATTTTAATTGTTGATTTTGTTATACGCAATCAAATTTTCACCAGTAATTAATTTTACGCGCTTTTTATTTTGTGTAGCTTGATTTCACGGGCCCGAGAAAAATTACTGCTATATCAACGCAAGGCGACACAAATTCAGACACTTGGGTCACAGCCTATACTGTTCAGTACAGCCAAGACGGCCACAGCTGGAATGACATTTTGGACCAGGGCAGAAAGAAAGAGGTACTTGAAAAATTTCTTTTCTACAATACTTGTTAATAATTTTATAAATACATTTAAAGGAGTTCCTGGCTAATGTTGATTCTTCCACACCATACAAAAACTCTTTTGGCCGAGAAATTGAGGCTCAATACTTGAAAGTGACCCCTGTAAAATGGCATGGCGGAATCAGCATGAGGATTGAAATTTACGGATGCTTCATACCGTATGGTAAGTTTTAAGAACGCAAGATTTATTTTTATGTTGGAACATATATTAATTTCAATTGAAAACTTCAATTTTTAAAATCCTCATCATAAGAAAAACTTGCAAATATATTTCTTTTAAAATGTGTTTCAGGAGAATAGACTTTCAAAAATTAAAGTTTGACCATTTTTTTAAATGAGAACAATTTAATACACATGAGAATATAAAATATCATTATCATATCTTATTTTAAACATTAATAATTCTTGAAGTAAATTCCACTCAAAAGGGAGTCATTAAAAATTATTTTTCAGTTTTAAAATCTCTGTAATTTTGCAGAATATTCGACATCGACCGCTCCCACGACCACCACCGAGTCCATCAAGCGCGAAGAGTGCCGACTTTGTCCAAACCTGCCGAATGAGAAAACGGAGAACTGTCTTCCGTGTTTGAACGGCCTTCTGTGGAACGGCCTCGATTGCGTTCCTCAAGCCGACTGCTCTTGCTACGTCGGTCAGCTCGAGTACCCCGTGGGCACCCCTTTCGAACTGCAGGACTGCCGCCAGTGTCAGTGCACCCTTGGCGGGGTCGAACAGTGCCAAATCAAGGTTTGTCCGGTGTGCCAAGACCCAAAACACCACAGCGTCCTGACTCAGACGTGCGCCTGCATCTGCAAACCCTGCCCAGAGGACTCGGTCATTTGCCCTTCGAGCAGGACGTGCGTCCTGAAGACACAGTGGTGCGACGGCGTTGAGCATTGTCCGGACGACGAAAGGAACTGCACCAAAAAAATTGGTAATTTTTTTTATAAAACTTTTTATCATTTATCAGATTAGAAATAAACTTCATAAAATTATCTTATTAATGATGCATTAAATTATTCTTTAAATTAAAAGCTAAAAAATCTATTTGATCTGCAATATTTTGGAACTGCTGACAATTAAATTTTGGAACCAAAACATTCCCTCATAACCAATTATTTATTCTTTTGCCGATAGAATGAGAAATTCTTGCATTCTTTCATAAATTATAGCGAATTTTTTTTAACTTGAATCTATTCATTTTGATACAGAATGTGAACCTGAGCCTGAATGTGATGGAACCGTGATTAAAAAAGAGGTCGCACCTGTGAAGAAAGGTGGCATCAAATCCACGAAATCCACCCAAACTGTCGAGATTTCCGAGTGCCCAATTTACGAGTGCATTCCTCCTCCAGAGGATTATGAATGCACCTTGGAGGGAAATTCTCTGCAGACCTTTGACATAACGACCCTCAAAGCGGAAATTTGTGACCACATTTTGGCAACAGACAAGGACGAATGGCGAATCACAGGTGCGTTTACCTTAAGATTATGATGGTGGATTTTGCAACATAAATTTTATTACAATTCTGCTTTTTAAATGACGTAAACAATTTTAAAGTTGCTAAATTTTACAGAATTTAAAACTTCAATTAACTATGAAAATTGATGCCTTAAAAACTGTTCAATTATTTTTCTGCGTTATATTCTGTATTTTTTTCTGTTTTTCTACATGAAAATTTCGAGGGCTAAATTTTTGCGTTCGTTTCTTTAAGCACATCAGATAAAATTCCATTTAAAATTAGGCGAAAGTAGTTAAGTTGATAATTAATTATGCACTTACTTTGATTTCGCGTCCAAAATTCATCCCAGCAGAAGAAATCCTGATCGAAAATCTCGAACACAGTCGCAGCTCGATCCTGATTCGCACACAAAACACGAAAACTGTTCTCTTGAGACCAAGATTGCACTTTGAAAAGTTAATCGAATGTATCCACAGAACATCTTGAACTAATTGTAAGCGATAGTCTCGTGAACAGTTCACAGACACAAGTGCAGTGCAAAACTGAAGTTATGGAATGAAAACAAAAACACAAGATGTTGATCGAGTGGGGTGCACGTGCACGCGGCCATACTAATCTGTTCGCCAATCGCATTCCTTTCTCGCATCTTACTCTTGAATTTAAGAATGACTTTCAGTTATGCTGCATAGTACATTATTATAAAATAATTTTTATTTTAAACTAACATTAAATAATAACATCTTACATAAAAAATTTATAAAATTTAAATATTTTATTTTAATTTAAATTTTTTTGTAATTTATTTAATTATTTTAAAAATAATAAAAACAGTTAATTTTTTAAAGAAATTTATTCCATCAAAAAAGTGCAAATTTTACATTATTTTTTTAAATTTATAATCTCAAGCAACATGGTTAATTATTTCCACTTAATCCTTGACCTGCGTTGTGAGGATTGTGAGGGGATACACGAATGGAAACTTCAATAATTGATAATAGAATATATTTTATGTTATTGAATAACGAATAACGCTTGAAAGTAAAAAGCTCTTAATTTAAATTTACAATTACAGCAACCAATGAGTGTCCGGAGTCAACAAAGTGTGGAAGATTTGCGACAGTTGTGATCCCCAACCACGTCATCAAGCTCTATTCAGATTTCAGTATCGAGTTCAACGGCTACAAATATGACGTTCCTCAGGTCAGCTAATTTGAAAAATTTTCATCATCAAAATAAAATTGGGTGGTGCCTTCTGCACCACAATAAAAGGGCACAGGCTGACAAGACTCTGTCTTGGTCCGACCCTTTAAAAAAATTACATAAAAATATTCAGATCTTTTATTTATTTCATTTTTGCGATTATGTTTAAAACTTTTAAATTTCTGAAAATACAATAAGTACCTTTTCGAGTGTCTTGTCTAAAATAAGCTATTTTCCTTTATTAATTTATAAATTGCTCTTGAAAAAAATAATCATGAATTCACAGACTCAAGCAATTGCTGCGAACTACGGAGAGTTTGAAATTAAAAGACTAGGCGATTATCTCGTATTTGAATCGCATCACTATGGCTTCTCTCTGGTTCTGGACGAAGAGGGCGATATCGACATACGGGTTAGAGATAAAATATAAAAATTTCGCCAAAATTTAATTTTATAAAAATATACACGAAGGTTCCGAATAAATTGCGTGGAAAAGTGAGCGGACTATGCGGTTTTCTGAACGGCAAGTCCCATGACGATAAAACCAAACCGGACGGCACTTTAGCGTCGAGCACTGCTGAATTTGTCAATAGCTGGAAGGTCGAAAACTCGCAGGTTGATTGCAAGAAAACGGACTGTCCGGTAGAAAGGCATCGGCAGGCGGTCGAAGCTTGCACGTCCATCAGGTTGGTCAAATAAAATTATTGTTAAGTTTTTTTTAACAAAAAAAATTAATAATTATTCAATCATACACAGCAAAAGCTCAGCTCTTAAAAACTGCAACACAACCACCAATTGGAATCACTTTTTGGAAGTCTGCATGGATGAGGTGTGCAAGTGTCTTGAGAACGAACGCGAGCAGACATGCAAATGCAAGGCGGCGGCCAAGCATGCGAGAAAGTGTCTATCAAAGAAGGGTGGTTTTGACCTTTCGCATTGGAGGACTGAAGTTGGCTGCCGTACGTGTCTTATTTTAACATTTTTTCAAAGATAAAATCTATGCTAAAAAAATTAAAATTAATTTGTAGCGATTGACTGTCCGCCTGGAGAAGTGCACCATGACTGTTACATACACAAGTGTGAACGAAGCTGCGATGAACTGCAGGCGCCGTGTTCCAACGAGGATAAAAAGCGTTGCTACTCAGGTTGCTTCTGTGCCGAGGGTCTTGTCAGGAAGGGCGACAAGTGTGTCAAGCCAGAGGAATGCCAAGATTGTAAATTTCATATTAATTCAAAGTAAAATTACACAAGTATATGTTTTTTCAAAGGTATCTGTGAAGGATTTGGTGATCCGCACTACATCACATACGACCGTCGCAATTTTACCTTCAACGGAAATTGCACATATCTTGCCTCGAGGGACATTAGCATCACCGGAGAGCACCAGTTTGAAATTCTAGTCACCAATATTGAGTGCATTGAGGAGCCCGGGACCACTTGCACAGAAGGAGTCACCATTGTGCATCAGGGCCATGTCGTAAACATGAGGCGCGAGGAGAAGCAGAAAAGGGTTGATTATTTAAATTAATCAATTTTGTTCGCAAATTGAATTCTTATTTTTGTGTAGATTTTGACCACGCTGGATGGCGATTTGCTTGAAAAATTCCCCTACTCTGATAGTTGGTTGACCATCGAAGTTGTTGCTAAAAATCAGGTCTCGGTGCATCTGAAGAACCTCAATATCCTTGTCAGCTACTTATTCAACGATTACGCTTTTGAAATTCGTTTACCTTCACATACGTTCGGAAGTAAAGTTGAAGGACTTTGCGGTAATTATTCTTCTAGTTTTATTTGAACAATAATTAAAAGGTGCTTTGCAATCTCAGGAAATTGTAATGCGGATCAAAGTGATGATTTCAAAAAAATTAATGGCAACTTTTCTGACAACACTGATGAGTTTGGCATGAGCTGGCTGGTTAAAAACCCACCAAAAGGTTCAATTTTCTTTAGAAAAAAACTTGTATTCTTATTAATATTTCAAAATTATTAAGGAATCCTGACTGAAATGGATTGCAAAGTGTTACAAGTTGAAGAATGTGAGCAGCCAATGCCTGAAAACGATCCTTGTTTGTTGCTGATGAGCACTGATAAATTTGGAAAAGTCCGTTTTTTAAATTTATAATTTATTAAGAAATATTAATTATACTATTTTAGTGCCACAAAGCATTTAATCCTGCAAAGTACATTCAAGCGTGCCAGTACGACGTGTGCCACAGCAAAGACAAACAGGGGGCCGCGTGCAGAAGTATTGAGGCGTACGCGCGACGGTGCCTGACTTCGAATATCTGTTTGGATTGGCGCTCGGATGATTTGTGTCCTTACAAGTGTGGCGCTGGATTGGAATATCAACCTTGCGGTTCTGGTTGTGCAAAGACGTGCGAATCTCTCGACCAACAGGACAAATCTTGCGAGTTTGGAACCACCGAGGGCTGCTTCTGTCCAGAAGATCACGTAATAATTAGTTTTATTTAAAGAAACGTACAAATTCCTTAATTTTCATCAAATTAAAATGAAATCAAAAAAGGAGCAAACAATAATTGAAGATTGAAATTAAAAAAATAACTATGATTGAACTAAAGAAAAATTTAAAATTATCCGATACAGGCTTTAAGATCTGGAAAGTGTGTGCCAAAGAATCACTGCAAGGCTTGCGACTTGGAAGGACACTTTGTTGGCGACACCTGGCAGCCAAGCAAGTGCGAAAATTGCACCTGTATAGGTAATCGCAACTATTTTTTTTTCTTTACTTTTAAAAACAAATAATTCTGTACCGAATTTAATTAGAATCGATTGATGGCAATAACTTGGTAACGTTGAAGAAGGAATGCTCACAACGCAAATGCGAGTCAAAGATTTGCGCTTGGAATGAGCGGCTGAAGGTTGTGCCTGGAACAGAAGACAACTGTTGTCCCGAGGAAAGATGCATCCTGGAAATTCAATGCGACAGCCCAACAGAACCAATTTGCAGCAAGTATCAAGAAAAGAAAACCATCACCAAAGATGGATGCACCGAATACGTCTGTGGTAAGCAAAGCTTTAATTAAATCAAATTCAAGTCTCAAGCAAAAAATATTTCAGTTTGCATTTCTGAGGATCGCTGTCCTCCTTCGGAAAATGTGCAAAACCCAGGTCCAGGAATGGTTAAGACGGTTGTTACAGGGGAGTGCAACTGCACAGATGTCAAATACATTTGTGACAAAGAAAAATGCCCTCCAAAACCAGTGTGCAAAAGCAAATATTATAAGATCGAAGTTGTGCTCGGAACAGAGGGAAATTGCTGCCCAGAACAAATTTGCGGTAGGTTTTAAATTTAACGACCCAAAGGTCTAATCTCAAAGAATTTTTATTTATTTATATAAAAACTTTTAATAATCTAATTTTCATTATTATTTTAGTGCCGCCAAAGGATGCTTGCATTTATACTCCAGATAACAGCGCTTCAAAGAAAGGTGGTCAGAAGACAAAAACTACCACGGTGAAAGTTGAGGAATTTCACCAGGTATGTCTCATTTTTACTTTAAAATTATTCTTCATCTTTTTTATTTAAAAAATTAGGTTAACTCAACTTGGCAAGAGGGCCCCTGTCATAAATGCGACTGCGTTTATCAATTAGATGGTCCCCCAAGCGTCGTTTGCTCGGCTAAGTCATGCCTGGCAATTAGTGAAAATTTGGATTACAAGGAATCAGAAATCGTCATTCCTGGCCAGTGCTGTCCCGAAATAAAAAGGGTCGCCTGCAAGGCGGGTGGGAAAACGTACAAAGAAGGCGAGTCGTGGACTCTTGAAGGGGATCCTTGCAAAGTGGTCAAGTGCGAAAAAGAGAGCGGCGTTTTGCAAAAAACAACCATCCAGACTGCGTGCAACAAAACTTGCGATTTGGTAAATTAGCTGGTTATTGTGGAGGTTTATTATTTTATTTTTTAAAAACCTGCAGGGTTGGAGGTACTATGCCCCTGAGGAAGGCAAGTGCTGCGGAAATTGCATCCAAGAAGAATGCGTGTTGGACGGAACAGTGTACGAAATCAACGACCAATGGACATCCCCGGACAAGTGCACAAAATACAGCTGCATGCGGTCCTCTGACGGACAGGTGAGAATTTTGTTAAGTCATCATATAATTTTTTTTTCAAATTTATTATAAAATTCAAAATGAATTTTCCCATGAGAAATTATTTTAATTATTTCTATTTTTCTTTTTAAAGATACAAATAAGTTCTTCAGAAACCGCATGTCCGTCATTAACAAAATGCCCACCCGAAAAACAAATTAAATCTCCTGATGGATGCTGTACCATTTGCAAGATTGTCCCTGAAGATAAAAAAAGTAATTGTATTTATATCATATAACTTTTGCGGTCACTTATATTATATTTTACGCCTGTGCATTAGCTTGCGGTGTCAAGTTGTTGTCTGATGAAGAAACCAGAGCTCTGATCAGCAACGAAACAATTGCTGACGGAAAATGCATCAATACAGAACCAATTAAAGGTCTCAAAATTTGTGACGGATATTGCAAATCTGGAACTCACTACAGCTCAAGTAAGTCCTTTTAGTTATATTTCAGTTTTGATTTAATTGGTTTAATTGTAGCAACATCTGAGCAAATTGTGGATTGTAACTGTTGCCAAGGTTTGGAGTTTGAACTGATAGAAGTAGAGGTGAAATGCGAAGATGGTAATCAATATACGAAGAAAATTCGAGTCCCGACGCTCTGTGAATGCAATGCCTGTTCTGCATTTCAATCTTCCTTAATTTCAAACGAACCAAGGCAGGAGAGTGAACCTCTGTACGATATTCTTCCAGCCAATTAAAAAAACCATCACTCCATTGAGCATCGGAAATTCTTGATTTTATATGTTACTAACTATATTTTGTTTTAATTCCCCTAACCAAGTTTATTTCCTGTTTGATTTTTAACCACATAACTTAAATATTTAAATACTTATGAAATTACCTTTTTCTAAGTTTTAAATAAAATGCATAAAAAGATCCATGCGTTTCAAACCTTATTTTTATTACTCCTGCTGGACATCAACAGATTCTTCATTATCTTTGTGCTGGTCGTCCTGTCCATCAGTGTCCTGGGAAGCCTTTTTCTTCTTTATCATCTCAGCCAGGTACTTGAAACGCGCCATGCACTCTTCCTAATAGGGGAGTTACAAATGAATTTTATAACAAAAAATCGGGAACTGTACCATCGTTTTCTCAGGAACACATTTGGCAATTTTGACCCAGCGTTCAGAGGTTCCCTTCGGAAACTTTGCCAGGGCGGCTTCCAAGGCCTTCTGCTGCTGCTGAGACCACTTTCCAGAATCGGCCCCGCTCTCTTCCGCACTGCCAAGTTTCCCACCCTTAGTTTTGACTTTTTTAGGGACAGCCTCCACTTCAGGTGTTGGCTCCTCTTCAACAACGGTATATCTGAATTGAAAAAAATGTTCAATTTAGTATATAATATCAAGTTTTGGAAATTACTTGGACAAGTCTTCGATGACCTTCTTGGCCATGTGGGTGACCTCAGGGACTGTGCGATTCATGCACTCAGCGATTTTCTCCCACCGGCTTGGGGTTCCGCCAGGGTGCTTTTTACACAATTTGGCCAGCTCTGCAAAGTCGTCATCCGTCCAGAGCCCACCTACAACCGGGGGAGGCCGGGAAGGTTTTTTAACTTCAACCGGCGCTGCACCATTTGGCATTTCTGGCTGAGGATATTCGCCCTCGTCGTAAGTCACTTCAGGAGGTTGGAACGTTTTTCTCCTATGAATTAATCAAATAATTAAAATGCAAAGAGGGCAACATTTATATACTTTCTAGGCTTCTTTTCTTTTGGCTCCTCTTCCTCGCTAGACTCCTCATTTGCCAGCTCCTCCTCCTCCAGTTTTCTCCTCTTCCTTTCCTCCCAAAGCTCATTTATGAATCTGCACAATTGCGGCAAGCCAGTCACCACAAAATAAACAAACTTCACAGTTTGGATGGGAAGAAGTTTGTACAAACTAGAAAAGTAGAAATGAATATAATGCAAGGAGAAATTATCCTGATATTACGTAGGTTTCTCCAGACCGAATTCTTCCCAGTCAAGTTCTTCTTCTGGAGAGTTTCCTTTTTTCACTTTCTTATTTGTCTTCTTATTTTTTGCATTCAAATTTTGCTCCTGTTAAAATCAAGTGTTAAAAGTTATTTAAAACTCTGTAAATTAACTTGCAATTGTGTATTTTTTCTCAGCATAAGCAGCCCATAGAACAGCGTAGTGGCCGATGGTTAAGGTCATAAAAAGAATCACAGTCATCTCAAGGAGACCCATTTTTCGGGCTCGTCGGTAATAGTAGACGGCGCTCCTCCAGTCCGGAAGACCAAACTCGAGCACCTCGTGGTAACGCTGTCTTCTTTCAGGGTTTGTCAGTACCTCATACACACCGACTAACTAAAGGACAAGATTGAGTTTAATTTTTTAATTTACTTCCTAATAATTTTTTACCTGACGAAATTTTACTTCTGCATCAGGGGCATCGTTTTTGTCTGGATGCAGAACTAAAGACAGTCTCCTGAATGCTTTTTTAATTTCTTTGGTATCAGCGTCCTATTGTAATTGGATTGATAAATATTTTTGAGCCTAAATCTTAATTTTTACCTGTGAAACTCCCAACATGGTGTAAAAATTAGTATTCACTTCCTCGACTAGGTCAAAAAGCTCCATCTCGTCGGTGCCCCAAGCTCCGACCTCTGGCGCAAAGCACAGGCCAAGTGCGGCCAGTAAAAAGTAACAGTGGATCTTCATTTTGTGTGAGTTAAATCTATCAACTCATCCTAGAAAAATACAATTTGTTTACTCAATTATTTAGTGCCAATATTTTTTTATTTTTTATTTTAGAAAAAGACTAAAATATTGCTTATGATAAACTGGAAATAAAAATTGTTGAATCTTTCTTGGAAAAACTAGATAAGTTAACGACTTACATATATACATAGAAAAATTCTTCCGTCAACGTGTCCTAAACGGTCATCGTGTTAACTGGCACAATAAGTTAGAGAGTATTCCCAGTGAAAACGTTTTCACTTTTTTGCAAGGGTAATTCTTGCGATGCAGAGGATGGCGACGAATTTTCCTCGCAATCAATCCTTTTGTTTGTCACTTTCTTCTGATCGAGGCAGGGCTAGATGCCAACCATGCATAACAGTGTCCTGCAAAAAGTGCAACCTGTGAAAATATACAATGCAAACGTCATTACAAGAAGGAAACGCTTCTATTTTTGAACATTCGAAGCGTTTGCAAATTATGAAAATAGTTTAATATTGAAATTGAGTCGGAGTTTTAAAAATTTTCCGTAAACACGTACCTACAGGATGCTGTTTGCTGCTGTTTGTGCCTCTTTTTTCAACAATTTTTGTTCATTTTATTTATGCTTTTTAATCCTTTCACCAGCCGGGCCCGTGAGAAGTGAAAACCACATGGTTGCCAACGTGCCACATACAGATGGCAGCACCGCATGGTTTCCGAGTAAGTGGGTCGAGCATGACCTTGCAATATATCTCTTTTGACCAAGATCACGATGTAAACCTCGCCATTTCAAATGTAAAATCAGAAATCGATATTACATATATCAAGTTTAAATTTTATATTTCCGAATTTTCATTTAATTTGTTTTTAAATGCTTGTAATATATTTTCAGAATAAATTAAGAGCGACGATTTAGAAAGTTTCAATAAACAAGTATCGATGAAAAGGCCCGATGTTTCATAGAGACATCGCCGCCATGGCCTCGACAAAAGGTTCGGCTCGGGCAGCTGCAGTGAGTGGTGGATTTAGCTTTGAAGGAGACTCTTTGCCCGATTTCAGTGAGTTTGACTCGACTTCAGTGGTTCTGGATTACCAAAACGAGAGGTAAAACGCATCAAAAATTGCATTTTTTAACTCTGATCTAGTAACACCGCATGCTTGCGAGAAAAAATAACTAAAAAGCGAAGCAATCTAATTTTAGACGTGCGGACCACTCTCTGTGTGGCGGGGCTTTTCGATTCGGACTCGCGCTTCTCGAGACAGAAAGCTGTGCCTATCAAGATGACCTATTTTCTGATTTATTTCACACGCATTTGCCAAGAAATCGCGCCGTATTTTTTAATCAAAAATTTTATCAAGGAAAAACTGCGGAATTGCACAAACGTGGAATTATTATTGGAATTCATACTGCATTAATAAGCAGCGCCTGACTCACAGTTTTGACGCATAGCTGAGCACGCCCCTTTTCTCTCTCTGCTTTTTTATATCTCGGCAGTGTGTCAACAAAGGCACAGGATATTTTTTTTTAGTGCAAAAGTAGGATGGTCTCGGCACTTTCTCTTATCAGTATGAACAAAATTGCCCGGTTTGAGTACTTCTCAGTCGGAAAAGAGAAACGTGACTTGAGCGATTTTAAATGAATAAATTTTTTATGGCTTATATAAGCAGCTGCGAGCGGAAAGCATAAAAAATAATTCCCATAATTCACCATTGTAACGGTTAATAGAAAATTATTATTCTGTTAACGAGTGAACAGCAATTTTGACGCTGAATAGCTTCCGAGCACGACCGGTCTGGACTCTAATTTATGATGATTTGAATGGTCACTGAAGGGACGCATTGACAATATGCTAATTAGCAGAGGCGTTGCTAGAATCGTGTCTCTTTAAATATAAAGATGATGATGATTTTTTTTTTTAGGTTCATTAATAAGCTATGTAAAAGTAATACAAGATGGGCTGTAAAATATTTTTGGTTAAACTTTTAGCTATATTTAAACCCTTTCAGTTTTCAATTGAAAATTAATTTTTTTTTTTGCTTTTTATATGGACTAAACTTAAAATTAATTTCATTTGGTTTTACAGCTTGATCAATTTATATAGATTCACAGTTAAAGTAATTTTCTCAACCATCCATTTTTTAGATTCTCTCCACAAGAGATTATTTTAAATTAACTTAAATTTATTGATAGCATAATACGTCTCTGTCAAAAACCCTGATGGTTATTTAATTAATCTTTTAATTACAACCATAATGTATTAAATTTCATCTCATCTTCTGAGCGTTTCTTTCCCACGCAAGATTACGACATCAGTAAGACTCTTTTATGGGTATTTAGCTTCTAAGTAAGATTAACTGACCCCGTTAAAAGGTCAGTGCCCACCATCGTGTGCAGTTCGACTTGATCCTTGACAGAGTCAATCAAATTATTATCTCCACCTCTGCACTTTGTTCTACTTAACGCTGACAACCACTCAAATTATCTTCCGCTCTGTTCATGCTCATGGTTAATAATTTATTAAAATGGCACTTTGAATCGATCCGACGAGGAAATTCAATTTGCGTCATTATTTCCATTCCGATTTGCGGTAGTCAATAAATAATTAAAACAATTTCGACGAAAATTTTTCTTAATTAAATTTTTTTTTTCTTTTGAAATTGAACAAACAGATTCAAAAGCCCTGCGACTGCAAATAGCTCAGAGCCATGTCAAAAGTTTGGCTCCAGTTTCTTTTTTCTTTTTGCCTCCCTTCTTTTATTGTGTCAAGTTGTGCTCTTTTGGAGATGCAAAATGTGAATAACAACCCTAACGGAGACTAACTGCATGTCTGCAGTGAACACTTGAGTCAAGACAAGATTCCCTTGTGCCAGTGTGTCGTGTGCTGACTCGCCTGCTTGCTCGCCAACTTTTTGACCCCGATAGCAACCCTCAGCGACTAAGCTGCGGCCCAACAACCTTCACATCCCTAACAGGTGAGACACCCACTTCCTGTGCCCAGAACTCATTGCATGCTATAAAGACCAATCGATTTGGTGTTTTTGTTAACAAAATTATTTTTGGTAATGAGATTTTTTTGAGAATTTTAAACCCAAAGAAACTACTCGAAACGGGAAACAATTAAATTAGTAATTAGAACAATTGTCTTTACGTGGAATTACGTTCCGAGACGCGAGATTTTTTTAGACAAACCCGGTGTTTAAAAGTTAAAAAAGTCTTTACCTAAAGGCAATTAGCCACAAGTTACTAATTTAATGAGATTTCTTTTATCATTTTTGAGGAACACTGAATTTTTTTAGTAATAAATTTAACAATACAAATTTAAAGAAATGATCATTTTATAAAATTTTTAATTTTGAGTAAAGAAAACAAAATATTCTAAAAAAATTAACTAAAATAAGAGTTCAGAGTTTCTTCTTTTTTTGTAATCAATCCAAGAATTATGTGAAAAATTAAATATAATATTGGCTAAAATGATCAAGATTTAATTATTTTCTCAGGGAATGTAACATTTAATTTCAGTTTTCTCCCGATTCGCATAGTCATAAAATTTTCATTTATCTCAAAATATTCAGTTTTTGGGTTATTGGAAGAAAACATAATTTTTTTTTAATAGTGTGATTTCTGATAGTATAATTATCTCAATGTGGGTTGAGATTTCCTTGTGGTACGCCAAGAAACTTCATTTTTAACTTTTATACCTTTATTAATTTTTTTTCTGCAAGGGTGGCAAACTTTGATTGTACTTTATTTTGACACTGCCCTTGCCAAAAGTGAGCGGTGCGCTAATCTGCATGTATTGTGATGATTCTTACAGGCGCCCTTCTGAGGGCAAAATGGCGCCCACGACCACCATCGAGACAGTGACCATCACGCGACCCCTCAAGGTGAGTTAGTCCGGTGTCACTTCTTCTTGTTCTTCCTGACACGCAGGCACAATGGTGCAAAACCGCGCGCCCAACAACGCCGAGTACGGACTCCGGGTCGAGACGACGGTGAGCTTGTTTCGCCTAAAAGGCTCGTAAAGTGCTTATATGCATAGAGCGCTGCCGCTGCTGCTGCTGCTGCGTGTACAAAAGAAAGGACACTGACTTACATACTTGTTGTATAGAAAGAGACCCTCCGTTGTATTGCATCGATCTGGGGACGGACGCCCGAAAGTGGCAGCCTCATCTTTTTTATTATTATGCGCTGCAGCGCGCGTCTTGCTTTTGTATAATAATGGCCTCGGCGCGCACTCTATCTGTCTTTCTGCAGACCGTAAAGACGCGAGTTTATTGCTTGCTTTGCAGTAGAATATCCCTTATAGTGCCAGTACAATGCCAGTCCAGCGAAATGTAACAAGTTGGCCAGACTATCTGAATTCTGAAAGGGCAATATCCGCTGGAAGCATTTCAAACTTTGCACCACAAGTTGTTTCATAAATTTGGCGTCTCACTGTAAAAATCTGCAAAATCTTTGGGTTTAGGTGTCTGTTTTTTGTATTTGATTTGAAGATGCGATTAAATTAGAAAGGCCTGTGGAATAATTTTTGGACAATTTTTACTGCAGCTGATTATTTAATTTGTTTTGAATTTGGAGAAGCGCAAGTTGTTCTGAGGATATTCTTTTCCCATCCACGATCCAAGATAAAGGTTTGTTTGTCTTCAATTGAATCATTCAGAGCAAATATATATAGGAGAGGTTTAGGAGTTTCACGTCTTACGTCTTATCAAGGAAGTTTCACTTCTCAATGCTCTGCCTTTGTTTATTTTTAATTAAATATTCAACCATTTGAATTGTAGTTCCCGAAAATGATAACAGCAGGTCCAGCAGGAGAAAGAAAAAAAAGCAACTAGAGTTTATTTTTAAATAAAATCCATTATAAATTAATCATGTTTGCCCAATTATAAAATTTCAAACTATGATTTTTCTTAGTCTGTATGAAAGATTTTTATAGTGATTTGAATTTAAATTCGACTTTTCCTCTATGGGTTTTGTGAGTTTTTTTATTGTTTAACAAAACAATATCCTGCTCTACATCTCTACATGTTTTGGCTGCAGCAATAATTCATGAGCCTTCTCGGCGGTGGTCGAGAAAAGACTTTTTAAAATGTTGAAGTAAACTCTGGTTTTGAATGCATTGGACGGCTTAAAAACCTCAAGAATTTGTTAATTACTTTGCTTTTAAAGTTAAAAGCAGCAAGAAAATAATTTCTGATGGTTTGCCAAAATTTATATAGCTTTTTCCTTCACCTGTTTTTTTTATAGGCAAATTGAGCCTTCCCCTCTTCAATAGACCAAAATAGTATAATATCCGGTTTTTTAAATTTATTATTTTTAAGCAACTTTGTGCAATAATATACAACTTGTACTATCCAACTTGACGTGCAAGTTTTTATTGTGCATATGATAATAATGCCATTCGCATTCCATTAAACCTCTGCTCTTGAATTATCCTCATCACATGATTCCACCGAGCTCTTGCTCTTGTAAATTTCGCTCTCGTGCGCTGTCACATTCAGATTAGATCACCTTGTGCGGGGGAGAAATAGCGGCGGCACGAAACCATATTAATAATTGAATTACATTGTGTGTGTGTGCTTTCTGGTGTGTGCTATTTTCCTGCGCCCACGTGTAATCAATACTCCTGTTACCAAACACCAATTTGCCGCGATGCATGTTTTTATCCGTCCTGCCGGTGGCGCGCCTTTGAATGAATAACAAGAGGCCGTTGCACAAGCGCGCCCTTTCAAAGCTTCACTCGAAAATAGATCAGAATTCCGTAGAACTTTGATGGTTGCTCAGATTTTCCCCTTTGAAGAAATTCCTATTGGGTAATTCGTTTCACAACCGAGGTAGCTAAATTTGGCCTTTTTTTCAGCATTTATCAAAAAATCTCATTTGGCACAAGGTGATTTTTTGGGCTGGCACCTTTTCAGATACATAAAAAATTATTTCCAAAGGCTCTTCGAAATAAAAATCGACATCTGGAAAGCTCTAGAGGTTGTAGTTTTTAGAGTAAGAAACGTTTGTAGTTGGAAAACTCGGAACATCAGATATTGTGGTGTTGTAAAGAAAATGCGCTGGGAGTCTGGAAATTGAGAAGAAAACCGCAGGGCGTGACGTAGCGTGTACTTTTCAGTCCGGATCTTGTTGTGTAATTCAAAACGCGGCTATTTTTGCTTGGAAACCGAGTGCGGTGCAACACTCTAGCAAATCTTCATTTTGTTGTGGGTGTGACTTTCAACAGTTTTTGTTGTGGTTTGGAATCACGGCCTCAGATTCATCAACGTGAAATCAAAACTGGGATATCTTAGATGGTCAATGAAGTCTTTTGCGTTTATAAGTAAATTTTTAATATTATTAATTTAATATATTATTACAGTTTAAAATAATTAATTTATATAGTTTTTTATACTATTATGGATTTTGTATCCAAATTAACAAGATTTACTTATCAAACCTATTTTATTTAATTTAAATTAACTGTAAACCTATTTTATTTAATTTAAATTAACTGTATTAATATTTATTAAATTTTAATTTTTAAATGACACAAAACTAGTAAAGATATGCTAAAAAAATTACATTTTTTGCTTCGATTTCTATAATCAACATAATAAAAGTCTAAAAATATTATTATATTATTGATATTTTTGTCTCTGAATATGACTTTAAAAAAACTTCCGTATCAAATTGCTCGTAATGCAGAACTCATTTTTTCGTCTGGGCAGGGTGGTTGGTTGACAACAACAAAGAGCATATCAAATCTCGTTAGTTGTCAGGCGCGCGTCTTGGCAGCAGCAGGGAGAGAGATGCTCTCTTCTGGCCGGCCGCCTCTCACTTGGCAGCGGGACGGGTTTCGGGGGTTGATGCGCTGGCGCGAGGGGTGGATTTCGATCGATCTGCCCCGGCAGCTCCAGTCAGAGGCAGCAGTCATGGCGGGCAACAACCAGATTTCCGAGGTACCACCCCTGCAGCCGCCCTCCTTCAGGGTCAGCTGGGCCGCACCCTTGCTGCCCGCCGACACCCTCCGAGCCCTTCACCCTTCCACCCCGTCCCTTGAATGAAACGCCACCCCTCTGGCGACCTTGACCTCCTCAGGACCAGGGTCGCTCTCATCATTGTTGTTGTTTTTTCGCGGCTGACTCATTACCAGATTTTCCGTCTCGCCTCCCCCGCAGACGCGCACCCCCTGTACAATTCTATTTTTGTGTCTAGTTGTGCTCGAGGGGTGGTTGTGCCAATTTTCGCTTCAAAGGCAGCACTTGTTAACACTTGACCTGTTTTTGCGCCTCGGCAGGTCATCGCGTTCATCTGCGGGATCATCGTGGTGATGCTGATGGTGATGGCCCTGGCGAGCACCGACTGGCTGATGGCGGCCGGCTGGCGTCAAGGCCTCTTCATGCACTGCATCAGCGACGACGCGCCCACGCCACTGCCCTTCAACATTGTCGCCGACCCAGACTGCTACCCCGCCAGAGACGTCGGTAAGCAAAGCCAAATCCTGAAAATCATTTTGATAAAATAATTTATCCAATTAATTTTTAAACAATTTTTTTGGAAGATATTTAATTTAGAGGTATTTTAAGTTATTATATGTTAATTAAGTTTTATAATATAAAAGGAATTATTGTTATTGTTTGCAATGAGGAATAGCAATAAATAATTGTTTTTGCAATAACAATTTTTAGCAGCAGTTGTATTTTCAAAGCAATCAAGTTATGGATATTTCAAATACAACAAATATATATCAATTAAAATACAAAATTACCAGCATTTGCCATGATTAGGATTGATTTAATTTAAATTTTTACAATTGAAATTCGGCTTTTCCTCAGTATTTTTCATATGTTATTGTTTCATATTGTTTCATATTGTTTCATAGAAAATAAATATCCGGCTATACAGAGTGGGCTGAGAAATATTTTGACAAAAATTATAGTGCTTTAATTAATTTTCAAATTTATTCAAACAGTAACAACATTTTGTGTGTGAAGGAAATTAGTTTTTTTTCTTGACTGTTTGAATTCTGGGTTTTTTCCTAGTATATACCTTTAAGCTGTACAACCGCCTCACTTTTTAATTTCAACCAAAATTGTTTTCAATTATTGGAATAAACCTGAAGTATTTATTTTGTATGGCAAGAATTGACTTTATTTTAGAAATTATTATTTATCATTATATTATAAGGAGAAAATATTTGGTTAAATTTGCAAATTTTCCTGTTTTCCTTGCAGCGTATATCAAAGCAGCAGCAGCTCTGTGTGTGGTTTGTCTGCTGACCGACTTGTTCGCCACCCTGATGGCCGGCCTCGGGCTGCGCAGCACCGACCACCGCAAAAAGTACACCTACTACCGAGTGGCCGTTTACATCATGATCCTCTCACGTAGGCCAAACTCACTCCCTTCAGCCCCTAACGCAATTATACCTACGGTTAATTTAATCTGTTTGACAGTGATCTCGCTGCTGCTGGCCCTGGTCATCTACCCCGTCTACTTTGCCTCCGAGCTGAAAGAAGGTAAGGCAGGTAATGACCACACAGCCGCTCCCATAATCCAATTTGTTTACAGTAAAAAAAAAACAATTTAACCGTGTGAGAAAATTACCAAAAAAAAAACCAAAAAAATTATTTGAAATTTTTAAAAGACAAAGAGTAAGTTGATGAAAGTTTCGTCAGTGCTGATATGTTAATCTAATTGCAGCGTTTTTGCACATAGCTTTTTACCAAAATTATCGTTAATTTATTTATTAAATTTCTTTCTAAATCATAAAAAGCATGAAATGTCATGTAAATAGTAATTGATGTTTTAACAGAGCTATAATGAATTCCAAATTTGTTAGAAAGTTAAAATTGATTAGTGTTTTGTGTATTTTGACCAAATTTGCCAAATTCTCTCTTTTTTTGAAATACATTTCTTAATTTTGTTTACTTAAAAGTTTTTTTTCTATCACGAAGCATTTTGAATGTTTATTTAAATTAAAATTTGTGTATTTTGAAAGTACTTTTGAAGTTGCGTAATATGTATCATGCTAAAAGTTTTAAAATTTTTGAAGCACTGTAGTATCTTGAAATTGGGCTTCTATTGAGGAAATTTCTTGTGGAAATATAAAAAGCTTTTGCACTAAAACAGTAAACGCAGTGTCAGGCATGGCAGCATTTTTGGCTTGGATGTTTTTGTTCATCATCACCCTTTTTCTGAAAGCACAACCTCTTATCATTGACTCAACGCAACTTTCACAAAAAATATATTCCTGGGGAATACATGATTTTTTAACACTCATAATGGCTGCAGTCAAATTTCAAATTAAATATAAATAATAATAATAGCTATCAGCACTGACTTCGTCTCTATTGGTCATGGTCACTTTTTTCACTATCAGACTGTCTCATCATCATTTTAACAAAACATACATCGCATTTAAAAAAAAAACTTCTCATGAGGTGACACGTTATTTTTCAAAAACCATGTACAGTTGTCATTATTATTAACAATTTTGTATAAAAAAAATGTAAAATACAGAAGAGCTTTTTAACCGAGCTAATTTAGAAGCTTCAAATAACTGACCCCTAATTTGTTCTCATGGGAGCATGAAAACGGCTGTTGGCATGCCTGGTTATAGAAAAATTATATTTTGGGCCTAGAGCTAGAGGTCTCAGGATGCATGCCTGGGTTCCGTAAGACTTGAGATTACCGGACTGACACTTGGCTGAAATTTGCAGGAAACCGGACAGTGTGGGAGTTCGGCTGGGCCTACGGAGTGGGCTGGGGCGCTGCCATCTTCCTCTTCGGTGGAGTCATCCTGCTGTTGTGCGACAAGGAGTCGGAAGAGATCTACTACAAGGAGCGCAAGATTGTCCATGACACGGACTCTACGAGAGCCTAGTGGGTCCGGCAGGGCACGAAGCACCCTCCTCCACCCCCTCTCCCTGACGTGACGCTGTAATTTCGAGTAAAAGAGCTATCAAAAGGACCATCGGAGTTAGAAAACCGAAAAACGCATATTTCGCGAATTAGCCGCCTTGGAACTAAAAGAGACGCAAATTCAAAAGATGAGGAAACTTTTAGTAGATCATTATGGTCCTGATGAGGGGCCTAGTCGAATGGAAGTCAGCAGCGTAACGTCATGGAGTTGTGTGGAGGAGAGATAAGCTCGTCTCCCTGCCTACTGTGGTTGTCAGCTTTCCTTTGTTGTTGTTTTTTGGTTTCTGCTTTTTGATGATGATGAAAAAAATATGACGACAAAACAATGAGAACTCCTAAACAGAGGTTTAACATTAATACTACTAAACTACCATATAACAATGAAGAAGCTGGTGTTTTTGAGATGTGAACGAGAGTTAATCGTCCAACGTAGCTGCTTTGGCACGGCATCTTTATAACCTTGTTGTCCCTGAATTCCTAATAATATGTGACCATTTGTAATTTTTATATATGAAAAAAAAGAAGAAAGTATTTAAATAACAGTGTGACTGAATGAGATTAGATTTAATGAAAACACAGAATGTTATATTGTACTACGGAGTTAACTGTATATTCATGTGAAATCAATTCAACAATTACTATATAAATTATGTATTTAAATGGAAACGAGAAATGTTTGCTTTCGGGGATTGTGAAACAATTCAAAGGAACTGCTTCGTCAATTGCAGAGAGAAGCAAAACTATTTGTATAATCTATACTATGTAACACAAATTTCCAGACTACTTTACCCGAGACATTACATAGCACTACAACACTGTTTGCCACTCACCTCACTGTTGGCTCATTCATTTTGATTAATTAAAAGGCACTTCTGTTACAATCAATTTCCTAAATGTTCAAGAATATCAAATGCATTTAAATCTTGCTATACTAACAGCTGTCTTTTTGAAAATGTCTGTTTTCCGTATTGTAATTTATACTAGTTCTGACTAATCATCACTTTTTATGTCATGAAAATTTATACCTTGGCAAACAGAAAAAGTAAAACCTGTTTTAGTCCGTTTTGCAGCTAACGAAGAATGGTGTATTATAACAAATTATATTCAAAGCATAGTGTTAAAAGCAAAATAATGTCTTCTAGTCACCTTTGTCGGAAAATCTCTCTAGCACTTCTTCCACCTACATACATGTAACGCAAAGAGAACTAATATATTTATTATTATGTAATCCAACTTATATTGTACATGTACTTACACTCAAGCAACTTGTCGTTGCATTGAAGCATAAATTATTCACGTTCTCGCCATTATCCATTTAGAAAAGAAATAACCATCATAATATAAATTTGGTTAGTAACTGTGATTGAAAAATGAACTTCGAATTTTCATTGCGCTGCTGTAGATTTTTGTTAGGAATCATTTCAAAATTTTGACGCTGTACAAAAGAGCCATATCGCTGCTCATGACATATCCAAGCAGTTGTTACCAGAAACAAGTAAATTAATTAATGCTATGCGCCCCAAACTTCTTGATATAAAATCATTCGAATTAATGCCCTTCCTGTATTTAAACAAAACTAACGAATATTACATTGTCGGAATGTTCTACACGTATGTACTGAATTCATTTCATTCGGTTTAGAGAAAATAAAACCCTTTAAAATTGCCTAACATTTTTTCGGCATTTTTATTTAAAAATTTTTCCTTTTATGATATAATTCACGTTACAAATCCATAACATCATCAAAATTATCTCTAAGATCAGTCTTCCTGGCTTTTTCGGGCCTGCTCGAAGATGATGGCTGGTCCTTCGGAGGAGTGTCCTGCCCTTCATCGACGTCAGTTTCAGCGTCATATTCATTTTCTGCAGGACTTCCATCATCTTCTCCTTTGCCTTTAAAAATTTAATTTTTATTTTGTAATTCAAAACGCAAAAAAAAAAAAATACCTTCAATTTCGTCCTGGAGCCTTTGGATCTTTTCTTTCTTGGCGTTAAGGACAGCTAGGAAATTTGAAAGCAAAAGTTCCTCCTTTGTAACTGCATCTTCAGTAAATTTCTCCAATTGCTCTTGCAGAATAACTTTATCTACAGGCCATATAATTAGCAAATATTTATATATTATCTTTCAAAAACTGAAACTACCTTCAGTGACGTCAACAATTTTTTTCTCTAATCTCTTGTTAGATTTTCTCAGCTCAGTTTGCGTCTCAAGGAGAGTCTCTGTCATTGATAGCAGACATTGAAGAAATGGAGCCTAGAAACAATTTTTTATTTTTTTAAATAAATAATGAGACAAAAAAATTACCTCTTCAACGTCCACTTTTGCATACACTAATCTGATCTGATTGCTGCCCAGTTTTTCAACCACAAACTCCTCATTGCGAACAGAAATGGAAAAGTTTTCAGAAGGACTCAAAAGCTCAGACAGGATTGCATTCCAGTAGTCTTTGGCTGAGAGGCTGTATTGTGTATAATATTTGCTGGCGGTGGCATCAGTTAACTGAATAAAACATACAAAAAATAAAAATATTGTGTTAATTTTCCAGTAAAATAGAATATTTTATTTTAAAAACATTGGATAGCAGAAAATAATATAAAATGTTATAATCATAAAAGTTGTCATGCATCTTCTCCCCTAAATATTTTTAAGTAATTTTAGAAGTTCCTAAAAAAATGTTTTTTTTTTTTAAATTATAAAAGAAAATAATTTTTACGGTTTAATTAAAATTTAAAATAATAAGCGCAAAAATATATTATCTAAAATTATGATTATTAAATAATATAAGTGTTGTTAAGTCATATTTTACTAACTTCTGCAGTCCATGCCTTTTCTGCGGACCTCATCAGTATTTTCATCTTAATTTTGCCTTCAGATACTTTCTCAGCTTGGATCCAAAGCCGAGAAGATTCATCCTTTCCAACGCTGCTGACAAAAGGCTTGTTGAATTCCTTCTCCATTGATATCTAAATTTAAAAAGAATTATTATAATTATGCAAAAAAGAAATATATATGAATTAAAGAAAATTAAAATGTCCATATGTATTTTCACCTGCATTGTTAGAGAATTATTTTTTGTTAATCCATGAATACATATATATGCATCAAAAATCCTAATATAGCAGAGAGAAATAAAAGGATCAAATTCCAAATGTATAATAATTTTTTTTTTAATTCTGTAAACAAACATGCGAGGTAAACAAAATCCCCGTTTCTTCATATTTGATAAAACTAGGCTCACGTAACGAAGAATTTGAACCGAAATGTTTTTATAATTCTAGAACTCGCTTTCAATAAAAATAAAACGAGTTGTTTAAAAATGCACACACACTACATACCTGCTTTGTTTTTGTCCGAGAAGGTGATGCGCCGTGTGTGTTGTTTACGCGCGAGCCGACGAGCGTGCATGTGTGAGAGTGAATAAAATCTCTGCTGGCCACAGCGCCAGCTGATTTGTGTTTATAGTGTGCGGCCGTCCGCCCTTGTGTGCGGCTATTTTTTTGCACCCCGAACGAGAGCAGTCTCTTCGGAGAGGGTGGCTGTCGTGGGGCGGCGAGGAGCTGCTGTGCCGCCGCCGCCGCTGCTGCTGGCTGCGGGTAAGAGAGAGAAAGTGTGAGAGGGGTGAAACACCCACACCATCTTCCCTCATTCATCTCGTACTATTTTCCCGGAGATGCGCGCAGGGGGTTGATCGATTAGTCTTATTGATTTGTTAGTGTCATTTTAACTCTCGTGCATAATAATTTCAGCCCCTCGAGAGACGACGCGAAGAGAAATTGGCGGACCTGAGGCTGCCGCTGGTAAGCAGTTCCGAGTGCTTTAAGCCCGACCACCCTTTCGTTGTCTCGGCAGTAAGGGATGCAGGGTCCTCTCGACGGCGCCCGCGTCTTTATTTTTCCCGAGGGACTCGGCAAGAAGCGTCGCGCCTTGTTCGCCGCTCAGATAGCGCGCCTAGGCGGCCGAGTGGCACCACACCCTCGGGGGGCGACCCACCTGGTGCTTGAGGCGGCCCTCGACGCGTCACGGCCGCCTCCGGAGGCCTCCGAGGGCCACCTCGTCTCCACTCGCTGGCTCAGCGAGTGCATCAAACAGCAGAAGTTGGTGCCGGAGCACGAGTTTTTGGTTAGGGTCGGCAAGAAGAGGGCCGCTCCGGAGCCCTGTGAGACGCCTAGGGAAGTCAAGGTCACTAGATCGGACAGTCCTGGACCCTCGAAGGCGGCGTCAATGTTATCAAAGGAGTCTGAGGCGAGTTCGGAACCCAATCTGCTGCTAATCACAGAGCTGAAGAAATTGGCTGACGCATATCGAAATTCTGGTTCGAATTTTAATTTTATTTAAAAAATTTTGCAACAAAAATTATTTAAAAATTTGAACTTTCTCAATTTTGCGCGAATGTTATGTCAAAATTTTTTTTCTTTTAAATGCATTAAAATAGAATCATGTTTATTTAATTTTAGTAAAATTAAAATCAATAATAAAAAAAATATTTTTTATTTTAAAAATAATTTTTTTTCTGTTTTATTACTATTTTTTAAATTAATAAAATGGTCAGCAATACTTTCCATAGTTAATTTGTGACCAAATCATTTTATTTTTATTAGTATTTTTATAATCGCTCAATTAGTTTTCTATTAACCAATGAAAACTAATTAACTTTACTGGTTGCAACTCTTTATTGTTGTTATTATTATTTTATTTTCATTTTATTTTGGCGCGATTCAGGTGACCAGTGGCGAAATTTTGCCTACACTAAGGCCATCAGTGCCATCAAGTGCTACAAGAAACCAATCAAGAGTTACCAGGAGGCTTTGGCTCTGCCTGGCTTGGGCGAGAAAATGGCCTCGAAGGTGTGGGAGCTGCTTGAGACGGGCCAGCTGCAAAAGACGGGGGAGGTGTGCGGATCTGAGCAGGCTCAGGTACTGGCTCTTTTCAACGGCGTGTGGGGCGTTGGACCCTCGACGGCCCAGACTTGGTACGCCCAAGGCTACAGAACCCTCGAAGATCTCCGGAGCAAGGCCACCTTGAGCAGGCAGCAAGCCATTGGATTGAAGTAAGAAAAAATAGCATTTTTTTCGAGGAAATTATAATTTTTTTTTTACTAAAACTATTTTTATTTTTCAGATTTTTCACGGAAATTAATTCAAAAATTCCAAGGGCAGAAGTTGAGGAAATTGCGAAGAAGGTGGAGGAAAACGCCAAAAAATTGGAACCAGATGTTTGGGTTGAAACGTGCGGCTCGTTTCGAAGAGGCAAACCTCTCTGCGGGGACATTGACATTGTCCTCAGCCTTCCAGAAGAGGCCAAGACTGAAGATTTCCTCCAAAGACTGCTCACGTCCTTGAAGGAAAGTCAATTTTTGACGGATGATCTCAGTGGCTCGCATGAAAAGTCGCACAAGTTCATGGGAATCTGCCGCAGTCCGTCCTCAGGGGTGCACCGACGGCTGGATTTGTTTGTCGTTCCTTGGAGGGAAAGGGCGTTTGCTTTGGTCCACTACACAGGCTCGGCTCACTTCAACCGCTCCCTGCGAAGGGTGGCCATCAAGAAGAACATGGTCCTCAGCGATCATGCTCTCGTTGGGCCAAACGGAAATGTGATTCCGGCGAATAGTGAAAAGGACGTTTTCGAGGCGTTAGGGGTCGCGTTTAGAGCTCCTGAGGACAGGGAGCATGCGTTGGAAGTTCTCTCAGAGGCTGCCTGATAATTATTAATAAATTTTCTGACCATAATGAAATCTGTCTAATTTAATGTTTATTATTTTCCATTATCAATACCTCGGTATATTTAAATATTTGCATTTCTCGAAAGATGAGTATATATATATATATATTTTTTTTTAATTTTAGAAATGTAAATTTGTTTTCAAAATTGATTTAATTTTCTGTAACTGCCCTCTGTTCAGGATGAGTGATGGACAAACTGGCCGAAGTGCAGCGAGCTGCCTTCCTCGGAGCGCACTTCCCTTCCATGAGTCAGTACCGGCCGCCTTGCTATAAGCCAGAGACGGAGGACCACATCCTCAAGGTGCCTGAGTACAAAGACCCAACCTTCATCATACCAGATGATAACGGCTTAGGATACGAAGATGGAATCAGGGTCTTGAGAGCGCTTGGATCATGGTGAGTTATAATTTCCTAAATTTAAGAACAAAATCGCCCATGATCAAGTATTATTTAAAATAATAATTCTATAGTAAAATAATGGAATACCCAATCGTTTTTTTTATTCATTTTGAAAAAATGTGATGAGCTTGTGTCAAGTATTTCAAAAATTTTCCAATTTTAATAATAAACAGAATTTTTAGATTTTACTTCAATTTACCAATATCTTAAAAATAAAAATTAAATTTAAATATGGAAGTAAATTAGTTTTCTTGCAGACTGGGAATGGAATAATCTTAACTTGTCGTCAATGAAATTAATGTGAAATATTTATTAAATCATTTTTAAATTTTTTTTGGAATTTTATAAAAAAATAACGAGTCTTGAATCTTTCAGGCCGGCAGACATGACTCCAAATTCGGCGCCGTCGATGGCAGGGCCGCCGCCAGTGGCGCCTCGGATGGAGCACCTGCCTCCGCACCAGGCGGCAGCCTCGAGTCTGTCGTCGAAAAAGCAGGCGTTCGGCAGCTACCCGAAGAAGTGCAAGGACGAGTTGGGCGGTCGCCAGCAGCAGGGACAGCAGCAGCAGCAGCAGCAGGCGAACGAGAACAGCAGTGGCAAGAACTTTGTCTGTCCGGTGTGCGGCAAGGCGTTGGCGCGCAAGGACGGTCTGGTGATCCACATGCGGATCCACAGCGGCGAGAAGCCGTACGTGTGCGGCGTGTGCAGTAAGGCGTTCGCGCGCAGGGACAGGCTGGTCATCCACATGAACAAGCAGAGGCACCACCCGCCGGGCGAGGGCGGCGGCGGCGCCGCCCCCAAGAAGGCGGACGCCAAGCCCAAAAAGCACAAGGACGCCGGCGGGCAGGCGGCCGCGGGCCAGGTGGCCTCCTCTTGGCCGTGCGACCTCTGCGGCCAGGTGTTTGCCGGACGTGACGACTGGAGTGCCCACTGCAAGGGCCACCTCCGACCCGAGGTCAACCACCACCACCACCCCCACCACCACCCGCACCAGCCGACGTACCACCCGTCGCCCCAGGAGCCCTTCTCCTACTACCCGCCCTTTCCCTCAAAGTCGTTTTTCAATCACGTTCGACCGCACCTGCCGCTTGAGGTTCCCAGACCTTGAATCGTCCGACTGCTAGAGACTCAAAAAAAATTATCATCCATGTCCCGTCTCTGTCACTCCCCCCTGTTCGTAGGCGTTGCTTTTTGTTCTCCAACTCTCAGGGCACGCGGCGGTTCAAGACTGATTTTTCTTTGGGTGCATGGGCTTTCATGTTTTTTTATGGTTTACCGATTAATTCCAAAAGAAAGATTTTAAAATTCCTTGCTGACTAATATGAAGCGAATCCAACACTACGCAGAAAAACAGTATTGCGGGCCAAAATTTAATGATTTAAAAATAATCGTGATCCGATTTTGTCTGTAAACTGTTGGAGACGTCTGAATAATTCAAAAATTATTAATTAACAATTTTTAATTTGGAATGTAACCTATTAAATCAGTCTTTTTTTGAAAAGGAATTCCCCAAGGTGCGCAAAACATAATTAATGATACATTTAATTTCTGAACATATTATTTTGCGCACTACGGAATTTACTTTTCTACTGAATATTTAGTTTTTAAATCATTTATTTCCTTTTTTAAAATAATGTCCTTGTGAATGTTTTTTTACTTTTTATTTGATCTCGTGTAGAAAATACTTGCCTGAATTTTTCCAAAGGGAAGTATTTTGACTGATTTTGGCTATTGGTTCAAAGAAAAAGACGGACCACTAGTGCCCTGGCTTCAAAGACTAGACAATTTTAGCATTAAATGCTTCCATTACCGCAGGTCAATAAATCTGTTGTAACGCAGAACAATAACATATTATCATGTTGTAGATTCACATGAGAATTTATTTTTTTGGGGCGATATATTTTTTCTTCTCCAATCTCTCTGTATATTTTGAGTCTTCCTCAACAAGTTTGATTCAATCAGACCAGCCTGTCATGTCGCACGAACGCTTTTTTGCCACAGTCGCACTCGAGAGACGCATACAATCATATTTCTATCGGCCCTTAAAGGGTCCAGACAGAAAAACCAATGTGTTGTAATATTTGATATGAGATATAGAGGATAAATAAATCGACAAAAAGCGCCGCCACTCTGCTTCAAGTCGAAATTCGGGCCGCTTGTATCAAAAATATAAATATGAGCGCGCCTGATTTTATTCACGAGCTTGGAGCGGAGGCGGCCAAAATCGTTGTACCTTGTACGTTTGAAAAATGTAAAAACCGCCGCTCTGCCGCGGAGGTATTAATGTAAAATGATAGCGAATATGCGAACAAGTATCAATACAAATATCAGGTGTTTGTGCTGTATAACGGGATATTAAAGTATGTAACCAAATGTGAATTAGGCTGTTGTTACACACACAAGGTGAAATAATAATAAAAACGTGCATTGTCTTCAACAAATAGAAACCATGATAAAACTAAGCATTTTAATTTAGACACCAATAAGTCTAGCATTATAAGTAAGAAAATTATAGCGACAAATTATTTTTCATTATATTAAAAAAATCATCTTTTTTACATTAATATAGTTTTCAAGGAGCAAACCAAAGGGTTAATTGACGTTTGAAAATGGAATTTCGCTTAAGTAAATTAAATCAGTTAATGTTTCTCCGGTGTCTTTTTAAGTTCCTTGTCTGCCTAGGGCACACAGAGCTTGAGCGCTTGTACTAAATAAATCTATCACTGCGGCTATTTAATTTTTTAGCTTTAAATAAATAATTATTATATAGTGGTACGAGTAATACAACTATTATTATTTAAATTATAAATAAAAAACAATAAATGAAAAAAATTGGTATATAATTACTATTGCTTTTTTTTTTATATATATTTCTTTAAATTTTTTGTATTCTTAAATTTTTTCTCTAAATAATGTAAACTTAACAGGATGACTAATAATTACTAAAGCAATAAAAAATAATATGTCAATTAAATAAAAAATATAGTTTTTATAATTATAAAAAATATTAGCAAAATACGTTTAAGCTCCATATTATTTTTTACACAACTTCAAACTTCATGGTAAAATTATTTTATACATTAACAATTCGATAACAAATAAAAATTACTTAAGATGAATAAATTGTCCCTTCAAGACCATCTTTTGGCGGAACTTTTTGTTGTTGTCAAAATTCTGAGCTTTTCCTGTAGAAGGTAAAAATAATGAGCGCATCAAAAGCGGAGTCTTTTACTGTGCGTGGGCAATCTGGTGACGCGCCCTTGCCCAAACACAATGTCCAAAGTTTTCTCTCGCACGCACCGCTCTAATGGGGCGCTTTTTGCCCTGCTCGGATCGTTGCTGGAGCCCGAAATTGAAAAGCATCAGACAAACAAGGGTGCAACAACAATGTGCGGCGGTTCTGGCTACCTGGCTTTTCTCTTTGGATGCCAAAATTGCGAGCTCCCTTTGATTGAGGCCGCTCAATTCGGCTGGACCGGCGTGGAAATGCAGCCGCCCGTGTAAGCCGATGTGAAATGTCAGAAAAGCAGCGTCTCGTCCAAGTAAAGATTTGACGACGAAAGGTACCGCCACGCGGCAAAAGTTCCAGTTTCCAGGAAAATGTGGCTTTCTCTCCTTTGTGGCGACAGCCGCCCGCAATTCGAAAGGATTAGGCATGGAAAAAGGATTGTTATCAGCGCACTGTGCCGTTCTTTTTCTCGCTGGACCTAATTTAGGATTATTTGCGGTACTTGCAGGTGTGTAATGGTTTAAAATAGCTACGGCGTGGAGAGATTTTCTTATCTGAAACGTTATTTGCTTTGAAATATTTCAGAAATTTGAGGGAAATTAATTTCACAATTCTTAATAACTTATTTTTTCTCATCTGTGATCAGAAGCAAATCATTTTTATTTTAAATGAGATGATTTAAAATTATTGAATAAAAAAGAACACGCTGGCAGCATATTTCGATAAGAAATTTTTCTAGTTAAATAGTAAACACATTTCATTCAGGCTACTTGTAAATACATATTTGATAAAAAAATTATCCAAAAAAAGCATAATTTGTGTAAAGTAAATATTATATTGTGCCAAGTGCCAACTATAAAAAACAAATGATATTAATAAACTTAATTATTTTATTATTATCTTGAATTGGAAAAATTACAAAAAGTAATTTAAATTCTAAGTATTTGTAATTTTAAATTAAAATAATACAAAAGTAAATTGAGTAAAAGATATGAAATTAAATTAAAACCCGTTTAATGTATAATACACATGCTAATAAAACGTTTGAAAATATTTTCTAATTTAAACCATGTAAACAAATGCTCAGATTTTATTGATTTTAATGACATTGCACGTCTATATATAAAAGTTTGCAGATAATGCGTAAAGCAAATGACAATTTTTGTCATTGCGCGGCTCTCTATACAAAGTCCTAGCAACTTGCGCTTTAGTTCACTTTTCAACGATTTTGGATGCTGGAAAAAGCACCATCGCTAATGTACAAAAGACGTATAATATCTCTCTATCGCCGGATATGAAACATTATCTTGCTGATGGCAAAAGCTCCCTTTGTTGGCGGGGGATGGAACGAGACTCGCTGTTGTGCCGCGAGTTGCGCCGCGCTGATTTTCCACGAGATGAAAGACGAGACCTGCAGAATCAAAATTCCGGCCGCGCTATATTATTATTGAGCTTAAAGTCTGCAGTCCTCTCGTCTCCGATTTCTCTCATCTTTTCTACGTCCTTTTCCTCAATGAATGCAGTGACAAAACGACGACAGGCCTAACAATAAAAAAAAAAAACATTTTAATATAGAAATCAGGCGTTAGACGCAACTCATTAAAAACTTCTTGCAAAATTGTTCCAATTTTCACTGAAAATAAACATAATGTTAAAAATAGATCTGAAAACTATCAGGCATATTAAGTTTTTAATCTAAAGAATGTGCTCTTCTATAATTTCGCGTTAAAATTGAACTAGCTTTAAAATGACTTGCGATGGCCAACTTAAGAAGCATCCCCAATTAAACAACAGATTTTCTTTATTTAAAACAGTTACAATTTAAAAAGAAATTGTTAATTATGTTATTTAATTTTAATAATAATTTGTTTTATTTTTATTTTAAATTTAATTTATTAAATTTTTAAAATTACTTTATTGTTATTATATTATTATACAATAATTTGATTATACATAGTTGAATAAAAGTTTTTTACATTTATTTTACATTAATTTATATACTTTAAATAATTGATGCATTACTAAACACAATTGTAACTACTTGACTGTAATTTTGACGTACGTATTTTTGGCATTTCTTCAATTAAATTAAAGATCACATAAGGAAAGTATATTAAATTATAAGTTTTAAAGATATTAAGATTCTGATTGTGAGTCTATGTGGAGCCGAAGTACTAAATACATAAATATATTGACTGCAAGATTAAGAGAGGAGAGCTATTACTTTTTCATTAGCAACGCGTGCCCATCATTAGAAGATGACCTCAATGACCGCAAGTCCAAAGGTAATTAATTTAATTCCATTTTTTTTGTAATCACCATTTTTTTATCATTATAAAGCATTATTTTTTTCAACAAATAAACTCTTTTTACTTTTTATATTATAACTAAATCATACATCACCGTTTGCTCTTTTAGCTGCGCCGGCGAGCGTATTATAATTTGTGCGTTTCCGCTTGACGGTTGAACGTCTCTTTTTTCTCGAAGAGAGCAACAGCTCTGCGCTTTGTACTGCTCGAGTTGGAGGCGTGACGTTTGATTTGCATGACACTGCCGTGCATATCGTCTTACGTCTTGGAACCTTCATCGCGTAAGACGGAATAATGGGCGAATAACGAAATGAGAACGTCTTTAATTCAAAAGCGAAGATTTCTTGGCGCGACCGTTGATCAACGACAAAGAAACTCGAAGGACTAACACGACGCATAATATATAATAATGGATATTTGGAGTTCAAAAGCCTACATGAAAGTTGCTCCTTTTTTTAAATAAATTTTTGAGTCTGTGAGAAAAAAAAATCCAAATGGTGTTCTTATCAAATTATAATTTATGATTACAAAATTAAACCAAAAGATTAACTTAATTGTATTGTCTTACGATACTATAATTTAGTCTTCTTTGTTAATAAAGTAACAATATTAAGAAAATAGAAATAGATCACCATAAAAGCATGTGACTGTTTGAAAAAATGCAAAACTTGAAGAGAAAATATTTAATTAATCTAAAAATATAAAAAGTTTATAAGTATTGAACTTTTGTTTGAAGAAATTGACTCAATTAAGGAGAAGAACTTATACTATTTTCTCAGTGTTAAAATGGAAAGCCCTAAATTTTCACTTTCATATTAAAATTTTATTTTTCATTTGGTTTGCAATTAAATTAGAAAATATAAACAAAAAAATAACGCTGTGCACAATACTATAAATTGTCCTTGCAATTAAACTTACAATAGTATAGAGATGAATATCTTAATGAATTTAAATAATTCAAGTTTGACGTATACAATTTAATGTAACCATGTGGACAAATAAACAACAATAAATCTTTTATTATTTGAATAATAAAAAATGGAAAATCTCTTCATTTCTCTTCAAAATTCAAGTTTTTTTGCAGTATGAATCTACATAGGTATGGATGTTGTGAGAAAAATGTAAATAACAAACAACCACAAAACAACCTGTATGAACATTTTTGTCAGAGGAAGAGAAGAAAAACGCCACGCGGCGTATTATCTATTTTGTTTGTTATTATAAAGAAGTTTGAGCCTCCTCGATGCAATCTCTCTCATTTCCCCACGCTGCGATGGTTTGTTGGTGCTCCGCTTATTTTTGTTCTTGGCAAGTTTGAAAAAGTCTTGATGGAGAGGATAGAGCCGCCGTGAGTTTGGCTCTGCAGCAGGTTTTCCTCTTCGCTGCTGGCGGAGGACAAAAGACCTGACGATCTGAGCTGCTGCTTTTGTGCTCAGTCAGAGATCACATCGATCATACATAATGGGGAGGAAATACAGGGCAGGAGAGGAGGCTCCAGTTACTCCTACGCCAGTCATAAGGCACCAGCATCCTCCGCCCAGGATGAAAAACATCAGATTCCCACGCCGCGCCGAGGCATCTCCAGCAGCTCTACCCCCGCGCCGACCGAATTGAATATAAATATATGAATTCCCATTCACCTTCTTTTTTACTCTCTCATTCGACGACTGCCCTGATTTTCTTTCAAGATGCTCAACATGTATTTTTGATTCCGACCGCATGTTCTCTCAGTTCTGCTGACGTCCTTTGAAGAGCAGCTCTTTCTTTTATATTCAATTTGAGGGTGAATTCGAGATGGCCCCACTAAAACGCCGCTGACAGCACCAGAAACACTCGATCGCGTCGCTCACTCTTTTTTTTATTTTTCGTCATCATCGAATTGTAAAGAAAATGCCGAAAGACGAGAGAAGATGCTTATATTATTATAATATGCATGAAAAGCTCATTAAAATTTTAGTCCACCTTTTTTTTAATAATCAACTTATATGCGTTACATTATGCGTTAATTATAAGTTATGAGCGAAGTCCCTGAGATTTTTCATGACCAATTTTGGTCATGATATTTACAGTTCACAAATTAACCATCTCAATTTTCATTGATTATTGAAAAAATTTTTTAGTTGCAAATTACAAAGTAATTTTTAGAAAAACTATGAAGGCAATTATTTTACCATCGAGATATTATATCAAACAAGTATATTTGTCTCTAATTAAAATTGTAAAATGTGATTGTGCAGCAAGTGAAATGATGTTAAATTTTGTATAAAAAAAACCTCCTTTCTAATTGGCCTCACAAGACACTGCTTTTGATTTTGCGCTCGTATATAATCTTTTTGTATTAATAACAATTTTTTTTACCCTAACTGCGATGAAACATAATGTGCCGGCGGGCATGTTTATCGTACAAATAAGCTCCATTAAGAGTTTATTATGTGAAAAAGGCAGGATGGATGTGCACACACCGATTCTCTGATGCTCTTTGGGACGCAGCGAGCCGAGTGATTCGCACCAGGTGTGTTTTCAATCAGGACGCCTCATCTCCATCGCGAACGGGAGGTTCACTTTTGGGGTGCCAAAAAACTGCCAGAGAATGCGTCCCGCCAGAAAGTAAAGCACCCCTTCGGCCTGTATTGCACAGTGTTATGATGGCGTAGTCTGTGATTTTTCCGAAGGCAATTAAAGCTGCTACGCGTCTTCCATTCACTTCCCCTTTTATATAGGATCGGCATTTATCCGAGGGCTGTATGTGTTCGTTGATTCAACTTTTAACTTTTGATGGCCGCGAGAGGATCAACTCGTTTGAATATACCTGCCCTTTACGGGGGGTTGGTTAATCGTTTCGTTATGAAAGATGGCCCAGCTGTCTTTGAACAAACTTGAGAATTTTCAAATGCCTTTTTAATCTCTTTTATGTTTATTTGGAAATTCTTAATATTCGAGAAAATTTTTTTATAGATGGCGAAGAATTTCTCGCACGTTTTGCTTCTCTTCACAAAATCCAACTCACATGTTAAAAAAATAAATTTCTATTTTAGGGAATAGAGAAGATGCTGCCAGTTTAAAAGATATCATTCCATACTTGGAAGGAAACAAGAAATTCGCATTATTATTTTTACATTTCCAGAGTCAAATAGTCAAAATAGTTTGGACGAAAGTTAAAACCTGAACAAATAGAATTCACTCAGTCGAGAGAGAGGACTAAAAGCATCTTTAGAAATCCAGTATGTTCAGTCAGTTTGCTTTCCTTTTTTTGCGTTTATTTTTTTCCGTGGAGGGATTTGAACGCGGGGCTGAAAAAGTGAAAAGCCAGTTGCTGCTGCTGCGGTAAAGCCCGAGGCGCGAGAGCGAGCGAGCGCGCGCCTCCCCTCGACGGCGGCGCCGAGGCGGAGCTTCGGACACCCAATGAGCCGCAACCACCCTTGGCAGGTCGGGGTGCAAAGTTTGTCATCGAGGCCAGTGCCTTTTGATACCCCAAATGATGCAGCATCCGCAGCTCGCCTCGATCATGGATCTGAGAAGTCCGAAGAATCCCGGCACTTCCAGTGAGTTTTCTTTTTATTTTGAATTGGTTTTGCTTTGGGTTCGCTTTAGCTGATCGGCCCTTGAAAATTATTTTCATCTTTGGACGATTTTGATTTCATTTGGACTGAAAAAGTTGCAAAAGTCGTGACTTAAAGTTGCTTTATAAAGTTTCCTAACTTGCGGCATCGTAATAATATTTTTTAAAATAATAACTTCTAATTTCATTGATTAGATTTCCAATTAAGATCAGTTTTACGAGCAATAGAATTTGACTTTTGTCTTATCGAGCAATAGAATTTAATTTTATTTTTAAATTTAAAACAATTTAGTGTTACAGAAATAAAGCAAATATAAAATCCTATTTTTAACCACTATAAAATGTTTATTTTGATTTTAAAATTGGCTTTGGCTCAATGCATTTTATAAATCGCTTGTTTTTTTTCGCAGAAAAAAATAATATCTTGCTCTATATTTCTAAATGTTTTGGCTGTGGGCTGCAGCCATAATTTATGATCTTTGAAATTATTTTTTCATCAATTAGTGCATAAATAAATTTTTAATTATTGTATTTTGTAACACGGACACAAATGAAACATTTTTATATTAAATTATGCACGCTGAAGATTTTACGCTCTATTAAAGTTGGTCTTTTATATCCGCTTCTCTAATTTTGATAATTTTCAACTTTAAATTTTCCACGCATTTTTTCCCGCGCGTTCATACCGTCTGCAAAAGCACTTTTCTGGCGCCTTCCCACGCCAAGCCAGACATTTACACACAAAAGCAGAAAAGCCAGGAGAGGCCTTTCTTTTTTTGTTCACACTATTTTTACCTGCGAAAACACCTCACCTTTTTCCACGCCAACAGAAAAGTCCACTTAATCCTCTCGGCTCCACGTCTGCCCCTTTCTTTGACTGGCGACAGTGGCCACCTAAATTTTCCATCTCCCTGTTCGCGCTTTCAATTAGGGGCTCAGACGGAGAAAAACATGAGCAGGCGCCCAAGGATTTATATTTCCTCTTTTCCTTTGTGTCCTCAAAAACATGCCTGCAGTGCCTTTATTAATGAACGTGACCAATGCACCTGAAAATTGGGATTTCTAAATTCTTCTCCTCCGCTGATAAACAGATAAACAGTCAATTTCCAAGATAGAAAATTTTCCTCGTCATTTTGCAAACGTTACGACGTGCGTGTAAAATTATTTATTGATGAAAAATGAAGTGGCCGTGGGAAACAATAACATATGCCATAGAAATTTATATTTTTATATTTTCAGCGCATCATCAGATTTGATTTTCCCATGTAATTAAAAATCATATTGTTCCGTTGATCAGCCATATGTCGTTGCAGGCACTCAAATCGTGCATGTACCTGCCTGGGAAGTCTCATTAATTTGTGTACATTTATGGCCATTCAGGGTCTCTTTTTGACGAAATTCCCATAGTTCACCGCGCATCTGTCGCGCGGCTCTAATGATGGAAAAAATATCGTTACGGCAATAAACGCAGCACAAGGGATGCGCGCACCCTTGATTTGTCGTAATTAGCGTGTTAGAATTTAAAAGGCCAGATGACGCGTGCTGCGCTTCCGTCGGGAAGTTTGCATGATAAGTTTATAAATTTCATCACATTATTACATAAATACATCGATTTCACATTACAATCACAACTACTAAAACGCGGACTACCAAAACACATTTTTGTGAATCTACACATCTTTATTGTTGATATGACCAATGGTGATAAAACTATATAAATTTATATATTTTTTTGGCGTATCAATCAAATTTAGTTACTGTAAATATGAAAATAGCATTAAAATTTTAATTAATATATACTAAATATCAAAAAAAGCAAATATGTTGTAAACTTTAAATTTAAATGTAAATTTACATTTATTTATAATATAATTAAAGTAAATTAATTAAAAAATTATTTTAATATAAATGAATAAAATTATTATTATTTTTTTTTTAAATTTAAGTTTGAGCAATTTACAACAGAAAACTTGTGTTTCAATTGATAGACACTGAATGCTCTTGTGAGCCTTTTGTATTTTGGCACTATATGACAACAATGAGGAAATTACAGAGCAATGCTCGCATAATTGACTGGGTAAGCGCAGTCACGCGAGCCGGAAGCAGGCGTTTCCGGATGCGCGATGCTCACTTGAGGGTGGCTCCATCCATCCCCGTGTAGTGCCAGCGAGAGGGTCAATTACGGAACGGTTCATTCATTCTTTGACGTGATTGTTGCAGGCCGAATTCTCTACGACATCCCGTGCAAAGTGTGCCAAGACCATTCTTCCGGCAAGCACTACGGCATCTTCGCCTGCGACGGGTGAGTCTAGGCAACTGGCGCGACTCGAGAGAGTGGCGGAGCAGCATTCAAATTTCATTACAAATCATACAAAATTTTCTTTCATTAAATAATTCACAAAAGTTATTGATAAAATTTTGATGAATTACTCACAAAATAAGTAAAAACTGAGAATTGAAGAAGATATATTTTATCTTCACAAAATCGAACAAAATAATATGCAACTGAAAAAAATAATTTATTTTTCTTTGTTTCAGATGTGCTGGATTTTTCAAGGTGAGAATTTTTAATTATTTTATATTATTAAAATTTAGTCATTTTATCTAATGGAAAATTTAAAAATCTTTGATGCAAACAACAGCGTTTTATCTAATAGTTCGATTTTTATTTTTCATTGCAGAGATCAATCAGGCGCAATCGTCAGTACGTCTGCAAAGCCAAAGCGGAAGGCGCTTGTCTTGTGGACAAAACGCACCGCAATCAGTGCCGAGCTTGCCGACTCAGGAAGTGCGTCGAGGCAGGGATGAACAAAGATGGTGAGTGTCTTTTAATTTTTTTGTCGTTATCTGGTGGCGTTTGCGATTTGGAATTCTAACAAAAACCAGCAGTCAAAATCTACTCTGAGCTTCGAATTTAAAAACATTTTTCAAATTGCCCAAAACACAGATGACTATGAAAAAACGATTTTTCGTTTATTATGTGTAAACTATATGAAGTTTTGTAAGAAAATTAAACTAAAATTTATAAATTTCTTATATTTTTAATTTCAAATCCATGTATATATGGTTTAATTAGCGGCATTTCCAGTTCCCGGTCCGCTTTTTTAATTAAAAAAATTCCGCTCTTCTCTCATTTTACAAAAATTGATAAGAAGTCGTAGAATTTCTAGTCCGTTTTTTTTGGGTGCGCGTTCTATAAGAAAAAAAATGATAGAATAAATTTTAAGTTCCGCTCATATTATTAGCATTATTTTTTAAATAAAATTAAAAAAAAATATCTCTTGAATTTCACGGAATAAAATTGATCTTTTTCAAATTCTTTCTCAGTTCACTCTCTTTATTAATTTTCCTATAATTAAAATCATACGAATTTGAACAAAAGTATCATCAGCATAATATAAATCGGCAGTTTTGATGCGTTTGCCCGCAGCCGTCCAGCACGAACGCGGCCCTCGCAACTCAACGATCCGCCGCCAAATGTCCATGTTCTACAAAGATGGCCCTGGCAGTCCGCCCTTGCTGCTTTCGTCAAACACCTCCTCGCCCATCCCGGGCGGCACGGCCCTCGACCTGGTCGTCCCGAAGCGGCCCTCGATGCTGCCTCCGACGCCGCCGACCCCACCGGGCGCCCCCGGCTTCATGCTGCCGAAAATTGAGGCGGCCGGGCTGAGCGGCGAGGCCGTTTGCGAAGTGGCCGCTCGGCTGCTCTTCATGAACGTCAAGTGGGCCCGCTCGCTGCCCGCCTTCACGTCCCTCTCGCTCAAGGACCAGCTGCTGCTGCTCGAGCAGAGTTGGCGCGAGTTGTTCGTCTTGGGCGCCGTCCAGTTTTCGCTGCCCCTCGAGCCCATGCACGAGGCGGCCGCCGCCCTCGGCGTCACGGCCGCTCTCCAGGTCTTCATCGACACGCAGAACAAGTTCAGAATCGTCGGCGTCGACCACAACGAGTACGCGTGCCTCAGAGCCCTCATCCTCTTCAAAACAGGTGAGAGAGAAATTAATTAAAAAATTTAACCACAAATTCCATTTCAATTCAATTATATCGTGTGACAAAAATTAATTTCAATTCACTTTTAATTATTTAAATGTTACTCAAAAGTCAGAAGTTCGATTTTGATATATCGGTAAATACAAAATAAAATATTTAGCAGATTCAGACCAAAGAACAAATTATATAATTTTGCACTACCTATTAAATATTTGTTTTGGTTCTTTACAAACAAATAATATAATTTACTTTTAGATATTTAAATAGCTTCATTAAAAAATAGAGTAAAAAAGTAAATAATATGGAAATCAAATTATATATTTATAAAAAATAAATTGAATTTCGATTAAATTTATATTGATTGTGAGCTTTATTTATAATTAGGTTGAATATTTCGCACGAGCTATTTACCTAAAGTTTGTTAAAGTTAAAAAAACAAAAAGGAACTCAAATTCATGTAATATACAATTCTAGTCGGAAAATTAAAATAAGTAGAGAAAATACCATTGCAGATTTGTTTCTTTATTAATTATTATCAAGATAAAATTTACATTAATAATAATTAAATTCCTTCATTTTTTATTTTTTTTTCACCTCTTTTCAGCTTTCGAAGGAAACAATCCGCCAACGCTACGCGACGTGCCCGCCGTATCAGTGCTGCAGGACAGCGCCCAGCTGACCCTGAGCAGATACATCACCTGCGGCTACCCTGGCCAGCCCTTCAGGTTCGGCAAACTGCTCCTCCTGCTGCCGGCTCTGCGCTCCATATCAAACGAGGCGATCGAAACTTTGTTCTTCAGAAGGACCATTGGCGACATTTCCATCGAGCGGATCATTTGCGACATGTACAAAAACAGCGAGCTCTGAGCAAAATTATGTTTTCAACATGAATTGGAGGAAAGCTCTGTGATTTGGGAAACGGTGTTTGAATGCACTAATTTTGATATTATGCACGCAATTGCAAATGGTAATGATGCACGGATTTTATGCACAAATTACTTAATTTTTTGGTTAAAAGTTTGTTCAAAGTAGATATATTTCTGATTTGGGTCTTTTATTTTGTAAATAAATATGTACAGATGGACCAACGGGAAAGCAACAATAATAATTATAATTATTTTATTAAAAATTTAAGTTGTTTGACTTATTCACGATCAAAACTCCCAATTTTTATTCACTCAAAGTTACTTCCATTTTGAGGTTTTTAGCCAAAATAATCCAAAAGAACTAGAAGTCAACTTGCAAAAAAATTTAAATTCAGTGAAATGATGAATGGATTTTGAGATCGAAGGAATCTAAAATGGCGCAAAGTACAAAAAAAAAATGCCTCTGGAATGATTATTTTTCTTTGTGCGGCGGAGCGGCTTCTCTCAGTCAGTCAGTACATCTCTGATGATGTGCGCTATTTGGCTGTTGGAAATGTAATCCGCCTTTTGAATTGGAGCAGCCGTCATCCGAAAGGGACCGAAAACTTTTTCGAAGAACTTCTAACAGCAGTCAGCGCGGCAATGGAGGAGATGTGCGCGATGAAAAGGTAAAAGCTGCTGCGCTTCGAGGCCATTATGTCAAATCAGCGCGTCTTCTCACAATGCATTAATATGGACCCTGCGTGGAGAGCATTGTGTTGTTTGTCAGCAGCAGGACAAAATATGTACAAATATAAAGAGAGGGCCATTCACCGCCACTTTTGCTGCTGCGGAATGGAAAAGAGCTCAAAGCTCAAAGTTGGGGTGGATTTGGATGAGGAATTTTTCTCGGCTCGAAAAGCAGCAAAAGGCCTCAGAGAGGACAACATAATATATATGTGCGCGCATCGAAATCTCCAGCAATATAGGCGCGTAACAATAAATACCAATTAAAGAGGAATATTGGCTAATTCAAGCATAATTAAGAAATTCTGAACTGGTTTTAAATTCTGTACTTGGAAGTTCCTAAAGAGGAATCCATTGTAAAAGTTTAAAATTTTGTATTACTACAAAAAAAAATTAATAAATTATCTTTAATAAAAAATAAATTTAAAATTTAAGTAATGCTTAAATAAATACGCAAATAATTTTAAAAAATGTTCATAAAATTTTTAAGTGCCGCAAGGGCATTAAAATATGTTTCACAAAGTCAACACAAAAGATAAATTATTCATGATATTTTTGTTTTGTTGCGCTAAGATTTTAATTTTAATTTACAGTCTCAGAGTATAAACTAATATTTACTTTTCATTTTTGTGCAAAACCACATTTTTGACACGTTTTGGATGTATTGCAAAGATACAGTTTGCCAACAGGTCCATAAAAAAAATCTATATAAAGTTACATAAGATGGTAAAAATTAGATCATTTCGTGAGAAAGAATTAATTTGCTTCAGCTTTGCATCTTTCTAAAAACTCGGCATACTCAAATATGTCAGTCCTTTATCACAGACAAATGTCAAATAAATGAAATTGCAGGGATAAGAATGTGTGTCCCTTTTGAATTTCGAGAGAGCTCGCCGCAGAGTCACTTAGTTACTGGGTGTCATGCGGGTCATCAAGCCGTGTGACCTGCTGGTCCCGAGTGTCGAGGAGTCTCTCGATCCGCCGCGGGACGCCGCTCTCAAGCGTGCTTGTCCCCCTTTTCATCGTTTGCGGTTATCAACTGCGACAAATATTTTTATTTGCATTTCAAAAAAATCTCGATCAAAATCCTGCTGGCCAATAAAAAATGCAAATGGAACGAATTTTCACACGCCGGAGGAAAATAAATTATTAAAATTATCGCTGAGAATTTCCTTTTTAAAAATTGCAACCCCTGCAAACAGTCACAAAAAAAAATCAAAACGCAACTACCGTATTATTGCTTGGTGCATGTGTTACTTTGTGTGTAGCACCCTTAACGTGTACTGCATGTGCGCGGGACTATATTGGTAACTGTTTCGCGCATTGTTTCAAAAAGTATTGTAGAAAGGGAAGGGGACACAAAAGAGCTCTATTTTCCAGACCGTTACCTCCTCAAAGCTTTATTCCGCGAGCGGCGCTATAAGGACCACTTGTCCTGCTTTGTTTAACTTCATTACGCAAAGATTATACATGCAGTGTTAGATCAGAGATCGTGGCTCGGTTTTGTAACTATAAATGCGTCCAATCGGCCAATTCAAGAGCAGATGCGTTTCTCCGTATGCTTGTTTTTGCAGTTAATAGATTTTTCATCAGACTAGGCTTAAAATGATGAGATGTTTAAAATTATTAATCCTGAGCGGTACGTATACAATGTTTAGTTTCATTTCTTTATTTTGTTAAATTAACTCAATTTACTGATGTTTTACTTTTACTGGAAATCTATTAGGTTTCTAAAAATTTAATGTTCATTTTTTCAGCTTTTAAAAATGCAGCAATAACTTCAATTCACTTTATTTTATAAATTATATTCCGAATTTTGTTACATTCATAATTTTAAATTTTTTATTAGTTACAGCAGTGATTTTTATTTTTTTATTTTCAATATTTCAGATTTTTGTATTTTTTCTTGCTTATGAAATACAATGAAATGTAGGGTAACAGTTCGTGACCAAAACTAGTAGTGCCATTTATTAATTGAAAATTTTTTTAAAACAGGACAAAAATCGCGATTTCTTCTTTTCATGTACAATAATATTCACTTAAAATTTAAAATCAATAAAAAAAGGATCAAAAACTATGTTAAATTAAAAATCCAATATTTTCTCAATAAAACGGAAAATATGGCATATTAATAGCACGGCTTAAGAATGCAAGTTATGTTCATTATGTTATGGTTTATTTGCTAATTTAAAAAAAATTATTAGTAATAATTTAAGACAAACCATCTGCTTTGTATATAAAATGTCACAAATTGAAATTGATAAAAAAATTTCTTGCAATATAAATTTATTAAAAGGAACTGAATTTGCAGTTCTCTGACTTGGACAGCTCTTTAACTTCGCCTGCTGATCATAAGGTTTAAAATTCAAAATATTCGTTAAATCTTAACATATTCTGACGTAAGTCACGCACTCTGTGTTGGCATTTTCCACTCTGGAAAGAAAAAAAACTTGATACAAATGTATTACAATAAAATTTTAAAGAGCAAACGGCATATTATTTTGATTTCAAGCCGGTCGATTGTTTTCCTTTGCCCACTCGGACCTTTAAAGTTCAAACGCGCTAGCCAGTTAATAAGAGGAAAAAATAACGAAACGGCCGAGTGCGTCTCGAGATTGGCATTGTTTTTGCCTCGGCCTCCTCTCTCTTGTATGTTTGCTACTTTTCGAGTGGCCACGCCGGCCCATTCACATGTATATATATGCATGGGGGTTGTGCGCGTTAATTATATTTTCCCATAATAACTAACGCGCAGCAGCCGCCGACAAGAGCAGCAGGTAAATACATGCGTGGAAAGTACAACAGCTGTCGTCCGCGCCCCGTAATGACCAGCAGAGCTGCGCGCCATTGAAAATCGGATCTGCTCTGCATCAAGTGCTCGTCACTCACCTTTGTGATTTCTCTCTCACTCCATGCAAAGGGTGAAACGAGCCGAGGGGTGTGCGTATGATGTAAGTGAATTTATTGCTCTAATATAGAAGCAGCGGAACATGAATCAGCTGGACCCTCATTGCATAATGTAGTTGCCTTTAATATAAAATGTTACATTAACATATTTTACAGAAAAATTAAACTTTTACATTTATTTATTGATTTGTAATTTTTTTTATTTTTTTAAAATTTACAAAATTTATTTGTTTTTATAAACATTTTTAAGAAGCGTTGAAAGTAATGTTTTTAGGAAATTATTATTTTTTCTTACATAAAAATTAAAAATTTTACTATTCAAACTAATGTCCTCAGTTACGTCAGACAATCTACATTATTATATAATTCAAGAAATTGTATTTTATTCAAAATTCTTTCTGTAGCATAATTCAATAATTAAAATTGGGAATAATTCTCTTTAGTAGAACGGATAAAAATCAAATTATGAATTCAAACATTCTTTTCTAATAAGAAAAACCGAGAAAAATATTGTTTCGAGTTGAGGATGGTAAAATTTTACTAGTGAAGTGCAACAAAACTCGATTTTCAGCCCCACAGACAGACATATTTTGTGGTTGTTCGCTCCCTTCTAATTTGACGCCCCACGAAGAAGACAAGGTTCTGGGAGGTACATTTCCAAGAAAAAGTTCCATTTTTACAAGTCCACCCACCATGTTCAAATTATTCCGCTTCTTCCTTTTGTCACCTCTCCGCATTAATACCTCTTCAGGGCCAAAGACGAAAGGGTTTGAGAATGGAAAAATCTCGCCCAAATCTCTGCACCTTTCGCTGTTGCATTCGCGCCACTGACTCTCGACAAAATACTTGTTTGCGTCCAGGGACAAATTGACACTTTGACAGCGAAAGAAGCGAAGAAATACCTGTTTAGTATTGTTACTCGGAAAAAGGGAAAACAAGGTGCGTGGTTAAACCAGCGAGGAGTGCTGAAACTTGCTACTTTTTCAGGCATATATATAAATACAATTCTTTCTACGAAAAAATAAAATAGTATTTTGGCATTCTGAAGGCTTAAACAAGTCAAGTATGAATGAAGTGAAGATTTTCTGTCAAGGAAAAATATAAAAAGGGATAACAATATACAAGAGGGTGAAATGTCACTGGAGAGTTCTTGGTGACAAACAAGAAATGTTATGAAATGAAAAATTAAATTAAATAAATACTGAAATTGTTAGATCGTTTTATTGAACAAGTCTCCTCCTTACTCTCAATTATATTAAACTGTATAATTTTGAATGCATTTATTGGCAGCATCAATCTGATATATTAATAAAAATAACAAAAATATACATAATTTGTAACTAAATTTATTTCCTGTTTACTGATCAC